TTGGTTGATGGTGGTTGAGAGGAACTTGCCTCCGAGGGCTGCTTGGATGCGGGCGCGGACTGCAGGGATACGGGTGGTGCCACCGACAAGCTCGACGGTGTCAATATCGTCAATGGTGAGTCCTGATTCGGCGAGGGCTTGTTGGAGGGGTGCGGCGATGCGATCGAGGACGCCTGAAATGAGCCCTTCATAAGTGTCACGGGTAAGTTTGGATGAGGCGTCAATGTCGTTCATGAGTGATTCGACATTCAAGGGGGCCTCGTTGTTAGCTGAAAGGACCTTTTTCAGTTTCTCGCAGCCAACGAGAAGACGGAAGGTTGCTTTGGGGTTGGAAAGAACGTCGATGTGGTATTTGCCGTTAAATTCGGCAGCAAAGTACTGGATAAGAGCGTAGTCGATATCACGACCACCCAGGTGGCGATCGTAGGCAGCTGCTTTGACAGACAATTGACCTTTGGCAAATGCGACGACTGAGACGGACATGGAGGAATGTCCAACATCAACGAACATGACGTGTCGTGGGTTTTCTGGGTCGGGGAGATCAAGCTTTGTGATACCGTAACCGAGTGCGACAGCAGTTGTGTCGTTGATGAGACGAAGAGCATTAAGACCAGCAATTTGTGCTGCATCGATCATTGCTCGTCGCTGAATATCGGTGTACCATCCTGGGACGGCAATAACGAGATCAGAGACTGCGGTCTTAAGCTCGTTTGCGGTGATATCACGCAGCTTGCCAAAATACATTGCAACAAGCTGGGTAGCAGAAAAGATCTGCTTTTCGCCACGATATGTTACCTAGGATGGTGAAGATCAGGATAAAATCAATTCAAATTTTATCAGTAGCGAACCTCTACGCCGATTGTTCCTCCGACATCGACGAGGGTCGCATTGAGAAATTTCTTCTCTACTTCAATATCTGTATCCTGCAGTGTTCTACCAATGAGGCGCTTGAGGCTGCCTATGGTGTTCTTGAAATTTGAGGTCTCTTGAGTTTTTGCAGATTCACCGATAGAACGTTGTTTGGGGCCAAATGCCACGAGAGATCTAGAGATGGAACGGGAATTAAGAATGGAGGGATCTGATAAAGAAGAAACTGACGGTGTTGCACGGTTAGAAACCTCGTTTACAATGATATCGATACCTCGATTTCTAGCTACGCCGATCTTTGGATAAGGAGTTAGTACATTAAAGAGATCTAAGCGATGATAAAGAACAAACCTTGCTGTGGAGAGTACCGAAGTCGACACCGACGACAGACATTGCTGCAAAGTGAAAGTGATTCTAATGAAGAGAGTTAAGATCAATGATGTGAAGCCGCAGGCCTGACTGGATTTTTAAATACAAATTCAAGCGCGTTTGAATATACATATCTCTTTTAGGCAATTTCACCATTATTCTACAAAGTTCGATGCTTTTCTTAAATACATAAGGAGGCAGTATGTTAAGCACTTAGCTAGATATAATAATAATAATAATTAGGAGGACTTGAAGCCTTCAGCTGGATAAATCTTAATCGAGTTTGACTGGTTCTCATCAGATTTCTTTATCTTCTTGACTCCCATCTTCCAAGCCTCGTTGGTACAGCATGGTTTTTCACTATCAATTTTTAAATCCAACTGATCGATCTTAGGGATTAAAACCAAGGTAAAACCATCGATTTAAACAATTTCGGACCGCAAAAAAATGTCAGCCAGGCAAAATAAAAAGCGCAAAGGACGGAACAACAATAACCGCGAACGAACGGTCACCACGTTTACAGAGGACCCAAACACTTCTTTCCTTGTTCCACTACCAAGTGAAGAACCTGCTCTAATGTCTTCACCTTTCTCTGTTGCTTCTACATCTGCTACCAACAATCCCAACAACAACTTTCAGAATTTCGGAATGTCCTATAATTTTCATGCGCACGGACCCAATAGTCAGCCGCAGCAGGCCCAACAGCAACAGCAACAGCAACAACAACAACACCAGTTCTTCTCTCCACAAGTCATCCTACCTCCTGGCAAAAACGATCTTGAAGTACTAGAAAATTTAAAATCTATGATCAAGGAAGGTCAGCACGAATTCTATCGTGCAGTTCCTCAGCCCGCTGCTCTCGCTAGCCTCTATTTGGGCCCAACCTCTTCTCAGGTTCCGCCACATCCAGAACAGCATCCTGCCGATTATTACAACCAGTCTGGTTACGATAACTCTTCTGACGACCAAATTCCTCCTTACTCTTCAGATTCCACAAGGAGGCCTACGGATCCACCCGTAGTCAAGAAATCAGCAGCAGCAGCTAATGTGCTTATTTTTGGTCTCGCCCTAACCCTCACGCTTAACCACGTGTTCTTAGAATCCAGACCCTACTCCCCCACCCGGAGGACCCAAACCTGGAAAAAAGGTTGAAGTTTCACCCTTGAAATCCGAAAGAAAGATGTCAACCGGTCCAGATAATGCCGATGTTACTTCCCGAGATGGTCCTCTTTCAGGCGACCATCATGACATTTCAAAAAATGATACACCCCGTCCTCTTGGTGAACGTCCTGGTGAGTATACCACTCGTCCTCCCGTCGACTCTTCAGCACCAAAGTCCACCTACGATGGTAAAGACGATATTAGACGAGACCCCCTTCGTGATCCCCCACTGGACGACAGAAGGGTCCGATTTGATGCGGAACGCCGTCCTCTCGATAACCGCCCTAACGGTAATGACCCTCGACTTCCTCCAAGGGATCAAGCATCCCTTGATAAAGAAAGAGACAGAGAACGGGAAAGAGAACGTGAAAGAGAACGTGAATGGAGTCGTGATCGTGACAGAGACCGTCCTCAATACGGTGGTCGTTCCTATGGACGCAGTCATGCTCCTAGACCGCCCCCAGAACAACGCCATTATGAGCCCCGATATCCATTTGACAATATCCCTCCTCGCCGCTATGATTCAAAAGACGATTTGGATGTAGACAGACGCCCTTCCCTGCGCCCTGACGATCGCGGTTCACGTCCATCTCTCGACGATAGGCGACCGCCTGTTGATGACCGTGAATCTCGTAGTATGGTGGTTGATGACCGCGATCGTCCTAGTCGAGTCACCCCTGACGATCGTCCAACGAGAGTCGCTGGCTCAGTTCATAGTTCTGAAGATCGTACTGTTCGACCTCCGCTTTCACCCGATGACAGTCACCGCATGGCTGATGACAGGCCTGCTCGCCTTGCTCCTGCCGATGTGGCACGTGCGGTGGATGTTGATCGCCCTCGACCTCTTGAAGAGAGAATATCTCAACAATCAGTTCCTTCTCTCCAAGAACGTCTCAGCCAGCCTGGGGCTCCAAGAGTGGAAATCCGTGTCACCCACCAACCGAGTCTGGAGGAGCGCTTGTCAAATGCACCTATCGCTTCAGATCGGCCCCTTTCGGATGCTCGTACTAGCCCTGTAGAACCATCACGTGTACTGCCCTTGAGTGATCGTCCTGCTGCTCCTGCTGACGTCCGTCCGCGTCCACCTGTCAACGATAACTTTGCACGCCCAGCAACTCCTCCCCCTCGCTCCAGTGGGTATGTGGCACCACCTCGGGCGGCATCTGTCGCTCGGGATGACCTCCGTGGACCCAAAGATTCACCAGTTGTTCGTGATGCGCGCGATCTCCGTGCAAGGGATCTCTCACGGGAGAGATCAGATGTAAGACCACCTTACCGCTCGGACCTTGACAGAGGGTTCAGTGATGACAGGCGTCCTGATGCTATGGATAATCGCCGCTACAATTCACCGCCTCCTTCGGACGTTCGAGGCAGAAGTTACTATCCTCCACGGTCACCACCTCGGGCGGACGTACCATTCGAAGCTGATTCTGACCGAAGGTTTGCGACTGCTGATCAGCGAGATTCATTCGATAGGCGGCGTGACTGGTATGGAGCTGCCGACGATGACAAGTCTCGTCCGCCCGTATGGAGACCCTATGATAGAGAACCCCAGAGAGAACGGTATGACCGCGACGCACCACCTCCCAGGAGTTCTGGGTGGGAAGGACGTGAACCAGAACGGAGAGCACCGTTTTCCAGTTCCCCAGTCCGCCCTATTGATTCTTCTCGTCCACTGAGCTCGCGCCTGGGAGATGGATACTTGCCCCCCGTAGACGACCGTTCGTATCCACCGCGAGACTTCGAGCGTGCTCGCTACACAGGTCCAGATAACGACCCCCCCTTTGTCCGTGGCGTCCGTCCGCGCAGCCCGAGTCCGCCAAGAAGAGGCGGCGCGAACAGTTCCTTGGACGATATCCGACCGCCTCTCAAACGTGCACGCGAGGACCCACCGTACAGCGGTGGTGGTGGGTACTACTCACCTCGCAGACCGTCGATGTCAATGAGTGATTACCCACCTCGTTCTGCTGCGTCTCCGCCACCAGGGAGCGGGACGAGCGGTGGGTTCTATGAGTCGCGTGGAGGGCCGCCGCCGTTTAGTGGTGCTTCTGCTGGGGTTGAGAGGGATTATCCGCCGAGAGAGAGGTCTGGGGATGGTGGTCCGTCATATGGGGGTGCGTACGATAGGGATACGAGGCCGCCGAGGTCGCCCCCTCCGAGGATTTATGGACGGCCTTCGTATAGACCGGATCCTAGGGATGATCGCAGGTATTTGCCGCCGCCTCCTCGATCTAGTTGAGGTGTGTGTTTGTGGGTTGGTTGACCTGTGGGTCGCTGATGTTGTGTAGGAATACATGTATGAAGATTTATGTCGTGAATGCGTTTCTTGGTTTCTTAATCTTTTTCTTGTGCTTTCTATTTTTTCTATCATTTCTGTGAGTTGTCATCGCTGTTCGACTGTGCATGGTCATAGTATATCGTACGCAGGTCATATATTCCAGAATCCTATTTTATTCAGAGTTCAACGTTCAGTGCTGCTTTTCATTGTTTCATACGTACTTTCAAATTTGTGAATGGATATTCGACGTTACGTATTTCAGTTAAATTTTGCGATTTACGATTGGCTGCAGCTAACGTTGAGCCCAAGTTACGCGCAAAACTTTGGTCCTAAACGGCACCGATCTCGTGCCAATGATGTGATTCACCCATCCTCTCAAAGTCCAGCACATCCATATATCTGTAGTACCTTGTCCATGTCCCTTCCATCTCATATTATTTACTCTCTGTATCGATATGCCTAGAGGAAATAACAATCGTGGCCGTGGATCTCTTCGAGGCCCAGGTCGTGGCCGTGGCCGTGGTCGCGGACGTGGACGTGGGCAAGGCCATAACGATGATATACCTCGAGGAAACTACCCTCATAGCGAGATGGACGTCGTGGCTCAGTTATGGCAGGAGCCATTATCGAGTAGTGCGTAGGAAACACAAGTATTTCGTCTTATCTTAACATCTATGCAGACTCGTGGAGAGGTGGAATTCCATTTCGCAGTCGAAGGGGACGTCCCGGGCTTGGATCGAGATCTGGATCAGGTACGCCTCAGCGAGGAGGAAATACCCCTCGTCGTGGGATGGGTACCAGAGGCAGAGGACGAGGAGCATCTGACGCTCCCAGAGCACAACCAGGCTTCAGCCACAGTAACAGAAACGCAGGCGCACCTCGTTCTAAACCCCTCTGGCTCAAACCTATTACATTCGTGCCATCTGTGCTTACCAGGACATTATTTCATGAGGAAGAAGATATTCTGCAGCCTGTGGCTGAGAGTGCTGGTATGCATCTGTCTTTTTCTGGTCATTGTCGATTGTCCTGAATGTTGGGTGCGGGATGGTTAGGTCCGAGTGAAGAAAGCCATGTTCCTACTGCAGATCGCGTTACCCGCGTATTCAGTGGAAAAAAATTCCCCCCTCTGCCTCAATCGTCGTCATCTTCAGAAGACGGCGTTTCTGATCACGAGGAAGATCTGGAGGAGATCGACTTTGCTGATATGGGAAAACTGTTTCCTCAGCTTCAACCTGCTCGTGCTTCAACTAGTACCCGAGCTTCACAAGTCGCTTCTTCTTCACATGAGGAGGTATTCACTGGGGTGTATAACAAGAGACATCACTCTGTCGCAACTCCTTTATCCCACCCAGCTCTAGAGGGCGCCGATGTATCACCCGACAAACCTAACCCCGTATCCATTGATGCGGTAGTCAGTGAATCAAACACGATTACTGTACATAGCATCACTACGCTAGAACACTCAACAGCTGCCCTAGCGATAACCAAAGATGACGAAATAGTCATCAATAAACCAGACACCATCCCATCTCCCATGGCACCAATATCAAACGAAATCACTGTTTCCCCTACACGTCTTCCTGAAGACGATGCCCCCACATTCTTTGTGGATACAGAACCTACAGAGCCATTTACTCGTCCCTCCGCTAGTGATGTCGTGCTTTTTGATCGCATCGCCTGGGGTGGTGCTCCTCTTGGAGAAGAAGACGAGCTTATCGTATACGTTGCGCCCAACCCACGATCAAGGCAAATTTTGCCCATTTCCAATATTCCTCGAGTACGGTTACCCATGAGGTCTGTACTGACAGGTATCACCAATCCCATCCAAACCCACCCAGGGCCCGTGGCACACGAAGACACAAACGCTGATAAGGACATCCCAGTTCAGAGCGAAGCTCCGCAGTTCTCTTCTGTTTCGTTCGATTTCGCGACTCCCAACATAAAGAAACAGTCTCATCAGAGACCTGTTTTCACTCCGGGCGATCGCTCAAAAGCGAGGATACAAGCTAGGAAACAAGAAGCCCGAGTAGCTCGCAAGCGTGCGCAACGTCAGGCAATGTTTGGCTCTTTTGGCGCTATGCTTTCTGAAGCTAGATTGAGAGATGCTGATGAACGAGAGCGTAAAAGTGCCCGATGGGAGTCTCGGCGGAAGGACGACTCTGATGTTGATTTTGGTGATGAGGACGAAGATGGGGTCCCAGCAAACGATGGTGTTGATGAAGTGTCTAATGGACTAGGAGGGATGGATTTAGATCCGGACCTTGAACCAGATTTGGAGGCTATGAAAGGCTTCGTTCAGAGCATGAGCGCGGAAGGATCGCGGCATCACACGATGGATGAAATTCAGGATGAAGAGCAGACACGGATTGAGGACGAGCAAGAAGAAGAAGAAAACGGAAGTGATTCCCATGGGAGCTATAGCGACACAAGCGATGAAGAAGACGAGGAAGAAAACGCGGTGTTTGAAGTTGAGGAAGAAATACTTGTTGCAGAATCAGAGGGTGGAAGGCCTCGTGAACCTTCACACTCAGATGATTCTGACGAAGGGGAAGATTCTTCCAATGATGAGCTCAGTCCAAGAGCTAATTTTCAGGCTAGACTCCGTCGAGTTCGCGAGAAATCACGCTCAACGAAGCCAGCGACGGCTGGGGCCGATTCAGCAGAGGAGTCCTCTGATGCTCCTTTCCCGTCGTGGAATCGAGCTGATTCTGACGATGATTACATTGCACTGATAGAGGTATCTCGATTTCCCTCCTTGCACTCCATGAAGGTTGACTTTTTTACCTACAGGACACGCTTGAAATGCATAGCGGTATAGCTGGCGGTAAAGACCGCAAACTACGCAATAAATTATTCCGTGCAATACAGAATGGTCAATTCGACCACATCGACGACTACGAAGAATTTGACGGATCCTTCAGCTATCAGCCAGCGAGTTGGTGCTCTTACCATGTCGTATTGATCAGTTATCTAATCTGTTTTCAGAGCGCAAGAAAGACAAGATGAAGGAAATGCCCGCCGAGCTTCAAGAGATGTGGGAGAAAGATCGAGCCAAAAAAGCTGAACATAAACGAGCTCGCATGGAGGCCCGCCTTCTCGATGCCATCGATCCCATATCTCCGAAGAAAGGTGGTAAGAAGGGGCGCAAGGCGATGTGGGCAGCCGCACGGCTGGATCCGAGGGAGCTCGCCCAAATTCAAAATGCCATTGTGGACATGGTGTCACTGGAGGAGCAGATTCGCCGCTTCATTAGTGATACTAGCGGAAAGAACAACATGGTACTTCCTCCAATGAACAAAGCGTCGAGAAAGGAAGTTCACAAGCTTGCGAGCTCGTTTAACCTCAAGAGTCACAGCAAAGGCTGGGGATCCGGGAGGTATACTACTCTCATCAAGTCCGCGAAGATGCGTGCCATTGATGAGCGCAAAGTCAAGAGTGTCATGAAGAAACACGGAGGCCGGTTTGAGACAATGCCTCGACACAAAGAGGGAGATGAAGTTGGCAAGGTATGTGATTCCTTCCATTTGAAATAAATGCGGCTTACATTCTCGTTCGCAGGCTGCTCCAAAGATTGGACAAACGAACGTCGGATTCAGGATGCTTGCCTCTATGGGATGGGCAGAAGGAGATAGGATCGGTGGCGAAGCGTCTAGTGGGATTGATGCGCCCTTGACAGCTATTATCAAGAATACGAAGCTAGGTCTAGGCGCTACTCGATAGTCACCTTCAGAGCGAACTTTAATCTTTTCCTGACCATATCTTGACCTGAGACTTGATGAAGCACAAGAGGTTCATCGATGCCGGAAATGTGAATACTTCTCGCCTTCACACGTCACGAAGGTTCGTGTCGTGACTCCAGCACACGCATTTCTGCACGCAATAAGAGGCGGCTTCTATATAAAACGTATGGCCTATCGGACAAAGATTGAACCCCAAGTACTTTTGTTGTCCTGGTTTCATCATGATATTGTTTCCGGAACTCTATCAGAATTTTGACAGACATGCATTACTACCACGCATGTCGTTCGTTCAGTCTTCGACTATCTGATAGTTAGCGTTAAGTCTCTTGAGCCATGGCGGACATGAACTCACACCTCTTGTCAACACTCAGTACACATCACCCAGCAGCGCAGGATCTTTCCGGACGTTCATGTTATACCGTTATAAATATATATAATTTTTCTTCTGCCAAATATAGTTGTGTATACGCAGATCCAGACTACAACTTGTTACTTGAATGAAGGGTCCTCGGTCAGTGACGACAACGTCAGCACAAGCTTCTCCCTGGCGCTCGGCGGCGTTGCGTCCGGACCTAGAATCTACGGTGAGCAACAGACGGATCTGCACATGCTTTCTTAGCTCAGGGAGCGAAACAATTTTTGTAGTAAAAAAATCTAGGGTACTTCCCTAGGCATGACTTCCAAAAAACATTTTCCAGATTATACAATGAAATATTCTATACGAAAAACTAAACCATAGGTCAACGGAATATCATTAATATTGAGGATGTTTTATTCCACTGCAGAACGAGATAGATATGGAAGGAATCGACAAAAAGGCACTGTCAGACGTTCATCACGATGGCAGCTCCTTCCCAATCCACGGATGAGTGCCCTAAGTTTGCGAGCCCATGGGGCTTATGACAAAAAGACATTCACATTCATACTCACCTTCAACTTGGCGAAACATATACCCGTCCCTCGTAACGACATCAGTTAGTAGTTCCATCGGCCCTCGGAGCGGTATAGAAGGATCAGGTTGTAAGACCTGTGACGGACGTGCAACAGTCTTTGCAATCCTGGGGTATGGTTGCCACATCCCTATTCAGTCGCGAGTGTATGGATTGCCAGCGCCGTCGTAGTGTAATTCAGTCACGAGTAACTTCGATCAAGTGTAGTATCAAAGAGAAAGGACGCAAATTAACGAATGCTCGCCTTGTACTCTTTGAAAGCGTCTCTTTCTGTCAGGAGTGTGATGGCTGTCGGCCAACATTGTTCTGGACTTCATGCCAACCTATTGCAATGGGGCAAAGGGCCCTGACATGGTTGTTGTTCTACAAATAGAGAAGGTAGGGTTAGTGAATGTCAATTTCTGGACGCCAATTGTCTGTCGTATGTTGATGAGGCATTGGAGTCCCTTGACGAGCGCTGGTAAAAATTTATTGAGGGGACTTTTGAATTGGACCGCAGTTGTCTATAGTACGTTGGTGTTGAGACATATGCATAAGGACTCAGGAGGCACCGCTGTCCCCTGTCGAACGCTAGCACTTGGCAGGCCCAGAGATTCGGTTCGTCATAAGGTGTTCAAACCAGTGCTGCCCGTAGAAACAAAGTGAGTATGCAAAAGCGTGAATGTTGAACATTGAAGGTTGAATTTAAATGGTGAAGAAGCCATCGCGGAACAGCTGATTCTCGTGAGGTTTTTTGTAGGCCTTTGGAGGTTCCTCGAGCTCTTGCTTTACTTGGTGCCGAGAAAACTCCGTTTGCGGCATGGCGGAACTTTAAAATGATCCTTGTTGTTTGTTACTTTAGCTAAAATTGCAAAGGTCGAATTGGGCCAAATTGTCTCCACTTGTACAACACAATCATTTTAAAAAAAAATAAAAGATATAAAACTACTTTTAGGACTACTATCACTCCTGGGGTTCTGCAACATTTTCAATAAATCTTTTGTAACTCCTCAACCGCATCATATTATCTTCTACTGATTTGCACCATTATATATTCGTAGCTACTCTATATGAATATGATTTTAAGGATTTTAAGGATTTTTTGGTGGAGTGTTGGATGAAGGCCGAGAAAATTCAGGGTCTGACTGGTATTCTGCAAAACATGGTCACGTCGTGTCACACGTCGGCACAGCAGCGGCACCGTCAACTTTCACTCTCCGAAGACCCTGAAGCTCGTCGTTGCGCATCGCTTTGAAAATGAATATTATTGAGGATCATGGTCTATATACTAATAATTGTGATTATAATGGTACGGTTGATAGAGTCCTGACTCATACAGCTGATGGCCTGCATCACCAGAGCCCCCAATGTCATACATCTGCACTCCACCAACTCGAAAATCCTGAGACATACTAGCGAGAGGTCTACCAACCGGTGCGAAGGGAGGGTGAAGAACAGGTGGAGACCGAGGTACAGAATGGTGCATTGAATAATATGGAGGTGCATAGCCGGGTGGGGGCAGATCCATGGCTGACATTGAGGAATGAGTGACAGGCACTGGCAGCCGCGGTTGATACCTGGATGGTTGTTGAATCGAATTTGGGGGAATCATATCTTGCGGGAATTCAGGCGCCACACTATTGTCATTTTCGAGACGGTGCCTGCGAGAACAGGGGGGATTAAATAAACCATCATAGCATTGATTTTTCTCGAGTTCCGGGTGGTCGTTGAAGTGCTGCAAATTTCGCTGTAACAATTCACCGGCGGTTTGGAGGCATTACGAGGATACGAGAACGAGACAATGCAATGTGAATGCGACTGACTGGACAGTGCCGTGTATCAAGCCGAGTGTGCCGTAGAGGAGATTGAATTTCTTACACACGCTCCTATCTGTTGTCACGCTTTCATACATGTCCACAATCCTCCGTCTATAGCATCTTAAAACAAGAGAATGGCCTCTATCGAAATTGTGTTCTGACACCCTGACAAGGTGTTTGATATACCCCGGGTGTAATTTTTTGAATATCTCTCTAGGATCTATGGGATCTGGATCATTTATGATTATACAAGGTTGCAAATTACCACTATTCCGTCTCTCGCAGCTGCAACACTCGAGAAATTTTTATTCTACTTGGACAGTACATCATCTCTAAGTAGCCTACATGCATCTAAATTTTTTCGAGGTGATTCAAGCAGTGCATTGAGGTGTTTTGAACAATTTGCATATTACATCCAGTTGCAGATTCCCAGGAATGATAGTATCTGATCATGATCATGATTTGCATGTGCTAGCTCAAAAGTACGGGTACATCTGGTAACTACTGAAATCGTAGCGGCGGTGACCCGCCAGTCCCCGAATCCGCCACTGCGGAGTCGTAACATCTGGCGCGTATGTATCAGATGCAGCTATTATGGCTATCCGGTCTTGTTGCTTGAAACTACGAGTGTCCTGACCACGGACGTCGATTATGATATTCGGCGATGGCTTTTGACGAGCGTTACAGTGATGAGGTCTTCGCCTCATGAATTCAAGAAAAGGAAATAAGTTCACGCGCACATTTGCATACAGGTGCCTGGCCGTTTGGAGCTGACAGAACCCTCCCTACTTCGTAGAGTCGGGGACGCTTGATTACGAACGTTTACAACTTCAGGTGAAAATGCCTTTCAGCCAAGGTGTAGTAATAATATCTACAACGAAATTGTATGTCTCTAAGTAGTTTTGCAACCAGATTTTGTGTGATTGTAAGAGGTCGACTTTGTGATAAAAACTTGAAGGTGCGCCGACCCTAGCTATATATTTAGTTCCAAAAAAGCTCCTGATCCGAAAGGCTCGTTTCTGGATTTTGGATTTTCAGGCGGCGGCGGCGGCGTCCTCTGACAATTACAGAACCCGAGGTGTTGGCATTCTAGTGGTGTTTAACCTTCTTGCCGCCAGTCACAAAAAGTGTTATTCAATTCGCCGAACGGATATGACATTAGTTCCTGCCAAGACATGGATACGTACTTGCCAGGGTGAGTCACGAGTTGTTGGCTTGTTGGCTTGATACTGTGATGCACTGGGGTGAGTCTGAAAAATGCACCATGGCAGAATCTAACTGATTCTGATTCACCAAAGCTACGAGAAGTTTTAAATTTATGTTTCAGCGCCTGAAGCAACCCTTGATGAGTTAGTCCATTTTCTCAATTCCATGTCAAAATTTTCATGTCATCTTGCACTTCACAGTCTCGTCCTTGAAAAGGGTTTCTATCTACCGGCGTCGCAGTCCCTGGTTGATGCATTCTTTCTTCTAGATGAAAACTCTATTCCGAGACTATATACAACTACTACTTCTTCTCCAAGGCTAAAACCACCCTCAGGCTGCTGGTGCCAGATATTAAGATAGACCTCCCTGACATTCTCTCATCTTCCCAAATTTTGGGTCATGTCCTCCTATACCCCACACACAGATTTGCCGCTTGAACGGTCTCGTCTTATTGGAATGATTTTGGGGGGTGTATCCTACGGTGCGTTTTTCTGCCCACCACGATGATTTGGTAGTTGACCTCTGTACTGTAATAGGCGTATACCTTCTCCTTACTGTACAAGCGGTGACTGCCCTCATGCAACGTTCCCAACATGGGCAAAAAATTGCAGATAATCGGCGTATGCTTCTTTGTTACACCCTCATCACGTTCACACTTTCGACGATATGCTTTGCTTGCACTTTGAAATATACGGAGATAATTTGGATAGACCTTCGCGATGCACCTGGCGGCCCCATTGCGCTGATCAAGAACGCGATGCACTACCGTATCAACTTTGTGGCAATGCTCTGGTAGGCATCTTTGCCTGTCCATCTACACAGAATGTTTACGGTCGTATCTAGTGGTTACACCACGGAGTGGTTTATGCAAGCACTACTTGTGAGCCGAATAATTTGCCGTATGTGCAGGCCTGACTCCCGAAATACTCAGCTTTACCGATGTTTTGTGATATGGAATGGGGTGAGACACGTGATGATCCCAATGTTCGTCGTCTATATTGGCATGATTGGTACATTTAGATCATTTACAAAACAGTCGTGGTCACTGACATCTTGAGCAGCAGTAGCCGTGACCGTCTTGGTCCGGGCGGGTGCCGGGGCTTCATTTTACAGTATCGACGCTGCACTTGCATATCATGCCTTCCTAGGGGCGAATACCGTGCTTTATTCCATTCTCGTGGTAAAACGTCTGGTCTCCATGCGAAACGAGATGAAGGCAGCGTTGGCTGAATATGATTCTAGCACCTATGATAGCGTCATCCTCATGGTCATCGAGTCCGCCATGGTATACAGTGTCTTCGCCATCGTCTACATAGTCGCATTTTCCATGGAATCAAACTCTCTCTCTACAATATGCTTCCTGTCTATTTATCAAGTTCAAGTAAGCAGGCAGAAACCTGAGCAATCCGTGTCTCTGATATTGGCTTTGTTTCAAATAGGGCATTACACAATTATTTATTATCATACGTGTGGCACGGGGAAGGGCAGTTACACATGAGTGGTCGACTCCACATGCTCCAGCAGCACCTACGATTCTAGCATTCGCAGGGGATTCATCTATCCCAGAAGAAGGAACCAACGTGGCGCAAGCAACCAGGCCAGGGCAGGCCAGTGTCAGCGGGTCGAGTTCTGTTTAGGCGAAGTCGGCGGAAGCACATGTATAGCGTGCCGCACTCTATTTATTTATCAAGTTTATCTTCTGCGTCACACCTCTTTGTAACTTTATAGACATTCGGTCGCTGGCTCATGTATCACCCTCGTAGCAGGATAGTACGTCGGGAGTATTGCTTTGTGCAGGCTGTTGTAGGCAATAAGGTTATAGGCTTGCAAGACGGGAGTTGGAACTTTTACACGACTCTACGGCCCGTTGCGGGAACGAGTGGCTCGCTGACCTGGGCCACCTGTGCGTGTCATCCTGATGAGTTTGGCTAAAGGAAAATGGTGAATTGAGATGGATTTTCCAAATTCTGAAGGATCACGGTCTCGAGCAAGATGTTTTCGTAGCGGTTTAGGTATTCGTTGGTGATATCGACGATGCAGTCACCCTCGCAGACAGTTATAGCGACCGGCGCCAGGAGTAAGGAGATCACTGGAGAAATAAGCTGCATGTTTTAAACAAAAGAGTTTGGTGGGCTCGCTCGGCGAGATGAGTGGTTGGTCGATGAATCGATAATGGTTCCTTGTAAATCACTAGTATGCTTTATATTCTAAGTAAATTCAAGTAACAAAAACGTACATAGAATAAGGTCTCTCTATGCGCAGCTGACGTTCATCGTGTTAGCGAATGAGAAATCAGATAGTTATCAACAATGATATCTGATGCGAACAAATAGCAATGAACTTGCGAGGCTATTTGGGCTCAAACCCGAGGTGTTTTGCCACCTAAAACATAGTTTAGAACCTGTGGAGGAGGTCCAGGAAATAGAGGACTTGCCAGTACAACTCGTGGTATTGGTACGAGAAGGGTGACAAATAGACGCGATCTCTGAATGAAAATATGGTCATACGAAGGGGTCAGTGCGCCGCAGGCTCGCGGGAGAGTTGCGAAGGGGTTGCCCTGTCGGATTCCGGAGATCTCGTGAAGGGGTGCGAAGGGGTAATTCGAGAGTCAATGGCCTGAAGGTATGTACTCTGCCTCCCTATCTTATCATCCTGGCGTGTAACTTATACACATTGGCCCTTTGTGCAGTAGATTATATATTTCGACAGCTCGCTTCTCAACCTCTCGCAATACCTACCCGAGCATCTTCATCCACAGATCGTGGCTGTCTCTTCTTCGCGCAGCCGTCCTTCACCCCCCGAAGGGTCAGGCTCCCTCAAGCGTCCTCTGAGCCCGGTCCCGGATGAGATGGACACGAAGCGATCTCGGGTGGATGGTAGCAAGCATAGCGCGTCATCTCCATCAGGTTCACGACACACTCCCATACCTTCGTCGCGACCATCGCCTATGCCCTTCTGCACCCAGCCCTCGCATTCTCCTGATTCACGTCATACTGAATCTCACTACCCAACCAGTCCACCGCAGCTAGCTGTAGTGCCTCCGCCTCATCCCCGCCCCATTGGACCTGGCCATGCTCTGAACATTATCGGTAGGTAGGTACTCTAGCGCAGCGCACTACGACTGACATACTATCTAGGTTTGTTCTCCATCTCTCGCACCACAACCTCCGGTCGTGAAGTACGAGCATTCATTGGAGAGTCTCAGGCCTTCAAGACGGTCAAATTTAATGTCTGTTTGAATTATACATGAGTTTATTGACGGCAGACCCCGCTTCCTGTGCCTCTCTGATGCCGACTCTGTCATTATGTGATTGGTTACCTGCCGTTCATTGTTGCACAGTCATTACGGATACTACTGTCCCACAGAGAGTCACGTACGTGTTCCCGTCAATTTAACTCTTAGTACTCATGATTCCGGCGCCATCATTCTCAGACTCGTCGCTGGCATACAAGTTCACAGCAAGGAAGAGCTCCAACAGAACTTGCTCGACGTTCTCGACTCCTTGCGAAACCTTGGACCGAACACAAGACAACGATCCAAAATTGCAAAAAAAACTTACCATTAGGATATCATCGGGGAGTATCGCGCTACAGAGTGCTACAAAGCACTTCGTAGCAAATTATATTTCCCTGATTGTTGGCATGGCACATTGAATTACCCAGTCTGCTCAGTGCATGTATGCTTTTGCGCAGACGTCCATTTACTTCTGCCTGTGTATAAAAGCGATACGATAATTAGCTTTCAATTTGATAAAAAAGAACATCCAAACCTCAATGAAGTTCCTCTCACTCGCTGCTATGATCGTGCCCGCCGCAGTATTCATCACTACAGCGGCAATAGAGTCAATAAAGTTTGCTGCACAAGTCCTTAGTATCGGCGAAGGTTTGATAAAACAACAGGCCCCTTAGCATTAGCCCAGATCCGGTTTGGTGATTTGCACACTCCGCTAAGTAGTCAATCACGAATTATGTCCTCTAATTGTTCGTATCACAACACTCGAACACAGACGCTAGTAGCACGTTTGCACTAAAACGAAGGCGCTATAAGACTACGTGCGACACGATTCGCTGTTGCGACGTGCCGCTTGGGTTGCCGACTCAATTTTCGCCCGACCACTACGGCTGGCAGACCAAATTTCCAGCCTAAGGTGCGCAGGTGAGTCATGTGGTTGATCCTGATAAGTTACATAACAACATACCCCGTCAGATGCACAAACGCGGTTCATACAGCAATCTTCGCTATGTATGCAGTCTTCCCCCAATTTGCCAGATGCACTGACAGACATCATAGATGCTGTCAAAGCAACAACAGCAGCGAGGAAGTAGTAGAAATGCATTTTGTGTGATATGGGATCTTTCAAGGGTGATCTCGAATGTTATCTGAAGATGGAGGAACACTGTAGGAACACCTTTTATATCCTACATATACTTATGGACACGATTCTAATCGATTTGGCAGATTTGTTATGGCTGGTGAATGGCAGAATTTTTGGCAGGACCTATGGGAGCGCTCGCTCGCTAGAATCCCCGCCGGTCTCTCATCCTGATCTCTCATCCATCGCCTCATCATTTGAACCTGCCGCAGTGACACTGCTAGCTGGGCTATCTTGTGCTGTCTATTGGGGTTAGCCATTCGAAATTTTCATCCACATGCTGAGCTACTCGAGACTGGACTCTGTCGAGTCCGCGGGCGATCACGCTAGACAAAGCCAGCAACCGTGAGAAGAGCTATTCAGAGAGTCTTCTAATAATTTTCTCCTGTCATGAAGTCGAGTTAGGACCGACGATGGTTGCGCTACACAAGAATAGATGTCTTATTTCATTCCGTCCTTGAGTTCTTAGGGATTATAGGTAGTGCAGTCGAAAAGTATCAACGAGATAAAAAAGAGTCAGAACACTATGCCGAAAATCGCGGTCTTTATGCTGCAATAACCAGGGCTCTCATCAGGAACAGAAGGCACCAGCAGAGAAACAACATTGCGCGAACCCAAGTATTTAGATCCTTTGTGTTTTGCCTTTTCACTAAGTCGGCGATTAACGCACAATGCCTGCGCAGAAATCAAGGATTAACACATTCAAATAATACATACTTGCTTGCCTCATTGTGCAGCGACTTTGACAGCACGAGGACTGCGATTGAACGAGGTAGTTTGTCTTGACCTAATTCTGACTAAGCTGAAAACAAGCGAACCTCGTATTGAAAAGGAAGGAGATCTGCAGAGGCTCAGTGTCGTTCAGGGTACTCTGATGTGGTACCAATTTTGAGCGGACAGGCGAGTAGGGAGTCTTGTTTTGTTTTGAGGAGCATTCACGCATAGTAACTGAGTCCGGCGCTGGAGCACGTGGATGGAATATACAGTACGTAGCGTCATTTCTTAACGTACAAGTTAGGATGTGAGATGTCAACCGACGTAATCGATAAGATAGCAAAAGACATTCTACAACAAGACAAAAAACAAAGTAACAGGAATACAGGAAAACTATTGCACATGTGCTACTCACTATGAATTTGGACCATCAACGGAAGAGTGAGACGCACAAAAGAGGAACAGGATGAAACGATTCCACCATGTAGACTTTTTGATGCGTTTCTCCTTATCGCTAGCTTGTTCTGGTGGTAGGGCAACGTGCGACACCTGTGCATAAGTATTCAGACACCATCTATTGTCAACTCCCCATAAAAACATACTTGGTTGTCTTGTTGCGCAGCAACTCCGACAAGACGAGTAGGAAAAGAGGAAGTACTGGGCCCTGAGTGTTGTTGGAGTTCGATTGATTCATCAGGGTCGAGCTGTGCCAGTGGAGGGTGGAAAATTTGAAGAAGGCGGACTTGGAGCGTACGTGGACGCGACTCCCAGAAGGGTGCGGAAGCATGGCGGCGACGATGTACCAACGGATGAGAAATGGTATTGTTGCTCGTGGGGAACTGGACTGTAAGTTAGTACATGAATCGGTAAATTATGATAGTGGTGACATACACGATCGCAATCTTGCAAGTCATCAAGCAAACCTGGTAGTGGAAGGGAGGCTGGACGTTGCCCAGCATTAGCCTGAAATAACGGTGTCACAATCAATGTTAAGGTCGAGAACAACAGGACATACTATTGCATCTGACTTCTGCGAACGGGACATTAGTATGCCATATTTTTGAAAAGCTTTGAGATAATGATACATACCTTCTTATTGAGTCCAGATTGTTGTGCCTATGAGCCAACGTAAATGAGATGGGGAGTAGGAGTTAAGTTAGACTCACAGGTATGGACAGGAGGTTTTGTAGGCCAGAGGCTGTGAGGATGGCGTGAATGTCCCACACGTATGCGTTTTCATCAGCGCAAGCTGTGGATAGCATCTTTCCGTCCGCAGAAAAGGCTGCAAACTCGACATCCTTTGCGTGCTTGAGGGGTAGACCGATGGAGAGGTTATTGTCCAAATTCCAGAGACGTGCCGTTTTGTCCCATGATGTACTTGCGAGGAGGCGGTCATTGCGAAATAAAGCGATGGCCTCAACAACCTGTTTGTGACCGTCCAGAACGGCGATCTCCTGCCATGTGGCAGTGTCGAATATCCTAAGCGAGCCATTCCCTGAGCCGGATATAAGCTTATTTTCATTCGACGTCCATGCCAAGCTCCAAACCGCATATTCGTGTTTGACTGTTGAGAGCAGCTTGCCGGTTTTTGCATCCCAGATTTTGATTCCATCTTCTTTGTACCCTCCTGTTGCAATCATCGTCGCTTTGGGTGAGTAGCTCACCACGTATACCGACTCGTGTCCCGTCTGGATTACCTGGACTATCAATGGTTTGCCACTCTCGACATTCCACACTCTTGCTGTCCCGTCCGCGGATCCAATAACAATCTGCGCATCGTCTGGACTCCAGCATACCGAGTTGACATCTTCACTAGGCTCTTTCCATTTCGTGATGACCTTCCTTGTCTCAATGTCCCACAACCTCACTGTCCCATCAAGATAGCTGGTGGCAACTAGTTCTGCCGTTTGGAGACAACGCCATGCTCCATGCTCCTACTTCATCCCCCTCATCTCTCCAGTCTTTGCCTATCTGAGTACAGTTCTCTATGTCCCATAGTCGAAGTGAGCCGTCTCTCGAACATGTGATGATGTGTTGTCCATTGGGCAGATGCGCAACGCCTCGAACCCGCTTGGTATGGCCTCGCATGATCTTTTGGATTTTTATTGTGGACACCCTTTTGATTCTAGCAGCCGTGGAAGACATGGCCAGGGCTAAAGACAACGTGGATTATATGTGCGACAAGTGACAGCTCGTTGGACCTGGTTCTCTAGCAGCAAGATTGTTGGTGAGTCGAAAAGCCTACATGATTTCTTCTGAATGAGTGTCAATCGACGTGCATGAGGCATTCCTCACGAGAGGGTCGGAGATTTCAGGACGTTGTACGCAGTTGATTCTCGAAAGTTTGCAAGTCTCCACGAAGATACTTGAAATCATTCAGTACGCACTCCTCCACCCATAATTTGACTCACAACAAGCTCCACTCATAAAACTAGACGCAAATCCAATCCACGCAAGAGATTGGGAGGGAGGGCTGGTAGTCAAGACAGCGAACTTGCGGTGGACGTTTAATTTTGGGTTGGGAGGGTTGCACAATCATTTCTTAAAGTCTTTTACTAAGGTGCTCATTCCGCGTTATCCTCGTGTCCTTTACAAACGAATCTCCCTGTGCCACGACATAGCCACGTGCGTCCCCTTGCTCCTGTCCTTCCCTTGGATCCTTGATGATCCGATTCATATTCTGCATACGCGGTTTCTTCCAGCCATCTGATGAGTAATCAAACTTCCGGGAAAGCAATATGTAATTTCTGCCTGCCCCATGCTCATCCTCGCAGAGCATCCATAAACTCTTTCCTTTTCACACTTCACCACTTCCTTTGGACCTGATTATTTCTGGTTACTCGAGCCCGACAAGTTGTATAAAACCCATGTTTTTTGGGATATCACATAGTATGTTTTGATATTGGGTTTCATAATATGGACTATGATTATTTTTCAGTGCGAGGTTGACACGTTTTGTTTCTCCTCAGCTGTTTGCTTGAATACGATAGGATTCTACCGCTTGCTCTACTCAGTGAGACCGCTGATTGAGGCAGAAGTTTCACAGAATAAGGCATACGTACCGGAATGTGAAGACCGGCATTATGGCCTGCTACGACAAGGCCCTTCGGCGGAATCCTTGCTGATTTACAACACTCGAACAATAGCTGATCGGCACTGGTAGTATGATACTTGAAGTTGTTGATACCTTTGTAGAAGATGGATTTCCGCCACACAACTGCCTCTGTAGTTATGCGTAACTGAACGGAGCAGGGAGAAAGAGAAGCAGAGGCTGTGATACTTTCAACTCCGTCGATACATCATGAGTAGTACGTCGAACCTCGGACTTCATTCGGACGCATATGGAAAAACCAAGCATTCTGCAACCCTCAGGATCAAGCAGCAGTAGAATGTGCGCTGGAGTAGTCCAACTCGGAAATCGACTACTATCTACTAAGCGTTGTGCCATGTAGTCAATTAGTTCGTGTATGTAGGTTTTCAAAAGCTAGTGAGGCGCACATATGTCAGACTTGGAGTTTAAAACCCTGATCAGACGCTTCTAGACCTTCCTGGCCATCAGAAAAAGCTTCACCTTCGGTTGGGTGTATTTCCTAATTGCGGATTCAAAATTTGATCTGCGCAATCAGATGTTGCTCAGCGACCGGAATGGATACACTGGCGGCATGTCATTGTACATTCGTCTGCTATATATCTACTCGACCGGTACCGTGGATAGCTATCTCGATGTTCATCTATATAATTACTTCTTTAGGTGCATGTCATTCACTCCCCCACCAGCTGGCATAATATCCTGTATATCGGCGTGTCTACAATAAGTCTACCTGAAATATTGATATCAATAATTATATGCGCCAGACATCTAGTACTTTCTAAGCCATATCATTTCGTTAGACACTGTACATTGATGTATATCAACTAGTCATAGAGAACGCCATCAGAGGACCATTTCATAACTAAGGTGCCACAAAGCAAGGTGAAACACTCGATTCAGGGTCATATGGCGCATTCAAGTCCAGCAAGAGGTAATTTGAACGGTACATTGCGTTTCACCGAGACTGGTATAGTATTGTTACATAGGTATCATCCCGACTCGAATACAGTAAAGATAAGTGCGATTACATTCACATCAAGGACTAGGAGCATTCATTGCTTTCTCAGCCACGAGAGGCTTCAAGAGAATAGGTACGTAGAACAGTTGAATCCATCCTCGTTTTCATCTCAGGCAGGAGAGGATGGCTCTGAGAATAGACCTGAGAATGAATCATCGTCATCATCATCATTCTCAGACGAGGAAGTTGACGACGGTGAGGAAGAGGAAGCAGTGGTCTGTTTCAAAATCGGCAGCGAAAATTCTCGCGCGATGATTGGTATAGCATCGCTAGATGGTTGAGGTCGAGTTACATGTGGGAGAGGAGTAGCAGCCTGGACTGTGATACGCTGCATAGACTGTGATGGAGGTGCAACAGCGGGCTGTTGCATAGGGGTTGTTGCAAATGAACCCAGAGCATTGGATTGCACCTTGGGAAGAGATGCAACTTCCCGTGGGGACAAACGCCGGTTGAAATGCTGGGACGTTGTGCTTGGCCCAGCGCCGGTCGTGCGAAAGGGTGCATGCCAATTCAGAGACTTTGCCCTGTTTTTTGCACATTGCTGACTGGGTTGATGCCTGATCAACGCAGACTCACGCTTGAAACTATAAGAATCAACATTTCAGCCCCATGGTCACATTCGAAATGAAGGAAGTACTCACCTGGCGCCACACGCTGGGCATATATACTCAGGAGGTGCATCTTCGGTGCCTTCGAGATGCGACTTCGTCTCCGTTACGTGCCTGTGCACGCTAACTTCTAGCATTGGAGCTAGGCGCGCACATGTGTCTTTGAGACACTTCCACCTCTCTATCCCATCTTCGCCCAGCACGCATGCCTGACGAAACAGCCGTCAGCCAGATGGCGAAAATCCGACAAATAAAATTGACTCACAAAGAGTGGATCGTCCTGAGGACGATGACGCTGGTATCTTTTCGCTGCTGTTGTGTCATGATCAACCGCCTTCCTCTTTAAAGTCTGCGTAGAACCCCCTTCGACTGGGCCTACAGATGGTACTGGCAACATTGGTCCAGGGTTGGGCAGCACCTGCTCCTGCTGGAGAATCGGGACTTGCACTGCAGGAGCGTGATAAGGTGCTGCAACAGGCGCTACGCCATGAGCATGAGGTCCCGGGTAGCCACCGTAATAATTTTGTGGCGGTGGGTAGTTGCCGTACGCTTGACTCCAATATATGAAACCCTGAGGGACGTAGGGGATGGGGGGTTGAGGATGGAGAGGTGGTTGAGGATGGAGAGGTGGTTGAGGATGAAGAGGTGGTTGAGGATGGAGAGGTGGTTGAGGATGGAGAGGTGGTTGACCTCCAGTGTCTTGAGCCTGTGACTGTCCCTGTTGAGTTGACACGACGAAAGCATTCGAAAACGAGAGGTGCATTTACCGTATAAGATGGCATGGAAGAGTGCATATTAGAATGAGCTCTATCGTTGTTCATGTTGACGGATGGATAATGTGGGTGGCAGTAGGCCCTAACGCGTAAGAGAAGAGAAGTAAAGTAGATGAGAGTAGGTACACAAGTTAGATAGCAAATGGTATCTGGAAGAGATCGATGAAGAAGAGAGAAGAGAAGTAAAGTAGATGAGAGTAGGTACACAAGTTAGATAGCAAATGGTATCTGGAAGATATCGATGAAGAAGAGAGAAGAGACACAAGTGCTGAGTATTTATATTGGTGAGCTACCACTTAAAGCGTTTAAGCAATTGATGCGTACCTTATGTTTTCGTTCTGTGGCCATAACGTGATACTCCACTAAAGCAAGGTATACAAAGGAAATTAATCCACAAATGTATATTTCACCGGTGGATAATAGCACATTACGCAGTGCACCCGGATATTTCCCCGCACGACTGTGGAAAACTCAATTAGTTAAATTGTGATATTAATCCGAGGTATCTTTGGAAAAGATACGCAACCACTCATTTTTCTTAACAATATCGAACGCGACGCGATGCATCAAAATTTCAGACTTAATTTCGTCTTTGGCTGCGCAATGTTCATGGAATTTTCTTCATGCATAGGGACGCGTCGTTTTCCCCAGATGCTGCTGGCAGCTATTGACTGGAACATTGCGCACTCGATAATTTGATTGCAAAATCTATCAACATGAATGCATCAGACAGGGATTGCATGCTTGACGACGCGTAAGAAATATCACGTCTAACAATATGGCACGTGAGCGAGCACGTGCCTCTGATTGTCCACAACAACCTACACGGAGATCAAATCCGCATCCGATACCCCTCTCCACTATTGCCGAACAGTTAACCATTGTGGGCTTTGATAAGCAGATGTGACTCACTGCCACTAGATCATATCACACCGTCACATCGAGATTAATCTACGACACTCGTGCCTCAGAGAAGGTTTTCACCTGTGCAACAGATAGATAACGAGCAACATTGTCTATCCACGTTGTAGGCAGTCCTTGTGGATGCCCAAAAGTGCACGTGCATCCCCATCCAAGAAAATTGGAAACAACGAACGGGGCAACAGATGGACGACTTACCCAAGCAGAATGGACCAACGAACACCCCATCGCCACGGTCTGGCGTACACTCTCAGCATCTGCAAGTGTGGGGTTAACCTCCTGCGTGCGGTAGACCAAATTAGATCACACGAATGGGAGCAAAGATGTGGGTAAGACACTTACCATCAAGTGGAGCGACGAGTCGACTAACCTAACATGAGACCAAGTGTGATCAGCAATCATGACAGGCTCGTTAAATTCCCATAGCGTCGAACGCTTGGCAATGGATGCCCTGAGAGAAAGGGTCGAGATACCAGTGTCGATACGGTTGTGCGACGTCTCTGACGCAGTAAAATTGCCATTCCGAGAGCAGGTGTAAGGTTCAGCCTCGTGTACCAACACGATTGATGCTAATATGATCTTCACATGTTGGGTGATCGTGGACTCCACCTTCTCGAAGGCATGGCCCCATTCCTCTGTCGAAGCAGTTTCTCCTACGTAGGGAATGAGCAGAACACCTGTCGGTCCTTGGTTGGCTGTAAGTGATATGGCAGGCGTAACCAATTTTTAACATGAAGCTGATAGTTCATGTGTATCTAGGGGCAGATTGTCACGCGGTCATAAGGGAGACTGTTGATTGTGACTATGAACGATTGCATCAAGTCATCATAGAAAGTTTCGTGCAGGACGGTGGGGAGAACGCCAGCAAGAATGCGTTTGGTATAGTCCTAAGTCAGCTTGAAGCAGATAAGTAAGCATTACACGAAACAGAAATAAAGTAATTGACCAGACTTGAGCTTTGTCAAACCTCGGCCTATTTCTCATGCGCTCCAATAAGGCGGATTCTCTCACTCCCACATCACGAAATTCCTATGAAATTATCAACAAACGACTCACTCAAGACAGAGGACATACCATGTGGTTTTTTGATGGTGTCGTTCAAGTTGGATTCTTCCATACCCTCCCTACATCTTCAAGTTCATCTGAATCAGAATACAATAAAAATATTCACCTTTGATTGAACATACTATTGGAGGTAAGATTTTTTGGAATGGTAGAACCATTCGTTTCTCAATGGATCATCATCTGTTGCATATTGGTAGTCACGGCAGCCTCTTCGAGTTCAGGTTCGATCATGGCTCTGTTGTTCCCTTGTGTCTCTTCTTCTATAGGCAGAGATGTTTCGATGGATTGGGTACTGGAGTCTAAAGCTCACATCCAGCGAGTAGAATGATGGCACCGACAGCCGCGAGTAATTGACCCCGTACGCCGACTGGTGCCCCGTCTTGATTGGGCATTGACCTTCGACCGGTTCGTCGCACTTCACATCTCGTTTGACGATAACCTTACCCGTCTCGACATCCCACAACCTTACCGCCCATCCTATTTTCCGCAGGCAACAGCTTTGCCAATCGGAGACAGTGCCGTGGTCCTTCAAGTTATGATCTTTCCTGCTGCCTCACCTCCTTCATCTCCTCGGGCCACTTGTCACATGTCCGCGTACCGCTCTCTAGGTCCCATAATATTCGACTTGAGCCCTCGTTCAAAACGTGTGATGATGCGCTACCCACTGGGCAGGTGCGCAATGCCTTCTACTCGCATCGTCTTACGGGGCGATACTTCTGACGTATTTTTCATCTTAGTAGCAGGAAAACCTGACATGCTAGGCGTTCGGGGATGTCAATCAAATCTCAGTTCCTTGTGTCTTCTCCGAATTGAAGCGGGTTTCAGGGGCGTGGGTTGTTGGTGAATTTGACTGCCCTATCTGCTTTGTGATCTTAACTTTCGTTGACAGACGAGTATGAGACATCACTCACAATCTAACTTGTTTAAAGAAAATTGATCCTAACGACTTCAAGACGGGTGTATATTGGCTGTTTGATCTGTACGAGGATAAAAGATACCAATCAGCGAATGGGCTTTAAGCTTTCCTTATCCTGCGAAAAAATGTCACTCACAGCTCAGACAACTTCAGCGAGCACCACTGATGACTGAGAAGTGCAGATTGATAGCAATATAGCGAATGTTTTGTTTGGAAATCCAGAAGTCCCCCAAGTGATCGTGACAGTGGTCTATCAAGGTGCGTGTTCCATTCGTTATCTTCGTCTCTACAGCACTTGCTTTGCAGATGAAGCGCCCAGTACGACGCTTGCGCCATGCGCAACTTCCACCATTATCTCCCGTACTAACATTTGACAGAGCGTCGTACTTTATTCTCGCGTTCCGCAGCCTGTTTCATTTGAACTGGACTTGAAATGAGAGTTGACGAGGTGCATGGAGTGAACGGTCATCGCATAGTGACAGAAAGAACTTGATCGATTTATTAGAAAAATTTGGTCAACGAAGGGTGCCGGTAGTAATATGTAAGCATAAATTAACTAAGATACGGACAGAAAATAGCTACACCTATATTACGGCTCCTTTAGCTACAACATAGGCGTTCGCTTCGAATCAGCACGGTACAGCATATATTTACACGGAGCGAGTTTCAAGCAAAAATGGCGAAAGTAACTCAACAGGAGCCCAATGCAAGCGAAAGCAACATAGACAATACTGAGAAATCTACCGATATCACGACATCTCCTCATCGTCTGTGTCCGATAGAATTTCCTTGCTTTTACTAGCGAGAAAGAATTAGCAAAAGTTCGAGGAATCTAGATGCATTACGTACTATTGCTTTTTGCGTGGTCCTCCAACAGTGTCCTGGTCTTCATCATCTCTGACAACCCGCTTTTTCGGGACACGCTGATTCGACGAGCTCAGTACCTTCGCAGTCACACAAAGTCAGAACATCATACCTTCTTTGCTGGTTTGCTATCGACCTCATCATCGCTGAAGAGCTGCTCGTTGTCGACATCCTGATCAACAGATTTTTTGAGCTTGCCTCCGCTTCTCTTCTTCTTCTTGGGTTCAGCTCCTTCATCTCCACTTTCTCCTTCAACTTTGACCTTCCTGGCGGCCCTCTTGGATTTCCGTTCACGCTCTTCCTCGCTCTCCATCTGAACTTCCCTTGTCCATTCCTGGGCTTGTTCCCTCGCTTTACGACGCTCTTCTGCAAGCTTTTCCGCTTGCCGGCGATGTTCCTCGATCTTTTCTTGCTGCAAAAGTAGCTCAGCGACAGCACATGAACAAAACCTGAAAGCACGTACTTCAATAGCCTCCAGTTTCTCTCTCTCCATCTGTCTCCTCAGCCTAGCAGCCACCAATTTCGCCTCTGCCTCAGCTTCGAATTCCTTTTGTGTTGCTAGATGCTCGTCTCCTCTTCGCAGCATACTTTCTCCGTATTTCCTACGTTGGTCCGCGATATCACGACTGTAGGGTACGACAGAGGCAGAGTCTGCGGCAAGAGAAGCGAATAATCTGACGATACTCATTAAATCGAGCCAGGACACTGTCAACTAAATGATCTCACCGTTGCGCGTGTCCGGCCTGTAATATTGCCCACTCCAGATCTTTCAGGGTACGCTTCGACGGGCTGAGGCCGAAGAGTAGCTCTGCAGCTTTTTGCTGAACCATAGCGATATTGTACATGATGGCCTTGTCGCTGGGTTGTAAGTGGAGGGCCTGTTAAAAATTAGCCCCAATGGAACTGAAAAGATAGAGATTTAGTCGTGCCTTTTGTGCATATTTGAGCGCTGTGCTCATAGCAACAAAGGACTGGTCCTTGCTAGCCTTTGCGTACCACGTTCGACACAAACATAGGAGCACAGAAACATTATGGCCGTTGTAAAATCGTACAGATGCTGTCTCATACTGGGGCGTCTATGTGTCAATCCAACTGTAAAATAGTAAAATAGACAAATGAAGACCCACACTTTCAATAGCCCGATCAAACTCGTCTCGAGCGTAATAACAATGTCCCATATTAAGGTACACACTGCCGTCGTTGAGGGACTCCCTTATTTTGGCAAAAATATCGAGGGCGTCTCTTGCGTTCCTCATTCGTTTTTGTGGATCGTCTCCACCAGAAGTAGCTGGGCCACCTCCGAAGGTCCCGAGGGCGTCCTCCGCAGTCACAATGGCTAGTCCTTGAGCAGCAAAAGCACAGAGCGGATCCAAGAGCAAAGCTTTGTCGTAGAACTCGGCAGAGCGCTGGAAACCACGTCTTCGCTCTTCCAAGCCTTTCGGAGTCGGATCTCGACTTTCTCGGCTTTGATGATATTGAATCCAGCCAGCGGCGCATAATGAATAAACATCATGCTTGTCATGATCCTTGAGGGTAGCAAAGACGAAATCTTTTGCAGGTTTCGGAAAATTACTTTGGATGAGGAAGTAGGTGTAGAACGCGCGAAGATTTAGGTTGCTGTTTTGAGATGCCATAGCTTGTTTCAAGAGATCGTGCGCTTCGTTAGACTGATTGAGATCAGCTAGCATCTGCGCTTGTCGGACCTTGGCTGAAAGAGAATCAGACAGAGACACAAGTGTTGTTTACCTGCACTCACCGTCGACATACTCGGGATGTCTGGCTAAGAGCTTGTCGTATGCTTCCTTTGCCATCGCTACGTCACCACTGTCCTCGTACACCCGCGCGAGGTTGTATAACATCGAAGTTGACATCCCCTCTCCAACGTCCGGGCCCAGGCTAGCTGCTTTAGTGAGTGATTCTTCATATAAGACCCGCGCTTCCGCTAGGTTGCCTTCCATATGCTGGAGGGCGCCCATATTGTTGAGCAGCCGTGGGTCGACCTGTTCGTTCGCCTCGCTAAGTCTCAGCGCCTCCTTAAGGGCCCGCGTTGTCCTGTCAAGATTTTCTTCTTGCCAAAGCCGCGCAATTTCAACATGCATATCCAAGTCATCGTTAATATAACTTGCTGTGTGTTGCGGGACGTGACCATTAGATGTACGTGAGTCGTCTTGCTCGAGAGCTTTCATAGCTCGATCGAATAGTTCCCGAGCTTTAGCTTTTTCTTGAGCAAAGTCTGAGCTCGAAACACCTGGACGCGGATGGGCGCGAAGAGAAGCGAGCATGACCATTGCTTCAACGGAACGCTGAGGATTTGGAGGCTGAAGAAGAAGATCAAGGGTGTGGATAGCTGCAGCTATCTCATCTGAAAACTGAAATGAGTTACCTTTTCCACTTCTATCAAGTCAGCTTACCATTTTGGATCTGCATTTGTGCCATACCGATGGCGCCTAAAACATGTTTTGGTTGGCCATCAGTGGCTGTCGTATAATATTTGGTAGCTTCTTTGAGAGAGCCCTCCGCATGTAGCACCCGAGCAGCTCTGAGGTTTCCCTCTGTTAGCAACGTAAGGGTATCGGCGAACTGAATAGTGCGTTCCGCAAGCTTCAAAGCCTAATGACGTAGTGTGAAGTACGTTCTCGAAGGGAGACGAAAAATCACATACTCGTTTATAGCTACCCTTCCTGAGGAAGAGTTCACATAGCGCATTGGCGGCGGCAGCGCTCTTTTGATTGACATTGAAAGCCTTCTCTATGAATTTTGTTCCGGAAAGGAATGCTTGCGCACGGTCTTGCTCGCTGAGATTTTCGGTCTTACTCGCGTTAATGGACTCGAGTCCAAGCAAAAGCTGGGCCGGCCAATCTGTCGGATTCTACGAAATGTGTTGAGCCATATAGTGCTACCCCACACTTGGGCCCAGTACTTACAACTTCTAAACTTCGCTGCCATGCCGCTTTTGCTTTTGCTTTATAGTCCATTGCCCATAGACACAGTCCGATACCAATGCGTGGGTCAGGGATGCAGTGAGGGTTGAGTTGCAGAACTTGTTGGAATAGTTTAAGTGCCTGAGGATAACTCCTTCGAGCATAGAGAATTCGAGCCTAATACCAAGATGTCACCAACTACCTAGGATTATAGGGCAATAGACCTACTTTACCAAGGAGGGCCACGACATTAGTAGGTTTCTCAGCCAGTACACCCTCAAAAGAACGCATGGCATCATCCATAGACCTCGTCGCAAGTTGTTGTATTCCTGTAGAATATGGTAAGCTAGCCAAAGACTGGGCCAAGCACACACAGTACCTCGAGTCAAGAATGCCAAAGTTCCGCCCACACCCTCACCACCTTCTGCAGCAGCCCTCTCGCCGGTGTTGAGATACTGAGCAGCTTCGCGGTAGTATTCTTCCTTTGGGCGCACATTCGTCAGTTTATCCTCGCCTATGACGTGTCAGTAGCATCCAAAGCTGAGATTGACAGAGCTCACGAGCTTCTGAGAGCACTAATTTGGGGGCCTTTTGAGCATGAGCTATTTGAATATTTGCAAGAAGGGCGTATATTGGAGGAGATGAAGCTGTCGTTCCGTTTGCATGTAACGCTGTGGATATGTTCAGGTGAGTTACATGACGAACTTGAACTAGGAGACGTACATTCAATAGCAGAATGAGCTATTCTTTCGGCTGCTGCTAGGTAGCCCCTTCTCCAGTACTCGCCAGCTAACTTCGTCCACACAGACACTCTGCACTGACCCTCCTTCAAAAGATCCAATACATCTTCCGGGTTTGGATCGAGGTTGTCAAGATCGATAGTGATGACCTCTTGTCCCCCAAGCTCGATATCAATTGACCTCCCGCTGCCAACATATGTCACGTCTTCAGACATCCTCGTAAAGTCGTTTCAGTTACAGCCAAAGAATAAAATGAAGATGACGCTGCTGCTGCAGCTTAAGAACAAGCAAACTGAATTCGTATAAACTCGACGGCGCAAAACCTCCGAAGGGATGCAATGGTCACGTGCCACGCGGTATTAGATTCAAATTGTCGAGCATCCACTTGACCCCGACGATGCCCCCTCGATCTTGCCATGTCTGTTACGAAAACGAATCAAAATATACTTGCGCAACATGCAGAGCGACCGTTTAGTATGTTTACCTCTCTGTCATCGCGTTTCAAAGTGTCTGCTTACATCAATCTTCAGCTGCTCCGTTGCATGCTACAAACGACATAAAGGTATAACAAACACACTCAAGATACATCTCATCCAAAAAATCACCCCACAGAATCTTGCGGCTCCACTGAAACTCCACTTGTGACTCGCGAAGGTACGTTTCCCTTCTTTCATTCTAGGTCCTTGCTCAAACAGAGCATCAGCGTTACTACCTTCATCCGCAGAAGAGATGCTCGACGATCCAAAGCCGCTACGCCCTCTCACTTCTCTCAATTGGCCATACGTACCCGAAGAATCAGCATATCCCGACCCATTGAAACGTGATGACCCAAGGCCGCTGCAACTTCACCAATACGAAGCTATCGGTGTGTCTATTTAACAACTTTACCTTCTGTGTTTAACCTTTTCTCCATTTTATAGCTACTTCCTCTGCTGTACGTCGCGTGCTGGAGTCGAATCCTCGTCTACCAGAGCTCCTCACTTCTATAGACAAACTCAGAGGTGCAGATAGAGAGGATGCCTTACATCGTGCCCTTGGGGTTGACGCTAGGCAGCTCAAGAACGACCTATTGGGACCTCAAGAGTTAGATGAAGACACTAGGACACTGAGACAACTCGCAGAAGCCGTAGAAGCTGCTGTACGAGGAGGAAAGGAAGGAGTGCTGGGTTTGGACTGGGACGAATAAACAACAAAATCACACGATGAAATATGCTAGAGCGGATATACATGCGCAGGAAAAACCACCAACAGGCGGCAACAAGATGCAAGTCTAACAAACCCATCCCTTGCACTTCACTTGATTCCCAAAAACAACAGTCCCCTCTTCGCCTTCTCCACTTCTTCCTCAAGTTCTCGCCCATGACTAGCTGTCCACCAATCTGTCTTGTCGATGTCTTCCGCTTTCTTACCCCCCCTGATAGCAGACTCAAATGCCGATTTCCTGGCATTTAGGCTCGCCATCCGTCGGGGATCCGAGTGGCCGGTGAAAATGATCAATGCTGTCCGTGCAGGGAGAGATGCATAGAGCGTGACCAGCTGGTTGTTAAGAGTTGCTTGGGCATTGGCGAGAACGGTGGGCGATGGTTCTGCTGGAGCGACGACAGGGGTCTCTGCAGTACTCGCCTTTGGTGTTAGCCCTACAAATCATAAGTATATACAATGAGGCGAACAGTTGTACACTCACAACCCAGTGCATCTGCAACACCAGTAAACCGTCCAAACGCGAATTCGTGTCCTGGAATAGCTTGTAACAGCCCACTGAGTACTTCCTCGTCGCTAGTACACGGCACATTCGAGGTAGCTTTGGATCCATGCATTACACCAGGGTTCCCATGGTCCACCACTACACTGCGTACAGACCCTGGTCCTCCCCTCCCGCTTGCCCTCCCCATACGCTCATATATGCTCTCAAAATCAGTCTTGAACTCCCCATAGCTTGGGCCATATCTTACTTTCGACCGCAGGAGGTCAATACACGCCCGCGCATCTTCCTCCGGATCGTGTCCACTATCACCCCGGATCTGTATTTCGCGATTCAGCCATTTTTTGGTGAGCCACGCAAGTCCCGGCTTCAACGGCCGCCCGCGTGGGTGATGGTATATGACCGCGGTATCGATGCACCTCGGGTGGCAGATCCGGAGGGCGCGGAGGTCAGATTCAAGGGAGTGCCCGACCAGGATGGAGGTCGGTCCATCTTTTGGTGCGATGATGGGCATGATCTGTGCTTGAACTTCAGCCACGGTTGTTGTAGCCGATGCGAGCAAGGATTCAGTGATGCCTGACCATCTGAGAAAACACATTTCAGAATCGGTATTGGATCATAATATGCCAGATTTCGCTTACTTAGTCATGTAGTCAGTGACTGGCTTTGGAGGCTTAACAAGTTTATCGTATACGACTATTCCGCTCTCGTAATCGATCATGCAAACTCGGGTGAGTTCTTTGCCGTCCTCTGTCAGGCACTGGGTTTGGTTTCGGTTAGCGACACTACACCCAGCTATGTAATCACACACCATTTCGCAGTCGATAGCATATATTTTTGATTCCAGCTTATCTGCTGGAAGCAATAGCAGTGATCCTTCCGATACTTGTGGAGTCTCAATCCAACCGGGTCCCTTTTCGAACACATCAGCCATGTATGAGGGAATTGGATACTCGTTCTCTATCATCTCTTTCAACGTCAACAAGTACAATGCCGGCGTGCCATCGCAGGCACGTTGTGCTACACGAGGATATCGTCAGTCTTGGCAAGAATGATATAGATAGAATACATACAGGCTCGCTGTGCTTGTCTCTTGGCTTTCTCCTGTGGTGTAACTTGGCATTGGAAGAACTCGCTGAGAACGGAGTACATCCGAGTCTGGTCGCCTGGAGCACGAGTTGGGCATGCATGGCTGTAAGTAGATGCGATGAAAGGAATGGGAGTGTGCGATTCTGCAGGAAGAGGGATTGAGAGTGGAACATTTGGGTTAGCGGTAGCTGAGGTGGGCAGAGGTGGAAGAGCCAAGGTGGAAGGAAGAATTCCAGGTATGAGGAGTGCTACGACCTTTTCAATCGATCGGGCGTGCTGCACAAATGACGGTCAAAACCATGATCCAGAGATGAAACTTGTCAAGACATACCTCGACCTTGACCCAGTTAGGCGGAGGTGCATCTGCAGCTATGTGCAACACCAAATCTCGAACATCCTACGACGATGACGCGGGGTCAATCTACTCAAAACTCCTAAAAATAAATAACTCACGTTTATATGGACAGCATCTTTTCTCTTTACGATCTCACCGTTCACGTACATGAATCTGGGCATCAGTGCCTAAAACCAGGAAGAAACATATATCCCATTCAACAAAAGTAGTAGAGGACAAAGGAAAGCACTAATATGACACACATCGTGTTTGGCTTCGACCTTTTTGTTCTTTTTGGTCTTGCGTTTTTCCACGCGGGTCCATCCCGCTTCACCAGCATCATGATCGTCCTCGCGTGTTGTACTCGCGTGGACTACCTGGTTAGGTGCTACCTTAGCTTTTTTGTGATTAGATGATTTTTGGGGAGACGATACGGAGTCTTGGGATCTTTTCATTGTGTGTTAGTGTGTCTATGCTGACGCAGTATCATGAACCAGGTATTTGGATGTGAAGAATGGGTTTGACAATTGTCGAGCTTGCGTTTGATGCACAGAACAAACGCCTTCCATATTCGATCAGAAATGAGGGTCGCGTATCCTTATATAGTGACTTATTATTACCATGACCCCTAATCTTCGTAAAGAACTGCTGTAAAGTACAGGTGCCATGGAAGCCAAGAAAGCAACAAGAACACGCTGGTGCATGGACGAGAGAGAGATGGTGCAAACGAGGAAGTGAGATGCCAAGCATTGTAATTGCCGGGACATGCGGTATTGACCCCTGGGCCTTGACATCAAACTGGGCCCGACTCATGCATGTGCCATCGCTGAAGGGAAACAAGATGGAAATAATGAGGGAACTCACCGAAACGTCGACAGTAGAGGTCATAGCAATAAAGGCTCAGATAACAAAGAAGAAACCAAAATAATCATATCACGCGGCCTACCAAGTTATTCTGGACCGCAGCGTAGGCGAGAGACGCTGAGAAACTGTCGAAAAACAGACAAGTCACTTGAGTCGAGATCGTGCATTGAATTAAGGCGATATGGACTGCGATGGACACATTGAAGTGAGATTCATGACACAAGATCTGGCAACGGGAATGAGAGGACTCACGAAATGTTGATAAAATGGCTCGTACGGACACGTGCACAGCACCGAGATCAATTAATAGACAAAGTAAAACGATGAATACAGCTGGGCGTACTACGTCCAGCCTAGGCTTCGCGTGATAATTACTCACATCTACTGCTTCCACTGAACAGCCGCTTGTTCAGTGTACTACTAGTATTGTAATCGCGTGGGTCTGAAAGTTCAAGGTCTTCAGCAGCTCGAGTTCCCTCTTGAATAAAATCTGCAGCACGACTGACCTTCACGAGTGTTGTCCTAATTTAAGGTCTAGACAGGCCTGGATAACCCCAAGTGGTGGGAACAAGGTTGTCATAACTTTAAGCGTGTATGCCAAGAGATACTCGGCTGGCACAGCCCTGCACTGCGCAAGGTCAGGTTTTCCATTTCCTTTTGACACACGTGAAGCCCACTCACAGTTTTGTGTTTAAATCCTTTCTTTCATTCTCTTTCATTCTCTCTCTGAGCACCTCCTGGTTCCACGATGATTTCCCTACCTCTGGTAGCTGTTGCACTCCTTCCCTTTGTCTTTGCTGCTCCCCAACCGGACGCGGGTGTCATCCATGTCCCAATCGTCAGACGTAGTCAAACAAACAGAGTAGCAAACTTGCCGAAAGCCGTCGAAGCATTGCGGGCAAAATACGGTTACCAACCAACAGATGCTACGTATTCCAAGCGAGCAAACACCGCGGCAATTCCAATCACTGATGAGGTTCGCAATTCGGGCTTTTGACTATTATTTAGTTTAATTTTATTAGCAAAACGATTCCAGTTACTCAGGTGTTGTAAGCATTGGGAGTCCGTGAGTTACATGTTCAATCAATATTCACAAATACTCATCGTCTTAAAGGGCCCAGAATTTTGATCTTGTCCTCGATACCGGGTCTTCCGACCTTTGGGTTGCCACATCCACATGTACCAGTTGCGCATCAAATGAGTTTACTACCTCAAAATCCTCGACATTTCAGTCATCAGGCACTTCCCTCCAGATTAATTATGGCTCAGGATCGGTCAAAGGGGTTGTCGCCCAAGATACTGTCACCTTCGGTGGTTTCACCATCACTCAGCAAGAACTCCGTACGTCTATATTGACTTGAGTCAGATCCACACTTATTTTTGGTCCCAGTGGCTGCTTCTTCAGTTACAAGTGGCTTGCTTGACGGTGTCCTCTCAGGTATCATGGGTCTTGGGTTCAACACCATTTCTGCCCTCAATACCACCCCGTTTTGGCAAGCCCTCTATAATGCCAACCAGCTCTCAGAACCCTTGTTCTCTTTCTACCTTGAACGTTATAACGACCAAGCCACTATGAACACTGCTCCGGGCGGTATACTGACTCTTGGTGGAACAAACTCGAGTTTGTACCAAGGCTCTATCGAGTACTTGAGCCTAGCTGGTTCTCCATCGTATTGGTTGCTTAATGTTAATTGTTAGCTTCTCCATTTTGTTATATTGTAAGCCTACTGATCGGTCACAAATGCGCAGCGCTTTCTGTACAAGGCAAGACGGTCAGTGTCGGATCCAGTTCCCTTGCTGCCATCGACACAGGCACTACCCTCATCGCTGCACCCAACAACGTTGCTGCAAATATTTGGGCCCAAGTTCCAGGCTCCATAGCGCTTACGGGACAATACGCAGGTCTATACGCATTCCGTCGGTATCATTTGTACATTTCAGGACAAGCACAAGACTCATCTATTTCTAGCTTGTACCACTGATGTCACGGTCACGATGTCTTTTGGCGGTTCCACCTGGACGATCAGCCCGGCTGACATGAACCTCGGCTCTGTTCCCAGTTCTGTCTCGGGTTCTACGACTCAGATGTGCGCTGGTGGTATTTTTGATATCGGCACCAGCGTTGGCACTGGTTCTGGCGTTCCCACTTGGATCATCGGTGACACGTTCCTCAAGAACGTGTACTCCGTCTTCCGTGCCAACCCCGCTGCCGTCGGTTTTGCAGAGCTCGCCAGTGGCTTGAGTACTACAACATCCGGTACTTCCAACCCGAACACTGTGAAGGTGACTAGCACAGCTACCTCGACCAGCAGCTCCAGCAACCCGCTCCTCGGCGCTGCATCTTCTCATACAAACATTGCTATCTCACTCACCCTCCTTGCATCTGTGGCAGCCTTTTTCACCATATTGCTCTGAAGAAAGAGATTATACCCCACAGCACTACCCACACTTATCATTGTGATACCACATACAGAGTATTGGTTTTGGTGCTCCCTCAACTCGGATACTCATGCACTGACTTACTTAGGGTCTAATATCGCTCACATTGCCACGTATTTAACATGACACTTTTACGTCTATTCTTTTATTAAGTTTTATATCTATGGGTTTAGTTGTTATAGATAGCTCTTGTGGTATATATACTGGGCGGCTTGCATGACTCGGACATCTGCAGTGACTGGACACGATGTCAAAGTACATGATTGACCTCTACCAGCTCAGAGGCCATTATAGGAAACTTGCACGTCGACCGACATGAAGGTACTTGATTCGTCTAGCAAGTCCGCGACTTACTCGGTACACGTGCAGTCGCTGATTATTGCTCACGATCCGTGGAGTATGAGACCAAATTGCAAAGCATGTGCGGAGTCGTTGGTTAACGGTTATTCCTCACGCGCACGATCAACGGATGTGAATATTCGTGATAGGCAACCGAGTCTATGTATCGATACCGCAATGGAATTGTAGTCGCAGGGTATTCCTCCTGCGCACGCCGATCAACGGAGGTCGAGGCATTCAATGTTGAGGTATTTCCTGTGATTCGTCACGAGTAGTTTAATTGATCACTTCTCAGAAGACAGTTCATCCCTCTATAAATAAAAACTGGAGGTTCGAAGTTCTACCCCAGTACGATGACAGCGGATTGATGGAATGTATGTATTTATTTATTTTATTTGCGTGATCATTGCGCCCGCATCTCTCTTATACTTTTACAGTTGGATCGAGTTGGCCTGATCTATTGAACAGTCCAACGAGTTCCGGCGGCACGGGGTCTGTATGATCATCGCATCTATCAATGATCATCCGAGAATTACCTTCGCGAAGCTCTTGTTATCTTCATCCAGTCTTGAAAATTTAAGCCATTCGGCAATTGACGACTGCAATCTGCCAGGAACGAATACAAAGATGTATGTAATTCCTATGTAGGCAGACCTCTCGTAATTATCTTGCGCTGAGTGCGCAAGAAGTTGAAGACTCCCTGACGAAATTCGAAATTCCCGAGGCAATAGGAAGCAAACGTCCCTGACCTTCATAAGTCATCGGGGACCGACAAACGCAGAAGTTGATGCCTATCAATGAAAATATGCCACGATATTGCAAATGGAGCAACATACCTCCCGCGAAGAGACATTGGAAATATCCCCACCAAATTACTAGTCCTAGATGATCACGCGCTGGCAAGACCCACAAGACAAAGAATTCGAAGCTCAGATCCCTTTCATTGTATTTCCGAGCTAGATCAAAACAGCCTAGCAAGCACGGCGTATGAATTGGGAAAGACGTGCGGCATTGAATATTTTGAGGTGTGGGATTGCCACTGTGAGAGTTGATATCAGTGGTCATGTCAGGATAAATACTCAGCAGGGATTTCAACAGGCTAGAACCCGGGGTTGAGCGTGGATCAGGATCTTATCCATTGCTGGCTGGGAGAAAAAGCCTACTGTGGGTGCTCAGGGTATGGCTGTATTCGTGACGGTGAGGTAGTCGCCGATCAATGTCAGCGGAACCGAACGTATCGAGGAGGATGGGAAATACTAGTACATGGGACGAGGTGGTATTTAGTGTATGCACGGCCTCGAACGATACAGGTACTGCCCGTCGTGCGAGCTCAATAACAATGATGGTGATGATTCCGGCACCGGTAGACCAACTGGCTTTAGGACAAGGTACGCGACGTGCACTAAATCGTAGCGCAGGCAGACACGCAGAGGAACGAATGCATTATCTATGCCGATACGCAGCCCTAGATCTGCATGTACTGGCGAGAATAACGTGGCGATTGTCTAGACGCCAAATAAACGGAGATATTGAGTTTTTTAGGGGTGAGGAATTGTGATAGCAATGACGTAGATATGTGTACGGGCCCTCGGGGAGATAAGACACCTGCGCCTGTGCAGTCGAAGCTCAGACTCAAAGAAGATGGTCAGCGTGAGTAGGTTAAGAACTTGGAATTTTTTTCGAGGCAGTGTATACCCTGATACTCATTGTGAACGATGGGGAACAGAAGTATAGTTTTTCATCAGTGGGCAGAATGCAGGTCAGACGGAAATAAAAGACGAGCCTGCAAAGTATCGTCGAAGCTTGAGAGCTCTCAGGTTGACTTGCTAGTGGAAGCTGATGTCAACATCTTGCACCGGCGAACTGGTGCAATACGGCTATAATCAGTCCCGACCGCGAATTATAAATTATGCTCGAGCCAGTAAATTGATCAAAGAGCTGTGTAGACACCATGTAATGAACAACAGAGCCTCGAGATCTGTTGACGTCATCAGGGGAGGGGATACCAAGCCCGCGAAAGAAGTTACCCGCGATCATAACTTGCTCATGACAGTAACGGTTATGAAGGGCTGAATAACCATGATGCGACAGAAGGCAAACGACACAGCGGAGTACCCTGGAGTACCGTAACTTCTGTGAACACGAGGACGGCAGGTTATGCGGGGGCGAAGGTACACCATCAAACCTTAGCTTGAGCGCTTTTGCGAAACTCCAAACTTGGTACAAGTTGATTCAACATCATATTGCACTGGATTGTGGCGCACCTTAATAACAGATCTATGTTTCCCAACTTGATCCATTGATGATTTATGAGGCTAGCGCATCAATGGTCATTGTATCACGGGCAGTGTAGTAAACTATGCTCGCAAAGTGAACAATCCGACAAGATTTATAAAGACCGATAACAGGCGTTTGATATGAAGCGTGCAAGATAAAGCACGTAGAAGTTGAACATACTGATAAGGCATGCTAATGGTATGAAGTCTGCCTTCTTTGGGAGCGTGTAAAGGAGAATCTTCAGCAGATGAAACGACAAGCAGATATATTGGCGCAGCATCTGGTAACATGACATCAAGTAGCAGCTGGCTCAGCCTTGATTGATAGTTCGAATTTAAGAATGAACAGGACCAACAAAAACGTTCCAATCGCAATATTCCGTCCCGTCGCGGGCCGAGGAGATGAAATGACCGATGAACACGATATTAACGAAGTGACCTGAGAGAACGAGATACTGGGGTGTCGTAAGATGGATTGTCTGCACAGATGTTTTAGCGCAACCCAGTCCATCAAGTCAAGGATTCTCAGTAGAATCAATATTGCAGGGCCAGGTGTCTGAATCGTCCCAAAAACGTAGGTCGTTACCCAATCCGCGGACATGACAAAAACAACGTGGTGAAGATGGTTGGCCCTGCTGGATGACAAAGAACCAATCTGCCTTGGCGGATTTTGACAGCCAGAAGTCAGATAATAGTTTCGCGCGACTCGTCAGGCTGAGGAGATGAAATTTAGTGAAAGTACTGCTATATTGTATGGCGTACCTACCTAGTATACGGTCGGTTCTTGTTGAAATCCGTACTGTCTGAATGCCGGGTAAAGCTGTGTGGACATTGAGCTATCCATGACTTATGGTACTACCTGGAGGTGACCCATGAACCTCAAAGATGACGGAGACGGGAGAGGAAGACCGTTGTGAGATTTGACCAGCGGACGACCCCAACAGAAACAAACAGCCACCAAAGACCGCCCAAGCATGTGGATTCAATCATGCATCGAGTTTTGTCGGGATCGTAAAACCTCGGAAGTTTCCTGGATCTCCGGCGGAACTACATAACCAGCCAAAGGTTTGTCCGACATCACGCGGGCTCTGCTATCTGATCAACCAGACAAGTCACGGTTTCAGGAACTATTTGAGCACACTGTTCATGTGCTCTCAGTAAATTATTCCTGACTAGTTCGTGTCACCGCCCCTACTACTAGGTCTCACTTGTTCACTTCATGCCTGGAGTACTCATACTCCCTCTCTTTCTTCATCTTTAGCCTCACATCCACACGGGCTCCTTGGTATGTTCATTCTTCTTCATGCATGTATTCCGCAGCTCGTTGATGCGTTTCCACCCATTAGTTCCACTTTCATTCGTGTATATTTAGTATCCGTTCCCATAATGGCTAGTAATCAGTCCACCACGCCCCCGCCAACTCTGCAGAGGGGAAAAGCATGCTTGCGTTGCAGGTATTTTCTCTATTCGCCCATCATTCGTCAAAACTCGCTGACCATGCTTAAACGCGCCTTGTCCAGAAAAAGAAAGATGGTAAGTCATCGTCTTATAGTCCAGAGAGCGTGTCAGTCGTTAATGAAGTCGTCAGAGGTGCGACGGTAACAAGCCAGCCTGTCAACAGTGCGTTCGTGCAAAGCAGCATGACGCCTGTCAGTACGATGATGGAAAGGGAAAAACCAGAACCCAACTTCTCCGTGAACATATCGAGCGTTTAGAGCAGCGTATACGAGAGCTCGAGGATCCCGAGTATACCTCGCCATCCGTAACTCTACACGATCCTCATCGTCATGGTCGCTCAGAAAGCTCGTCATCTTCCCTAACGGGCTCTCCAGCAAGTACAGGCTTCTCACTTTCAGTGTCATCCTTCTCTTCTTCCGGTGCGTTGATCCGCTGTCATCGTCTCGTATTAAATCTTATATTTTACAGCAAACAATTCCCCTCAAAGCTCCTGGATACAAGGCATTCCCTCGCCTTCGCCTACGCCATTTACGGATATCTACCATGAGGAACCGCAGCCCACAATAGAGCTCGCTCAGTCACTCGTAGACGTCTTTTTTTCACATTGTCGTCAGTCCTTCCTGGGTCTGCACATGGGTCGACTACGAGAGTCTTTCACTCGACCTGTCATGGAACAGCACCACCCTGCCCTCACCAATGCCATATTTTTGTGGGCATGCTATATCTCTAGACCCGGCCCTCTTAGCACGCACGAGTCTCATTACTTGAGTCGGGCCCTTGACTCTCTCAGCGATGCCATTCAGTACCAAAACAGGTTGCTTGATGTCATCCAAGCATCCTGTCTTCTGTCTGTGTACTTCCTATCCAACGGAAGGTCACTAGAAGGCAGTTACCATGCCAACGCTGCTGCATCACTGGCTATTCAATGCGGCCTTCACGGAGCAATGACCAATCGATCATCATCATTTGAGACCACAGCCTCCATTTCACCCTTCAAACTTGATCCCCCGAAAGATGCTATTGAGCAGGGCGAGCGCATATTGACGTTTTGGCACGTATTTGTCCTGGATCGCTGCTGGTCGGTGGTACTTCACAAACCAGTGACCATTCCGCATGGTTCGGATGGATACGCGTCCATCATAATGCCGTGGCCCCAAGATATGGAAGAATATATAGCAGTACGTTTCGTTATCAGTGGGTACAACATACGCTGACTCACTCTTCTCAGGGTCAGATCGATGATTTGCACAGCTTCCATACTGTTCGGAGCTTCTTTGAACATCAGGTCACAAACGTCCGCGGAGGGTTTTCTCCACTAGCCCTCCGTGTCAAAGCGTCCGCTCTCTTCGAACGTGCGCACCACCTCGCATCGACCTGGGACCAACGTAGGCCCATTTCCCCCAGACCAGTACCACTTTCTGATCAATATACAGCTTTAGTCTTGTCGAACACATTTACGGATGACTTTCAAACTTTAGAACACACCATCGCCCGTTTTATCCAGACCCTTATTCCAGTACATCAACTCGACGCCACGGTGCCTGACGAGAAACACGCCTATATTGCGACACACACGCTAGCTCACGCTGCGATGATCAATCTGTATTATCCATTCGGCGCTGAAGACCCTGTCTCGTATGAAAAATGCCTTCGCGCTGCGCGGTGTCTTGTCTCTATCATCAAACACATCACTGACACAGATTACGAGTTCCTCGATCCAATTATCGGTGTGAGTATCTTTTTCAATGCATTACACAGAATGATTGATTAATGGTAATCCTTCTCTTGATGCAGCCTTGTTGGACGTGCGCTGTGGACACGTTGATTCGAGAACTCAATGTTATCGAGTCTTCATGGCCGCTTGTCAGCAGCTCGGATGTTCGTAGTGAAATCGGGACCATGCTTTACGCCATGAACAACCTCAGCTCACGCTTCCCCTTGCTGGGATATTCAGTGGCCAAGGTACAAAAGCGACTGTCAGGGCTGTAGCCTATTTAGCGATAGCGAGATATGGTTGGTGTCCATGTGCACACTTCGGAAAAAAAAACTTAATTCCCGACCTACGGACTCTTGGCTCTCATGACTTGGACACGCTAGTATATTGACGCTCTTCCCCGCCTGGCCCTGTTTCTTCACTTTTGACTGGACTTTAGCTAATCTCTTACGGACAGCGCTTTTTGCATTCTTATGTTATGGTTACGCTCACATTCGTTACGACCCCCCACGGACTGCTAGTACTTTTCGGACGTTGTGATCCAGCCTGGACGTTATAATATTCTCCACGGACAGCGACAGCGCGGACACTAGACCTTACGGACTTGAATCACGCATTACCCCACAAAGCTAAACATTCCTCATCTCATCCCCCGTCACGCCGAATTGTAATTGTTATTCTGATATATTTGTATGTCGTGCCACATTTCTTTTTTGCTTTCGTTTTGTGTTTTGATAGACCCTTGTTGAATAGTCATCTCTCTGTTTTGAAGGTCTTCGCTTACTAGTCGTCGCACTGTGTCTGGCTCTTGTTTGTTGTACCGTTATGTAGTATATCGAAGAAGAAAATGGTGGATGTCTGTTGGTACTTTACCGCGACAGTTCCGGGTTAGTCCAGTGAACCAAATCCAGCGAGTTCGTGTTCATGTGCATTTGTGGACTATGAGGCCATTGTGCCATATTATATACATGACAGGCCTCAGATGCACTGGCTGGACTGCTTTCAGGAGAAATTGATGGAGGTCGTTATTGGTAGCTTTATATATTGTGCCATGCATAAGCATTTGACCAGATGCAGCGAGAAAGTTTGAGTGTCCATGTGGATGCATATTCTAATTATTATATTGCATGATGGGCGTCGGCTGCGCGACTGCCCCAAAAGCTCCCGAACATCACGACAGACTATTGGATTGGAGGTTGGGCAAGGAAATGGAAATGGGATACAGACTACCAGGCACATGAAAGATACCCAAACGTTGGGATCCAGAGTTGCTAGAATGGATACATGGACCAACACCACGCTGACTATTAAAAGTATACTGTATTGATTAGGAAATCTGCTTGGATTCAAGGCTATATGTAGATGAAGGGGCGCACGGAGAAGGGAGGCTGGAATACGTATCGCATTTGTCTGGATTTGATTGATTGAAGCACGATCCTAGGAGAGATGATGTTCTGAGGGGTTGACGAAAATATAATTATTATAGACAGGGAAGGAAAAATTATGCTTGGCGGCTAATGAAGATTGTGCAGCGAGCTATCGCGACACTTGTCGGTCAACTCAGACTAGTGATAGTGATGCGGGTCCATTATGGAGCGATCGTCAAAACAAGACTAGTGGACCTCCTCGTGCTCACATGCACAGTGGTTGCTAAAGTCGCACCCTTGGATGTGATGACACACTGAAAAAAGAATACGTGCAAACGCCGTCGATCTAACGTCAACAGGACTCCTTCCTTCCGGAAGTTTTGCTTTTAGATGCAGCCTCTAAGCTTCCCACGTAGTTTCGACTAAAGGGAAGAATTAAGAGGAATGAGTATCCATGAATTCCTCGAAATTGGAGAGTCATGAGGGTACCCGCTTCCTGATTGCTTTGTCAAAATTAATGACTTTAAAGTGAGATGGGTGTCATGGGGATGTGTGTAGGACCATAGTGTTTATGTAATTTCCGTAGGCCCATCAATTTGTTCGATGGGGGGAACGCGAAGCGATATGTTCGCGCAAGTTGGTTACATGCGGAAAGCCAATCCGTCGTAGTAGTGACAATCGCGGTTCTGGACCTGCATAGACGTCGGAGAGGACGACATCAAGGCTAACATGTTGACCGGTGATAATGAAGTTGCCCCACTCAGAGCACGGGAATTTAGAGCGGCCGAGGTGATTAATGAACAGCTGCTTGACCCTCCTTGACATTGAGGACCCACGATACGAGAATATTGCAGGTGCGTCGTAAATCAAGGGGGATTCGACGGTGCGAATGATTATTGGAATAGTCAAGGTTGAAAAAATTTGGTTCTACCCGTCGTTTGTTTACTGACGGTTCAGGGGTGTCTTCTTCGAGCTGGTGAATATTCCGTGTCAGGCTATTGACTGGGCCTGGGCTCAGGCTTGCTGGGAGTCTGGACCATCATGACAAGCCACTCGCTTTGCCTCGTTCCACAGGGCCTGTCTCGCGTTCTACTTCAACTGTTGTGACAGGGAATTCGGCCGGAGTGAGGGTTAGCCTCGGTCTAGGTTGGCACTTTCTTGAGAACGCGCCTGTTTTGTCTCCACGAAAAGTTGTGGTTTATTGCGTGAGTCTCCAACGAAAAAGTATGCTGTATGCCTTCCAAGGTCTCCTCGTTCGAACCGTTTGACGATGCCATTGCATTCGTCGGCATGACTGGGCGAAGCATGAAGGGACCTGATTGACAGACTGGAGGGGGAACAGTTGTACTAACAGTAAACTGGGCAGAGAATTCCAGGCAGGCCTATCTGAGCTGGTGTTGGGATCGTTTCTTTTATGAGCCATATGTCACAAACGAGGGAACTTCGAATTCAGATATTATAGTAGGTTCGACTTCAATTTTGCTCGTGATGAGAAAGCCGTCCGGCGACCGAGGAAGGTTACTTGTATGCAGTGTGATTTGGATGATGCTGCACCTGTCATTTGTCTGCATGCTTCGTAAAGTCAAATCAGTACAACAAAATATTGGTCAAGGTAGTAGGTACGTACTCAACATGTTACATAATGACATATGTTCGGGTCCAAATTGTATTACATAACTCAATTTTCGGTTTGTTCTCGGTTGAGTACACGCCAAGCTAATACAGTGACAAGTACTAATATTAATTATACCATAAGCACAACGTCGTGGGCTAGCGTCTAGTAGCAGTGGCACCAATACGTTCACCGTGACTTGAACCACTACCACGCCTTGTCCGCATTGAAGACAGTTGTTCCATCAGGTTTCTAAAGCTGAGATTGAAGCTTGAAGTTCCATGTGACAACATGTCTTTTCAGGCTCACGAGAACAACTCACAGGATGACCTTCCGTACTTGTCTTTTCATAGTGATGCGCCAGCCTATGGTAGTGCCCATTTTGTTGGATCTCCTGGCCAAATCACCCTAGAAGAGCCTAATATCCCACATTTGCGTCCCATTCCTTCTTATGGTTCGCTTCCATCATCCACTTTACGACCAAGCCGCGGACGGGATCGAAGTGTTTCCTACATTGTTGCTCATACGCCTCCTCTGGGAGTTCATATAGCTAGTGGTCAAAACCTTAGGGAGTCCCTTGTCCGTTTGTCTCGCGTCAGGACCCCACCACCAGAAGCGCAATGGTCGCTGTTCGAACAACTCATGGAGAACGAGGGCCAGCTTAGCCCTAGGACACGCGACAGACGCCATTTCATGAACTCCTCTCATCGTTCCCAGCGCTCTTCGGGGCTTCTGACTCCAGAAGCTACCTCTCCTGGCTGCGATCTATTCGACGATGTCATCCAATCCCATTCGCACGAGCACAACGCCCGAGAGGCGTCGTTGGATCAATTCAATGACCATACTGATCCCACCGAATTAGAAGACCACTCCGAACCCTTCTTCGACAGCCCTTCACCTACCTCTGTCCCTAAAACGCCATCATGCTATCGCTTTCCTCCCTTACGAGCGCCCGCAATACCAATCTTGTGGAAGAACATTCTCAAATGCGCAGTGGCATATCTTATTGCCTCTCTCTTCACGTTTTCACCATATCTCTCTGGATTCCTCAGTGATATTTCCACTCCGGGAGCAGAGAACAGCACCCCATCGCCCACTGGTCACATGATAGCCACGATGTATGCGTTTCCTTCACTCCCTTTTTTAAACACGACGTTGATCATTCGCAGCGCTATTTACTATAACCCCGCGAAAACCATGGGGGGAATGATGGAGGCTGATTCGTACTGCTCGATTGCTTTTCTTTATGCAGCATTTGTTTGTTTGGGAAGCATGTCCATGTTTTGGTCCCTTGAGGTCAGACCAGGATGGGAGTGGCTTGGTGACGCTCTCGTCATTTTCTGGGTCGGAGTCAGTATGTGGGGTCTCACTTGGATAAAAGTATGGATGGACAAACCCACGTTTAATTCGGGTATGTTAATCAGGGGTTTAATTCGTTCTTATACTGACTATTTATCAGCGTGTAGCATGGCTGCCATCATATTATCTGTTGTGTAGGCTATCGTGCGTCATATTTGGAGCATGCCACTTATATATATTTTTAGAATCGTCAAGGAAGGAGGCTTGGAAACACTCCTGCAAGTCTTCTCGGTCGTGCTTGTTGGTACCTTGATATCAAACATCGTGTGTTTCACGCTATGGCCAAAAAGTGCTACAGGAAACCTCCAGTTAAACATGATAAAGACCTTGGATTCGTTTGCCACCCTCCTTGGCATGGTTACGAACACCTTCCTCTTAGAGGAGCCCATTCGTCAGCTTAGCCAGGATAAAATACACAAGGCGGTCGAGAGCCATCAGGCTAGTTTTACGGGTCTCAAAAAGAACTTAGAAGAAGCCAAGTCGGAATGGTTCAGCGGTCTGCGTGGACAAGAAGGCAAGGCGTCCCGACAAGCCTACGAGGACGCGGTTGACAGCCTCACGCGTCTTGCTCAACATCTGAATGGCTTGAGAAGCGGCACCCGGTTGCAGTACGAACTCACGAAGGCTCACAGCGAGGGACGCTTGACGCTGAAGCGACGCGATCAAACAATCGGAAGAGAGCCTGATCCAAGCGGGTATCATTCTCCGGCCGGGATGGGGAGGAGGGTGTCCAATGGTGGTTTGGACATGAGGGATGACACAGACGAAATCCTACTACAAGCTGCGGCGGATATGTTTGGCGATCTAGTCGATGATCTGGGTCCACCGCTGAAGGCACTGACGGTAAGTCTAACATCATCTGTCCTGCGGAAGGTACTCACAAGCAGCTGCAAGAGGACCTGTACGGCAAGTTTCAAACGTCTACGCGAGGCATTTGCGCAGAGCAAACATGTCCAAAGAGAAACTCCACTTCGACCTCATGATTTCCACCTTCTAATTGATGAGATTGACCGCGCCCTGTTTACTTTCGAAAGCACCTCGAACCACGCTGTCATGCGTTTATACAAACGAAGCAATTTTTCTGCCCCGTCTTTGGCGAGTTCGTTCGATTCGTTAGCCCAACAGGACAATACGATTCTTATGAACAATGAATATGAACACATATTTCTTCTCTATTTGTAAGCTCTCGATAATTTTGCTCGAGAGGTTCCATGCTGAAGTCATCGTGGTTCAGTTTCATTTTCACATTGCAGGAATTTTCTAGAGAGCTCATTTCTCTCACGGACGCTATGCGTAGAATATACGCAGTCAAACAAATCAGAGCGGATACTCCAAGTTGGTTTCACCGATACATTTTGCACGGCCCGTCAAATCTTTTATCTGCAATGCGATTGCGCCGACGTAACTTGGCTCGTGAAAAATCCAAGCCGTCTGGACTGCGTCGACTCTGTCAGTGATTACTTTCAGGGCTACTCACAATCCACTGACATTCTGCTATAAAGCATCATACTTCACTTCCCCTCATCACGCCAAAGTATTCTTTCCAAAAGTACAACCTCACGCTCCAAACACGATACAAACGCCCCATCCCGCAAATCTCCCTTTCATTGGTCGTATGAAGCGCGCACTTTGGGATTTTGGTGGGATTTTGAAAGGGCGCAAAATGAAGTATGCGTTCAAAGTGGGAATGTCTGCTGCTGTGTTGGCTGCACCTGCGTTCTTTGATGCTACGAGACCAATTTTTACGGATTACAAGGGTGAATGGGCATTGATTTCTGTGCGTCCAGGCGTCATTTATATTAATATGTGTTACTAATTTTCTTTTCCTTTTTAGTTCTTTGGGGTCATGTCGCCTACAATCGGAGCTGTAGGATGATTTTGTAACGGTCTTGTATCCTTGCTGATTTATTTGTTAGACCAATTTCCTCAGCATTCATCGTGTACTTGGTACTCTGTGGGTTGTCTTGTTCAGTACATCGCCCCTTTTGTTCTGACTACTCGAAGTTTCGGAGCAGTTGCCGCAGCTGGAATTTATAGCCTTTTCCCGGAGAATGCAATCGTGCTGACGATCTTCGGTTTCTTTTTTTCGATGCCTTGTTTTTACTACATCATTGCAATTCCAGAGTATGCGACGACGGGGAGATTTGCTCTTTTAACATATAATTTGACGTGCCTCTATTCGTACGTTGACAGAGGTTTCACTACTCGTGCAGCTTTTTGATCCTTATCATTACAGGTACAATGTTCGACAAGCCGAAGTATCTGTGATCGATATTGCATTTTATCGCTCGACTGCGGTTACCGTTGGTGCCCTCTGGGCTGCGATTGTATCTCGTTTCTGGTGGCCTTCAGAAGCGCGAAGGGAGCTCAGTCGAGAGCTGGGAGAGTAAGTCTGTCTTTGTTGAACATGTCAAATACTGATTTGTTGCTCCTAGCTTTTGTCTGAACATTGGCTGGCTATACACCCACTTGGTAGCAGCCAACTCAGGCGTGCCTCGCGTAGAAGATGATACAGATGAAGACGAGCCTGAGACGCAGTCCTCGGACGAGACGACGTCACTCTTGCCCAAGTCCGCTAAAGCCAAGCTTAGCAAATCCATTCACGAATTCATGGCTATGTTTGTGTAGCTTTACTGTGCATCAACCGTCGCTGATTCGAACTCTGCAGGGAACTGCACCTCCAGAGGAAGCTTATTGAATTGCAAGATCTTCTGGCTCAGACACAGCATGAGCCTCGGCTGAAGGGACCTTTCCCTATAGCACTCTATCGAGCGATGTTGACGAGTCTCCAGACTATCTTGGATAGGCTGCACAGCATGCGTTGCGTCACTACCCGAGAGGAGTGGATTACGGTAAGCTACATTCCTTCACCGTGGGTTTGTTTTGACGTAAGATCGTTCAGTCCGTAAGGAGAGATTTCATTTTACCCGTGAATAAGGAGCGAAGAGAAATGGTCGGAAACATTGTTCTTTATTTCTCTACGCTCGCATCCGCCTTTCGCTTGAAAGCGCCATTACCTCCGTACCTCCCACCAGCTGAGGAATCAAGGGAGCGTCTGGTACGTCTCTGAAATCTATCAATCTGATAGATGCCTTATCCTTTTATAGGTCAATGCAATCCGGAAATTGAATGTAGTCAGGAACAGAGATGTGAAAGCGTCTCGACACCTGCTTTTCTTTGCGTATGCTCTTACTATGAAAGGTGTTACTCAGGAGCTCGAGTATCTTGGGCGTACACTGCAAACTGTTTTTGGTGTGATTGGACACAATCCGGAAGAGTTTGAGGCGTTGTTTGTGGAGCCGGGTGAGAGTGTGGATGTTACGCATGTTGTTTGACGCATTGTAGATACTCTAATTTTTACTGCATGGACATGAAAGTAATGATGCATTGAAATCTGTACCAGTGTCTCCGAGTACCACAACAGAAAACCATTAGGCAGACAGCAGGATGTCATATACTTCATAGAAAATGATACCCTGACTTGCAGACGCTGAGGCTTAGACAGTGCATTTTCCATGGTATGTGTATAATATCATGCACATGCATCTTTCATTCAGGATATTTCTCAAGCTCAAGGCTCAGTGTAAAGTTCTGGATCAAACTCTTGCCTTCACGACGTGCGCCCCTGTGAAATCGCCATGCATGCCTGGTTCCTGAACCCAAGCTTGATGAGATATCAACTTCTTCAAAGGAAGCTGCCTCAATAAAATTATGCGTATACCGAACCTAGAAGCCATACTACAAGCTACTAAGAACCTTCGAATTACTTGGGTGTGTTATACATGTGCAGGCGGAATCCAAATACGAGCACGCCATCCGCTCTAGCGAACATGAGCGTTCATCATGTCGTGACGTGCGTATCCTCCCGGCGATCAGTAGCACTGCTTATATGTATATGGCCGATAGGCGCAAGCAGCAATAAAGCCTCAAGGCTTGTTTGTGGTTTAAGACGTATCGCCTCACAAGTCGGGCGAGCTCCGTCTTCTGCGATCAGCGTTTTGATACCTTTAGTAGAAAACCTACCAGTGATTGAGAAACTAAGGACAGGATGCACCCTAAAAGGGTCCTAATCCCTTCGCAGTAATCGTATTTCGAACGAACGACAGACTCTTCAGGAGGTGATCATACTGTCACAACACCCTTCTCTTCCAATTCGCGGTAATGGCATGCCGCCATACCATACTGGAGGTCGCCGAATGGATATGAATGAGCGTGTTGCGCCAGCACAAACTGGCCCGCAATCATATAAAATCAGTGAACAAGTCATGCCTGCTAATCCTCACAGCCTGTCACTATTATCCAAGCTAGTTGGGATACTGCCACAAAGCCATGTCAGACAAAACACCTTCCCGGGACGTTTCTCCAACCATTGAAGTACCTGACATGTCATCGTCAGCCGACGGTGACTCTGTTCATCCGTCCAAGTTGTCGGTCGAGATCACTGGTGCGCTTAGTTGGCTGCAGGTTTGAGCCGCTATTGACAAGCATGATTGTAGACATCAAAGCGAGTGGGCTGCCAGAAAAAATCGGGTTATTCAGTGGTCAATTTTACGTCCGCATAAAGGGAGACAAATTCACGAAGCAATCGAAGACTACCAATTATGCCAAAGATGGCGAGTATGTTGCCGTTTGGAAGGATAGTATAACCTTGTATGCCCTATAAATTTCTTGTAGGCTAAGACTGATGGGAGTTAGTGATGCCATGGAGTCCTCTTCGATTGAAATAGAGGTCTTTGCTCGCCGTTGCTTCTTCAGCTACAAGGTCATCAAGAAGACGGAGAACAATCAAAGTCTTGGTGACCTCCTTGAGAATGTCAATACACGTGAGCCAGAGCGTATTCAAACGAGTCATACTCGACTAACAGACCCTGACAGCGGTTGTACTTGAGCTGCTGGGGAATGGTGAACCTACGGGTAAAGTCACGTTCCACATTTCCAAGAGTAAGGCAGCCACGTTCAAAGGGGATTAGTAGGAGATATACGAGGTTGTACGGCAAATGGATAGGGTTGGCCACGGTCAAGAATTTTCGAAGACGAGGACCTTGATGGATAGGTACCACATATGCGCAATTTCAGGTATCCTTCTGTAGCTGTTGACGCGTCGATTAGCGGTGCCGGTGAGATGCTATGGATATAATACCTGCAGATAATTATAGCAAGCTCTTAAAAATAAATACCCTTTCTTCACGGTATCCCTCAAACACAAAGACCATACCTGCATATTACGCCAATAACCTATAAGAGCACACAGCACGACCTGCGGAGATCAGGAATATCAATGATACTGCGCCGCAGTCAGATCAAGGGGAAAGGCCGATACGTTTAGGCCACAGCTTGGCCGAAGGCGGAGTTTAAATGATGACTAATGGCAAGAGTCACCACCATCCAGCCACAGATCACACACACCACCACCACACGTTTGAATCATCTCCTTTATAGTCTCCAAAGAAATCTCATTTGTGAACCCCTTCGTTTATAACCTCAGTTTCTAGCTTAGATATTCAAATCTCTCCCAGAGTAGGCCTGATGCGTCTCTCAATACTTCCCGTTCTTGTTGCAGGGGCTGGTATTGGTACGTTTCACTTGAGCAAGCATGTGATGTCTTACTGACGAGTCGAGACGCCTTCACAGTCAGCCAAGTCACTGCGGAGCCCCTCCGTCCCTTAATTGGGAGTCCCTCAAATGCCAACGCAAACATTCGCTTCGGCCATGCCCTTGCCAATGCCAACGTGAATGGCAATGATGATTCTGACAATGTCGCCCGCTTGGTGCGTCCGAGCCTCGCAATGACCACCTCCAACGAAGTCAAGGGCAAACATCACTTCTGCGGTGCGTCCCTGAAAGCAAAGGCACTTCGCATGTCAAACGCATTCCGTCATGCTCTTGGCCTTCCTCTCATTGAGATGGGCGATCACGACACATTCAAGAGCGAAGTCGTCAACAAACCCATTCCTGTTTCTGGAGAACTTCACATCCTTCCCATCCCCTTGTTCGGGCAACCCGCTACACCAAACATCCCCGCTAGTTCCTCTGAGAAGGAAAACGCAGGTGATGTCAAGGAGCTTCTTTCTGATGGGTCCGTCGTGCGGATCTATCGCCACCATGAGGCTGAATCTCACCACCACAATCACCATGACATGGAGCACAAGAAAGCTGGGTCTTTCCTTAGGCGTGTTCACCGCGCCATCATGGCTCTAGGCCTATGGGAGGGTCGCGCTGTTGCGTTCGTTCTTGGTGAGTACTTACCTTGTATCATTAGAATACCACTGATATCCTTGGAAAGGTTGTGGAATCGGTGTTTTGCTTCGCATGTTTTGGGTAATGTCTGTCCTCGCGTATCGCACTGTCAGGGGTGAGAGATCGGAGGAGGTCAGCCACGGGTACATCATGTTTGAACATGATGCAGAGAACAACTTCGTGGCTCCCCCTGAATACACTGACGAAAAGATGAAGGTAGCCGAGGTCGAGGCTCAAGAGATCGAGACTCGCGTGGAGTGAACGACACCAATCCTCTCCACTTGAAACACCACCATGCCCATCAATATTTATATCTCGTTCGCCCTGTGACTACATATTTACACCCAGATTCATTTCTGTTTTCCTCTTTGCCTGATGCATAGCTCGTCGTTTGGTTTGGAAATTCTTCGTGTCTGTCTTTGACGGACTTTGAATCTCACCCTCCTTTGTCACTGCACATGTTGTATTTCTGTTGCTTGGTGTTCGTAGTAACACAATTGATATGATTGCCTGTAAATACAAACTGCCAGCGAATAAACAGCGTGCTCAACCTATGAGTCACAGCAGCCTCCGAAACATCTGAACTCTATAACTAAGACCGTGACTTACATTACAAATTTGGCGAAGTCAAGTAATCCGGACTGTGACTTATTTTGGACTCATTCAGATTATCAACCACATTAACCGCATGGTGGTAACTCATGCTTCAGTCCGGGTCAACGTCCTTGTCGAGGGCAACTATATTGGAAGGGCTTGAAAGCGTCCTTGAGAATAGAGTGCCAGCCCTGACACCGTTCTGTTCGCAGGAAGGATAAACGAATCAAATAGTTGGATTCTACCGATGTCCACGAGGTCTATAATTTACGCACTTGAGTTTTGTGGTGAGTTCCGATTGGCGGAGATCCTTTGCTCGGTGTTCTGCTAGGCTCTTATTGTAAGAGGCACTTGATTTGTGATCAGGTCATAGGCTGTGTCCATGCGTGATTCGGAGTCTTAAACACTCAGCCGTCTTTGCAACACTGAGATGGTAGCAATGCCACGTGTACTTTGTTCCAAGTTCCACGCAGGCGTTCACATCGAACGTGCAACAACTTGAAGCCCCAGCTGTTCGACCGCAAGTCATTGCTTCCAACAAACCTTCAAATGCACCACTCGAAGCTGGCATGCCAATCATGCATGTCTTTCGCAGGATTTGGCACATCTCGTGATTCCGACTCGGGAGACATGCTGCGGTGACAGGTCACTACTAATATGTCGGCGTTCCCATGTACTAGGGCAAGTCAGTGTCACTGAGGGTCAGGTACGTGCTCCAACAAACTGCATCAAATAAATCACACATTTTGAGTTGTCTGAAGGTATCTGTTGATGACAACTTCTACGGACAGTGGTGTTGATATCCCATTGGGGGCATGCAACATTATTGTCACAGCCTTGGAGCTGTTATGATTATCCCCTGGTATAGACGTCATCGTAACGTTGTGAAGCGTGCGAGCGGCGTTGGCTTCTAGACCGAAGTTACACCAGTTTGCGATCCTAGTTGGTTCTTGTCTGCTGTCAAGGAACCAAGTGTTTCTATGTCAAACTTACGGCCCATCAGATAAAGATTGGACGATACCACACTAAGTATTTTTACATCGTAGGTTCATTATGTTTCTAGAACTCTATCAGAAAAGTTAAACAGACTTTACCATCACGGATATCATTGGTTTATTTTACAACTATCTGATACTTCACCACAGTTAGCGTTAAGTATCTTCATTAAGTATCTTCAGCCGCAACGGACATGAACTCGCACCTCTTGTCAAAGACACTCAGTACTCAGAACTCATACCCACAGGATCTTCCCGAACGTCCGTGCCGTACCACTCTTTCTATGGAAAGCAGGATGGCCGTGCTCGATTTGTCACTGTGACAATTACCATAGCAAGTAAGTGCAAGATTGGGACTCCGTGCACCGCAAGAACTTCGTTTGAATAATATATTGTATATTCTGTTGCACAGTTCGTGCAACAGGTAATCAAGAATCAAGAAATCGCAGTAGTGTATAGTGCGAGACCGTCATTACTACGATATCTACCACTCGTGTGTTTCGTCGTCCTCCTCATCAGAAAACCAAGCATGGCCCCTCCTCTTCAGCAACTTGTTCATTAGGTAGTAAAGATGTGTCCAGTTGATCCTCCTCTATGAGTGAATCCAGTTGGTGATGGTCAGATGTGTCTAGTTAGAAATAGATCACTTAGAAAGAAAAGGCTTATTCAAACATACTAAAGATGTACCAAGACCTAGTCCTCCATGTACACCACCCATGTAGTCACTATCATTAGCGCATAACAAATCCCTCTGGTTTTTGAGGAGAGGTACATGGTCCTTGTTCATATCATCATCAACCATCTGTGGCAGCTGTCCAGCGAGTCGGAGAGAGTGAAGTAAATCCAAGTAAATGTGCCAAGCTGATTGGCAGGTGACTGGAGGCCGACTGTTACGACTTGGATGGTATCTGTTGGCGACGCTCAAACAGAGCATGTGTCGTCAACGGTCGAGGACGTCCTTGGGCTAGCCCAAGGTTAGGGGTCTTACTTGGCGAGGCTTCGGCAAGTAAGATTTGACGCCTATGTCCGAATCGGGTAGCTTACGTCAAGTGGATGCTAGACGATGAGCTGTATCTGCCAAGACTTACGACACCCGAAGGTTAATCGTAAGGATCATCGTTAATTAGAAGGACAGAAGTCCGACTAGTTAACAGGGGCTTTGCTTGTCGACGAAGTCGATGAGCAAAGATCGAGACTATAGGCTTATCCGCGATGAGCAGATAAGAAGATAGAGTATAGACTGCTGGCTAGGCAGAAAGGATCACTCTGGTGAGAGTAGGAGGTCAAGAACCAAGTAGATTCAAGTTAGGGAATACAGTACATGGTAGCAAGTTTATATAGAGGACAGGGGGCGTATTAGTGGATGATAACTTGTACTACCAAGTGAGGCAATTGGTAAAGGGTATAACCATAAAAGGAAAGCACGTTCGCGTTTGAGACACGGGTGATGCAGAATGTGCTGGATAAGAAAGTGAGTCAAAGGTCGAAATAAGAAGTGAAACGCGCAGGGGCACGATCGTGCAACTGCGGAGCTATCTATAAGTCGCATGTGCGACTGCTCACCGAGTCAGAGATCAAGAAAGGAAAAAGGGCAAAGGGGATGCATCGTGCATCGTATCATAGGTTACCGTCCAGACGGTAAGGGCAAGGGGACTGTCCACAGGATCAGTCGGGTGGTGGAATGGAGCATGGGTATGCTTCGTCATCAAAGGGATCCGGCCAGATGTACTGGCTTTGCTGAAGCGACAGATAGAGAGCGAAGGGGAATGCGAGGATGACAAGGATGACCAGGGTAAGGTCAGGGTAAGGGTATGATGCAAGGGCTGATACGAGGAGGATTAGGAGAAAAATGGTAGGGGCCCAAGCGTCTAGATGTTCTTGTAACACCGACCAAGGTCATCATAACAACACTGAATAAAGTGATTGAGTGCCTGAGGCACCAAGTCGAATACTGGATGATCAGATTTGACATATACCTGGTGCACATGATCTATGCCGTCCTGATCAATGGTTACCTAGTATGTATAGTAAGAAATTGAACTCAGTACTAGTAGAAATGGATGACAGGAAGATTAAAACTTACCTTAAAATCCATTGCGCCAAATTCTTCAGGGGACTTGTAGATCAGATTTGGCACACCATGAGGGAGAACCTAGTCATTGATAACATGAGAGTGGTGCATATGATCTGCAAGTAAATACTAGTACCTTGTTACAATCATGTCTCTTTGCAGTGTTATTGACACGGTCTTGATACCTGTCCAATTCACACTGCAGCCACAGGATGAACACCCATCAAAATACCATCACTTGAAGAACATTGTCACTGTCATACCAACCACTTTCGACACCTTCATCAAATAGTGTTTCATAACTGGGCTCAAAAGCTAGGGGTCCAAATGAATCACATTACATAATATCATGTGACTTGTTAAAAAAACACTGCATGTTTTATTTGCCATAACTAGGGCTCGGTGAATAATTCACAGTTGGTTCTTAACATTTGTTAGTAACATGCGGCGCTCTGGGGCCTTAGTCTTCCGACCACGACGATTTGTTCTTACACATGTTATATTTGGACAATGTCAACAATGCCTGCTTGAATTATTCTGTTGGGTTGACATCCATAGGGTAGTCTCAAACCAGACTCAACTGACATCCCAAATTGGGAACCCCATCAGTAGAGTCTGGGATCCAACCGGAGGCAATAAGGGGGTTTGGTAGTTAGTAGTCAATGTGTCACGTCACACTCTTAATGCATGTCCAACGTCTGCCTCGTTGGTGTCACATTTTCTCTCTTCATTTTGTCTCAGAGCAATACAAATAGGCTGCTGCAATATGTACCCACTTCGTTCATGCCTGGATTCTCTCGACGACATTGAAGCAATCAGTTCTGTTGGGTCCAAGTCCTCCCCTATAACACAGAAGACAGACTCGTGGACAAGATGAGACTCATCAATGTATATGGCAGACAAAACAGCCTTAAATGAATCCGCATGTAAAATCTTTGCCATCATGGGACTCTCCATCATCTCCACACATGCGAACACAACTCTATAAAGTCCATGTGCACCATCAGCCAGTGTGGTAGCATCCTTCTGGTTCGCATTGATAAAGACTGAGCGGATTCTGAGAGCACAGTGCCTGTAAATCACCATAAAGCCCATGTCAATTGAAAAAAAAGTGGAAACTCACCTATCTCAGCCCTCCAAACCTAAGCTCGTATAAGGCGTGATGACAAGAGAAACACCTGATTTCTGAACAAGCAGTGGGAGAACACAGAGCAAAGACGTGCTCTGGCCAGTCGGTGCAATGACACAGACATCCTTTGAGCAGTCTGATTATGATGTTGTTGCATTGAATCTGGAAGTCACATGGGCGGCAGTCTGCTGGAATGATGGCAGCACCTAGTAGCGAGAGCACTCCACTCATCAGGAGTGAGCAGAGAATGGGGGTTTATCAAGACTTCAACCGAAAAGTCAAAAGCACACTGCTGCTTTTGCCCGCGAGAGGACAGGGCATATGGCTTGTAGGAGGGTGTTTGCAGCTTGACCTCATATCCATTGCAGAAGTGTGGGGTAAGGTTGATAGCATCGATAAGTGGATGTGAATTGAGGGTGTGGACATGTGTATTGACAGAATGGATGGGTGTGGTTGGATTGGCCTCAGTCACCGGTGCAAGCACTTGACGAAGGGCTGTGCGCACGTTTATGAACAGGAGGCCAGTAGGGTTAGGGATCTGCATGGGTACAGGTAACCCACGCAGGTCACGGGTACGGGTCAGGATTCTAAGACCCGCGCTCTTACCTGTACCCCAGCTATACCCATGCCTTGAATAAATGTCATACTTCCCATGTGCACACTACAACCGGCACCACCACCAAGCACTCAGACTTCCTGCCGGCAACGCATCAAGCTTGGGAAAATGATAACTCTCAATGCAATCCGTTTGAGAGCCATTTTGCTCGTGAGTCGTGTCCTTTTGTTCTACAGTTCACAAACTAATTTATGGTAGCCATTACACAGGCTGCCGTACGTCTACAGCTCGCGAACTTCAGGCTGGGATCAACATGTCTCTGCACACTGACATCTCTCCAAGCAGGCTAATCACCAGTGGTACTGATCTACAGGACCAACAGTAAGTTTGCTAATTAATCTAAGAAAACTATGCTAATCAGAAAACTCGACAGGCAGTGCTTCAAGGTGGACATCGCCAACATGTCTCTTCAGAAGCACCCGCCACCACATCGCTACCAACACCTTCACATTCGGCAGTACTCGCCATGTCCCCCACACCACGTTCAACAACACCCACTACGTCGCTGTGCAGCACACTGATGGATGCCACCAGCAAGCACCATCCAGCACCTACGCGACATGCTGACTCGCCAGCATCAAGCATACATGCTCAGACCACACCAGCATTTGCTGGCGTGGCTCGAACACACACAGAAGACACCAGGATGAAGAGAGAAGGAAAAGAGGAGGAACAAGAGGAGGAAGGAAGGATCTTGTCAGTAAGTCACCATCCTGACTCTGCCCCCATTTTCTGCAATGAGGACACGACACCCGACATGTCACACTCTCGTGCCACCACACCACCATCTTCCATTTTGACACGCTCACCTTCGACTTCAATTGTACGCGTGAACGCTCAGTGTGCACCAGCAAATTTGCCCGTGCCTCCACTCCTTCCTGTGCCAACCACATATGTTCGAGTCACGTCAGCGAATGCTGATGTGTGCTGGACATATGTGCTAAGCACTGGCAGTGATACCTATGGTACCCATGGGTAAACCCTGCATGGGTGCGGGTATGGCCTCCAATACCCAGGGGTTTACCCATGCAGTTCCCTAAGCAGGGTGTCAAATTTTCGTCCATTATGAGTATATAATTGACCTAAAATAAAGGATAGTGGTTGGTTATGGAGGAAAAATAGGTTTGAGCTGAATAAATAAGAGAAAATGTCTAACGGGTTGCTCGACACCGACGAGGCAGACGTTGGACGTGCGTTAAGAGCGTGACGTGACACATTTGACTACTACCAAACCCCCTTATTGCCTCCGGTGGATCCCAGACTCCACTGACAGGGTTCCCAATTTGGGATGTCAGTTGAGTCTGGTTCGAGACTACCATGGGGTGTTCGAAGTCCCACTGCCTCATATGGATGCGTGACGCCAAGAAATGAGCACGGCCATCCTGCTTTCCATATCTTTCGGGTATTTTACGTCAGCACAAGCTCTCCTCCCTGGCGGCGCTCCGTCCGAACCTAGAATATCTTAATTCAGGGAGCGAAACAATGTTTTGTGGTAAAAAAAACTTATAAAAGTTTTTAAGTCTACTCATATATTGGAGGACAGTAGGTTCGTTCTAATGATGGGGATCATATTACCTCTGTATGATCCTGACCTCAAAGAGCCGCATCAATATTCAACCTTCCTGTCGTCAATCACATAAAATGACATTAAACAAACATTCACTCCTGCATCGCCGCACGATAAAGTAGACCAGATGAAGATGAAATCATCCGTTCCTGTTAAGGTACGAATACCGGACTTAGCAGAATGGGTGTGTTTTCTCGTTTGCTTGAATACTGTGATGCGCATGGTGCGAGAAAGGCACCAGAAGAATCTAATGAACGGTACGCATGCGGACGCCATTGGTGCCTACATGACGGGCAGCCAATTCATAATTGCCAAAGCTACGAGAAGGATGAAATTTATGTTTTAGCGCCCGAAGCTACCCTTGAGGTTAGTCCATTCTCTCAATTGATCCCACGTCAAAGTTTTCACGGCACGTTGTACTATCGATTATTGATACATCAACCCCCCGTCGCCCCCGTCTTTATTATTTCACGTCAAAGGGTTTTCACTTACCGGTGTCGTTGTGTGTCCCTGGTCGACACATTCTTTCTCTCAGGATTCTATATATGACTGCTTGTTCTTCTCCAAAGCTAAACCACCCCCCTGGTTCTCGCCGCCGACATCCTCTCATTTACATTTTCCCAAATTTTGAGTCATGTCGTCCTATACCCCACAGACAGACTTGCCGCTTGAACGCTCTCGTCTCATTGGAATGATTTTGGGGGGTGTATCCTACGGTGCGTTTTTGACCCACCGCGATAATTTGATAGTTGACCTCTGTATACTATAATAGGGGTATACCTTCTTCTGACTGTACAAACAGTGATCGCTCTCATGCAACGTCCCCGACACGGGCAGAAAATTGCAGATAATCGTCGCACGCTTCTTTGTTACATCCTCATCACGTTCGCGCTTTCGACGATAAGTTTTGCTTGCAATGCAAAATATACGGAGATGATTTGGATAGACCTTCGCGATGCACCTGGTGGTCCTGTTGCGCTGATTGAGAACGTAATGCATTACCGTATCAACTTTGTGGCTATATTCTGGTAAGCATCTTTTCCTGTTCATCTACACACAACTTAAGGTCCCACCTAGTGGCTACGTCGCGGAGTGGCTCATGCAAGCACTTCTCGTGAGCCTAATGGTTTGCCGTATGTACAAGCCTGACGCTTGAAATACTCAGCTTTACCGATGTTTCCTGATTTGGAATTGGGCGAAGCAAGTGATGATCCCAATGTTCGCCCTCTATATTGGCATGATTGGTGCAGTGAGATTGTTTACAAACGATCGTAGTCACTGACATCTTGAGCAGCAGTAGCCATTGTCGTCTTGGTTCATGCGGGTATTGGGAATCTGTTCTACAATATCAACACCACGCTTGCGTACCTCGCCTTCCTTGTGGCGAACACCATGCTTTATACCATTCTCGTGGCGACACGTTTGCTCGCCATGCGAAGCCAGATGAAGACAGCATTGGCTGAATTTGATTCTAGCACCTATGATACCGTCATCCGCATGATCATTGAGTCCGCCACGATATACACTGTCTTCGTTTTCATCTACATAGTTGCATTTTCTATTCATGCAGACACACTTTCCACATTATGCTTCTTGTCTATTAACCAAGCTCAAGTAAGCAGGCAGAAATCTCGGTTATTCGTGTCTCTGATACTAGCTTCTTTCGTTTTAAAAAATAGGGCATTGCGCAGTTGTTCATCATCATACGTGTAGCACGGGGTAGGGCAGTTACACATGAGTGGAAGACCCGAGATGCTCCAGCACCTACGACTCTGGCATTCGCAGGGACTACATCCATGCCAGCAGAAGGAACCAACATGGCACAAGCAACCGGGCCAGAGCAGGACATTGCCAGTGAGTCGTGTTTTGTTTCGGTGAAGCCGGCGGAAGAAAATGTATAGCGTGTCATACTTGATTTAATCTATTTATTGTCTTCGTCTGCGTTACAACCTCTTTGTAATTTTATGGACATTCTCGTGTTTTCAGTCCATTACTACTTTACTATGATGCAAGCAATCCGCTCGCTCGCGGACGACTCCGTTGCATCGTATATCGTCATCATCTCGGATTGCTTTTTTATAGCAGCAACGAAGAGTAAACTACGTTCTATGTCTTTCTTCCCTCATTCGTGGCTGAAAATAACGCCCAAATGTAGTCACAAAGGGGCTGGAGTACATGCTTGAGCCAAAGTGGAACAGAAGAGCGCTCATATGGTGGCGATGCGAGTTAGTTTTGCAGGATCAAACACTCCATCCTTGACGCGGAAGGTAAATGAAGTACTGTCCACAGGCAGATCTGTCGTAAAATATCTTTGACGAAGACCTGATCAGAGTAGTGCCGAGTTAGTTAAAACTGCCGCCAAATGTATAAGCCGTGGATGCGGTCACTGGTTCATGTACCTCCCTTTCGGCGAGGATACAAGATATTCACAGATCCGTAAAAGTATTGTACCGATCACTAGACGACCTGAGCTCTTCTAGTTAGTTAGAAGTCCAGTCAACGATGAGGGTTCGCGTGAAAACACATCTTTCTTCGGCATAGCCAACGCCTCCGTTCTGGTTCTGGAAAAGAAAGATCAACCTGGCGTTGGTGAGCATGGGGCAAACAAAAATAAGTGATGCCGACAGCATCTATGACTTCCCCGAAGACTCAGACACTCTTCATTGCGTGATAGAGCGATGAAACTTGCCGAATCCTGAAAGACAAGCTCAATAACGTCTGAGCTATCTAACCGCAAGTCTTCGGTAGAGCTTGTCTGTGCCGTGATACGGTGCAAGTCCTATAAAAGCGAGGTAAAAAAATTTGGACTAGACCAGCCTCCTGAATTGCCGTATCGACCTTCTGCAGTGTTTGCAGGAATGCAGAAGTGAGCGATTCCTGCTTATATGGTCTCGACGTTACAGGCCGAATAAACATAAGGAGACGCCCGACTTAAACCGCAACCCTCTCGACTCCGCAGTAGACATACACTATCTCACTTATCAGCACATCGTTCTTGCGTGGACTAAATCTGTGTCAGATAGGACTTGATGCTCTGGTTGTTTCGAGTAGTAAAAGCTGAAGCGAGAACAGGATAGGACCAAGAGCAGATTACACGACGGGACAACATTGAACAGAGCGTGGGATGCGACTCAGAGCCGCGAACCAGTCGAAGGTCTGCATCCAATAGAGACCGGACACAAGTGGGTGTGTAAGGTGAGCTACTCACCCGAGGCGCGACAGGAGGATACAATAAGGGAATCACAATCTGGGACGCGAAGGCAGCTGTTGCCCACGCAACTTAGACTTAGCTTATTGCCGGGTTAGGTTCGACAGCACTGCCACATGGCAGGCCTCCTCAGGGTCACGAGTTTGAGTCCACACTTTATTTCCGAACGACCGTCGCTCTTTGCGAGTACATCATGGGATGATACAGCACGTCTCTGGAATATTCCTCCAAGTTGGAATATCTCTCCAACACGACAATCGCGTCGATTGTGCAGTTTTACGACTATCTGATGCTGCACCACAGTCAGCGTTAAGTGCCAGTGTCTTCAGCTAGTATACAACAGACATGAATTCGCACCTCTTGTCAACACTATTGACAAGGGTGTTCCAGAACGTTCATGTCATGCCACTGCTTTGTGTCAACACAAGCTTCGTTCCCTCGTTACCTGCTGCTCAGTTTGGTGTTCCGTCTTGACCTTCTCAGTTCAGGGAGCGAAACATTCTCTTCCGTGGTAAAAAAAGTCTTATTGACAGTATAATACTCTATGAAAACAGTACGTTTGTTTTAATGATGGTTATTGTATTAGCTCCGTATGATCCTGACCCAGAACCCTAGGTGTATATTCCTTGGGGACCAGCGAGTCGCATCGATATTCAATGTCCATGCGGCCAGTCACATAAAGTTTTATTAGACTCACATTCGCTCCTGCATTGCCAAATGATAAAGCAGACTAGACAAAGATATCATTCGTCCCTTAACAGGGACGAATACGTACTCAGCAGGGTGGGTGTGCTTGAATACTGCGATATGCATGGGGCGAGTCTGAAGAAGGCACCAGAAGACTCTAATGAAAGGTATGCATGCATCCTTCATTGGGGTTCAGCATGACGAGCAGCGAATTCGTAATTCACCAAAGCTGAAGTTATGCTTGAGGTTAGTCCATTCTCTCGATCGATCCCACGGCAAAGTTTTTCACGGCATGCATTATGGATGATTGATTTATCAACTCTTCGTCGCCCTCGTCTTTATCACTTGACGTAAAGGGGTTTTTTACTCACCAGTGTCAGTGTGTCCCTGGGTGAAAACTCTATTTTAGGACTATATATGATTGCTTTATCTTTTCGACATCCTCTCATTTACATTTTCCCAAATTTTGGGTCATGTCGTCCTATACCCCACAGACAGACTTGCCGCTTGAACGCTCTCGTCTCATTGGAATGATTTTGGGGGGTGTATCCTACGGTGCGTTTTACCCACCGCGATGATTTGGTAGTTGACCTCTGTATACTACCATAGGTGTATACCTTCTTCTGACTGTACAAGCAGTGATTGCTCTCATGCAACGTCCTCGACATGGGCAGAAGATTGCAAATAATCGTCGCACGCTTCTTTGTTACACCCTCATCACGTTCACGCTTTCGACGATAAGTTTTGCTTGCAATACAAAATACACGGTGATGATTTGGATAGACCTTCGCGATGCACCTGGTGGTCCTGTTGCGCTGATTGAGAACGCAATGAATTATCGTATCAACTTTGTAGCGATATTCTGGTCAGCATATTTACCTGTCTATTCACAAACGACGTTCACGGTCTCATCTAGTGGTTATCTCACGGAGTGGCTTGTGCAAGCACTGCTCGTGAGCCGAATATTGTGCCGCATGTGCAACTGACCCCTGAAATACTCAGCTTCACCGATGTTTTGTGGTATGGGATGGGTCGAGACGCGAGATGATTCCCATGTTCGCCCTCTATATTGGCATGATTGGTGCATTTAGGTCGTCTACGAAACAGTCATAGTTACTGACATCCTGAGCAGCAACAGCCATCGTCGTCTTTGTCCAGGCAGCTACCGGGGCTCTATTTTACAATCTCGACGCCGCACTTGCATACCCCGCCTTCCTAATGGCAAACACTATGTTTTATACCATTCTCGTGGCGACACGTTTGTTCGCCATGCGAAGCCGGATGAAGAACGCGTTGGCTGAATTTGATTCTAGCATCTATGATACCATCATCCGCATGATCATTGAGTCCACCATGGCATACACTGTCTTCGTCTTCATCTACATAGTTGCATTTGCTATTCATGCAGACACACTATCCACATTATGCTTCTTGTCTATTAACCAAGTTCAAGTAAGCAGACATAAACCTCGGTTATTCGTGTATCTGATATTGGCTTCTTTGTTTTAAAACATAGGGCATTACGCAGTTGTTCATCATCATCCGTGTGGCACGGGGGAAGGCAGTTACACACGAGTGGTCGACCCGAAATGCTCCACCAGTGACGGCTCTAGCGTTCGCAGTGACTCCATCCATCGCAGCAGAAGGAATTGACGTGACGCAAGCAGCTAGTCCAAGTGTCAGGGAGTCGTGTCCTGTGTCGGCGAAGTTGGCGGAAGCAAATGTATAAGCTATATACTTCATCTTGATTTATTCCGAGTCATCAAGTTTATCTTCGTCTGCTTACAACCTCTCTGTAATCTTATAAACATTCTCTTATTTTCATGTTTTCAGTCCATCACTACTTTAATATGATATACAGTAGGTAGATGAGGTACTATCCACAAGCACATCTGTCATAAAGTCGCTTTGGCAAGGACCCGAGCAGAGTGGTATAGAGTTAGTTAAAGCTTCTGCCAAGTGTACGAGCCGAACCGTATGGTCACTGGCTCGTGCACCTCCCTCTCGGTGAGGAGACACAATATTCGCGGATCCGAGACAGTATCATACCGATCGCTGGATGGTCTGAGATTCTTATTAGTCAGAAGGCTGGTCAACGATGATAGTTTGCATGCCGGCTTACCTGAGTTCCCACAACTCGCGAATACTTGAACTTCGAGCCCAGGCTAGCAGATATCTTGGAGAAAGCGGAGATGCATCGGACCATTTAAAAGGTCGAGGAGACGCACATGGCACTTCGTATGCACAGCACTGTGAAGCTGTGGGGAGAACACAAGGATACCGTATAGAAAGACACTCTGGTGTACATGATGGTCAATTTCTTGTTGCTTTCCAAGCGGGTTTTTTGTTGTCAGATCTGGTTGTTGCTCAGGATATGGCTCGTTGGTTGGTAGTATGTGTTGATGTTGAATGATAATAGTTTTGTCTGGCCCCGGCAGGTATGTTTAATTGGAAAAGACTTGAGCTACAACTGTGCAAGGTTATACACTGCTAGCGGGCCCTGCACGACTTAGCGGACGCTGAGACTCGTGTCATAACTTGGCGCATAGTCATCACATTTCGAGGTCCGCCAGTCCCGCGGAAAGGGACGGTCCGTTGTTTTCATCACAGACTTCTAACTGGAGTTATCACGCGTTGGCTCCTGTTTTCGACCTCATCTGTTCTACTACCCCAGTAATATCTATTTGATTTCTTCCTTATCCTCAGGTCTAACTTAGGGTGTCGCCGACATTACCTGTATCACACCTGTCTCGCATGAGCCCTATGTCCAGATGTCTACCTAGCCTTTTCACCAAGTTCTCGTTCATGTCCGGTTGTTCGTTGACCACGTACATCAGGCTAGGTATCCACAGTTTCGGAGCGTAGTAAGTCAGGGCTATCTCTTGGTTCAAGTTCCATTTGAATAGCTGAGAAGTTCCAAAGTTCCACAGTGATACACATGTACGCATCCGACCATTCCGGTCGTCGCAGTCACCCAACGTGGAGACTGGGTGATTCCTGGTAATTCCCGGTTGACTACTTATTACTTGTAATACTGTGTGAAGGCTCATTCGAAATTGCCCACTTGCAACGCCGCAATATGGTGGCTCTGAGGGCTCCAGCGATTTCGGAGTCGCACCCGCAACTAAATGCAGATGAAACGACTCTCGCCAACCTAGGATACAAGCAGGAGTTTCACAGGGAATTCACTCCGCTAGAGGTGAGCTTGATACCAGACTCTTCCATCTATGCGACTCAAGTCAACAACTGCAGGTGTCTGGACTTGCATTTAGCTATGCCGGAGTAGTTCCTTCTATAGTGTAAGCCGTCACTGTGACAATTGAAATTGCACCATTGACGACAAAGATCGATTCAGCTCCGTGATCTTCTATGCCATACCAAATGGCGGGCCTTTCGCGATGGTTTGGGGTGTAAGCTTTTATCACACGTGACGATTACTGTTTTATAAACATCTCATTTTTCTTCTGTGCAGTGGGCAGTTGCTTGCCCCTTTATCATGTGCATCGGGTTGGCGATAGCAGAGCTCGCATCAGCAGCGCCTACTTCTGGTGGTGTATGTCATTGGCGCTGTCTCTGTTTCACATTTGACTCAACACAATCTAGCTATACTACTGGACTTACTCGCTTACTTCTCCACGATGCCGCAATTTTTTGTCGTGGATAGTTGGCTGTAAGTCCTGTATTTTATGTGACATGCAGCCAGTCCTGATATCTGCAGATTCGAACACCATAGAGATGATTATGGGAGTCGGTAAGACGAGTTTCATTTTTAAACAGTCTCCCCCTGATTATGCGGGGCTAGCTTCCGTAGACTGGGCTTGTGCAATTCAAATTACTGCAGCAATCAGTATTGCCTCCTCTGACCAGGCATATACGACTACCAACCGGGAGCTCTAGTAAGCTCGTCCTCGTGCAGACACAATACTCTTCATATCGGTTGTTATAGTGGCATATACGCAGCTTTGGTTTTGTCACAAGCTTTCCTCGTGAGCTTCGGTACCAAAGTTCTGGCAAGACTACAGAGAATGTTCACGTTGGTGAATGTATGGTAGGTGTTGTAGAGTTCGTACATGATCATTGTTTCAAATCCTCCGATAGCCTTTGCTTCATAATCATAATTGCGCTTCCGCTCGCAACGCCACCAGATTATCGAAACAGTGTAAATTTTGCGCTAGGGAATTTCACCAATTGTATGTATCATCGTCCAATTACGCTCGCAGCTCACGATCAGTTATAGTGGCCGGCTGGCCATCTGGATTCGCATTTATTTTGAGCTTGATGGCTCCTCTTAGTGCAATAGGTTGGACTATATTCTCTTGAGTTATCGCTCCATAACAATCGTTAACCCACCAGGGGGTTATGATGCTAGCGTTCATATGAGCGAGGAGGCTTCAAATGCCGCTACTACAATACCATGGGCAATAGTAAGTGATACTAGAAATGACTAATTGTTGCACGGTGTTTATCCTTGTCAGGTCAGTTCCATTGCTGTATCGGCTGTCCTTGGTTGGGGTATGTGGAATGTCATGTCACTCTGATCTTCATGACATATTCTAATCCAGGAATCAACATCTCCGTTGCCTTTTGCATGGGTACTGATGTCAGCAGCGTCTTAAATAGCCCTATAGGCCAGCCTATGGCACAGATATTATACAATTCGCTTGGGCAGAAACAGGCCCTGGCTCTGTGGTGGCTCATTATTGTAGCGGAGTACGTTTTAGTACCTTTTGATGTATTCGCAGCCTAATCATAGAGCAGGTACATGATGGCATCGAACTGCCTCCTGGTCGGCTCTCGCCAAACGTTTGCATTTGCTCGTGACGGAGCCCTCCCTTTTTCATGGTATTTGTATCGGATCAATCGCTATACAGAAACACCCGTCAATACAGTTTGGTTTGACACAATCTGCGCTCTGGCAATTGGACTTTTGTCGTTCATAAGTGAGGAAGCCATCGATGCGGTATTCACAATTTGCGTCACCTCATCGTATATCGCCTACATAATACCGATCACAGTCCGCTTTGCGTTCAAGAATGACTTTAAACCCGGCCCATTTCATCTTGGGAAACTGGTAGGTTAATCGGCAGTGATATATTCTTAAACTAATATGCCTGTGCAGAGCTTTCCAGTCTCTGTGATCGCTGTGACATGGATGATCTTTGTGATCCTTGTTTTCTTCTTTCCTGCGACCCCGCAAACAACGTTACAGCAGATGAACTATACGGTTGTGGTACTTGGAGGGTTCATGTTTCTGGCAATTTTCTGGTATTATTGTCCAGTGTACGGAGGCGTTCATTGGTTCAATGGACCCGTATTCAACGTTACACCGGCTATCCGAGGTGAAAACGAAGACGAGGATTTGATGTCGGACTCGGAGAAGAAAGAACGATGTGATGCTGATGTCGTTGTCAGAGCGGTGGATGTATAAATAGTATCCGTATGATAGACAAGCGAGATGGCAGCTAACGCTACACAATGAGTCAACCTGCAACAAAATCAACACGGAAATATTCATAAATTCTTGGATATACAGTCATACCTTGGGGATAGGATTGAATGGTTCTTACAAGTTGTGTTTCCTCACCAGATACTGGGAATGCTGAGGCAAAGGGCCATATGGAAAAAGCTGCTTGCAAAACAGTTTTTTTTGGGTCCTGTGCGAGTCAAGGGACAGCAGGTCCAGGGAGGGGCTATATCGAATATAGTAATAATCGTATTGGCTGACGGAGTTTTATTGCGACACAGCCACATAAGTTACAGCCTCGCGGCTATATTAAATTACAAGTTTATACGTGGTAAGTGAGCGCTGAATACGCGTGGCCTCAACTCTCAAAGGCTCATATCAACCTCACACAACAAGTAAACATTGAAAATACCTTCATATAGGTATCTGATTTCTAGGTTTTCGGCATTCATCATGCCCCACCCTGCCGGTTACCAACAGTTACCCCAAGGCGTTGAAGATGAAATTATTGTCGAGGAGCAAGACACAGAGGATCACGCTAAGGCTGCCCGTGGACGCAGTGCCCGAGTACACAAACCAGGACATATAGACTTGCGAAAGTTAGATAACGCATTCAAAAGGTGTGCGAGGGCTTGCTGAGTTACAGTATTAGTCTCGAGCTAACACATGTCTTCAGGTGGACAGAGTCTATTGCGCAGAAAGTTAAACGGAAGAAGAAAGTCGAAGACTACTCTCGCAAGGAGATATGGCAGAGTGTCTTTGAGCCCTGTGCTCCACCCTTTGCCGTTGGGAGCGGGAGTGAATTCATGGTAAGCCCTGTGGTTTTTACTATCAAAATGCATGCTCCCCATAGTTCCTAGTGTCCAATGTCGGTAGTAACATCTTGTTCACAGGTTAAAACACTTGATCACAAGCCTCCCATGTCTCAAGCGACTTTCGACAAGTAAGCTAGAATTATTGGTAATTCAATACCGAGCTCATAGTAAACAGTTTAGCACAATCAGTGCGAAATGCCATATCAGCTGGAATCCACCCAAAAATGATTGTGAAAGGGTCTTCTGGATCCTACTTTGCTCGTGCGAAAGTTGATGGGAGAGTCCAGACAGTTGCGTGAGTATCGAGTGATCATGATTCAGTTACATTCGCGACAACTTACCATATATCATATGTAGTGTATTCAAGCCTAAGGATGAGGAGCCTTATGGGCGCTTGAATCCTAAAGTGCGTGTCTTTATCATTGACCAGACTTTCACTTAGAAATTTTTCAGACTACTAAGTGGCTACATCGGCAATTTAGATGGATAATTCCATTCGGACGGGCTTGTTTGATACCCAATCTCAGGTAATTATATACAACCTGGAACAGCAGCTCACCCCGCGTGAAACTTACCGTACCCAGTTACATCTCAGAGGCTGCAGGATCCCTGCTTGACGAACGCCTTGGACTTAATATTGTCCCTCGCACACAACTCGTCTCATTATCCAGCCCTGTGAGTCCAATGTATGCTTTCTGGAATTCCTGGCTAAATCATTGTGTTCCAGGCCTTCTTCTATGACTGGATTGACAGAAGTGCAGCCAAGAAAGGTAAACAACTACCTGAAAAGATAGGAAGCATGCAGTATTTCTTGCACGGATACACTGGTTGTGTTTATTTTACTTACTTTTCATACATTGACTCATCTACAAATCATCAGATGCATCGGATTTCCTACGGAAGCATCCTTGGCCCGGTCGCTCTATCGCAGACACATTTGACGATTCATCGCACCGCAAAGGTCTCCCTACGAAACGTTTTCTTAGCGCACTGAAAATAATATGCGGAAGGACTGGTGACGAGGACATAGACAATGAGGACCCAGAGGAAGAACGTGCTCTTTTCGATGTTACTGAAGACAACGAATCTGGACGTCCGTTTTATTGGTCGCGAGCGCTTCAACAAAGTTTCAGAGAAGAGTTGGAAAAGTACGTATGTCGATTGTCGTTCTGTCACAGGTTCTCATGCTGCATCCCACTCTAAACTAGGCTGGTGATACTTGGTATACGCTCTTTGCTATATTCTTCCTGATGGCTAACTCCGCGAACAGATTACTTGATGCTAAATACTGACCGTGGAGCTGATAACTACATGATCAAGTACTGTGAGGGCAGCCACGAGAAGCTGGTTGATATTGCCCCTCAACCTTCAGCTCACCCCCAGATGCCACAAATGCGTCGTGCTCAGACGCATTCTCCATCCTCACAGTCTACCGTGACTTTTGTCAACGCCATCCCTCCATCTCAAGCTAACGCTGCTTCGTCTGACTATATGCGTCAGCCGCATATACATATCGCAGCCATAGACAACTCGCTCTCGTTCCCTCATGAGCATCCTCGAGGCTGGCGGTCGTATACCTATGGGTGGTTGTATCTCCCTGTTAACTTAATTGGGCGTCCTTTCAGTGCAAAGACGCGAGCGCATTTCTTACCCCTCTTGACCTCTAAAACTTGGTGGGAGGAAACAACCTTTCAGCTTCGTAATCTCTTTGCAGTCGACCCTGACTTCCATCCTAAAATGTTCCAGGTCAGTTGTGAGAGCTCATTGATGAAAACAATACGATATCATTTTTAATTTCAGAGGCAATTGGCTGTCATCAAAGGTCAAGCTTATAACATTATCGAGTCTTTGAAACATGCGGTGAGCCGGAACTGTTGGTTGGATCGTTTAGATTCGTTCAACTGATTGGTTTACTCTGTTAGGATGAAGGTGAGCGCCGGAGGCGGTTAAACAAATAATTTGGGTGTTCATTATTGCAGGTCCGCTGGAGTTGACCCGCCGTACGAAAGCACTTGTTTGGGACGACGAAATCGAAATTATGGAAGAGGCGCCTCGTCCCCCTGGTCCTTCACCTGCATCACCACGCCCGTCCATCAGTACCATGCCACTACCACGGCGTACACGCAGTCAAAGCCACTCTGCTGAGTTCCCTCCACCCGTCCGCCGGAGATCATCAGAAGCTGATCGCCCCGTTCCGTTCTCTGCCAAGTTTCAGAAGGTACATCCAGGTACGACAGGTGTCACGGTTCTCGAGCATCTTGAACGCCTGGATGTTGTCGAAGCCGGGCTGCAACGACTTGGCGTCGAAGAGCCGGTCATCGAGGAGGACGAAGAGGAAGAAGTCGACGTTGGAATGTCGTCTGCACCGCAACCCCTCCTTATCCCCACTGTTGATGCGCTTCCAATCGATGATCTTTCGGCTTCACAGCAACTCACCCCACCTGGTAGTCCGGGCGGGCTTACGTCTGTTCCGGATGTGCACTCACTCGCTAACTCTGTGACAGAGGAGGATCTGGCAGTCATGTCTAAGTCAATGTCTCATGTTGAGTCGCCCTTCGCACCCCAGCACAACAGGTGGAATAGCCATGCTGGGCGGATGTATCACCAGCCTGACCGCAGCCTGGACTGGATGAACGTCGACGAACTTGAACAGCAGAAGCGAACTGTTATTGTCGAGGTATGTGCACCCCCTATTATCGACGATGATCTGATCCACAATACTTGCATCAGCGATTTGAGACGGTCGCTGCGAAACCTCTTCTTAGCTGCTGGTGAAATATACGTATATTTCTTTCATAGAGCGGACCGGTTTGTCGTGTTATGGTTCAGGTTGCTATCGTAGTTTGCTATCTGGTATAAATGTCCAAAGATCTTGAAATCCATTATATACATTTAATAAGTCGAATGTTCGTATCTTGGTCGAGCCTGCAAGCTCAATGCAAGGATGATACTACATCCAATTAGTCGCCCTCAGTCATGAGCCACGATGCGAAGTCATCCAGCCGCTGCTTTTCTGCTTCGTCGTCATCTCCATCCAAATCGTCGCCCGCTCCGCTGCGTTTGAAGCGCTGTTTGCCTGAATACAAAAACGCCTCAATTCGTCTTCCAGCGAAGAACCTGTTGTTCATTTTCTATGACAAAATTGATTAATACTTGCCAAGGGGTCAGCGAGGGAGAGACGCACAATGACACAGGCCTGAGCACTCAGGGAGTCTTTGAACTTGACTGTCATCACCCCGTCAGCCTCTTTCTATAAGGCAAATCAGACATGGCTGTGGAGCAGGAAATATGGGACATACGTCATATAGAACGACATTTGTGACTTCTCCTAGTGATGAACATTCAACACGCACGTCATCCTTAAGATCAAGTAGCAGAGACGCGTCTTCGTCGAGTTCTTGGAGAGTGAACATGTGCTTGAGAACCACTACACGGCAGTTCCTGTTGACTACTTTCTTTTCGTCTTCCTCATTCTTAGCGGGGCCAAAGCCATCTTCGTCATCCCATTCCTCAATTTTTCTATAGGCAGATTAGAGATATGACAATGCAGTCCGAGAGAGAAGGGACATACTTCTGCATCTTGCCGATCCTTCTGGTTATCTTCTTCTTATCCACTGTCTTCCGCAATTTCACTTCCTCCCCTGTCCCGCCTGAATGCTTGTGACGAAATTCCGCCTTCTGCACTCTCATGACTGTTGATGTGTCGCCTATCCGGAGTTCCGAGTCATCCAGGAGGTTGACTGCCAAAGTCACTGATTCTTCTTTGAAATAAACCACCAATGCTTCTCCACTGAATGACCCGTCCTCGCGTGCGTACAGTTTCACTTTGGATTCGCCTTCATCATCTTCCTCAATAACTCCGAACTTAGAAAAGCGCTCAACGATTTCGTCCACTTCAGTGTCTGCAGGAAGCCCAGTGACGTAGACTGCCGTATTTTTGGATTTGGCTGGCTTGTCGTTCTTGCCACGCTTCGCAGAAGGCTCTGTTGGAGGCGTATATGACGTGTAGTTATCGGGTTCCTTCCTCTTCTTATTTGCGCGCTTGAGCACGGGCGCGGCTGGTGTCTGCGGAAATTATCAATTTAAGGAGTCGCCGTATGGAAGGAACAGCATCGCTTGACCTCTTCATCCACGCCAGCGATTGAATATGCAGCTTGTTGCTTTTTGATCAATTCCTCATCAAGCTGCCAAAGTTGCTTGCCTCACGGTCACTGGTGACTCACGAAGTTCACACTCACCACCGGAACCCATACACCCTTGGCGGAATCAAACTCGAGCTCAGAACCATCTTCATTCTCTAGCCTCCATGTTCCTGTCTCTCTGGAAAAGTGAATGCGGTCGTCGTTGGCGAAAGCATCTGCTTGAGCGGATGCAGATGCGCCCGCAGCTGCTGATGGTACGTCGTTGGACATCTCAGGCGGTTGTTTGTATGTATTTGATTCTAAAGCCTTAACACAGCTTTGTACTTATTAACGTGGCAATTGTCACTCATCCGAGCAACTCAAAGTGTATGCGTGCTGTCGGGACTCGGGACCACGGATACCCTTTCAGTCAACCAAAATACTTGGTATTGGGAATAATTACTGGTGAGATCAGACCGGTATCTTGATAATGCGCAACAGGTACGTGGATTGATTTTGTCACGTCCGAGATAATATCCTAGGAGGTCCGAATACTCACCAGCACCACTTAGGTTAACATATAATATCGTAAATAATTGAAGCCGTCCCAACTCGCTTGCAGGGACTCTTTCCGCACCTGCGCCTCATTCCCGATCATAGCCTGTGTTCGACAACATGTCAACCCAACAAGCTTTCTTGGTCAAAGAAATTGACGCACCTGGACCTGGCGAATTTCTCGCCAAAATCTTTCCGAGCGATCTAAACCCTTTCAAAGTTGAATTGGAAAATCCAAGAAAACGGGTTACGTCGTACCCCGTAGTCATCGGTGAAGAGACTGCTGGCAAATTTGAAGCTGTCCAACGGCGAGAACGTCACTTATTTTAAGAAAGGGAAATAGGGTGTAAATGGCATCGAAGATAGAAAGATAGTAATGTCATTTCTTTGACTTTTTGACAGATCTTTTCAAACGAACATAACAACAAGTTTACCACCTCCAAATAGCATCGCAATCAAGGTCTATCGTATGTCCATGCACATTATTGATCAGCCGAACACTATTGAATGCGTTGTTCGACTTCGTTGAGCCCTAACTTTTACCTCCGCCGCGCCCACAACAACACCCATGTTGACGAATAACATGTGTGGAGGAATTACTAGTAATTTCTCCACACGTGCTATCCAAACACAGGATTGTTTCATCGACAAACCGATCCGAGTCCGACTAGTGCTGGAGACCTCGACGGTGTCTCTAATCTGCAAAGACTGAAAAATAACCTTGTCAACGGCAAGAAATTCTTGGCGGCCAAACTCTAAGGTCTGTTCATTGTGTATGCTATATATAAAAATCGAAGACATCTTTTGTGCACAACAAAGGAATAAATGCGCATTATACTATCCTGAAACTGTGTGTAAGTTCTCATGTTAGTCGATGGAAGGTTTCCTCAAGGTTGATTTCATTTTTGGAACAACATCTGAGATAAGGACAACAGCAATAGCACTCATGTGTGCAGAGAACATACTGACACATTGTCACAAGACACGTTGGAGACTTATTATCAGCTCATTTGATTTGCGTTTACGAGATGCGTGAAGTCTTCACGCAAATGTATGGCGTGTTGCGTCCAGCCGCATAACACCGCTGACCTCTGAAATCGCAGTTCCCTCGCACGTGTGCACCTAATTGTTACCAATTTTCTTCTAGATGAATCTTCAAGGTTATTGGTCCGCTATGCAAGGCTGTCCTAGAAAACCTGTAATTAATATTATCGCTTCCAATGCCGCCCCCCTCTTGCACCCTCAGGCTCTCCGACTGTTATGTCGTACTCTGGCTCATCGAACGCCCCATCCCTTCTGTGGAAGCATGTCGATCTAGTTGAAAGTGAAGAGCAATCACCGCCTATGGAACTGCAAGAGTAATCCATGGCTTGTTAAGTTGGAGGATCCTGTAGATTGGACACCTAATCAGTATTCCATCAAGAGCTCATAGATAATAGAGACTTTGATACATGCACATCCGATCAATATGACATTGTCCACACAGAAATTATCATGAGCTCAAATCTTGCGGTCGTTGCTTATTATTGCCATTGCACACACCTGTACTGAGCTTTTGTCTGATACATCGTTCGAGCGAGCTGCACCTCTCCTGCTTCCTTCACGCCTTCCATTGCATCTGATATCAATCTATGTCAACAGCCTTGGAAGAGCGGCAGAGTGAGCACGCTAGTGGTTTATCGTAATGGTACATCCGTCGAGAAATCTGGTAGGTGCAGCCTCATCTGTTTGTGTCTGAGGTTTTTAGATCCATGAATCAGTGAGCTCTAGAAAATGCTCAACAAAGAAAATAAAATAAAGCAGTGTGGTTTGACCGCACCGAACACGAACTGTCACACAACTCAGCGATTGATTTACGTACCCTAAGTGTTGCTAAGCTTCAGTCCATAAAAAGCACAAAAGAACTCCTGTGCACTCTATACATACAGAGGACGGTGCTTATTCACATCGAAGCAGCTCCGCCTGCTGATCATTATCCGCGACATAGAATATATGGTCATCTCTTGATTTATCGGCAACAATAAAATCCTCGAGTTGAATGCAAAAGTCGACTACTTGTATAGCAACATTGGAAAATAGGCATTGGGATCATGAGGGGCGTCCGGCGCGAGCTCGGCTCTCCACTTCTTAAAGGGTGAGGGTACCTTCGGGGGGAGCTTTGACTGGTCATACACCTTGTGCACAGATGTGATTGCAGCGATTGCGCCTGTCAAATCCAAGGTCTCCTGGGTCTTTGTAGGGACATTCGCGTTCTCACCATCTTTGGCTTCTGATGGTGCAGGAATTCTATGATTACATGTCAATGGGAACTGACATGCAGAAAGTACAGGGACGTACGCCTGTGCTTCAGAGTGTTGGATGAGAAGTGACGAGAGGTCGGGCTGCGTGACCACAGAAAGTTGGGGATATGCCCTTCGAACATCTCTCTTCCAATATGGGTTCTGGGCGGGGTCGGAAGCTGACAAAAAGGATGAGCAGAGCCTATGGTAAGCCTCAAAGTTCTACCTTTGGTTGCAGGAGCTGAGTATTTCTCTGGTCTGGAACCAGGCTGCGGCCACCTGGAGACTCCTGCTAATGGAATACCACTCGAGATTTCAGGGTTGATGACCACAGCGTCGCCTGGTAAGAGGTATTCACATGCATTCGATAGGCCAATAAATAAATAAACTCACGGAATTTCTTCCAAAAACCTTTCGGATGAACATGGTAGAGAGTCGACTCTGCAGCTTTTTTGGTAGCCGCCATCTGTGAAGTTCGAGTTGAAGTTCGGGGAACAGCGGGAAGCGGGAGATGATTACATAAGCATGTTAACATCTAATCAAGCGATTTTCATTAAAAAAGTAACTGTTATACCAATTATTGTTATATAGCATCTGAACGTCCTAGATCGACACCAGCACGTCTGCCATATGAATGTGTGGCACGGTTTTGTCCAGAGCACACCAGACCCCAGTGCTCTGCTTGTTCAGGAAGTTCTATCTGAATCATGCTAGGATCCGAGTCATGCCAGCTGTTCTCTGGCTGGCAATGGTAACTACACCTCAAGCCTCGGGCCGCAGCCGCCTTTAACTATGCTTCATCTAGAGGTTCCAGCTGAAGCAAAAGCTTATGCATGGTGGTGTACAATGGTAGGTAAGGCTATTGTCTTCTGTCTACTTTAGTTTCCTTGACAGTATTTTGACAGCTTGTGGAAAAATCACGCAATAGCATAACGACATCATCACAATTGACCGGTAAATCGCGTGCGCGCTCAAGCTAGCCCTGCACCTGATATAAGGCTTCGTATGCGTGCTGCATGGATTTTTATATCATCTTTCTCCGAGTTAGCGCGCCATCATGGGTTTCACAGTCCACAGTCATGCTGAAGCCGTTAGCTCAGAGTCACAGCATCCCCTGGATATTGATATCCTGACTAATGGCATTGAGTCTGAGCATAACTTGGATAATCTGGACGTTGACCTCGGGGCTATCGACACTGAGCGTCACTCTCACGAGCTCCCCACGTTCAATTCTAAAAGCCTCACAAACCCCCCATCTACCGTCCTCTATCTACCTCCGCTACTTTCGTCTCTACCTCACGAGCTCGGGGTACTACTCCATACATCACTAGAACAGCAGCCTATGCTCTCTGAGACCCGTCTACCTGATATAGACCCCGTATCGCTATCGTTGCACAAAGCTTTGTATCATTTCCATCCGGCAACTCCGCATTATGCTGAAGTACCGTACGACGAAGCATTCAATTGGAAAGAGCTTGACCTTCCGGAGGACGAGGAGCGTGAGTGGTATTGTGTTGCCTTTCGCAGCAAGCGATTGCCTGGGAGCGACAGTGGACGTAAGTAGCCATCAGTCGTACCTCAGACCTTTGACTGATTCTCGTATGCACAGCTCTCTATGATGCCGACAAGTTAGCTCACGAGGAGGCCGTGCGTAGCGGTGGTGTATGCAATCAACCCCTTGTTACAGTAGCTCTTCCTGACCTTACCCCCTAGCTTATCATGTATTGGTATGGTGTGCCAGATCCAGAAACGGGCATGAATCTTGCGACGTGCATCTGGCAGTCCCGGAAACATGCAGTGGCTGCCAGCTCGCACCCGCACCATATCCGTGCAATGAAGCTTGCAGCCGCTTCGTACGAGATATATACTCTGGAGCGATACAAGCTGCGAAAGTCACGGGGAGAACGTGGGGTGACCATCGAGCCGTTTGACGGTGCTGAAGTTGTTTGGTAATTCTCCAATACCAGTTTAGTTGGATTTATATACCATCGCAATACTTTCATTTCATTGAATAAATCTAACTTAGACTTAAGGAATGTTGTGGAGTTTGAGTTTGCTAATGAAAATACATGCTCAAATTTGTTAATGGTCATCCGCCCATGACTCAATTGTGTCATGACTAGTGTCTGAACACTGCGAAAGCAATCCTTCAATTTCATCATGACCAATGCTACCCCTCCCTGCAAGCGACCGACGTGATAACATCCATGAGACAATCGATCGTTGTTCTTGCCGAGGCGGGATCGGCGTACTGCGTGTTTGACTTAGTCGATCTTTCTTTGGTGTTGCTGGTTGTGATGCCTGAGTTGGACGTGTGGGTGTGAAAGGTTGCTCGTGGCTCTCTGTGGTGCATATTGTGTTTTCAGCGGTAAGCTTTGACAAGGTGAATTTGAATACGATAAGACAGTTTTGTTTCATGTGGGCTTACTTCGTGCACATCGCCAATGCCAGGGACCATAGGGGATGATGTTGCTCCCCTTAGCGGTGAGACAGAAATTCCCGAAGTGGGAGCGAAGATCACTGCGACATTTTGGCCATTCAACTGAGGTGACGGAGATCCTTGCATGACAGGTCTAAATATAGGTGAATCGCGAATGGATCCATCACGAAGGTCGTATTCTATGGGTGCGTTAGATGCTTCTGCCATTGTTGCTTGGTCGTCGGTGGCACTGCGGAAAACATTAGGGGAATGTGACGAAAGGACATCGGGGTCTGCAGAGACGGGAGGAACCGTAATGGAGCTTCTAAACGGGTGAGCGAAGACCACTGCGCCGCTTTGGCCATTTGACTGAGGGGATGAAATTTGTCGGATGGCGTGTCCAGATACAGGTGAGCCACGAACGGATCTATCATATAGGTCGCGTGCGCCACGTGCTTCCGCCATTGCTACTTGATTTTCAGCGACACTACAGAAGGAATGAGGCGAGCGCGGTAAAAGGACGTCGGAATAATCAAAGACAGGAGGAATCGTAGCCGAAGCATGCATGTCATAAGTCTGCCGGCCTGCCAAGCTAGGATCAGGCAAAGTCTTCCTCAAGAATGGCTGCCAGCGGAAATCAAGTGCATCCAAGTCAAGCTCGTACGATTCTGGTTCCAGAGATTCGGACAATGATGGATCTTCAGTGGGAGAATCGAAGTACACTGGTCGAGAGACGGTAAATGCCGGTCCAGGGGTGGAAAATATATTCATTGTAAGTGCGTTCTCTTGAAAATCAGGCGCCGGTGAGTAAGGTCCACGATCATTAGAAGTAACAGCCGATCTGCGGCGGAAGGAGGTCAAGTAATTTTCCGGTCCTGTAATAGTTGGACGAAAAACAGGGGGTGATGTGAAATTGGCACGATTGACACTTGCGTCGTGAGACAAAAGGGGTGGTTTCACATGCACCAAGGTCTTCTGCGATCCTGATGGGCGGGCTAGGTCAGATGAAGCATTTGAATTAACCGCGTGTTGGAGAGCGACGAGAGAGCCAGGAGTGGAAAATGGGCAAAAATCGAGAGTATCTTCTCTGAGGTGGGATGTTTGTAACTCCGCATTAGCAGTCGTGGGGTCACGAGGCAATAGCACGATGTCGCAGAAGGCGGGGTCAGCAAACGGCGGATCATGAGCTGCATCGTTATTTTCTTTTACATCGGCATCGAACGGGGAGAATGCAAACACGCGACTGTTCCTAGCTTCTTGAGAGCATGGTCGAGGTTCGTTTCGAGTTCTGACTTCAATCATGTCTTCGTGGGCCAGGGGAGGAAGCAATTCTCGAAGAGGATGCTTGGGTTCTAGGGTACTGAACGTACTCGCGAGCCACATAGGAAGGGCCTTTGTCGGTGCCCGTACTTTAGAACCCTGATGCGGCGGCAATAGCCAAGTTTGGGTTCTCATGAGCATAAAGGCGTGCGCATATATCGTACCTTTTGATATGTTTTGAGTTCTCGTTGTACCTTGGCAGACTTTGCTGGGTTTGGCGGCCCATGATTCATCTTCGACACAGAGTGTGCACTTCCGATTCTATCCTCATGGCTGTATGCGTCCACAGGCGTCTTGGGAAGATCATAACTGCTGACAGAGGAAGACCCGGAAGAACGCGCACGCTTTCGACGCGTTTTTGGATCAAAACTGTACGAATTTGTAACGTGCACTTGGGCCAGCATCCGATCAAAACGAGTATTAAGTCCCAGGGTTTTCCTGCGTTTCAGAGGTCCTGGCGTACTCTCTGACAAATTAATTCAATTTGAAATAGAGACTTTGAACATACCAGCGCCTCCTATTGAAAAGCTGAGACTCTCGTGAGGTATTCCGGCCAGCGGGGCATATCGACTCGGATAGAGTATGAATTTTGGACTCACCCAGCATAACTCAAAGAGCTAATATTCGAAGCACTGTCGGCCTCAGAGCCGTCATATTGAAACATTAGTGATCGGTGGCCTGGCATCGTTGCAGTTTGAAATGGGATGCCTGAGACAGCGACTGTCAGCTTGACTGTCACGGTGAGCAAATATGTAGATGACTCCCCACGAGAGAGTGCTCAGTGAATCAGAATTTGGCTATTACCAAAATTGACTTACATAAGGCCATACTATTTTCGGATGCGAATCCCTGCAGCGCATACAATGACTCGGAAAACGCGTGTTGTCCGACTCCGGTGCGAATATGGTCTCGTGTGGCCATATAGGCGCAGAATCCGACCGGAGGGCCGAGGAATATTGTTCGGAGACGACTACTCAGTCGTAGTGGGAGAGAAGACGTTCACTTCCGAGTTCCGGTGACCTTCATCATCACAAGATAAAGGTTTCAGTCGACCTGGCTTTCAAGTTTATGGATTACAGGAAACGGGTATCACCCTCACCCACTGGCACTGTGGGAGACAACTCTCCGGTGGATGGTCTCAAACAGGCATTTCATTCTACTGAAGCCGAGCTCCCGCTTTACCTGTATACGAAGGAACCGAACAATCGACGTAGATGGCAGAAGGGTGCATTCGCTGCTTTGCTTGCTATATGTCTGGCGACGCTTCTCCTACAGAGATACGAACCTCACCCACACCTCCGAGTCCATCATAATATCCAACCCCAGACACAAACACGTAACCCTGCCTATCTCATAGAGGCGGAACACGGTGCCGTTGCTTCCGAGAATAAACGGTGTTCTGACATTGGTGTCGCCATCTTGAAGGAAGGAGGAAATGCTGTCGACGCTGCTATCGGCGCTGTTTTTTGTGTTGGCGTGGTCAATATGTTCTCGTGTGTTGTCTGTGTTTCTGTAATTCATGTTTCTGACGTAAATCAGCTCGGGCATAGGTGGAGGGGGATTCATGACAGTTCGCATTCCACCCTCGTCTGAGGGTGGTAGCTCGGAAGTATATACTATTGATTTCAGAGAAACTGCACCAGCCTTGGCAAATAGGACCATGTATAAGGATGATCCAACTGCCGCACGATGGGGTGGATTAGCCGTTGGTGTTCCTGGTGAAGTTCGTGGACTTCAGGAAGCACATGGACGCTGGGGGAAATTGCCGTGGGCTAGACTCATGCAGCCAAGCGTAGACCTTGCTGCTGCATGGACAGTTGACAAAGAGCTCGCGCGACGTTTACAGGTAAAATGCTGGGCATGTGAATTCTGAGGCGTTGATTGATTAATTAATCATTACACCCTCTAGATGTTCGAAAAACTCATGCTTCCTAAAGAAGACTGGAGAGCTATTTTCGCCCCAGAAGGACGTATGCTGCTTGAAGGCGAAATTATTAGACGAACGAATTACTCACGCACGCTTGCTGCTATCGCTTCGGAAGGGCCTAACGTTTTCTACAAGGTTTGACATTCGATGTGGTTCACGCTGGAGCTGTGGTTAAATTATTTTTGTCCAGGGTCCCATAGCTGACTCAATCATACGCAAGGTACAAGCCACTGGAGGAATAATGACTAATGAAGATCTGGAGAATTATACTGTGAATGTGGATCACGCTCTTCAAGGAACATATCGTGATAAGAAAGTGTACACTAGCCGTGCACCAGCTTCCGGACCTGTGCTTCTTCATATCCTGAACCTATTAGAGCGCTACGATTTCATCGGTGAAGGCCGAACTGCCTTAAACATCCACCGCTTTATAGAGGCGTTGAAGTGTGAGTGCTATGTACCTAAAATAGCTTATTTTAGAACTGACATTGTCACATCAGTCGGTTTTGCAGCTCGGTGAGTCCTTTTCCGATTTTATTACAGCTAACCTCACGTTACACTAGCACAAAGATTGGTGATCTGCCATATGTTACCAACGGAACAGATCGCGTCGCCGAGATCTCCACGAAAGCCTTTGCAGATGCTGTAGCACTTAACCTCACTGATGTATGTTTTTTGTGCTGTGTTACTTTGCTGTATCTGGATGACGCTTTAGGACCGTACGCATCCCCCCGAATACTATAATCCAGAGTTTGACGTCAAGATTGATCATGGAACAAGTCATACATCTGTAGTCGACGAGGACGGAATGGCCGTAGCATTGACGACCACAGTGAATCTCGTATTTGGATCTATGGTGCTCGACCCCGAAACTGGTATTATCCTGAACGATGAGGTGAGTCCTTACACGCCCATAACAACTTCTCCTAATTGTGCTCGTAAGATGGACGATTTTTCCATTCCAGGACACCCTAACGGCTTCGGCCTCTGGCCTTCACCATGTACGCAGTTCCTGTCTCACCATCCTCCCAAATTAATAATCCCTAGATAATTACCCCGAGCCCGGAAAACGCTCCCTATCCTCAACAACACCCACGATTATCGAAAACCTCGACGGCTCCTTCTACCTCTCCATCGGCGGATCAGGCGGTGGCCGAATCTTCGGTTCTGTCGCGCAAGTCATCCTCAACCTCGATTGGGGAATGGATGTCAGCGCTGCGATTGAAAGCGGACGCGTCCACGATCAATTATACCCACTCGAAGTAGACGTCGATGAGATCGTTCCTGTCGCCGTACAAAACTCGCTAATCGAACGGGGACATAATATCACAGGCATGTCTAATTTATGAGAAAGAGTAATTTTTTTTTTGACTCACGGTTTTCCGTTTTAGTGTCGAAGATTGATCGTGTGGCTGCTGTTATACAAGCGGTGATGAGTATGGATGGCAAGATTTTTGGTGAGTGATTGCGGTGTTTTGACGTGGATTTTGTGTGATTGATGATTTGTACAGCGGCTAGTGATTCGAGGAAGAATGGTATTGCCGCTGGGTATTAGTGCTTGCGGTCCGAAGTCCGGCATTCAGTGCTTACCTTAGCAAGCAAGCTAATCCTTCGTCGAATTTAATGTGTTCTTACATAAAATTAAGTCCATTGTTTCCGTGGGGTATTAGCTATAGCCGTGCCTCCTGTTCAAGCTCATTATTTAGCAGTAATGATCAAAGTATTGTGTTTGGCATAACCCTTAGAATCAAACACTCCCAAACAACTCCAAACTGACACGTCTCTGGTCACGTAGCATGTAAAAAGGCCAAGAAGCGTTTCATCTGACCATTCACATCCCCACCCGAATTGAATTGAGATGGCCAGCACAGACTGGGACCTCATTTCTTCATACGCAGGTCTGCTGTGCTTAGCTTCCATCTCTATATATGCGGGAGCACACGGTTCCCTTCCGGTGCGTTGATATGGACCGTTATTAGTTAATGCCGAAAAGGAATTGAATACCTTTCCAGACACCTAAGAAGCCAAAAAGCAAAGGGATTGATAAATCGGTAGTGCAAGATGACGAAGATGATGAAGATGAGGGCGTGACAGATAGGCTTTCGTCTGGTGACGCGTGGCTTTTCCCAGTTGTGAGTTCTTCCCTGATGCAATACATATAATCGAGACTGAAATATAATGTTTACCAGGCGGGTTCAGCAGCGCTTTTCGGAATGTACGCTGTAATGAAGTACTTTGGAAAAGAATGGATAAATTGGTTACTCGCGTGGTATTTTTCTATCGCTGGCGTGGGCAGTGTCTGGAAGGTGAGTGGTGTGGTGTCATATGTCGCGTGTTTATAATCGAGTCGCTTGTTTCCCAGAGTGCTGCCTCGCTTACGCGATTCGCGGTCGGGCAAGAGCGGTGGAAGAAGTTTGATCGAAATAGAGTGTTGATTCTGAAAGGTCCACGGGGTTCGTATTTTCATATGATGTTTTACTCGAGGAAGCGGTTTGATCTGCGCGTAGAATTGGTTTCGGTGTCGTTACGCACCCCGACGATTGCGTTGTTTCCACTCGCTTTGATACCCTCTGTGCTATTCAATACCTTGGAAGCGGGTCACAAATCTGCCCTCATAACGGATATTCTTGCGCTCTCTTTTTCATACAATACGATTTGTCTGCTGAAAATAGACTCGTTCCAGACGGGATGTATCCTTCTTTCTGGATTGTTCTTCTATGATATATACTGGGTGTTTGGTACGGACGTGGTAAGTGGGATGAGAATGATTACCGGAGTATGCTGACGAGTTCTAGATGCTCACGGTAGCCACGTCTCTTGACGTGCCAATCAAACTGCTGTGGCCCAAATCGCTTGTTTTTGCCAGCGAGCGAGGACACACGTTACTCGGACTAGGGGACATTGTCATACCTGGTACATTTGTTGCCTTGGCACTACGTTATGACTTTGCACGTGCGGATGGCAAAGTTACATTTAAGAAGCCGTACTTTTACACGACCCTGGCAGCGTACATTACTGGACTGGTGACTACGATGACAGTTATGCACGTGTTCGGCAAAGCCCAGCCTGCATTACTTTATTTGAGGTATGTGTCTTGTTTTTATGGTTGAAAGGCTGTTCTTCTTTGTACGCTTTAGCCCCGCTTGCATGTTGTCGTTGTTCGGGGTAGGGATTGTTAGAGGGGAACTAGGTAAAGTTTGGAAGTGGATTGATGATGAGAAGAGTGTGGAGAAGGAGGAGGAGAACAAGAGCAAGAACGAGAAACGGGAGCAATGATTGGATGGAGTATCGCCACTAGATGCCTATTTGAGTTTTAATTGGTTTCTAAAAATGATAAATGGAGTATTGATGGTGGCGCGGGCGGCGTGGTGGTCCTGAGACAGTGATTCGCACGGGGAGTGGGATGACGTGGTTCTATAAGATCTTCGATTCAACCGGGCCGTAGTTAATATATACAGGGCGGTGATGACGGGGTGAGATTCTAGAGGCACGAGGACACTCACATATTTAAAATATATTATACGTGGTATATTTAGACAAAAGGAAGATCCGTCCGGCTTGGCACCATGAGAAAAAAAGGACATGACTAAAATAAGCTAGGCCCCGAGCATACTGAGTCTACGCCACATGAGTGACCCCGAACACTCCAGAGACATGTGAATTTTATAAGGGCAGAGGGGATCTCATGTATAATTTTAACTTGTAGCTGGGGTACCTCGTCCCTAAACTAAAGCCCTTCTTCACCTTCAATCCCATATTGAATTTTTATGTTCTGTTCCACGCATGCTGTCCCCGTCAACTAGTTCATCTGACGATAAAAATATTGTCACTTCATGGCCGGTATCCGAATGTCCGACCCTCAATACTTCATTCTCATCAACTGACCCTAACTCATCACATCCCTACCATTCATCCATGCTTCATCATCATTCAGATGAAACTCATATCGAATGGAACTCTTTGTTTTCTGCTCCCTTAAACCCATCAGTCTTTGCAACTTTGGCAGCTAATGGCGTATTTCCAGTACCACGTCCAGATCATAGGCACTACACAGAACATCCTTCATCATCATCTTGGTCACATGGACCAACAACTTCCATCTCCGGTCATCTCAGACCATCCCTAACTAGGGTTCACTCTTCATCTCAAGAACAACCACGTACTCGGGTCAACTCTTCATCCCAAGAGCAACCAATGTCTCGTCCTCGTCGCACTCTCGTAAGTAATCAATTATTCATCCGCAGTATATTTTAAACATTTTCAATCAGAACAACGATACTCTAAACCTCCACTTATCTAGACGTCCAGATCCACCCTCAGCCTCTGACCCAACAGCGACTGATTTTTCCATTTTCGATCATCCTACAGAACGCTCTAATGTCGGTTTACCACCATCCCTATGGATGTCTCCCGCTTCAACGACTCCCTCCACTCCCTTGTACTCCCCTTTAACTCAGCTCACGATACCCTCACACCCAGAACCTTCCCCCCTCTCCTCAAACAAACTTTCCTCTCCCTCAGAGACAATCGAATCAAAATCCGCAATATTCAGCGATATTTTTTCAGATGACCTCTTTGGTTCCCCCAATCAGGACCATGTCCCGAGCCCCTTCACCTCTCCTAGACTTTCTGGTTCACCAGACCTAGATTCTCCCTTTGACGAAAGCGATCCAGAAAAACTCGCAAAGCAAGATCCCCTTGCAACTCAAGTATGGAAGATGTACGCCAGGCAAAAAGCAAATCTACCCCACGCTCAGAGAATGGAGAACATCACCTGGAGAATGATGGCACTCGCTTTAAAGAAGAAGAAAGAGGAAGAGGAAGCAGCAAATGCCAACTCAGAAATTAAATCAGAAACGGTTCCAACTCCCATCCCTGACCCTGATGAAGGAAGAGGTCGCAGGATTGACAAGGGAAAAGCAAAGGTCCAAATCGTCGGGTTTGACGGTACAAATCAAGATGGCGTAGAAGATGACGAGTCAGTCCTAATGTATTACGTGATGTCTGACATCCTTTTAACGCTCATCTAGTGTCGTAGCTATGGACTGGCGTGCCATGAGCAGATCACGCTCTCGCATATCAATGGACTGGAGACCTCAATCTCGTTCTCGTTCAAGGCCACCCCAGTCCGCAGCAGTCTTTGATCATCATGGTATCATATCTCCCCAAACTGATTCCCGATATCATTTTCCCTCCCACCCAACCAACGGCGACAGGGACAGACGGAATAGCTACTCAAATAGGGAACCACATCTCGAATCTCTTGCTGCCTCCCCCAGTATTCCAATACCTGGAGCCTCTACTCATCGTTCTTATCCGGGGTCTTCTTCGGCACCCCGTTCTGGACTTTCTGGCACCCTCCCAGCCGTTTATGAAGGTCAAGTCGACCACGATACGCTCTCTTTCACTCACGCACTCCATCACGACCAACACATCGGTCAGCTCAACCACTCCCTCTCTGCCCTCAATACCCCCGCTTTCCACCCGTCCTCGCTCCCCTCTTTCGGTTTCCACGGAGGTTCGAAACTGCTCCCAGATCAGTCACCCAAAGCACGTGCCTTCCCTAGACACGTGCGAAAAACGAGCTTCGATCATACTGTCAAGCGGGAGGCTCTATTTACAGGTGTCAGCGGCAGACATCAGGTCAATGGCAAGCCCTTGTCACCCGATAGTTTAATTGGGCAGAAGCGGAGAGCAGACGCACCTCATGCAGAGAGCATGCTACGCGCAGATCCCTCCAACGTAGACGGAAATCCCCGCACTACTCAGGAGCCAGATCAGTACGTGAGCACCAGTCCCTTCCCTTCCACCCCTTTCAACTTCTGCTTCCCGCGGGACTATGGGATGTTTGATATGCACGGTGGCTCACACAACGAATTCTCGCATATGCTCCACGCCACAGACGATTCTCATTCGTCGTTCCATGATTCTGTTTCACATCATCTCAATGGTTCTGCATATGGGTCTGCTTCTGGCGTCAACGAGGGACTCTCGGCTGCCGCCGCGGCTGCAAGTGCTGTGATGGCCGAAGGATACCGGAATCTCAGCGCCGCTGCCAATTTCCCGTCAGACGACTACAGCCATCTACTTGGACTTCCGTATGGAAACATCGATTCGAGCGTCAATCTCGCACAAGGCCCATATACGGTTGATCCCACACAGATTCTTCCAGTAGAGCATGGCGACGGGGTCTTACAAAGCTACCATGCTAGTCCATCAAGTGACGGATGGGGCAATGGCCTTACGTCCAGCTCGACCGCATCCCCTGAACCATATTTAACCTCGAGCGCTTCTTCACCTCCATCTGTTGAAGGAGCCACCACGGGCACCAACTCACGGAATCAGATGCGGAAGATTGCGTCTACGAAACGTATCGCCCAGGAAATCAGGCGCAAGAAGTCAGTTTCTGCATTGAGCCCCACAATTGGGACCGTATCGCGATCAGCGACGAGTACCCCTGATCTGAGTACGAGAGATGGGAGCGCTGGTAATCCGAAAGGCGGTAGTGATGATGGGGATCAACCGCCCACATCATGTACAAACTGCCAAACTACGAATACGCCACTGTGGAGACGCGATCCCGAAGGACAGCCTTTATGTATGTGTCTTGCGCCGCTAATTTTGGGGTATTTGGTGACTGATGGCGTTTTCGCACAGGCAATGCATGCGGATTATTTTTTGTGAGTCCTTGACGTATTTAAATCCTGCGTGTTGACGCTAATTCCGAGAAAAGAAACTGCATGGTGTCGTTCGTCCGCTGTCGTTGAAGACGGACGTCATTAAGAAACGGTTCGTAATTAATTGTTATTATTTTTTTGATTGTGGTCTGATGTTGGCATGGTAGGAACCGGGCTTCTGGTGCTCCTAACGGAAATGCACGAAAAGGGGGCGCTGGATTGCCCAAACTTGCATCATCGAATACTCGGCCCCGCGCATCGACAACTAGCACGGTGCCAACTTCATTCACGAATGGACGAGGAGTGACGACTGCGAATAGAGTGGGGCTGGGCCCATCTCCCCCCGTCGCGATGAAGAGACAACGTCGGACATCCGCGAGTGGGCAGATGCTTAGTGGTCCTACGACGTCTCGGAGGGGTGACGAGGGTGGTCTGTGAGACTTGGGTTGCTTGAGGTTGTCCGATGTATGATGTTCCCTGCTATGTGGTCAGCATGATATTTTTTTCTTTCTGATCTTGCCCGGATCGCAGGATGGTACGTAGATATTCCATTGACCATAGATTATTTTCCTTTCCATCCGCTTCATCTCTTTGCTTGCTTGCATACGTGTACATCATGTTCTGTCTTGCATGATTATGTCTTCCAGTACGATGGTTTATTCCCAAAGAGGTGTAGAATATACGACCCTAGCAGCTACCCTAGGTTGGACACGCGAAATTGTATCAGAAAATTGCGAAGCGCTTCCATTCCGCTTAGCAAAAGTGCAAAGTTCTAGTTCCAAACTGTTTTGGATCTTCGTTTTTTTTTCTCAAAAAAACTTTGCTTTCGTAATTTGATTTCGAACGCTGTATCGCGAACGACACGACCAGTCACAAAATATCTCATTCAACCTGGCTTCATTCTTCAAACATGCGCCGCCTCTTCCTCAACAACGCTCCCCAATGCCGCTGACCTTCTCCAATGGTCAGCTCCAACCCGTAGCTTCCAAAGACATTAAAGATTCCCGCCGTATCTCCCGCACCGATCTCGATTTCGAACAAGCACTAAGGCATGGGGGCACGGTGAAGCTTAAAGAGAGCCTTGATATCAATACCCTGGGCGTATCTGACAGCCCTGTTCCTCCTGCGCACGAATTCGCTTCGCCTTCATCCCGACCTCCATCAAGAGAATTGCGGACTCCGCTGGCTCGCGCACACGCCCATGCACCACCTACGCCCGTCATCGTCCCACCCACCCCATCCCCAATCCCCGGACCCTCCTCCGCAAGATGTTCCTCCACGACCAGCTCCAACGACATTTTCTACGACGCCGAAGACGCTGATATGCAAACTAGGAGACGAAGCTTGTACCGTGCGTCTGGTACGAGCAGCAGTCCCGACCTTGCTACGCTCGTGCGGAAGGCAAAAGAGAGGGGAGGGGTAGTTCCGCAGGTTGAAAAACGCGCAGAGCCGCCGTTGCCGGTGCCGGTGCAAGGAGGGGCGTCGAGACTTGGAGTTGGGCCCTCGCGTCCGAGATCGTCGACTTCTGCGGGTTCTCCTCCTTCTGCTTCTTCGTCTTCTTCGCCTAGGAATCCGGTGGTGAACGTGTCACCTGTTGTGACGAGGCCGTCGAAACTTGGTCTGAGGGAGTTGTCGAGTCCGAGTTCGGAGTGGGTTATGGCTAGTCCCAGGAGGGGGACTGGGAGTATTCGGAAGGATAGGGATAGTAGTGATAAAGATAAGGTGAGCTTCTTTCTTTCTTTTGTGTGGTGACTGGGAGTTGAATGTGGGGGTCAGGTACCGACTAAATCTGTAAGAGCCAAGACGAGCGCGTTTCTGGGTAAGATGCTGGGTCAGTCGACAACACGGGACCGGTCGGTGAGTGTGGTTACTTCATTTGAAATTGATCTGAGCTCATGGGATGGGCTTAGCGGACGGATGCTTCTGTCACTGGGTCTCCGCGCTCAAGACCGTCTTTTATGGACAATTTTGCACCCCCTGTGCCCCCGTTACCGGACGAAGCTCCTCGCTCTGTGGTATCCCCCACCCCTGGTATGTTTGCGAACACCTATTCGACCTCTACACATCATAAACCCCTACCTCCGATCCGCCTCGGTCCAGCCACTGATGATTCAGACGATCGGTCTATTGTCGTAATTGATTCCATGTCACAAACACGAGATAGAACGCTGTCTCCTGGCACGCGTCTTAGCGACAAACCCAAGCCAGAGGGCAGGTTTATTAGTCATAACAAGCGACGAAGCATGAGCGTGAACGACATAAATTTACAAAAAATAAACGTTCCTTCCTCGCCTGCACCCACACTTCCTCCCAAGGACTCTTCCCCTACGGAGTTCCAGGCTTGGGAATCTTCTTCCTCACTTCACGGGATTCTTAGTGATTTGAAGGGTGTTTTGTCTCAACTGGATCCGGAGTCTGGTTCATCGCTTGACTTGCGAGATCCCTCTACACCAGCAAGACGTGCTGCTTATTCGCGGGCGAAGACTCAGACTTCTGAGTTTAGGTATCAGGGGGATCCTTCCAGATCTCCGGTATTGCCCCCTGTTCCGCCGTCTACTCCCATTGTGACGTTGCCCACTCAATCGTCGCTGGATTCTAATTCGGATTTAGGATCACCCTCGAGAGACAGGTTGTCAGTGGACCCCATCATCCCCCCACGCACATCTTCCCTTCAAACACCTTCACGGTCTCATTCCGGATCAGGAGCGCTTGGTTCGCAGAGAGCAACAGCCCTTCGGCACGGGTCGAGCCCTTTGTCGGGCCCTTTGAGGAGTAAAGGATACGGTAGTCAGATGCAATCTTCATATCGTGATATGTCCCGTCTTCGTGTCCAACATCATTCTGTAGCTTCGAGCTCTGAGCCGTCTTTGATCCCTGTGGTTGATGACGTTCGTCCACGTGAGTTTTGGTTATTTTTGTGCGCGGGTGATTCTCATGACGTGCTGTTAGCTTCTTCTCATGCTCATCGAGATTTGACGACCAATGATCTCGTTCTTAACCGATATGCGTCTAATCCGTCGTTTGTACGGACGGAGGATACGGATGAAGAGAGGGGCAAGGATTTGGCTGCGAAGTGCTATACCGAGGATGAGGATTTCGTGGCCAAGGAGAAGATTGCGGAGTGGTTAGGCGGAAAGTGAGTATCCTGTTTATCGTTTCATAACTCTACTGAGAACGTGCTGCGACAGTGGGCAAGTCAACAAGATAGCGCTCCATCACTACATGAACTACTTTGACTTTACGGGGCTGAGGCTTGATAATGCATTTAGGTGGGTGATAATTGAATTACTGGTGTATCCTATCAATCGGCCCTTCTAGACGTCTTTGTAACAAGTTGTATCTAAAGGCTGAGACCCAACAAGTGGATCGCATTCTTGAAGAGCTCAGTCGACGATTCTGGGATTGCAATCCGACCCGTCTGTACGGTAGTGCCAGTGCGTCAACAGTCATGCACTACCACTTGTGCTAACGTACTCTTCAGGTGTCGTTCACGCAGTCGTCTACTCCATCCTCCTCTTGAACACCGACCTCCACATCGCAGATATTGCAAACAGGATGTCGAAGAGTCAATTCGTCCGCAACACGATGATGGCCATTCAAACCCAGACTCACCCAAGTCACTACGGTTCGAGTCCGGATCTGAACGATGACAATAGCAGCGGGCCGCTAACGGCATCTGACGGCACCGAGACGCAGTCCCTCGCTCGGTCGAAGAGAAGTGGCAGTATTGCAAGCTGGAACAGTATCTCCAAAGATACATTCTTCGCCTCACCTGCGGTTTCTTCTGCTGTTTCGACGGCGCAGCCCTCGCTCAATAGCAGTACTACATCTTTCCACCATTCCTCTGGTCCAGAATCGAAACCTCCGAGTACTACTCCCTCGACGGTTGCGTTTGACAGGAACTGGGAGATGGACATGGAAAACTTGCTCAAGGTAGCTACGCTGTGATTTTGGACAAAACTTCTGGCTCACAGATTCCCTTAGGAAATGTATTCTTCAGTCAAGAGCCAGCAAATCTTGCAACCTCTAGGAACCACATTCATGGCTCGTGTTTCAACGTCATCTCTCACTCCAGGGGCACCGCATCTCATTAGTCGCAATCGCAGCTACCGCGTACCATCGGACCGGCTTACAACACTCAAGCGGGGTAGTATCCGGGGTATTCAATCGATACTCACGCCAAACTATAGTCCGTACAGTAGCAACAGCAGTATCGATGGGCGTGTCAGTCCGTCACCAAGTTACGCGACTTCGACTCGTGAGGTAGGCGTCCGAGATATTTTGCTACATGAAGTATTGACAGGTTCGCGGTAGGGTGTGCACAGCTCTATGGGTAATTTCCTCACCCCTTCTCTTGGTTTCGCGTCCAATTTGTCGCATACGATCATCAGGGAATCGCAGGAAGACGAGGACCGCAGCTGTCGCAGTCATGAATCTAGTTCGACAACTATTAGTATCACAGATGAAGAACTTGCACTTCTCGGGGCGCCATGGGCAAAGGAGGGGATGCTTTGCCGCAAACAGTATTGGGAGTCCGCGGGTAAGAGAGCAAAGGCTAAGAACTGGATGGACGTTTTCGTAGTCATTCAAAAAGGGGAGCTGAATATGTTCACATTTGGAGACCATGGTGGAGGGTTCTCTGCCGTCGTTGGTGGTGGTAATTGGCTGGTATGTATTATTATTTTTCGTTTTCCGATTGTCAGTTGACGCACTCTCGTAGGAAAATGCCCAATCCGTTGGCGCAGTGCAGCTGTCTCATTCGCTAGCCCACTCCTTGCCTCCTCCAGGCTACAACAGACAACGTCCCCACTGTATGGTGCTAACCTTGGCCAACGGTGGTGTATTCTTTTTCCAAGCCGGTACAGAGGAGCTCGTCAACGAGTGGGTCTCGACTTGCAACTACTGGGCGGCACGGACCAGCAAAGAGCCATTAGCAGGTGGCGTCTCCAACATGGAGTATGGCTGGAATCGTGTCGCAGATGCTTTGAATGGACGCTCTACATCGGATGACCATAAACCCGAACACGATCGCGCCGATTCAATGAGCGTACGCAGCGGGCGGAGTACCCGAAGTAAACTCGGTTGGAAAGAGAGTGCCGCTACCGTCCGGGCTCATTCGCCGTGGCCGGAGAGATCGTTCATCAATGATTGGAAGCCTCCTATTCCACCCTCGATATCCAGCATTCATGACGAGGAAACCCAGCTCGAGGCACTCCAGAAATATGTGCATATGTTGAAAAAGGATTTCAAGCATCATAATGAACTGAGGGAACCAATGAGCGCTCTGGTTTGTCGTTTTGATAGCCCACTTGCGCTCAGCTTATTTTTATTTTTAGTACACACCGCGTTCAGCGAACGGAGCCAAAGCGCAAAGTAATTGGGAGAAGAAGTCACAATTCCTGCTCACTGAAATCGTGAAGTACGATTCTTACGTCGACTCACTGCAATCCGCCATGAATTTGCGTCTGAAGAAGAGAGGAGAAAAGGCACTAGAACGCGCCCTGGTCGTTGCGGTACCTGATGACAATGACCCGGCGACAGCATCTGGTAACTGGAGAGGCTATTCAGAGGAAACAATACCCGAAGACGATGAGCCACCGGTGAGTAGAATACCTAGAGTTTCTCCGTTCCATCGCAGAGAGATGGCGGAATAAGGGTAGTAAATATGTTAATTTCTGCTAATATGCGACCGAGCCTTGATGCTCCCAGGAATATTTATGTACAATATTTTCCTTATGATACTGATGCCTTACGCTAAAACGACTTGAATATAGTGTTTCTCAAACTACCGACATAGACCCAAGTGAAATAAGATGCTTCAGTATTGACAGATTCGTGAATTTAAGTGTTTAATAGGCAACTAGATTGGCATACCTTTGCAGGAGATATGAGGGCCTGAAGGCCTCCGGACTCCACTGTGATTGTCTTCATTAGATCGGCGGTATACCCCACCGATCCGACATCACGCGCAGCCAAATCTGACTTTCACAGGAAATCAGTCGTATTTGACGGCGCGAGAAATGCTTGGCGTTGTCTAAATAACACTGGACGTGTTTAAACCAGACACCCTATGAAAACCTGTCAGCCAAGAAATGTCTTACTCATCCCAGCTAGAAAAATTGCTATTGAAAGAAAAACACAAGGTATGCGTATAAATACTTCGCGGAAAGAACGTACCTGATGGCGGTTGCATATTGAACCATTGGAAAACGCCGAGTCACAAGACTCTCTCAGTATGGCATTATCAGCAAGTTGAGCTGTCATGGCTGTGGAATAAAATGTTGCGCCCCAAGTTGACTTCAGCCTGAACTTGTTGCCTGTTGCAACATAAGACCTAAAGCGGCAACGGCCAAATTCTGCGTAAGCGGTTTTCAATTGCATTAGTCGACCAAGCAACCATGTTCAGGTCCAGGTGGTCTAGCTCGTGATGTTGTTAACAATGGATGCTGTGGTAGTGATGAGACGCAGTTATTTTGGTATATCTTCAAACCAAGGCCATAATTGAAAAGCTCACCGGGGATAATCATTCCAGAAACGATTACTGTAAATACAGGCTCACGTCGAGGAATATGCAATACATACACCACAGTATTCTCATCATACGTGTGATAGACTACCACACTATAACAAGATCAGCTACAGGTGGGAAAGATCGTGATTAGCTCTGGTAACCGCTCTGCAAGTGTCATTTCATTCCCCTGCGACCGAGTAAGTTATAGATTTTAAAATGGCCGCTCTAGACTGCGATCCGACATCAGGAAGGTTTTTTAAAAAAGGGGGGGCCGAAACCTACAAATCTATGCACCACTATCTTGACCTCTCGTAAACTTGTAGTGAAGGATTTTCGGTAGCGTTAAATTGAAGGTGTCCAGCTGGCGCTTGTCACGCAACAGACAAATCTCTCACAAGAGGTTACTAGTTGTCTTGTCGGTGTTCCGCCAATATTAATGTTAAAGATTCAAAATTATGTAACTTGATAATTACTAAGAACTGTCTAAGTTGAAACTCAGTCACCTCTCTTCATCGTCAATGCGTCTTGCTTTATTATTAAATTCTTGCTGTACCGCTCTATCAGGGGGTCTACTCCTGCCAGTGTCTATCAAGGAATTCAAGGCAGGAAAGGGCATAGTCCATGTACTACTAGTCCTGCATGGAAAGAGGTTGTAGATAATTCTACTCCTGTTCCGAAGCAGGATCCAGGTAGTTTTCCAATTCTCTCCAGGACTCCGCGTTGTGATGTCTCATGAACAGAACCCATGATGGTATGAAACGTCGGGGTTCCGGTGTCACCACCTTCATCTACTACAGTCCCTGTAACTCATCAGGATATGATATCATTAGAGCTATCAAACCTCCTGTCATGCTTCGCCGTGTGCCTAACCATGTGAAGACTGCACAAACCCTACCAAAGAAGTGGTCTCAACATAGTAGAGTTCCTCTGTGTTCGCAGCGCACTGGCCCCAACTTGAAGGATTTGTCGGACTCGGATGTTCAAAGGGTATGTTACATGAACTACGTGTTGTATTGCTCACTACATAATATCATTCTAGGAAAGAACTCGGTCGTAACTTAGATTGAAGATCCTGAATCCCGAGGCCCTTGTCCAAGCCGTAGGGTAGAGCACGGGTACGGGTAAACCCGCGGTTTATCGCTGACGGGTATGGCGGGTACGGGTACGGTGTGGATTATGGAGACCCGCGCGTACACCGTGCATACCCGTCGCGGTTTACGGTGTTGGACGGGTGTGGATTCCCCAACTTATCCGAGGATGCGAGGGTCAAAATTTCATTACTCATGAAGAACCTCCCAAGTCGGATCTGTCACCCTGCTTCGACCGCAGGTTCATCGAGTAACAGTGTCGATTCAAAGTGATAGTCAATGACACAGAATATCATTCACCTTCCTCTCGAGCGCTGCTCAAAGAAGGCTGATGAGTCTTCCATCCGATCATACTCGTCAAAATCGTCTTCGATAGCATCGTCTCTGGGGTCTGTCAGCCAGGCAGTTGAGCAGAGTGTGGATATGCTTACCCGTCCTTTGAAGAGAGTGAAGCTGACTGTCTTGCGCTCGAAAAAGACATTTCCATCACTGCCATCATCCCCCAAACCATCAGTAATCGATGTTGATACCATTGACACAGCGACAAAGTCTGTCAACGAAGAAGACTTAGATGCCGCACTTCGTAAGCTACCGTGATACTACTATGTCAGTGTCTTACTCACGGGTCTGTGAAAAAACCGCGGTATACCGCGAACACCGTTCATACCCGCAGAATTGGCGGGTCGGTGTCCACCCGTACCGTGCGGGTACGGTGTTTGCGGGTACGGGTGCGGTGTGGCTTCAGCGACCCGCGGGTTCACCCGTGCTCAACCCTACCAAGCCGTGATTGCGATCCAGTTTAATGTTAAATGGAGGTGCGTGTGTGCTATCACCTAATGCGCGTCGACATTGTTCAGGAACATTTCATGTTTCTTGGCTTGCTTGCTAAGAGTGAAGCTGACACATGTCAATGCTGCTTCGGAATTATTTGAAACCGCTATTGAACTGCTCTCCAGTTGTACTACTCGTTGATTGCAAGAATAGTCATGACAGTATTGCTGCGTTCGGCCTTGATGCGATATCGTTCGCTGCTGATGACATGGATTTCGAAATATTTGCATGTGCAAACGATACCACCGCTGAATGATCACTGCTTGCAGTGACTCTCCTGCACTCAGATGGTAGCACCATCAGTTTCAGATGAAGCTTTAGCGATAACTGAGGTAAGTGATTTTCTGCTATGATATTGCAACCGTTGTACTAATCTCGCGCAACAGACGCTGAGGGATTGGGGGAACTTTTTTTCCCCACGATAGTGCTGTTAGATCGTGGCAAGGGACGCCGCGCTTACATTTGTAGTACCAGTTGTGTACCGTGTCTCGCGACTTTCAATTTACGTCGTGATCGGACAATCATGACGTCGCCGTGTCGGCCCGCATCAGTCCCACTTACTACGTGGTGTTACTGTAGAGTTTTTCAAAGGGTTACCGACCAGCGTTTGGGTGCCTGAACGTTTGGGACTCTAATAACGTGGGAGTCGGGCTATGTGCGTTCTAACTTCTAACATCCATCCTGTTCATTCGAGAAGACATACAACCTTTTGATTGGCGTAGCCTAGTCGATCAGGATGTACACTTGAAGACTTGTTCATTCGGGATGCGACTACTAAACATATGAGCGTGTTCATCATGATCCATGCACAACAAATACATCGTAGGTCTCAGACCTTTGCTATAACTACAACCTCATGCTTTTTGAGCCGCGTTTTATAAATCGTAAATCTCATGATATAGGTCAGTAAATCCAGTGGATTCTCTGAGGTGATGGGCTTCACCTCCTCGTGCTACTCCACCGCTCTGGACTAGCACGTATTGCCTCTCGCGAGCCGTTCTCTCTTTTGTCGCCGTTTGCGAACCCATTCCATACCACTCCCATCATCGCTATCGCCTCCTGCGAAATCAGAATTACCCACACTATCTTTCCTTTCCCTCGCAGCACCATCGCCGACTTCCTGGGCATGATTGTGGGAAAGGAGTGCAGGGCTACCCTTTGCGAGGACGGAATACTTTGAATCGCTGCTGCTGCTGATGCTGCCCATACCGCCGTACCCCCATTCCACAAACTCGGGTTCATCGCGCACGTTAGCAAAGAGGTTTGTGAGCGGTTGACGCTTTGAACCGTAGACGCGTCCGTTGAGCATGTGCACGCCATTTGCGGGGATTCTTGGGCGCGTTGTGGGGGAGGTGGAGCGGGAGGGGCTGAGGAAGCTGTTTTGGGGCATTGTATGGTGATCGTCATCTGAGCCGATGGATGTGGAGAGATATCTTGGTTGATTGCTATTAGATGGGAGGGGGATGGATGCAGATCGGGAGAGTGATGCGCCGAGGTCAGATGGATCTGGGGAAGACCGCTTGAACAAGTTGAATTGGCGGGAAAGGGATGACTTTGGTTTGAGGTTTGAGGGTGCGTTATGTTGGACGTCGACTATGTTTGAGGACAGAGCGCTGGAGTTGGTGTCCATGACAAGATTTGCATTGTCGACTTGAGCTGTGGGCTCGGGGAGTGGTGCGAATCTAATGCGACGCGTTGGAACGGTGTCATCGTGGGTATGCGAGTTACTTGCTCTCGTAGTAGGTGAGCGTACGACAGTTACCATGATGCTGGTGGGGTTTGAGGAGAAGTAGCTCCGAGTTTAAATAGATGGATTCGGTTAGACCGTGAGTCGTGACTCAGGTGCTTAAGATCCGAGATCTGATAATGGATTTGCTGGATCCCGGATTTTGATTCTTTTAATCTCCTTCATCGATGATGGCCACCTCAGAGTCAACGTGGACTCGGACGTCCTAAGACCTACGCTGACAAATAGTATGTATTGGATTTAACACCACGGCTAAACTCGAGACACCCATCCGTCTCACCGGCCTCTTCCTTACTTCCACGCCCACCTAGAAGCATTTCTGTTGTGCGAGGCAGCTTGCTCGTAAGGCAGTGTCGTCATCACTATAATTATCTACAGCGCTAGTACACCTGTCGTTCAAGATTACCCGGGCTTATGTCCAATGACATCTCACTGGCACTGCGCCTGCCATGAGCACAACGTTCCTCTTTCAAGTGGTACGCGAACCTCCTCTCAAGGTATGTACTAGATGTCCAACAAATCCTTTGAGAACTTTTTAAAACTTTGTCACGCTCATCCGGACCATCCGAATCCTTCTATTAAATGCGTGAATATCGCCCAATCTCATGACCTATCAAATCGTATCTTCGACTTAATGACCGATTCTCCTCCGATTTAAAATTCGACCCCACACTCTAGAGCCAAGATCGCTTGGATGGAGCAGTATAGTACAGCCTAAATCAAAGATAGCCTTATTTTTGGACACGACTGTAGAGCGAGTACACAGCTCCCAACATTCGATTCCTGTGCTTGGCGATCTTATTATGGCACCATCAAACTGTGCGGGTCCTCTCTTTCGTTTCCTAGGGGCATCATGACCTCAAGTAGAGCCGTGGACGGTTCGAAGCTTCCCTCTCTGTGCTACATCACCTCAGCACGCCACCCCCAGCTTGGCTTCTTCCTCTGTCAAGCAAAGTCCAGGCAGTAAGTGCTACATCCAGTTGACATGTCCGAGTGCTTCTTAGTACCGACTAGTACCCATCCGTCCGCCTGATGACCTCAGTTCTCCTAGCGTATCCACGCCTGGGCGCTAAGCCGGAATCAGACGTTGGTCGCAAGGGAGCGAATTCTCGCCATTTCCAATGAAGAACGTCTCGCTCACTTCCGAATGTCGATGCCAGCTTGGCCGCGGCGCAACTGGACATCGTGCGAGTCGTCGTCGGATAATCTATACAGGACCATTTGTCGACGGCATCATCCTCGTTGTCACTGCACCACTTTAGCACAATGGCATCCCTTTACATCACAACATGATTTTCTTGGCTTTCTTAAAGCAAACTTAATTTTCATTTCTTGTCGGCGCACATTGCAGTATGTCTAATAAACTCCAGCGTGGCGACTTGTTCCCACCAACATCCAGAGTGCGGGTCAGGTGCTTGGGATGTTAAATTCATTCTCGCCCCTTCGAGCGGAGAAGGTCTAACTGCAAGCGTTCCTTAACAGTTGCCACTAGCATTTGCCACCATCAGAACGTTGATTCACTCTTCAGCAGGACAACCCACTGGCAGCACTTCAGGAACTGCCCGTCGTTGATCTCTGTGCCAGCCGTCCTATCTTGCCACTCCCTGTCATGGTTGTATAAGGGTCGCGAGTGTAATCTCGCGCGACAAGATGCCTCCCGCGAAAGGCTGCCATCAGTCGGCTATTTTAGCAGGAAAAAAACACTGGTTCCCATGTCAATTCTGACGGAAAAAAACGTAGTTAGCTATGCGGCACTTACAGCATGTAAGATTTATTCTGCATCGGGGAGATATTTTAAACCACCATGTGGGATGTCAAACCCTTTTGTTGGTTCCTCGCCGCTTAGCAGCCTTCGAACGCTGCAACAGACCATGCGATGTAGAGGCTTAGCACACGGCCACCCATACCCCACAACAATAAAGGCCAACATGCTTGAGAAACCTGTTGCATTTTTCTGACACAAATTCAGCAGTTGTCGCATCAATGTGTCCATGTCATTGTCAAACCTGGCTCCTAAGTTCCACAGTTGGTAGTCTTAATATCCAATCCCTGCAAGTTACGCCGGTGAGTATGAGAACAAACGGAGGCCGAGTGCTATCAGAGAAACACTCAGAAAAAGAAGAGAAAAACAGAGCCATATTCTAAACGGTTGAAGTAGGGTACTAGGACCGTTGCGGGCCGTAACAATCTGCTTCATTTCTTGGGCTTGGGACTGCAAACATAACAGTGAGTGCTCACGAGTCACTATGTGAACACGGGTGAAAGTAGTAGACGTACTAGATTCGAAAAGTCAGAAAAGCTCGAGCGGGCGTACGTGGCACCATCATGATGGCGCCGCCATAGATAGACAAACGCACAAAATAGTGATTCAGGATCACTTTAAGTCGAGAATGCATTTACTACCATAGCTTAGGAATCCCGTTCCAGCATAGTCACTGATGAGAACCTAAATAGTTCGGATGTCAGCGATTTGGGTTTGGCAGTTTGACAGCTGGCAGTGGAGACTCGGCTTCCAGCGGAACAGTATGATAGGCGCCCGCACACCCCTGCCATAAGTTCATATTGTCAACCATCCTGTCTAAGTCCACGCCACGATACGATCACGAAGGATGAGTTGTTTGTTACTGTCAGATGAGAGTTTATGTGAAGAAGTTCTGTCGCCTTTTCAATTAAAAAACTGCTGAAACACTGGTAGAACGGGTTGGATTACGGTGCGGTTACGTTGACAGTGCAACTACCTGAATCTACTACATATAAATATACATGCAGCATAATATTAGCCCTCATACAGTTTCGTTACTAACATAATCTACTCTTACCAGAAAATATCCTTTCGAACCAGTCACGGTTTCTTTGTCGGAAGAAAGTTATTTGTGCCCGACGACAGACTTTGGCTGATAAGGCTCCTCCAAGTATTTAAGTTCTTCTGCGGTAAGAGTGATATTAATGGCGCCTAAGGAAGATTTACATCAGGATGTCCGCTCTTTCGATTGCAACACATACCGAGAAGATCCTGCAGGTTCTTAAGAGAAGTTGTCCCAACGATCGGAGCCGTGACCGCATCTTGTGCCATCGACCAAGCAAGAGCTATTTGCGCCATGCTTGCGCCTTTCTTCTTTGCAACTTCCTCGAGGCTATGCAGATCGCTTCAGAATCTGCTAGATCGAAGGGTGACACCAAAATTCTCACCGGCTCACAATTTCTTTGTCAGACTCATGCTGGACATATGAGTTTATGGTTCTGTACGTTATTGTTAGTATGGATGATTTATGGATAGATCCAGATGATGACGACTAACAGGTCGGTCTTTCCACGAATAGTTTTCTCGCTAAGAGGGCGGGTGAGCAGTCCTCGGGCGAGCGGCGACCAGGGGATGCATCCAACGCCAAACATCTACTATGATAATCAGGGGACAAGAAAGAGACGAAGGCAAACAAGTCAAACCTTGAGTGTGGGGAACATTTCTCGTTCCTCTTCGCGATAGATCAAACTGTGGTGATTCTGCATCGAAATGAAAGGTGTGAGGTGGTTTGCGATCGCGTAATCTAAACGGATCCATGCGGTCAAATTTCAATTTGCTCACATCAAAGTTATGATCTCACTTTGCATTGCTTGGACTGGATATGCATTGTAAGGCCGTGAACATGTACAGAATAGATGTCAAAACGTACATTGGTAAGCCCAGCATGAAGACATGCCAATATACCGAACATAACCAGCCTGCACGACGTCATGGAGAGCTTGCATCTAGGTATGATGCAGGTCAGTTGATAGAAACTGGAATTGGGGCATGGCGCTGACATACCGTCTCTTTAATAGGCGTCTCTGCGTCAAAGCGATGGCCTGAAATTTAATTAACCTTGAATCTTTAGCTGAACACTGGGTCAAGACAAACACTGCAGGACATCGACATAATCAAGTTGCAAACGCTCTAGACTCTTCTTGATGGATGCGAAAATATGCTATTCGTGTAAGATCAGATAGTGCAACAATTTGAACACATTCACAAGGGCTAACACACCTTGCGACTCAAACCCCTTTGATTGACATATCCTAGTTGATCAGGATGTACACTTGACTTGAAGACCTTTTCACTCGGGGTGCGGCCAACAACATTATAAACCTAGAATTTTATTTCTTAGGACCTGAAAACTACCAATACATTGCAGGTCAGACCTTTGTCATGACTACAATCTCATCCCGAGGTAAGTTGAGCTTTTTGATCGCGTTTCCAAGCACGACCTCGGAAAGTCCATTGGAGTACATCTAATCGCATCAATGAGTAATTCATACCCAAGGTGAAGAGATGTTCAATCTTACGTCTGCCGTGTCAAAGGTGTTGATTCCCGCGTCATAACTTCAACATTAATCGTAAAGACACGCTCTGGCATCGAAGTTATGCGACAGCGGTACTCACGCAGCTTTGATGTGAACAACAGCTTCTTCCTCTCCAAGAACCCAATCTTGCCATTCGCTCGTTCCTATGTTAAAAAATCAGGTGACCTTGGTCATGTGCCGATTAAACGCTCTACACACCATACTGCATCGTCCCTAGGATGATTTTGGAAACTTTGAGCCCAGAGTTGCCTAAGCGAACTTCATGGAAAGCAGTCTATTAGCAGCATCAATAAACGGACAACCAATAACATACCATAAGGCATTCCATTCTGTGTTGTCGACATAATCGCTATTGGTTGGGTTGGGGGCGGAGACGCTATTCTGAGAGCTTAGAGCTACGCCCTTATAAATTGTAATGCCATTAATAGGCAAGGCGTTCACGGGATCTGTAATATGTTCCGGTCTGCGGGATGAGCGGGGAATAAAGGAATTCCTCTTTATTTTTATTGATAATATGGCTTCAAGTTATTCCATCGGGCCGCGGTCAGCAGGGCGCACGACGCTGAAACCACATGTCGTGCTCGAGCGCTGAGCGATGACCGTGTAACAAGAAGAGTGATTAATATTTTAATCATCATCCTGTTGCTAGTGCAGTATAATTAGCAGTCAGTCCGAGTAAGCATCATTCACGAATGACAAAGCGGCAAAGCGATTACTGCTTTTCAGCTCAGGCTTTGCATTTGGTAGCATATTATTGAACTGTAGCAGTATAACATCATGAATAAATATTCGACACTACAAAGACACAAAAGTCAACTAAATCGAGATTACAATCATCATAAAGCGACATCAGCTTCACCGGTCGTCATCGCATCCTTTACAGTTTCTGTATCCATATGATTGGATTTTTCTTGTTTCGAGTCCGCGTCTTCAGGGGGTATACTGACCCCAGTAGCGAAAGACTCCACGAGGGAGCTCACTGTGGTTATGGCCATGCCCAGGACTGCTTCAACACGCCTACGAACACTGTCACTTGGACACGACACCGCCTACAGTGGGTCAATTCAGCAGAGTAATAACGTCAACGTCGATACGTACCAAGGTGGCTAGATTTATGTGTGCGTCAGTTTCTCCCGAGTCATCCATCCGCACGATCAACGCTGACTCGCTCTTGTCGCCTTGTTCTTGTCCACAACCTACTTCGGGCATGTGCAGCTCCACATCACCGAAATGGGCATCCAAGAACCATGCAATCCGCTGGATTCTAGTGATAGACGGATCACCTTCATGATGATCCGAGTGAGGGTGGTGAGTATGTGAATGTTGCTGTGAGGTTACTAAACAAAATTAACGATATCCACGACGGAATATGCAATACATCACCCACATTTCACAGAGGCAGGACTTTTGTCAATGCCCGTAATAAGAGCTAGAACAGAATCAGCAATCATGTCGTTGCTCGCGGTTGAGTCCCATTCAAGCGTGAGTTCATGTTCTGCAGTGTGTTTGACATCGACAGCACCCATAACCTGTTAAGGCCTATCAGTACGATCGCCATTTACTTCGAATCAGATATTTCTCACCCGAATCACCTTCACGTCATCTTTGTCCAAACCCTCTTCGACACTACCGTACATTCCTTCTAGATGCCACCGCACAAGATCCCAGCCCACGCCAAGGACTATCTTTTGTCGCTGAGTAACAATGCAGGTCGATAACCCAGCAAAGTCTTTCAAATCACGTGGATCGAGAAGAGTATAAGAATAATCCTTGGAAACTAGCAATCCGGATATGATGTCGTTTTCTTGAGGAGCCTTATTAGCCAAAGTACCAATCGCCTAGATGCAATTGCGTCAATAAATCCACGTAATTCAAGATTAAACCTCGAGACCTTCGCAACACGTTCGCCTCGGAAGGATAGCTCGAGAGTTTCAAGGTTACGAGGGGTGTGGATCTTCACGTCCTCATCGCGGTCTTTGAATCTCGCGGTCATGGCTGCTTTGAGACGCCCCATCGCGGTTTGCTCGCCATGGACTAAAACCTTTGGCAATAGGACTTGAGTAAGACGACATCAAATTTGTACGGGCACTTACTACATGTTGAGCCTTCACTAGCTCGATGAATTCGGAATTCTGAGAGTAGTCCACGTGCGCACTGAAAGAAAGATAGTCGACTGAAATTTTTCGCGGGATAGTGTTGCCCTTCAATCCAATAATCTCATCTGGTTCAGTCATGATGTCCTGATTTGAAAAAAAGTTCAGAACCTTGCCACTCAAATTTGAAGTGCGGAAAACAAATTTGCCATTAAGAGACACGCCAGTAGTGGTACGATTCTACACATAAGACAACTCACCCGAGCCAGTGTTCCTTCGATAGAGTATCCGGTAATAATGAGCCCATTGCGAGAGTCAGGCGCCCATAGTTCGAGTAATTCACGACTAGGTCCAGTTTGAAGAAAGCCTGGACTTGCCAACACGACGCATGGTGGACCTTCCGCGATTTTCCGTTCCCAACCGCGTGGCTGTGGAAGATTAGATATATGCCTAGAACAAGGGCGTTCAAAATAACCTCCAAGAGCGTGATAAAGTTCCACGCACTTGAAGACAAATGGATTGTCTCGTTTTGCGAACCTCGAACGGATGTTCGAGTTCATTGTATGTATGTACGTCTGGTATACAGCCATGCATTTGCGTGCCAAATTAGAAGCATAATAAATGGGCACGTTGTGCAGGTCCGGGTGCTTCTTCCAATATTCATCGAGAATAAGGAGAAGTTCCTGAGCTCGTCCGAGAGCAAAAGTGGGTAGAAGGACGTGTCCTCCACGCCTAATGATTGAGTGAACGAGATTCGTAAAACGCAACTCCTTCTCATCGCGACCTTCTAAGCTCTGAACGCCGTATGTACTTTCGACGATGAGCACATCTGGCCTCACTGGGGGAACTTCTGCCTTGACAAGATGTCGGTCTTCTTCGCGAGAATAATCCCCTGTGTACAGAATCTTGATGCCAGCAATATCAATGAGAAACATGCATGCACCCAATACGTGGCCTGCATGATAAGGAATGAATGAAACTCCAGGACAAGGTGTGATCAATTGATGGACAGAGATCGGGATGATTGATGACAGCGACACGTTCATTTCAAGGGGAGTGAATAGAGCATCGGAGGTCGACGAACTGTTGTTGTTCATTGGGTCAGTTTTTTTTGCATCTGTGTCCAACATACCTCATTCGAACAAAATCCTGCATCATGAACTTGTGCATAGCTTTCGTTGGATGTGTCATGTACACCTTACCCTTACCATCCCTGAAGTTGGTCTAATATAACTGGTCAAGTATAAGTCGGTCAGAGATGAAATATAGCCTGCCTTTTCCATGATGTAGGTAAGGGCAGCAGCATGATCGAGGTGAAAGCTGAAGATTGAATTAAGTCGTCAAAATAACTTAGGGACATATCGCGTACTGAGTGATCAAAATCGCATCTACCGTGCTCCAATCAAGTTCATCCACAAATGGGAGCGAAGCCATGCCATTGTACGCTGGGTGCACTCCTGTGTCACACACAATGGTCTTTCCCCTGTACTGGAGCACGCAGCAAGATCTTCCCACCTCTTGACCTGCACCGAGGAGCGTGACACTCAGCGTTGGTGAGTCTGCCATAACTTTGCTCGCCCTTCAACGTCTGCGTCCAATTTGGTGATATGGCAATCCAGAACAGTCTCAAGGTTCACAATATAACCAGACTTAAGGTCACAGGAAGAAATGGTGGAATTCTCAACCTAATAGTCGTTTGGAACACAGCCTCGAGCTGGGTTAGAAAATCGATACTGACGTAAGCCGCAGCGTAGAATCTCGAGGCTAACTTGGAAAAGTCAAGACTGCATGCATGGGCAAGACTAGCAAAGCTCAAAATAAACGCGCAGTTCTCGGTCCCCAGGAAATCCGCAGGAGCGCAGCCAAATCTTCTTCGAAGAGGAAGCAAAAGCAGCGCTCTAGGGAACAGATCGACCAAGCTAGACATGCCCTCGATTTGAATGCTCAAAAGTTGTACGAGGTGAGTTGACATCTAGTCGAAATCCCCTGATCAAACTACGAAGACCGTCGTTCCATTTTTCGTCACGGTCTGGGATTAAAGCTGATGCTTTTTTCAGGCCATCGGGAGACCTACAAGCTCGCACTCTAATCGACCTCAAGATGAAGTCGAAATAGATCATGTAAAGGCTCTCACCGAGACTATCATGAGTCTCTAAATTTGATCCCATATCGCGTGCGAGGATTCTTACTCATGGTCCACATGTTCATTGAATGTCTGTATTGTAGGACATCATATCTCGCAGCCTTTGCATCGTACTGCACATGGACAAGTCGTGTGTCTTCATACACGCTTATCTTTGTATCATGTCTTCTTTCGGAGACGAACTCGAAATGCTGACCGACAAGGTAAAGCTCTCGATCATTATCATTTCTGATGCCTGACTGTTGTTGTCAGGCGTGACGAGAAGTTGTCACCATCAGGAAGATGGGGGATATGAATGAATCAGTTGTGTCATGCCTTACGCGTATACCGAGTTGCTTTTGATGGTTCACAAAATATTTGATATCCAAATGTCCAAAGTCCAAAATTGCGACAAGCATTGAAGTAACACAGAAAAGCAGGTCCTTGCTTGTACCTATCCTATGATACTGTACATACATCAGATCCAGCACGAAGCAGCACAACCATGAGCGGTCAAACAAACAATCAGTCTATAAATAATCTAATCTAAGCAACTAAACTAAACAGTCCTCCCAATTCGCCTTGGGCGAGCTAATCGACAACTTCCCCTGTTGTTTTCGTTGCCTCAGATTCTTCACCTCCGTATTGATCAAATCCCGGAGACGCTCCAGGTCAAGACTGCGTTCCGCTCGAGAGCCCATGAGCACGTTTCGCCAGATACCAGCTGCGGCGACGGAGTTGTCGATATTGAGCTGCATAGGACGGTGCAGGCGAACCATCTTTTGCATGAGGTGGTCTGGGTTTGCGTAAATAGCACCGGGCCAGGCTACTCGGATGGCAAACCACCAACCAAGAGGCTGTGAAAAAACTCAATACTTGCTGAGCATATAAAATATCAGGTTGCTCACCCGTCCATCGGGAAGCGTCCGTTCAGGATATGAATCGTATGTCGTGAGTGCGCCATCAGGAAGTGAGAATCTGATGAAGAAAACTCATTAAATAGCGCAAAGAAGCAAAACCGATCAACCAACCTGTGGACGACCCAATGACCTGCATCTGATCGATGTTTCGCAAGCACAACGATCAATCGCGGAGCATCCTCGAAACCAAAAGGCGCCCATAGATCCCTCAACATTCCACACGCATCACCATGCCGGCCATTGAATACAGCAGTGCTGATCGCATCTGCCATGTTCGGAGGGACGAAAAGCCTGTCCACGCGCCCACCCGGCATATCTGTCATGCGGCTCCTCACGTATCGCTTGTATGTCTGCGTCGACCAAATGCTCAGCGCGACCTCATCTACCTGCTGCCCTCGAGTCGTGCTGCTGAGAGCTGCATCAATCTCGCTCATTGGCCATATGATAGCCCAACTGAGAAGGCGCTGGTGGATGCGCTGCCACGGCGGGGGACTGGACTCGCCGTAGTCATGAGCAGCATTCCGAACTTGCGAGTTCTGAGAAGGCACCATCTCGCGTCGACTAATCTCTTGTCCAGGGATTGGTGGTAAAGGCGGAGAAGGCTGACGGCGCTCGGTGTAGTTGCCCGAGTCGGGAATTTCAGGTAGACCAGATTCAGTGAATGCTCCTTGGCCCTCCTCGAACTCGTCTTGGTCATCTCTCGCAACTTCCCAAGTCTTGTGCGTAATGGCGGACTGGCTTCCTCCAGGCTTGACACGTAATTTGTACAGCTCCTCCTCCAAGAACTGCTGACCTGGAGAGTCGTCTCGATCGCCACTCAAAAACTCGCTCATGCCTCCCCGTGTCTCAGTGATCGTACCAGCGCCAAACCGTTGCTCAAGCTCAGTGTGATCAGCATAAATTTCATCATCCTCTTCAACTACAATTCATCAGGATATTCATCTCGACCGCGTAACAAAACGCACCGATGATAGCAGTTTCATTTTGGTACACCGACTCTGGAATTGTGCCCGTAGCCTGCGTGTTGATATTCACGGTTTGAGTGCGCGGAGTTTGACCGTACTGATCCATGTTTTCTGAATATTCCGTCTCTCCTCGGTATTGCTCTCGAGATGTAGCAGACTCGGCATATGATTGTTGGCTGCGAGGTGGCATGGGCGCATTCAATGACTGAGGGCTGAGAGTTTCAAGACGCTCTTGGACTTTTATCATTCCACTCATAAGCTCTTTGGCCCATTCGGGCGGCTCTTGCTGTTGCAGAGTTGGTGTCAGATTCGACAAACAATTAGAACAACTTACTGTGTTTGGCTGGAATCCCGCATCCAAATGGACGCTAGGGTCATGATCATGGAATGACTTCCGGTACTGTCGCATGGACTGCCAGGATGTAAGATAACATTTAACACAAAAGATAATCAGTTGAGCGCACATCTTGATCATATTTCATGCCCAGCTTCTTGACGCGCTGCCTCAATGCTTTCCGTAGCGCCTTCTTCACCACTTCATGAGTGGTATTATCGTCCATTTGATGAAGCAAGATGCACAGATCCATATCGTGGAAGTGAGAGTCGATGATTTCTGGTTCGAGAGTGCTAGGAGCGTACGAAGTGCGATTACCGGCGCCACGTTCGGCCAATGCCTTTGCCACCATCTCCTCCTCAGCTTGGTTCAAGGAGAACGACGGAGAATGCGGACGAGAAGGTGTAGGCGTCGCTCTGTCATCTTCTTCCGTGCGTGCCGGCGAGCGCGCGCGCGACTGGGATTGATGAGTGTGATGCGAATGATGCGAGACATGAGATTGCTGAGTGTGTTGGGAATGGTGCGACACATGAGATTGCTGGGTGTGTTGGGAATGGTGCGACACATGAGATTGCTGAGTGTGGTGGGAATGGTGCGATACATGGGATAATTTACTGCCACCTCCACCGCCATTCAGCTGAGATGTATCCACGTTCAACTGAGACAATGCATTTGATTGTGAAGATGCCTGCCTCTGGACTTGAGAGGCTGCAGTAAATAATAGGGGTTCTTGTGTGGCGGCATGACGATATGGAGAGAATGGGCGGTTATGATGTGAAGGCGACATTGGGCCACCAGCAGCGCTCAGCGGACCTCCACGCTTCGATGCAGCTCCATCGACATCACTCATGGGCCCGGCACTCGCAACCGAGCGCATCTTTTCCTTTTCCTTCAGCTCCCTCTCAATCCTAGCAGCCTTGAATGGGGCTTGACTGGGAGAGTCAGATGGTGACACGCTTGGTGCACGGTGGTGCGATCGTGGTGATAGAGGAAGCTGATTAGTTCGACCTGACGGACTTAGAAATGTGCTTGGAGGTAGAGGAGGGTATTCAGTAGGGACTTGTGATCTTGATCCGGCTCGTGATCGGCGAGGGGATAAGGGGACTTCATCAGGCGCCGCGCTGCGAGTTGTATGTGCCTTGCTCGGAGCATTGTGGTGCTATAACATTTCCATCAATCACTTGTATGACTAATGACACTAGAAGACATACACCTTTAACCGTATCTCGTGAATCACTTTCAACTACGGAGGCAGCTGACTTGCGTGACTTTGTAGGGGCGCCGCTGGCTTGAGAAGCAGACTTGCGTGACTTTGAACCGCTAGGTGTGGATGGAGGTTCGATATTGATGTTGAAAGTGGTCGGGGATGTTATAGAATTTGGAAGAGGTACTTTTGCCGCACCGGCCACTGTAGAATGCTGAATGAAATGAGTAAAAGGGTAGAACTGGATATGTGATTATGTGAACCCGATGGCGACGTACCTCCCAAGCATTCCAGGGAGGTGCTCCGCTACTGGGCCCAAAGTCAGGCAAAGGGCCTTTGTTGCCAAACGAAGGACCAGAATCAAATGACTCATAACGCGGACCAGGGGGGTCCTGAGGACCAGGTTGATGCTGGTAGTACGTCGTTTGAGACCATGGGAAAGCCAGACAAAAATCCAAAATTTTAAATGAGATTAGCACTCACCATTACAGAATGAACATTGATGGACATCTCAGTCTTTCGACCATCTTGAACATTGGAGTCTAGATCAGAGGTGCCGTCGTCATTACCAAAGGCACTTCGCCTTGTAGATGGGAGGCCATTACGAATAAGAGTAGAAGTAGGCGATCCGAGACCCATGGACTCTCTTTGCATACCCTCTAGGTATAGCAGTACTGCAGAATATGACACTATTGAGTTCGATGCTCGTTGGTATTGATGTGAAGGGCTTACCTTTCTCATTGGGGGCTGCGGAAAAGAAATCACACGGAATTAACTTGAGAGCTGTAGAAGAATACAAAAAAATGAAGAAAGACACATACCTGGTGTGCTTGAGCGCAGAAGGATCGGCCTAAGGGAATCGGAACCAACTTCGGCGAAAGACATGGTGGAAATATTCGGAAGGGTGGATATAAAGATATGAGAAAATGATAAAAAATCGGGGGAAACGGGTGTCGCTGATGTTTGGTTAGAGGGTTTGAGTGAGTTGTTAGAATGTATAACCGAGCAGAAGAAAGTAGTTATTCAAAAGATACAACAAAATACAAAATGAACCGTGGAGTCGACTTCTATAATTCATCGAATCAATCATACCCTAATCAGCTCACAAACATATACAAATACACATCACAATTGTTAAGGCTTCTCCGAAGTCAAGGCAGAGACAATGAAAAGGTAACGACCAACTGATTGCTTCTCTAGACCTTGACGTGGCGAGGGCTCTCGTGCATCTTGTTTATTGACCGCCACCAGGCGGCTGTTCCAATACATTCCGCCTCTTGTAACTTCTGTCACTGCCTTTGAACTCAACATGTCAGTCGATTATGCGTGGCGGCCTCAGCTGTAAGCACCTATTACATAGTCTACTACTGGAATTCACCACAGGTTTATGGTGGCGCATTCAGCCTTTATAGAGGCAACACACTGAATGCTCCTATCTCAGTCACCTCTTTTTCATCACCCCCAATCCTGTCTTCGCGCTTTCAATCTCATGCATCAAGCTCTGTGCATTGCCGAAATTCTAGACCAGATCAGCTGGCACACTGATCGTGGCTCACTTCCTGGCCTTGCCTTGACGTGTCGCACATTTGAAGGTCCAGCACTTGACGCCCTATGGAGGAATTTGCAATCACTAGAACCGTTGGTCAACTGTATACCAACTCATTTCTGGGGCTTCAATTTCCAAGGGGAACTGGTAAGCATTTCATATTCGCGCGAATTCTCACTCAGTAATTTGTACAGATGCTACTCAGGCCTATCGATACCAAGGTCTGGGCCACTTTTCGTAGATACGCATCCCGCGTGCACTCGATCACACAATCCGGAGATCCATCACCCATTATTGAACATCTTCGGATACTAATGTTATCTTACCCTTACCCATCCTCGACCATGTTTCCAGCTCTACAAAGTCTGGCTTGGAATGTCAATCAAACCCACCTCATCATCGAGTTCTTGCGTATGGCATTTGTGCCTTCATTGGTTTCCTTGGATCTACGAATCACCTCGATTTCGCCGGCCTTGATGTCCGTCTTGTCCACTATCGGGACCGCATGTCCTAATCTTACCTCCTTCCGACCTCAAGTAGACGACCCGACATGGAACCGTGAGCTGGCGCCCTTCCTGACACAGGCGATATGTCAGCTGCATCATCTTTCCGCCTTGACCGTATGCGAGCTAGAAGATCCAGGAATGATGCACGTCACTCAGCTACAGTCTCTGAAGACACTTTGGCTTTACATAGGGCCATCTTTTCTCCGACGCACGGGGTTACTACCGCAGTCACTTGGTCTAGAACATTTGGAACATTTGGGTCTTCAAGCTATTAGACTCAACCATATGACAGACTTCTTACGTTCTCTTGGAACGGTCCGAAGCAAACATATTACGGCCGTCTTTTCCTCGAACGCATTTGGACAGCAATCCGATTCTATATCCCAGTTCTGCACTATGGTCCTAGAACGATGCGACAACGACACACTCGAGGCCATAACACTCTGCGAACAATTCTACAACACCTTCCATAATGTATACGCCCAACCAAGCGACTTTGGCCCTCTGCGCCTTCTTCGCAATTTAACCTATTTCGATGTCGAGGCAGCATGTACCATCTCGATCTCCAACGATGGACTAGGCGAGCTGGTAAAGGCATGGCCGAAGCTCACAACATTCAGACTCAACTGCTATCGCGACCCCACTAGTACTGTGCTACCTACCTTCCATGGGCTGATTAATGTGCTTCGACTTTGCCCCGAATTGGTATCTCTCTCTCTTGTCATCGATACCACGCAGCTCGATGGTATAGACATCAAATCTCCCGGAAATGGTATCGGTAATAACGGTTTGCAAGATCTTGTCCTCGGTAACTCGCCAATTAGTTCGCCATTAGATGTGGCTCTTGTCCTTAGCAGCCTCTTGCCCAACCTGATGGGGGTTAATCTTTCCCCTTGGATTGGTGGTCCACTGGATGCATTGTTCGCGAAGCAATGGGCAATGGAGCAATGGAAGCAGGTCAATCGCTTACTTGGTGGCTTTCACATTGTAAGGACACGGTTTTTGGGGCAATAGTTGACTCCTGTATCTCGTTTGTACTTGTTGTATAATTATCTGTTCCATGTATTACTATCAATTAAGACTGCGGAGCGTGTGCTCCTAGTATTACTGCAGGCATCGTGACATTAATATTAGTATCGCACCATCACGTGATTGTGACCATCGCGCCCGCGTCATGAAGCGTTCAGTACTTACTTTGAATCTTTGACCAGTGACGATGGCAAGCACTTCTAAGGCGATCAGCAACTCGGCCCATCAACAAGGCCAGACGTGCATTGCGTTTTCGCGTGATGGGAAGTAAGTAGTCTGTTCTTGATTAGAGCCGCCGACCCAATCCTCTTTCCCTAGGATTGCGTACACGGGAGGATTAGATACCCTAGTACGGATATGGCACACTGACCAAGGGGAGGACCAAGAACCAGAAGCTGCGTATGAAGCCGACGAGGGTATTACGACGGTCGCCGCTGCTGTGCGTGGTTTTTCATGTATTCTGGATTCGTCTGAGCTGACAATGGAAAATAGGAAGGTTGCTGGCTCTCTGGAGGCCACGACTCTGACGTGCGAAAGTACATTCCTGGAAAAGCACAGTTTAATGGACTTGTGACGAGCGCTGCTGGAGTACCGATCAGGTGTTTAGCAGTGGATCCCTCTGGCAAGCGCGTTGCTGTCGCTTCCGAGTACGTTTCTGTATGCATTGGCTGTTGTGTGCACTGACTGTTCTCATATACATTAGTGAACTCTCGGTGAAAATTATTGATTTGGATGAAATAACGAATGTGGTGGTACTGAAAGGGGTGCATAAGAAACGCATACGAAAGACAACGTGGCATCCATCGGGCACTATCTTGGTACGAGCTTTTGAAAGAATTCATGTTACTCCTTATTCATCGATTTCTTCCCTCAGACAACAAGTAGCTCAGATGGGACCATAGTGGCATGGAATTTATCCGATGCTGAAGCCAAGATAGAGAACGTCATTGATGGTATAATACCCGAGGTGGTAGATCCGGAGTGAGGATTATTCGCTTCATTTGTAGAGACATCTTGCTGACCCTCTGCGAGGTCTCCGGAATTTATGCATGATTGTTCTGCTGTTTGGCATCCGTCAGGACAGTATTTCTTTGCAGCATCGCGAACGCGCGGCAAGTAGTCAAGCCATTGAAGTCACACTCTCACTCATGATCGAATAGAAATTGTCATGATTTCGCGGAGTACATGGACCAAAACTTCTTCTCTGTTTGATCCTAATATAGTCGGCGTAACAACAGCTCTAGCGCTTTCAGCCAATGGCGTATACCTTGCCAGCGCCTGCAACCAAGAGATTTTAGTCTGGAGTGTGCTGACAAAGCGGGTGCTTTGGAAGTAAGCTTTAGGATTGTTTTTGTTTCTGTACCCATAACTTGTTGCAGGCACCCAGGCACCCCAAATGCGTTCACCATTCAAATCGCCTTCTCACCTACAGAAAACCTTTTAGCATGGACAGACACAGAAGGTGTCCTCTCTCGGTGGCGGGATGCAATTCCTGCAGGTTCACCTGATCCCGTGCGGCAAACGGCTGCAAGCAGCGCTCAAGGGACGACGACAAAGCGAAAGTCCACTCGCCCGTTATGGGGTGAAGAACCTGACGCTGGCGCAGAGGGGGGTGACCCATATGGCGACGACTGGATTATTGACGATCTTGGTGATGGGATGGAAGATGAGCCTGAAGGTGCAAAAGCGACGCGTTCAGGTGACGGATTCGTGAAGGAGATGGGTGAGCCAAAGTCGTCGAGTAAATGTTGACAATAACTTCACGGTATTTCAGTGAGCATCACGAAGGCTCAACCTGCTTTCCAACCAGGGTCGACGCCTATGGAAAATAAAAAGCGTTACCTCGGCACGAGACTTTTTCTGACATATCATAACTTATACTTATTTCAGCACAGCGTACAATATGGTTGGCGTCATTGAGGTGACGGACCAGGATACTCATCACATTGTCAATGTCGAATTCCACGACCGATCAACCCGCAAAGGATACCACTTTACCGATCACTTCAAATATGACCTTGGCTCTCTTGGTTAGCTTCTTGCAACTTCCACAAGCAAATCTGATGCCCCCACAGGTGAACGGGGTGCACTCTTTGCTTGCCCCCCTGAGCTTGATCACTCGGCACAAGTCATATATAAACCTTACGGCACTTGGTCCACGCAAGGGGATTGGACATACGCCCTCCCAAAAGGTCAGCGTGTCCTTGGTATCGTGGCAGGTGGTGAAAAGCCAATGCGATCTCTGAGAGATCCTTCGTCGTCCGGAGGTGACATTCAGGGACAAGGGAACATTGTGATCGCGACCAGTTCTGGAGATCTGACGTTCTTGAGCGGCTCTGGTATGGAAAGAATTGTTCTCGGCGTGGAAGGCGAATATGTGACAATGGCTGCTGCCGAGGAATATGTAATCGTGGTGCACCGTCCTGGCGCGACTACCATTGATGGTAAGGCCCTTGACCTGTTCAATAACACAATGTTAAAAGATTTTTTTTTTCTAGGATCCCAAAGTTTGGTCGCCACACTGATTTCTTTTGAAGATTTTCAAGTTCTTCAAGAAAAGCCACTACCAATACCCAAAGGTCACACTCTGAAGTGGATCGGAACCACAGATGAAGGGGTATGTGAACACCTTTGTTGTCACACTCTTCTCAATCGGTATGCTAGGCCCCAGCAATATATGACTCTGCCGGTTACATGCATCTTATGATTCATTATCGACGCCCGAATCGTGCGGCGTGGGCGCGTCTCATGGACACCAACTTGCTAGAGCGCAAGCAGGGCAAGGATGAGTCGTACTGGCCTGTCGGCCTGAGTCAAGACACATTCATGTGTCTAATTCTAAAAGTAGGTGGCTTAGCCTTCGATACCCCCATGCTACTGACTTCATCTCAAGGGTCGTCAAGAACACCCCGGCTTTCCTCGACCTCTCATACAAGAACTCCCTGTCCGCTTACCATTCTGCAATCAAGACCCCGTAGATTCACCCATCGAAGAACGGTATGCTTTTTCTTTTCTTTCGTGGTTCATGCTGAACAATAAATGATTAGTATTGCTCGCGAGCGAATCCACATTAACCTTGCTCGTGATGCCCTTGGGGACGAGCTAACGTCTCCCGACATCGATAAGCGCGAGGTTGAACTAGACAAACTATTGATCAAGCTCATCCAAGTTGCCTGCAAGGCGGACAAGGCCCCGCGCGTGATTGAACTCGTCAAACGGCTACATTTTCCTAACTCGATTGCGGCTGCAAGTCAACTTGCAGGGTTCTACCGCCTCGTTGGATTGCAGGAGAAGATAGAAGCAATTAAATTGTGGCGAGAACAGAACGCAACACCTGCAGAGGAGGCGAGGGAGGCAAGACAAGGATTTGCCTACGAGGATGCTCCGTTAGCTCGATTGAAGCCTTTCCAAAACTTCAATCCACCACCCAAGGTCGACAGACCTGGTCTGACACGATCTTCTGGAATCGTCGAGCAAACGGAGTTTACTGCCTCTAGCATCGCGATCAGAGCAGGTCGCTCGCGAGCGCCACAGGCTTCTGCTTCTCGTTCAACGTCTCCCGAGGGAAAGAGAAAACGTGACGACAACGATGACGATTTCTCATGTAACGCGATTGATGTCGAGGTAAAGAGGCGAGCCATTGGCGAGTCCGATGTCGCAGTGCCGTCACCAAAACCTAGTGCGTGTATAATTGTTCACCCGGGCGTGCTTAAATTTTGATCATCTATGGCAGACAACCCGTTTTCTCGGAAGACTGGGCCAGAAGTCAAGAAGAATCCTTTTGCAAGAAAACACGAACTTAACAAGCCTATCCAAAAGAGTGAAAGCTTTTTTAACAAGGTTGAGGTCGCGGAAAAACGTAAGCAACGATGCAACACGACTGCCTGTCTTCCTTTCGTAATTCTCTAATCGTAATCAACAGGTCCGGCTGCGGCTAAAGGCAAGGAAAAAGAAAAAGACAAGAAGGACCTCTCAAGACAGACTACGCTCTTTGGTATGCCTTCGAAACCTCCTGCAGAGAAGGAAAAGCGAGCAAAGAAAAAAATCGAAACAACACCTGAAGCTGAAGAGGCAAAGCGAAGCCCTCCGGCAGACTCCCAAGCCATGGATGTAGAAACCCAGGATGCCACGCTAGTAGACAGCCAAACTCACTCCGACCCATCAAACGTACAGATGGACACTCAGCCTCTGGACATGGATGACGAGCCCATTGAATGGCCGGATTCACCGCTGGCTGCTGCTGCCAACGACGATGATTAGGTCCTACTTTTTCCCCTTTTTTTCATCTACTATTGTAGGTATATCTTCAGTGGTTTCGGATTGTGTATCTAGAGCATGGCATAGTCTAATGCATTGCTTAACTTGAACGGTTGTGTTCGAAAATATAGGCTGCAAGCTCTCTGTCATAGTAACCCGACTCCACCTCTGACACTTTGACTAGACACTGGCACCACCCACTCGGGCTCCTCGCTGGGAATGCAAGGGCCGGACTTGCTTATACACTCAAATTCTTCCCAATTCAACAGAACTATGGAGAAATGCTGCAGATTTCAAGGGGATGGAACCGAGTGAGATGATATTTTTTGGGAATGACACATTAATTCCAATGGTCAATTTATGCGGGGTTCCCCTCCATCTTGAGAGCTCAAAAGCGGACCTTTTGCAAGGAATGAACGGATAACGTGAACTTGAACAGGCTCCTAGTTTGTATGGACACTTGACACGGCCGACGTTCGTCATATCACTGGCGACGATCATGAGGGCGCAACGTTTATGTACTAGAATCATAGCAGGCGCTTCCAGAGGTCACGGGCATATCAGATAACCCGAATTTATTTGTCACTTTTTTTTCGGGAGCTCTTTCCTGATTGCGTAGCAGAGTGTTCTTCAGAAAAGGGGTCAGGTTGTATCGATCCCTGAAGAGAGAGCATTTCGTTCGCCACAGTTTTTCTATCATAAAGTTCATCAACATTTCTGTCATTGAAAATGACTGTCCACTTACCCAATAACTGTAAACTCTAGATACCCATCTGTTCCGCCAAGTTTCGTCCCCGTCAAACGATGTACCCACTGTCCACTCGCCTCTGGTACCGCTTCGTCCTCCGTCTTCTCACTATCACCATCCTTCATTCCTGCGTCCCCTTCTTTATCGACAGATGATACTACAGCACCTTCCCCATACTCAGGGTCATTTTCCGCAGGTCCATACTCGAATTCCCAGATATCTTGTGGAATGTGATGTCGTGGTATAGAAACATTAAACGTGCGGTGGAGGAGAAGCGAAACATGATCGGGAGCATACATGATAATTTTGCCAACTATTGAAAATCATGTTATTCAATTCAAACAACACAATGCAAACGAAGCACATACCAAGTTTCATGGCTATACTTGGGCTCCATACCGTAGCATCGAAAGCGACGTTACAGATCGCGAAAGGACAGTCGGCATTTATGCTCGCTGTTGGACTCAGGAAATGTATATTTGAATGAGCTAAGAGAACGCCACACAAGGACGGGATATATCTTCATATTCAGTTCAGTATCACAACGTTGTCTAGGAGAGGTACCATCGCACCGCATAATCATGCTATCTAACATTTCCTCCACCCCCGTCCGTAGATTACTGGCGAATACAGGAGGTACAGAGAGTGTTATGGTTGCTTTTGTCACTCGGAATTCACTTGTCGAAGGTTCGGCGCGGAGCGTCCCCGTGTCCTGTCTCAATTTCTCTTTCTTCTTCTTCCTTGGTGCACCATGGTCTGCATCGGATGCACGATGCTTCCGTTTCTTGTCACCTGAGGCAAGTGATGAGATGGATGTGGTCATCGTAATATGTTATGAGATATAGTCCAAGCAGAAATTTTGGACGGCGTTGATCATGTGACTCTTTGACAGCCGACGAAATTTCGGCACCAACGTCGGAGTCGACGTTGCAGTAGCATCCTCATATGCTCCATCTCTCCCTGCTTCTAGTTTCTTTTAGTGGTTTTGTTTTGAAGGAGTTGTAATGGTGAGTCATAGTTGCTCTTAGGTTGGATTTGTGGACTGATGAGTACCTGTAGTCGGCCCCAAAAATTATCATACAAATTCTCATCACAGGTGCACAAATTTTCGGAAAGGCACTATTTGAAGCGGGGAAGCAGGCAGCCAAAAGTGCGTACTTCAAAAAATTTATCTTTGATTTCGTGCTCATATATTTCGTTTCGTCAAAGATGCAAAGCACACTCCGCAAGGCGCAATAGGCTCGGATATTGCGGGCGTTCGGAATGCTACCTCTGGCTCTTTGACAGATAAACTCACACTAGAACACCGTATGACACTGGACGAGGCTCATCTCATCCTGAATCTAAAACAAGGAGAAACCCTTGAGAATGTGTTGAGGGTGAATTTCTATTGCTTTGTCGACTTTTGAGTGCACGTCATACTGACTGCTATGACAGAATTATGAACATTTATTCAAAGTGAATGGTCCCCGGCCAGCCCCAGACCCACCGACAACTGGCGCAAGAGCGGGAAAACAGCCTGCTCCGCCTACACACTCTCATTACCTCCAGTCAAAAGTTGTGCGTGCCCGGGAGCGTATTGAGGCAGAGATGCGCGTCATGGAGGAAGTAGAATTCAACACCTCCACCTCCTGGAGCTGCTCCTCCGAGTTCAGCACAAACGAACGCGGGAGGCTCGAGTTGACCTCTCTTGTGATTACTTATATCCGCTTTCGATACGTTTCACTGATTTTAGATGAACCCAGAGCACATCCCCATTCACTCATCACTTAGCACACATAATATACACACAAGTATTACTGCCAGATATCTCGTCTCGACCTTGAACCAGCTCGTGAGGCAATGAGTGTTACGGTTTATTCAGCACACCTCCGTGTCTGAGAAGGCAATCATAGTATTTCGTCCAGAATGCGGATACAGCCGTTTGAGAACTGATTCAGCGCCCAGGGATTCGTTGTTCGCATCTTGTAGGTACGCTTGTTAAGAAATCTAAGCTACCAGACTAACAGTATTGTATCTGCATGCTTCTGGTTATAGTCAGGTGTCAGTGGGCCACCGTGCCTCGCACTCCAAGACGCTAGCATTTGACGTATATATGTTGGTGCGCGAATGTCACTTGCTTATCTGTTAGTATCGCGCTGAATTTCGTTTCTCAACCTCAATCTGCTGAGTTACCATATCGATTTATCTTTTTGAAACGTGGGTGTACTCTTGGGACAGCAGGAATAGCTACCTCCCTGACCTTCGTTGCGCAAATGCCAACTAATGTATGGCAGCGTTTATATTCCACGATTCTACGCAGACTAGGCCTGGACTTTCCACCTCCTCGGTATTGCGAAATGCCGGCTTTATCCGAGTCATGACGACTCAAACTTTGTGGAAAGCCTGTAGCATCCTGAATTCTGCCATATTCTGCCAGTGAGGTTCTCCCATCTGCCTGGCAGCGCAACCATGCCACGTCGTGATATAATGGCGGACTTCTGCCCACAACACCAGGGACTCCGTCACTTCTCAGAATACGAAGTCTCATCATACCGATCGCCGAGGAGCCACGCATTGACTCACCACACGATGTCGATTAGTCGCAAGCAGCAAGCGCATTAACACTTCTCCGGATGAGAATCAGCGACCATTAATGCCAGCGTCACTCCTGATAGGGGCTAACAAATTGTGGTAGCACCACTCGCATTATAAGTATTCCAGTACAGTAGGCATGAAAAGAAGTAACTCGATTATCTATCAACAGCTCTCATCTAAACACAAATCGATTCAAACATCAGTGAGAGATTCATTCTTGCTTCTATGATGTCTGATTCGAGTCTCGTGCACAGTGTGTTGTTCTCCAGTCGCGTACACTGGCACAGACGACAAATTTCAATCACACTTTTCTCCCTCCGGCACGTTCCAAAATGTCTCTCAGAATATGGTGGACTACTGCGTTTTTAGGACCGAATTCCATCAAAACAGCAGTACATATCGATACAAGTCTTCGGATTGTGGTAAAATGACCTGCAAGTGGTCCGAAGCATACGCGTTACCAATATGACCAGTAAGTATATTGGTTATTAGTCGCCGACCATACACTCAAATGCTAGGAAGGCATCTCGTCTCACATGATCGGGCATAACCTATGTGGACATCGAAAGGAGTACTAGGTCCACTGTTTGGTTGTAATTCTGATTGATTGATCCAAACGTATTTAACAATGTCGGGATGTCAAGGAAATAGCAGAGTCCAGACGTCAAAATTTGTCAAGAGTGAGTGCTAGGTGCCCAACAGTACCTCTGGCTGCCAGTTCCGCGTAGCTGTAGTCAATGTAATACTCAAAATGCAACTTAAGACTGTCTTCTAGCCAGGGTAGGCGTTCATTTTTGTACAAAGTTTGCTGCACGACGAATGAAACTCGTAAGTACAAGACGTAGAACGATTGAGATCGGCAGGGGGTTCCTAATCAAGCTAATATTTATTATGGCCAGTTTGATTCTAGACAAGTAGCGCCGAATATTGGAAGGCACTGATGTTGACATTTCATAAATAGGTTTCGATGATACCTGCGCAAGCGAACTCAGTCTGAAGCCCACAATCACAAGTCAGTAGTCCCTGGAGCAGACCATAACGTCCTTGGTCCACATACAAGCATCACCATATCGTTATCAAGATTGGTAAATTAGTAAAATAAGTTCTTTCTCGCCACCTTTTAGTGACAATGGATGGCGAAGAACTCCTCACAGGACAATAAACAAGGATTCAAAAAAAAAAATACTTCCACAGATACCCAGGTGATCTGAATACAAATTATATAGCACGATATATGGTGGCGGTACATATCGCATAATGAATCAGTGAATAACAGTCAAATCATGCTATGGTCTGAGTGAGGTGCTCAGACACAATTGTGTTGACTCTTGGATCGATGTCTCCAAGGATCTGAAGGGTCTCATGCTGTCCAGTCAAATATTAGCCTACATGAAAGCAGTCAAAAACGAGCAGATACATACCCACAAACGTTTCGAAACCTCCCTTCCTTCCGCACTGAGAGTATAATCACTCACTTCGGCAATTTCGCAGCTAGACAGATAGTGGCCATGCCGTTCCCGCTCATCTAGCTCAATTGCCGCATGAACAAGTGTCCGACTGCCCATCTCAGTTGTGCGTGCCACCAACCCTTTGTAAGTTTTCACGAGAAATTTGAAGAGTGGATTTGATTCGATGTCTCGCGTAAGACGGGAGTGGCAAGAACCAGGATTGACCGTCGAAACTGCAACCAAAGTTGGTGTGGCAAGTCGAGAAGACAGCTCACGAGCGAACATCACTTCGAGGACTGCGCATGTCAGAGTGGTGAGCAGAATAATGTAATGCATGTACTCTGTTACTCACGCTTGGTTAGAGAGTAGCGATTCAACATTACACTACAGCATGTTATTAGTGCTCCAGGAACAAACGTCAATGAGATTTACCTAGAGGTACAGTATGCCTTATCGTTGATTGTTTCGATAATACTAGGCCATTTGTCTGCCCCTTTTAGTCTGTTGGCTAAAAAATGAAACTCGCTAGACACAATAACCAGTCTCGAGGCACGTTCAGGAGTCCCTGCCTTAATGAGGTGAGGCAGCATCAATAGGCTCAACAGAGCGGTCGACAGGTAATTCACTTGAAATCTATGAAGATTTTTGAGGAAAAGTGACAGTAATGATAACAAAGCACTCACGTAGTTTCATAGCCATCCGGAGTGGTCGTGTACTGCAGCGTCGATATGCCGGCATTGGCGATGAGAGCATTGGCTGTGCAGCCCTTCGCTTCAAAATTATCCACAAAAGAGCGAACTGAATCGAATGAGCACAACTCAAGAGGCCAGCATTCGATGGCACTCATGCCAGACCGAGCCTCCACATCTATAGAAGTCATAAGTAAAGACCTTCTGAGTCAAGGCTCATGCATACCTGCTTTAGATTTTTCGCACTTGATTTCGTCTCTGCTGGTAATCAACAGGCTCTTAGGCTTTAGTTGGGCTAAATGGACAGCGGCTTCGTATCCGAGCCCGACATTAGCACCAACTACGATCAGCGACTGATCGCTAACGTCTGCATTGGGGATTGGAAGCTCTGCCCACTGCTCGCAAAGATACCCGAAGACGGTGAGCTTGCCCATTTATGGCTGAGTTGAGACTGAGATGTAGAACAGTGAGTATATACAGTGACTTCACCATTCCGAAGTAGATTGGCTCTTTTATACTAGTACCATTCCTTGCAAGTAGAGGCGAAGAAGAGTCAAGACCGGCAGCGGAATCAGCCATTCCCATATTTTTAAGCCGAAATACTCGTTCCTATACCTACGCGACATTATAAACCCATATGGAGCAGCATTGAACCTTTCGCAAATGAGACTGCGTAAGATTTAGAAACGTCCATTTTTCTTGTGCCGAAAAGCAGATCTGTTACCGTTCCGGAATAGCATCGGTTCCCAAAATGATGGCGTTACTTATGGCTGGTACACCTTCCGATATTCGAATTCGGTACTGCTGCGCTTCTTCTCCAACCCTAAGGAACCAACGGGAGTGGATGCTTTCGACCGGCCTTCCAGTGTTGAAATCCGCTCCGCTTGCACAGGCCCGCTAACGTGAATCACTCTGCATAATTCCCAGTGTGGGTATCAGAGTGAGGCCCTTTCCTGGTGGCCTTTTGCCTGATCAATTACCTGCTTTAGCTCTCGAGGATTGCTATTGGCCGTAATCCAGACTGTCGATAACAGGCGTTCGTCAATTTCCACCACGCATCCTAGTTCGATTGCACCAAGACACCTCACAACACGCACTTCCATTTACCTTTCTCCCTCACTGGATCATGGATGAAAACAATCCTCCTCGGAAGAAACGCTCGAGGGCAGCCGAAGCCAAGTCATCCAGACCCTCATCTGGTAGAGGAGAGAACCAGGAGGGCAACCAGTCACGATGTATGAATTTTTATCTTGACAACTACGTTATCTCTAATCATTACAGCCATCCTCTTCTCGCCTTCGAGGAATGGGTCTTGTGGACGACCCGCGGGGTCAGTCTGTAAACTTTTTGGCAAGGCAACGAAGCGCTCGACAGTCCCCAAAATCTGGACCCACAGCTGCAAGTTCCAGCTACAGGACACCCAACCTGTTCAGTCAAAGAAGGTAAGCGTAATCCCAACTCTGAGTGTGCCCTGTATGCCATGATTAGTACTAATCGCTTCTGCAGGATCTCACCCCTCGCACTCTCGAAGTTCAGGGATCGTTCGATTAATGAAGTTCGGGATATTCTCATTCATCTCTTTCGACAACATGCTGATGTATATGCTCAGGCCGAACATTTGGACCCGAAGGTTGTGAACGAAAGAATCGCCAAAGCCAACAGAGGTCTCGCGGGCACCCAGCCACATCCCCGCATTACTCTAAAACGCTTCTTCCACGACCAACGGCGTATCCGTTTCTGATACAATCAACACGTTCTCCGCGTTGCTTAAACCCTTGAAGATATTCAACTTCGTTGCCAGCGTGATTGCAAACGTACAACCCATCTATCTCTCTTCTGTACATGACTGACGTTCGTACGCAGGTCCATCCCTACGCGAAGGTGGCACCGAGGATCTCCACTTGCGCATCCGGGGGAAGCTTCTTTCTCAACCATCGCTGTCGCAGGTTGACAAAATTTCGGTTACAGATGATTCTCCATCATGCAGACCGTGACCTTGCTGTTTCCAGTCTACTTTTCAAGATCTCTGAAGTCTAACCTTTCATCGCAGAGGAGGAGGAATTGGCCAAGATTGAATCCATGGTAGCGACGTATGGGAAAATAGCGCATCAGACACTTGAATGTGCTGATCTTGACACCCATTACTCTGAGAAGAGGAGCGCCTGTAAGACGTTTCGACCAAATGGACGCCACGATCAAGAGCTATAACAGCATCCTCGGCAGTCTCATGCAGCAATTCCGAGACCGGGCAGCCCGTGACACTGTTGTGATTGTCCACCGCATGGGTATGTGCTCACTTCAAGGTGCTCGCTCTGAAATCTGATGGCCTGTTTGAATAGGCTCGTCTCGCCTCATAATATATCAAGGGCACGAACTTTGTGAGCCGAGGCTCGATGCACCGTATCCACGATATTTCTGAAACATCCGCCAAAGGCGCGCATCTCTCGGATGAGATGTACCAATGCGTCTTGGCAGATATCATGCCAAAGCACAAGTACGAGGAAGCGATTTCAACCTTGCGGTCTGTGATGGGTCAAATTCTTGCATAGTCAGAACCACTTCCTGTCAATACGTTGAACATGATGCGACGGTGTTTCCCATGTGATGATGACATGAAGCATCTTTGGCTAGCACGTCTCCGGTACTTCAGGTTCTGATATTCCCATACGTCCCCTTCACGCTTCATTCTCGACTTCCTCACAGACAAAGCGCGGAGCCACGCTTTCTTCTGGAATCCACAGAGTATCTGGAATCCACATCGAACTTCAACATTGTTCTATAGTGGTACAGTGGAATCAGATTACATATCATGAATTATACTCAAAATCTGGAATCCACAACGAACTCCTTTGCCATTGTCCTATAGTGGTATAGTGGAACCAGATTACATATGAATTATACTCAAGGCCTCATAAAATGTCTTGGTGTCTCCTTGACAGGACATCGTTATCCTACCTTTCACTCTCATCATGCACCCAGAGTTCCCACCAGTTTCGTTCCTCGCAGCTCTGTCACTTCTTCTTCCTCTGCCATCGCATTGGCGAGCACAAAATGTTGCAACTCTCTCCATCATTGCCTGGCTTTTCATTCTCAATGTTGTGTATGGCGTCGATGCCATTATTTGGAGTGACAATGTAAACATCGTTATCCCAGTGTGGTGTGATATCAGTGCGTTCAATCATGACAGTGAAGTTTTTTTTGCTAACCCCCTTCGAGCCAGTAAAATCATCATAGGGTCTACATTTGCGCTTCCTGCTACCTGCCTTTGCATCTGCATTCATCTCGAGCACGTCGCATCGGTAAATCGGCGCAAAACTTTGCTAAGCGACAAACGCATCCGCCAGCTTTTCGAACTGTTCATGTGTTTCGGACTGCCAATGGTTTCCATGGGACTTCGTATGTGCAGTTCTTCTCGGACGTTGTACCATGCTGATCATTTTGCTAGACTGTATTGTGCAAGGCCATAGGTTCGATATTATCGAGGGGTATGGTTGTCGCCCAACGACATATGTCTCAATCCCTGCTATCTTTCTCATTTGGGTGCCTCCACTCACGCTATCTGCGATTGCTCTTGGGTTTGCATGTACGTTTTTTTTCCTGTTGATTTTTCTTCACTAAATTATTTCAGGTGCTTCTTTCGTCCAATTCGCGCGACGTCGGTCTACATTCGCACGTTACCTTGATACATCTCGGAATGGCCTGACAATTTTTCGTTACTTCCGTCTGATGCTTCTGGCGGTCGTAGAAATGATCTGGAACATCATGGTCACATCCTACACCCTTTGGTTCAGCGCAATGGATATACGCCCGTGGACGAACTGGGCTGACGTGCATTGGAACTTTTCTCGCATCGACTTATATCCCACTGCCTTCATGCCAAAGATCGTCATCACCCACTATTACCTCGCATGGTGGATTGTTCCGGCCTCCACCTTCATTTTTGTGGCGTTCTTTGCTTTCGGCAAAGACGCTGTGAATGAATACACGGCATGTATAATGTGGATACGCCGAAATGTCCTCAAGCAAACAATTGGACAAACCGCTCCAGGCTCTGTTCCACTCGCAAGGTACGTCATGTGTTCTCAACATTGATTCCTTGTCTAACTATTGTCAGGTATCCTCGCGCTGTTGGGCCATCCCCGCCTAGGTTCGACGTTGACATCTATGACTATCATACATCCTCCCGTGCCAAGCAAGCTGTTAAATTTCCCGCACCTGCTTATCATGCACGAGCGTATGGATCTAGAGATCATTTCCGGGCGCTTAACGCCCCTCCAAGCCACTCTGGTTTCTCTTACGTTCTTGATATGTCCTCGACTCGTAATCATACCCAAGATGCTTATCGAATGGTGTAATACCTTTGATTTAACCTCGCGGATTACGACTGCTGAAGTCAGCCGCTAGCCTCTTCGCTTGATACATGCTACGTTTCACAACGGTTCGTGTCATAGACATACACACTCTTTACGCGCCTCGCTTTAGATATTTATCTAACTATCCAATCATTTGTTTACTTGTAACGTCACAACACTCATTTGTACATCATGTCAATTCAACGCTTTACTGCCATAAGATGACCTAATTAGCCATTTTACATGTCTTTTCACACCCCACCTACTCTGAAGTCACAACGTTAACGAGCTCCTCGGAATTTGGTCCAGCACCATGTAAGGGTCGAACATCATTAATTCATTTTTTCTTGCCCTTACCCTGACCTTGAAGCCGAGAAACAGTCATTTCCGGAGGAGGGCAGATGGGTTCACGATGCTGTCGGACGGTCACTTGAAGCCCGTTGTACACGGCAACTCGCTGAAGTAATTCCTCATCATGGCCCGGGTATGCTTCATCCTCCTGCAAAAAATGGCACGTTTCCTACAGAAAAAGGTGACCCTCCCCGCCTATCGTGGCAGTTGGGAAAACCTGCAAGACCAGCCCAAAACTGCTGCCATCCCCGCTATCCTACAGTTCCTCTTGCCCTAGCTACCAGGCTCTTATCCTAGGAGACAGGTTCCTGCAACTTATGTTCGGAACGTGGTCTGCCTCGTTACGCAACGGTTCTGCTGGACGCTCTGGCTTGGGTTCTGCTTATCCAAGCCAGTCGTTAAGCGTAGGCGATTCGTAGAGCAACCAGAGTTTTGCCAACCGGTCTGCCGAAATTGGTTGTACCTGGCAACTCCAGGGTATCCGAGACTCGCAGAGATGTCATTTAGTTCTGATAACACGGGTCGAATTCAATAGAACATGAATCGAATTGGAAAGTAAGATCGTGCACGCTGGAGGACCCCCCCTCGTGTCATTGCTTACAGCATGTGTCAGGCTCAGGCTATCTTGACACTAAGTGCTTGGAACTTCGCTCGCAACTTGAAGAATCGGAAGTCCACACAAAGACCGATATGGCACTTGCAGTTAGACTCGTAGCTGTCTCTGAAGTTGTAAGTGCTTGACGTTGGGGGCAGCGCACACAACATAGTACTAAATCTATATAGCCTAGACCCGGCAAAACAACCAGTTTCGCTAGGTTGTTTGTAGCCACCGGTAGAACTGGTGGAACCTGAGTAGTTCTTCCCCCCACGCTAGCAACCACATGCATAAGCTATCGGGACATTGTGATTTGCCACAACACTTCATGATAAAATTGATCAGGCATCCGCCGCATCCGTGGGTTTATGGTTATGCAAATCGAGCTGGACTGGGGGTGTTGGAACGAGCTGTGTCCGTGCACTCTACGGTCATGATCCATACTAGTAATGTCTTGACAATTGTATATATGCATCCTACAGGACTTCACCGGCTTCATGCCGAAAGTCGAGCAACCTGCATGTTTGAGTGGATGATCACTAGTATCGATATCTCGTCCTCAGATTGCAGATCGGTAATTTATTCTAATTCTAGGACTGAATTCAGCACCCGAAGATAATGACTGGAGGGAGGGGGAATATCTCGCACGTTATGAGTATTTTCCTGGCCAGCGGTACGCTACAGGATTTCATGAGGGGCTAGCAAATGTGACAGCTAATTTCAATCGGTGTCTACGAGCACCTACATCGGAACTCCATTTTTGTTACCTTGTCGCGATTTGGAGCGGCGGTCAGCACTAGATATAATAGCTGACAGCGCTGAGGACCTACATCGTTATTACGCGCCGCTGTATTGACATACACCCCGCAGCTAAATGCCAGTGAGGATGAAAAGATAGATTACATAGTACAAAGTATCTCTCGCTCACCGACAAGGGTTATGCGATCATTACGTCGGGCTTCCCCGCAAACTGGAATTATTGTCGTCCAGGTGGTGCATAACGCCAGGCGATAAGCCAGTAGGGTGGGTACAAAAGCCAAGCGCAAAAAATCTAGCGCGCTGCGGGTTCCATTGGCATCCCATGTTAATGTATGGCGTTGGGAAACAAAGATGTTGGTGCGAAAGGACAAGACAATAGCATCGGTTCAAGGGCTTCGATAGGCTTCGAGTTGTATGTTTGTCCATTGAGTGTACGCGGGACGTGTATTTGCAGAGAGTGTTATACATCTTATCGTTAGGAAGTTTCTGTAAAACATGCGTACATGAATTCAGCATTAAGAGACACTGAATACTGACCGTCACAGTGCATCCTTGCTCAACCGTAAACAGGCCACCTGGCATACATCTGGTGAAAGTCTCCACGGAAGGCAAATCTCTCCTGATAACGTTCTCAAGCATGCGGCATGTGGAGGCAACTGCAGTGTTTTGCGTGTGAGATATCTATCACTTCGAGATCTTGTAAGGCTGGATGCATAGCCAATATTTTGGATCTAATGATGGGTTCAAGTTGAAGGAGAAGCGCAAAGTTGTGGGACAATCTTTGTCCTTATGCTGGAGTCCCGGACGAAGGAAAAAATCTTGTTACCCGCCACCTGTGATTAAACCTCTCAAGAAGAAAGCTCGAACTAGCCGTTCTTTCTTTTCAGGGAAAAACCTGCAAAAACTATATTTTATTGCGAGCTTTAATGTAACAAACACTTATCAGTGCTTCGATGCTATATGCTGCTGTCCTTCTCCATCCTCGAGAGCCTTGACCACCTCTTGCACTTGGTCCTCAGTCGACCACTCTATCGACACCGTCACCACACCCTCTTCATTCTCAGGGCTTTCTAGCGTCTTCAACTGGCTATCCAACATCGCAGCCTTCATGAAATGCCCCTGGCGTTTCATCATTCGGTCGGTAAGCACCTCCCGTGAGCCTTTCATGTGAACAAAGCACGTCGGAAGCTTTCCTGAATGCTTTGACGCCTCAGCTTCCGACAGAGTTTCGCCCCTTAGCACTGACCGGTAACTCCTCTTCAGCGCCGAGCACGCAATGATGATACCCGGCTTCTGGCCTTTATCCCTCACACTGGAACTCGGATGGTCACTACGCCCAAACATGTTGTGCTGGTCAAGCGCCGTCTCTGCACTTGGCTCCGCATGCGATCCGTGGTCACCTCCAAGCTGACTCAGAACGCTACTAACGGCCGTTCTGCGAATAGTCTCCAGCCAGGGCCGGCGATCTGCGTCTGTGAGAGGTTCTCCACGTGACATCTTGTCTACATTAGATTGCGGATGGAGATCATCGCCGTCGATGAATGGGAGACGGAGAGCCTTTGATAGTGCAGCGCCGAGAGTAGATTTGCCTGTACCAGATACGCCCTGAAGTGCAGTGAGCATGTTTGATGCCAGTACTTCGGATTACGGTCAAATAGTAGACATACCATCACTACCAAGAACACCGCATCGCTCATGTTTCGATCAACAGGAGGCTTACTTTCCACCGAGGAGTCAAGGTCGACAGCCATATGATTTCCCTCTCTGTCCTCAGAATATGTTGGCGCCTCGGAGTCCACGCTTGGAACTGGCACAGACATGGCGAATCACGATGGCGTTGCCACAAAGTTGATGCGACTGATGTAGTACCTTGAGCTTAAGCTTGATCTATGTCGATGGAATTCGTGTGTTCTTGACCAAACGTCTGGGAAAATAATTCCACAAGGTTCGAATATAATTGATGACGATGGCCGACGAGGAAGAAGAGACGTGGCTAGGGTAGCAGACGTGGAACTGATCAGTATGCACCATGTGGAAGTCGGCGAATCGGAGTCCGTGCGTTCATATTTTTGATTTCATTTGGCTGTCAGATCAGACGGAAGACTCAGCTGACCTTGATTAATAACGAGACCTTCCCATTCTAGTGCCAAACGTTTCTTGGAGAAGAGTACATCATCTTAGAATCCATTCATGTGAAGTCTGTGTAAAGGATGTACAAATCCGAAGTACGTAGCACGACTTCGCAAAAGAAAACAAGAAGAGTTTGAGAGTTGAACGAGACTGCGAGGGCCTAGAGGGGTTGAGTCTAAGTTAATAGGCAAACGCCGGCGACCCCTCGCCTGACCCGACGCGTACGCCAACTCAATCTGAGAGAACGCGTCAGTGACAAGTCTCATCTTACCAGTGCGCTCCCTCCTCCCCATTCGCCGATTCATCAACTATGGTATGTGCATTTTATAAGTTCCATTGAAACACAAATACTCACATGAATCCCTCGTGCAGGCCCGAAGATATGACAGTGCGTATCCTAGCAGCATACTGAGCTCATATAGTGACCATTGATTTACAGGTCGAACAACAATATTCTCTCCGGAAGGTGCGTAATTAATATTATCAACCTAATCACTTGATTTGACTCGCTTGCCATACACAGGCCGGCTTTACCAAAGTACGCTCATCAGAGAATTGCAGATGGCTCACATCCTAACCCTATTTTTCCAGTCGAATATGCCATGGAAGCCATTTCACACGCAGGAACAGTCCTCGGCGTACTCGCAAAGGACGGTGTCGTCCTGGCCGCTGAGAAACGTGTGACAGGGAAACTCCTTGATCTTTCCAGCGCAAAGGAAGGCGGGGGCTACGGCGGCAGTGGGGAAAAGATGTTCTTATTAAACTCGTAAGCACTGTCCTCGCAAGTACCTAGGAAGCCTCTTGATTTCTGGCTCTTGTAGAAATGTAATCGGAGGCGTTGCAGGCATCACGTCCGATGCGAATTCGCTAGTGAACTACGCGCGCACTGTGGCACAACAACATCTTTTGCAGTATAATGATGATATACCAGTTGAGCTTCTTGCACAGCGATTGTGCGATCTGAAACAAGGATACACGCAATTTGGAGGTCCGTTGGTATATTCCTCAATTGGTTTGCCTTGGCTTTAATGAGATATCGTCTAGGTTTACGTCCGTTCGGCGTCTCACTGCTATATGCAGGCTATGACCCACATTATCATTTCCAATTGTACCATTCCGATCCATCTGGCAACTACTCCGGGTGGAAGGCAACATGCATCGGGGCGAACAATGGCACAGCACAGAGTTTACTCAAACAAGAATACAAAGACGATTTGGGCGTCGAGGAAGCTATAGGGCTCGTGTTGAGGGTAATGAGCAAGACGATGGATAGCACGACTCTTGGAAGCGAAAAGCGTAGGCTCATCCTACTTTCTTACCCAAATACGGCGCTGATCTGTACTCGGTAGTCGAATTTGCAGTCCTCACGTATGACCAAGTAGCGAAAGCACCAAAAGCCAAGATCTATAAACCTGCAGAAATTGATGCTCTGCTTCGGGCGGAAGGGCTTGCGAAGAAGGATGAGGATACAGAGATGAAGTAACTGATCATACATACTCGTAGCTGTATTCGTGTACAACAATTTCTTCGAACCTTCGGAGTGAGCAAGGTATATTAATTACGAAGCATAAAGGGCACCGACATTCCTCATCTATGGTCTGTCTACATTGGGCCGCATCCGGCCCTTGTCAGAAGGAAGACATGGAGACTAATCGAAGCGATGTAAGCAGAAGGGATATACATATTGATAGGAGCTTTCATGTACACAGATCAATGGCATGCCATCCCCTTGTCAGCAGGGCCGTTTGGCTCTATAGTATCACTCAAGATGTAGTGTCCCGCAGCAGCACCAAGGATGACTGCAAAAATCAGGTATGCCTATGCGCAAACAAATTAGTCAGTATCCAAAAAAACAAGCAGTTAGACACACATTATATGTCATGAATACAAGCATCAAAAAGAAGGACAAGCCTACGCTGGCTCCATACAGCACGGCACGCATGACACGATAGAGGGGGGGCACAGCGAATCTATAAAGATCAGGCAAAGCGAGTCAGCAGGATCGAAGTAAAGGCACGTGTAGTAGTAGCACCCACCCCTGCTTCCTTGCGACCCTCGAACCATTCAACAAGCCAGTCTCCTCAGCTTCATCATCACGTTCAGGCGAGCTCTGCCTACTCAGAGCAAGCGGTGTCCTACGCCCGTTCTGTATCTTTAACTTGACAGCAATGTGCTTATCAAAGTCCCTCGAGGAGACACGGAGGTACTCGTAGAGCATACCTAGGGCTACAATGGCGAGGAAGGAGAAGAAAAATTGAAGGTTAGAGCGGATGTGCCATTGTGAGAATACGATGCAGGTGTCTATGATTTGGGTATTCCTGGGGATGGGGTAAGTGTGGGTGGGTTGGACTCTGTGGTTTGACGTACCAGAGCATGTGCATTGAGCACCTTGCAGCCATATCGTGTGCGCCGTGATCCATTGTGGGATACGTAGATAACTGGTGTTTTGCAGTTGTCGGACGAGAATATTTACTTGTGGGATATTCTGGCTCCGGATACAGTGGAGGGCTACTATACAGCCGACCAACTAGGACTGTGTGGAGTGCTGAAGTGTTGCAATCTGACGAGCTCACAACCTCTAAGTTCCGCTTCCACCCCTGATATTGTCTAGTTTATATGAGGTGTACATAAACAAACCAAAATATAAGTTACATGTGCTACACCTGAGGCCGTCGAGCATCGCTCTGCCAGTGTATCATCAACAAGAAAGAAAAATCCTTTTCCCATTCTCTATGTCCAGTGGAGCCTATATGACATGCTCACATGGACCTTACTGTCAGAGGTTGAGAAACACGAGAGCAGGCTTGTTTTACTTGCTACTGCAGCTGGCAGGAAGCGGGAGGTGCCAGCATTCACCTTCAGATCCGCATCCATTTTCTGACCATGCCATAGAATGTGACATCTGGTGATAAATGAGTTCTCCGAATGTTATATTCCAGCTGACGGTTCAATTTTGCACCACAGGCAGCGCTTGGTGCCAAGGGTGGGTCTGGATAAGGTTGATCATAATGCACTGCCAGTCGAGCTTCTTGTACGACAGTTGTGCAATATGAAGCAATGATATACACAATTTGGAGGTACGTCAATATATTCTCTCCAGTTCATCTGTCTTGGCTTTAACAAGATGTCATCTAGGTCATAGGCTTCCCTGCTGTATGCAGGCCATGAGAAAACACCCCTGACTACCTTGTGGTGTTGACCAATGATCCTGGAGTACCTCCTCATTGATTGAATCTCGAATAGAGCTATCTTTGCAAAACCAGGACTGGTCAGAAACGCGTGATTGCGCTGTGTCAAAGTCCCATTCCTCAATACATTTGAAAGCCCATCCCCTGCGTCAACTTTTCTTTCCATCCAAACTGTTCGTCATGGACAGCGAGTCAAGAACGAAAATATGATATTTCCTGAGCTGTTGCTGTGACATATCGTCCAAGAGCCTACTAAAGGGTATATACGCACGCGTACGTGAGATATAGATCATACTCGTAGCTGTATTCGTGTACAGCAATTTCCTCGACCTTTGGAGTGAGCGGGGTATATTGAAACATAGAATGAACCAGAATCCTCATTTGTTCATGGTCCGTTTATATTGGTTTTCCGTAGTCAGACCTGGTCCTTGACAGAAGGAAGACATGGAGACTAATCAAAGCGATGTAAGGAGGTGTACTAGTAGCTTTCCACATGTACACAGATCAATGGCATGCCATCCCCTTGTCAGCAGGGCTGTTTGACTCTATAGTATCACTCAAGATATAATGTCCCGCAGCGGCACCAAGGATAACTGCAAATATCAGGTATGCCTATACGCAAACGAATTAGTCAGTGTCCGAAAAAAAACAAGCAGTTCAAACATACATTGTACGTCATGAATACAAGCATCAAAAAGAAGGACAAGCCCACGCTGGCTCCATACAGCACAGCACGCATGACACGATAGAGAGGGGGCACAGCAAATCTATAAATAAAAACAAGGCAAAGAGAGTCAGTACAATGAAAACAAAAGCACGTGTAGTAGCAGCACCCACCCCTGCTTCCTCGTGACCCTCGACGCATTCAACAAGCCAGTGTCCTCAGCATCATCATAACGCGCAGGCGAGCTTTGCCCGCTCGCAGTAAGCGGCGACCTACGCCCATTCTTGATCCTCAATTTGACAGCGACGCGCTTGTCAAAGTCCCTCGAGTAGACGCGAAGGTACTCGTAGAACATGCCTAGTGCTACGATGGCAAGGAAGGAGAAGACGAATTGGAGATTAGAGCGGATGTGCCATTGCGAGAATACGATACACGTGTCTATGATTTGGGTGTTCCTGGGGATGGGGTAAGTGTGGGTTGGGTTGGGGTGGACGGGACGTACCACAGCATGTGCATTGAACACCTTGGAGCCATGTTGTGCGCGCTGTGATCCATCATGGTTGTGAAGTACGCAGACTATTGGTGTTTCGGTTACTAGACCTCGGTTGAGAATCTTCCGACTCCTGGTACACTATGATCGAGTTGCCACTGCGCACCTTGCAGTATATATATAGATGCTAGCGCTCGTGAAGCGATGTAGAGCTTTGAAGAAGTATTAGTGGACAACGCAGCAGACACAGTTTGTTTGTATTTGCAGAGACCTGCTGGTAGTCATGCATACGTTGCAATTCAAAACCGTAAACAACCAACTAACTGTTGACAAGTGTTAATAGCTAACTGGCAGGTTCCTTCCCACCACCGCTTCAAGTGTGAGGGCAAACTGTGAGGGAGCATGCACCGCAGACTTGACGATCTATTGAAATCGGTACGTGGTTCTAGATTTTGATCCAGCCTTCCGAGTCGCACTCACGTTCGCGGCAGTGGTGCCTGGCTGACCTGAGTTTAGGAGTTTTATATTACTTCCTGTACCACACCAGTGCGAGGCACAAAATGACATTAGACGGGTACACAAGTATCTTTCAAGGGAAGCTTTCCTATTGTTAACTTTTCACTAAAACCTTTCCATAAGCGACAACGTAGAGAGAAAGCTGTCCACCAATAAGACACACATGCGGAACCCCTTGAAACCGTCAAGTAACTCATACCATCTGCAAGAAATTGACGTCGGCCTTTGCCCGACACTAGACCGACGAGTACGCGTATAGCTGTATCAAGGACGGGATTAAAGCCCGACTACAGAAGTGCAGGGCCTCCCAGGATGCTTGGCTAGAGGAGCTTGATGCCTGGATGAAAGACAGCCAAGAGGAGTACCAGGTCCAGTTGGCGTGAGGATAAGCAGACTATGTTAGCGGTGTCGAAAGATCGAGCATGTTTAAGCACCTAAGCCACCCTCTCAGGTTTACTGATCTTGGGCAATACATTCTATTTCGTATCAACACATTAAAGGTTTTCGACATTGTGGAAGAATTGATGTTTCGCGGGATACAAATACTAAGTTTGCACATAAACCATCAAACCCAGTAATTCCAACACACCCATACCTACTTATCTCGTTTGGAGGACTACACCAAGAGAAACTAGTTTCTCTTGGCTGCATCGATTGGGTTCGTCGTCATGCGGAAGGGAAATAGCGTGTTAGGATAGTAACCAAGAAATTAGGCTTTGCTGAGGCTCGATCGTTGAGTCATCGGCCCTTGTCGAGGGAATGCTGCAAAGAATTTACATCCGCGCAGAGGTAAGTCACGCGAGTTAAAGGAAAACACGAAGGTCTATGTAGACAAGGACACGCATGTACTTACACGTATTGGAACTATCGGCTCGCGTTTCGTCACAAAAGCCGAGTGAGAATCCGTTAGGGTGCCCGAACTTGGATATCGGCAGGATCGCGTAGCACGAACGTTCCAAATACTTGGTTGTCTTGTGAGAGCCTCTGCGTCGGCCAATCCTGCAAATGCAAGTATTTTTGGGGGATTGGAGGTTCACATTCAGATTATGCAAAATGTTTGAGTAGTGGGAGGCCGCCATGGGCTCGGCAGGATCATCGCGCGTGACTCAACATGCGAACAAAGTGCCAAGCCAGGTGGAATTTTTATTTTCAAGATGAAACGAGGCAAGAGTACCTCTGGCAGCTGGCAATAATTACACACACGCCTTGCAGAATAATTGACCAAAGACCATAGAAGAGCGATAACAATATTAAAGTAATTGGAGACTTAATGTTCCATGCCTTCCTCGTCGTCGTCATCGTCGTGGTCATCTTGTGCGAGGCCGGCTTTTTTGAGGGCTTCCTCGGATGTGTAATCGACGCGCGCGCCGCGGGTGCGACGAGGAAGAATTGCGCTGGGGTCGATTTCCTCGTGATCATCTTCCTCTTCCTCCTGTTATGCAGGGTCAGTATTAGTTATAGATAGATATGATGAGACTCGTACCTCTTCCATGTCCTCATCACCTTCCTCGTCGTCGTCTTCTTCTTCCTCTTCTTCTTCCTCTTCCTCCATAGACACGTCTTCAGCGGGAACCTTTGTCTTTGCCTTTCCCTTTCCCTTTGAATCGGGAGACTTTATGGGGCTGGTCGCGTCTTTTTTTGTTGGAGATCTAAGACGAATATAAGATTTGTGGACTGAAACGGGACATAGGAACATACCTGGGTTCGGTAGACATGATGGGAATAATAATAAGGAATGTGTGTGAAAAGAGCGCGTTGGACGCGACGGAGTTTGTATAAAGAGCGCTCGGTCATCACCCGGACAACTGATTAACTTACGTGGTGTTCGCTGAGATTGAAGGTTGGTAAGCTGTAGTCCCTTATAGTGTCACTCACTCCAAATTCATACTACCCAACTTTCATTGCCATGCACCGGGCGCTTATGTCCCTCTCTATCGGTGATTCTGACAGACCGTCTTTCTCCCCCTTCGTTCCTCCTCCAATTCAACGACTCTCTCTTCAACCTACAACTGCTAAATCTACCTCTCCTTCATCACCAACCCCAGGTCCCTCAACTTCAAATCCATCCGCAAAATTCCCCTACCTACATCGCCTCGAAATTTGCGACGACATGTCTTCTCGCAGACAACAAAGACCCCTTCTCGTACTCAAGTTGTCTTCGACTTCTTTTCTAGATTCCGTTGCTACAGACCTCGTAGCAGAAACTCCTCTATACTCAGTAGAAACAGTCGGCTCTTCAACTACTATATGGCGCTCAGATCCATGGGATGCTTCCGTGAAAATCGCAGACATTTGTTGGCCCAAAGATCTCCCTCTCAAGGGCAAAGGAAGGGATACCCACGGTGCAATCATACAGATGGGCGAACCTCGCTGGAGAGATACCGACAGCTACCTCAAGTATGGCAGCCTTGGAAAGTACGTCCCTTTAGATATTATAAATTCCTCATATCATTCATTTTTTTTTGTTTCACCAGCTCACGCAAATTCACTTTACCAAACCATCCCCATGCGCTAAAGTGGAAGCGAACTGGTCGCACTTATCAGGTAACATTCGTTTTCGTTACTTATTTCCGCTTATGCTCACGCTTTCTCATAAGTGCACGTCTTCATCATCCAAGCGGCTCATCGCATCACTTGATACACTACAAGATGACCAAAACAATCCACGACTTAAAGTTTTCGAAACACTCGGTCCTGTAAATCAATCAGTTCCTCAAGTAGAACACGCTGGAATATCCCTTTCCCTACTCGATAACCTCTTCGTTACCGCTCTACTACTCGTTACAGAGCCCGACGATTGGATGACTCTAAGGCACAACCCAAAGTCACTCGATACCCCAGCAACTGAATCCGTCTCCCTTCCTAAATCCACATCTGCTCCTGCATCTGCACGTCAGTGGCGTAAAATCATGTATGGTGAACCTCTCTATCCTTCCCTCAAGACCCCCGCAATCGATACCCGCTGCAATGAAGATGCAGATGTACTCGATATCTCCAGCGCAGCGCCCCCTCCTACATCTGTAAATCAATGGCGCAAAATTGTATATGGCGAACCATTATACCCATCATTGCGACCTCATAGTGCAGACGGTATCGACTTACCTCCACGTCCGCGTACAGCATGGGACTCTGAAAGTATCTCCTCAGAGTCCGTCTGCTATCCTGCAACCCCTTGTTCAGCACCATCAAGTGAATTTCCTACATCTACATTTTGCGATGATTCAGAAAGAGCCGTCCCAAGGATTAATACCAACAGCCGTCATTCAACTCCCCATAGCTTTTCTCCTGCAACAATATCGCCTATCCCAGCATCTGATTACATTCCACTATCATCCCAGCCTTCCCCCTCGCCACGTGCAGGTACACGGCGAGAACTTCCGGCGCCGCCATCTTCATGGCATCCCCCTCCTGGATCACAGCCATGGCTTCACCGATCCAGATCGTCACCCCGATTATCATCTATCCCAACAACAAGTAGACACACTCCATCAGTCACGGAGGACGGAGTGCTGATCCCGCTAACAGTGCTAGACAGTGATATGGATAGTGTGGGTGGTACGCCTCCGTCTCGTAGCCGTGCTCTTTCTTCGGGATCTGTCGTTCGCCGCCGACTACCCACCGTCCCCTCAAACCCCGCATCCCCTGCTAGCTCACCTCCTGCTCGGCCTAAACGCCTTCCCACGTTGGCTCGTACGCTTCCCCCGACACCTGTCTCCATACCCCGCTTACCTTGCACGGGGCATCGGTACACCCACTCGTCCAACATCGTCTCAACGCCAATATCAACAACGATGCCCACGCGACCATCGACTGCACAGCAGTCGCGGGGAAGGAACCGTCCAGAGAAGGATCCTGATGAGGTACTAGGGTGGGTGCGTAACGTTACCCGAGCGCACCATCACCGACGTGCAGTCGAGGAGCACGGGGACCTAGAAGAAGCTCCCCCACCAGCGTACAACGCCATCGACTTCTCAACGCCCCCACACTCTCGGGCACTACCCAATCACGATTAAACACCCCTGCACTTCATCTTCCCTTTCTTGTTTATGGATATAGCATACGTGACGTCAATAATGATAAGTCTTTCGCAACGAAATTCTGCTCAATCCCTTCAGGAATATATCTTTACATTTAATTCCAAGCTTGTTATAACTTCTTTTCTTCTATCAGGTCATTGTTGTTTTTTACGCACATTGTTCTTTTAATTTCGCCAGCCAAGCAGCCATTCCTTCTCCCACTAACCATGTACCTGATATTCTCATTCAACTGATTGATTGATCGTGCCATAACGTACTACCACCACACGCTGATATCAATATTCACCTCACTCTTACATACATAGCATATACACATACATACACGTTCTCGATGTCGTGTTTTTACGATGATTTTGTATCTTGGCGAACGGTGACATTATGGTTGGTTTCATTTAGATCTGTTGTTAAACTGGCCGAGTGATTACAATAAGATTGTAGGGCACCCGTGACTATTTATGGGGGGTCTTAGCTTATGTATAGCTAGGTCCCACCCCACCGTGGAGCCAAGTCATACATGTGCCTAGCCTATGAGCTTACTATAACTATACCCGTGTATCGCAGCCAGGGACGTGGCCAAATCCCCAGGGAGCTATGTATACCATCGACTCAGAATGGTCTTAACTTGAGCTCAAACCCGCGCTCAACGCGGGGAGATGTGACAGAATTCGAAGAGTGGAATAGTCATTTTTTTCAGTAACCACGACCCAATCGGACATTCGAAGCCAAAGTCGTTTGAGAGACTTTCGCTGCGAGCCAGTGAGCATGTACCTATGAATATTTGGAATACCCACAACTGCGGATCAGTCATCGTTGCCCCTGCAGGGACATGAATTATGTACCAAGTCGAAGGAGACGAACCCGAATGCAGCCGTCCCTAGCCTTGACTACTAGTATACTGCACTAATATGTATACACCTGTGCTCGTGCCAATCAACGTGCGTCGTGCATAGTAACGTTTTACAATCAACAGCTACAGCCTCGCGTTCGCCCGTATTCGGGTCGCATTGTCCCTGTGGTGTTATCCCATGACCGTTTTGAGTACAAAAACAAAAGAGTTGCTGTATCCTAGGATGTAGTCACAGTGACGACTACCCATAGATGTAGTAGCGCGGTGCATGTCACCACAATTGACAGTCGGCGGTCATTGACACGCGTCGTACAGCAAGTGTAAGTCACTGGTCATGTCAAGAATACCGCTGATCTTTTTTGATGGACATCAGAATATTTGACGTGTGGTGGATATACGGTCCGTAAACCTTCCAACTTGGTCTTTGCGCTGATCAAACACTTCATATCTATCATCCGACGCCGGTCGCGGTCATCGATCATCCTCAGCGATCGGCTCCTCACCCGTCGTGGAATTCCCCTTTCTGCAGACGTCCGGTGAACCGACTAACCTGTAAAGTATATCACTTGCACGCGCAAGTAAGCAGTGAGTCAGTGACCGACCTCAGGTACTGGCTCAGTTGCCATCTGGCAACACCATCTTGATTCACCATGTCTCCTCCAGATGATCGTCCGAGAGTCTCCGAGGCGCTGACATATACCGAGGACGGACGGGATCAACAGGCATTGCTAATCGAGACACGAACGATGCGATATTTCTGGTATAGTGACATCAGGCCATATCTGCCACTGTAGTACAGGCAGACATACCTCGGCACCGCGCGGGCTCTCCGCCTCCCGTTCATCGATGGCAACGACCTCTATATGCGATCCAATGTCGCATGGAGAACCTCTCACAGATGCGGATCAGCCTTGGCTGCGCAAGATGGCTTTCGGTAGTATTCTCAGTCAGCTTGGGAATCATCACGGATTGCATGCGGAGCTACATACATGCATGAAATGAGCGAAACGGAGAAGACGCTGGACGAGCGCAGCATGATCGGGGTTAGTGGGCAGCCGAGCCTTGTGAATGAAGATCAGAAACCCGGAGATCAACGTCGTGTGTTCGGGGAGTTCCCGTCAGTGTCAAGGGGTGAGACTTTGAGTCTCGCCGGAGCACTCGGGAAGGCTTCCGACATGCTTTGTTTATATAAAAGGCTCGCGGGAGGTGCTCACGGGCCGGATGATGAGATGCCCCTGACATTTCGTGATGACTGCGATATTGGATAGCCAATTGAAGACGCTGGAAATCCCAATCCCTGAGAATGAGGAGCGTCGGTGTCGATAGTAGTCGACTGAGGACCAGGCCTCAGGTGCGAGAATAGAGAAGGATAGCAGTATGTGACATCGAGGCGCTGATAACTGTTTCTTTACGCAGCGAAAATATAGTTTTTGCAGGCTCGTCTATAGTCCGAGCTTGGCTTGGTCATGCATTGAGAATCCCCGAAGTGATAGAGACTACTGCCTCACACGCAAACATGAATCCCTTCTTGCATTTGCACATGCTATGCCTTCGAGAGTAAGCACTTAATGACCTTTGGAGGGATTTCTGTGAAGCCACTTACCAAGGGACCTGTTTGGTGTGTCCCGGTTTCGTACTAATGATCGTGAGTTTCTGACAAAGTCAACGTGCGCACTGGTAGGCACTACAAAAACCTCTTGATCACAAGATGCGAGACAGTTTTCCCAGATGCACCACTCTATTACACGATCGAGCAACTCAACGTCTATCGAGCCCCTCATCAGTATGATGATACTGTCTTGTCCGCGTCGTTGTTTCCCGACCTCCATCGATTGATATGGAATGCAGATACTACCCACAACGCTGCAAAGTTCTTGTTTAAGATCTGCTACTGAAGATATCGATGAACCATCCGAACATCACCTGATATCATCAACCAAGTCGCTTTGACGTTATACAGAAGTGTGATTCAAAGGCATGCAGATAAAAGAAGGTTACCGTCAGTAGCCCTAGTCAGAGATAATAAATTCACCTTCCCACATGATCGTTGTATAAGGGAGAAAACCCTTATCGTCCTCCCAAAGGATGTGTTCGTATGGAGGAAGTTTCCCCAATACGAACGAGTTCGATAGCAGGGCAAAGATGCGCTAGATTAACGACTTGGTTTCCCGTTCAGAGGGTCGTCTGACTATGGGAGACTGACTTTGTTTTTGGTCCCCTGATGATATACAAAGACATGTTCATAGAACTTTGCAGATGCATTACGACGCGAGCTTGACTGTCTGATAGGTATTGTTTTACATCATATGATGCACCTGACCTTGTTAATCTCAAATGATATGCAACTTGAAAGCGACCTGGGCATAAACCTTTCATCCTTGGCTCTCCTTAGCATCGTTTTTCAAACGCAATCCTCAAATTGAAGAGCATTGCAAGCATAGATTTTGACATTCTTGAGTACCGGCAACAGTATATGTCAGGAAGGTCCACTGCAGACGACCTGCGGCAGGAGAAGGAAGTTGATGCGAGTAGGCCATTCGATACAATGCACAAAAAGCGATTCGAAAATAAGGAGAAAATCACCGTTTACTGTGCACGTGTAAAACCATCTAATGCGCAAGTTGCACTTGTCTTGGGCAAGCAAAAAAGAACCGCTCAGCCTCAGCGGGCCCGTCCAAATAATGAAAGAAGGATCGCGTTCCTTCCGCTTCATTTAAATTACGTACAGTTTCGAATAAAGTCATACGGGCCAGAAGGATTTGGCGAGAATAACGACGGTGGCAGTCTATGCCCGTTCCAACATTGGAGCAGGCCTTAGCCCAGAGAAAGGCAGACAACTGTCGTGATGCTAGTTACCAACATCATGGTGAAAGACGATTGAGAGTTGAATGGGGAATTACGTCAGCGACCACACATGTAGCTGGACCAGAGGGTTCAGGGAGTTGTTCCCATGCGCTGCGATCCAAGGCCGCTCACTGGGCCAACGAGTAGTTTCTGACTAACATATAGTCAGTCGATGTCCACGATGCAGACAAGCATACCTCGCTCGCCGCGCTTTGACCTTCCGCCTGCACCTGTCTATACCACTTCCAGTACAGCGGACAACGGACTTGCAGAGTGGACGAGCAGGATCAAGGCAATGCAACGCCAGGTCGATGCGGATGATGAGGCAGAGCAACGTCATCTCGAGGAAGAAATCGTGCGGGCACGACTTGCGAGGATGAGACGAAGTACATCAGGCATGAGTGGTGATTTTGGCACCGGCATGCATGGTATTGATCTGGGTCGGTATCTCTTGGCATGAACACTTCCATATTCTCTAACTTGTAGATGATTGCATAGGCAAACTACAGGAGTCATCATCTAGTGCCACTCCTCCGCCAAATGATCTGCTTGCGGGCAACACTACTGCACCTGCCTCAGAGAAGCCACCTCGAGCTATACCTCCACATAAACCAGCAGGATCATCTAATACCACACCAAAGAGAGTCCCTATGTCATTGGCTGCATTTATGGGTGGATCAACTGCCGCAGGCCCTCGATTAAAGCGCCACGAGCCACAACAGGACCCCACTGTTGTACATGATGGGCGTAAGGATCATGGTCTCGTGCATCCAATCTTCGGAAAAAATGGAATTGCCATGCCTGGGATGGTTAAAGGAGGTGCACAACCTCCTGCAGCTGCCACATCCCCAACTTCAGCTGCCACATCCGTTCGTGCATTTCTCACTTCCGCACCAGATATCGTGAGATCCCGTACCACGAGTACTTCCTCGGTTGCCCGTCGATATGTAGAGCAACTTGAAAGCCAGCCGCAGTCTTCGAACCCAGGCCTTGTAGGGCAAGGCATTCGGGAGCGCAGGATAAGCACTCCCGCCGGTAACATGTCAGCACAGCTGAAAGTAGATACGCCACACTCGCCGTCTTACCGTCTGTCTCAGAATTATGGTGCCAAAGCTGCTGTGGTTATACCAACTTCCTTCGTTGAACTTCGGCCGAAAACTCCCATCACTGCGGAGACGCGCCCCAAGACACCTGTTGCTGAAACTCGTGTGAAGATTTCCAATCCTGAGTCTGTCCGTGCTAAGACGGCGACAGAATCTCCATACTCCAAGACGTCTAATCCTGAACATACTCAGGGCGAAGACCCCCAACCCTGAGCCCAATCGTGCAAAAACACCTGATGCAGATTCTGGTTACACGAAGAGCCCGATTTATACACCTTCAAATTCCTCTCAGCCCTCTTGGACACCCAGACAACAGTCTGCTCCAATCCCAACCACTCCGACGTCCCCTGTGCGGCAGACTTACTCTCCACAGCCATCGCGCGGGGTTTCCCCTGCCTTTCTGCGTCCACCTGCCACTTCTTCTAACAAGGATCCAACGCCAAGTATCAGCCGGTTGCAGGGTCGTGGCTTCGTGCAGAGTGTTGTTCAAGCCAGTGGGCGTCTCGAATCGGCGGCAGGAACCGCGAGGAGAGAGAGCATATTTGGATCCCCAACTCAAGCTGCCAGTGAAATACGAGATAAGAATGCTAGAAGAGCAAGTGTCTTAGATCGTTGGCAGCCTGCAATGAATAATGTTGGAACACCATCACCACCCCCACAATCCCCATTCCCAGCAAATCGCGGAAAGACACCAGAAGCCAGGCGACCAGAAGCGAAAACCCACGACACAGAATTTCCTTCGAAAAGTGCTGTATCCATTCCCACCCATCCGAAGACGCCATCTGGGGAGACCAGTGCTCTTCCTAAGAGCGCAGACCATAACTTAGGGTCCTCCACCACAATGCTTACATACATCAAGCCAAACAAGACTGGTGATGATCCAGTCGTTCGCAATGTTGATGAACTGGGGATGAAAGCGGATGGGAGTGAGGCGAGGACCCGTGTATCTTCATCTCCTAACAAGCCATTGAATCATGTGCGTGCTCTCCGGTAATGCTCAGCGCATCAACTGCCTGATGGAATTGTTTTCGTTATGTCCTCATTTCTTGATATCTTGGTTTCGTTTAATGATATGATGGCTTTTAATTGGAATTCGCACTCTTTTTGCCGTGATTTCGATTTATCTCTGTTTTCCGGCTTCTGAATTACCAGCCAACCAAGGATAGAGCGAAGAAACCTCGAAAAACCGGCAGTTCTGCACATGTTGCCTCTCCTGAAGCCTGAGGACAACCTCCTGGTGTGAAAGCCTGCAAGGGTTTTTCTTCGTTATGACGAACAACTTCATGTTTGCAAATTAAAGACTTTGCAAGTGTCCTCCCACTGTATATCCATCATAGTATTTTTTAGCCATGCACCAAGCTTTACAAAATCTCGAATGTGGAGGAATTTGTGGTTTACTGATGCACTTTTGCACAGGTCAGGGTCAGGATTTCCACTCAAAAAACCATCTGCTTGCAACCAAGCAGACATTTTTTCTTGTCCTCACTACTTAGAACAGTACTGGACTGCACAAGAGGTAAGTAACGTTTCGATGTCTTGATCATCGTATCATGCGTGAAAATAACTTGCCTTATTTACTTGTTATGCGGTTCCCACACCCCTGAATAATAAGCTTGCAACTTTGCAGTACTTGTCCTGAGAGTTCTACCATATATCCATCATAGTATTTCTAAGTCATGCACCAAGCTTTACAAAACCTCGAAGTAATATCCACCATTAGTTCATACGTGGAACACAGATCACTTCCTGCACTTGCATCTACATGCCGTGCGTTTGCTCACCCAGCGCTTAATGCCCTGTGGCGGGATCTGCAGTCCGCGAAGCCCCTTGTCAAATGTCTACCGAGTGACCTATTTGGTGTTGACCGAGGAGGCAGTGCGGTAGGTGTCCCACTTTCATATGACTGTGTACTTCAGACTAAGCTTGCTTACACAGGTATTACGGAAACCTCTTGACGATAGGATGTGGCATACTCTTTTCAAGTACACATCTCGCGTGCACTCAATCATTGTATCAGACGACACTGAAGTTAACGGCCCCCTTTGTTTACTCGCAATTAATATTTCTTGTTTTTCCGCACCTGAATCGTTGTTTCCGAACCTCCACAGATTAAAATTGCGTGCCAGTGGAACCCTCTGCGCTGCAGAGGTCTTGCGCATGGCGTTCGTCCCTTCCCTAGTGGAGTTGAACATGGAGATTTCTTCAGCTTCCTTCGCCTATCTCTCGGTCCTTTCCTCTCTCGGGACATTTTGTCCTCACCTCCAGAACATGACTATGAACTTTGGATTTTCGAGCGACACATCATCACCTAAAGTTTCACCCTTCATCACACGATCTATTTCTCAGCTTCACCATCTCCGTACGTTGTCGGTATCGGACCTAGGAGTCCAAGGCATCAAGCATTTGACGGAGCTACCAACTCTGCAGTCGCTGAGCTTGCACTTGACAATGCTGTCAGCTTGGGAGACAAAGTCGGATTCATCATTCCCCGGCTTCCATAATTTGCATTTTTTGGGCCTTTTCACTCTTACAATCAAGCAAGCCTCAAACTTTTTGAACTCACTTCAGTTCGTCGAATCCAAAGAAATAGAAATCAAGGTTGACCTCACGTTCGCGTTTGACGATGAATGCACGTCGATGCCCGAGTTCTTCGCCATCGTCAGGGAGAAATGCGATAACACAAAGCTTGAATCCATCAGCTTCCATGGACTTTGTTCTAAACAGTCGCACACAAGACTTCGGGGCGTCTTCACACCATTGTACGCATGCTGCAATCTAACTCGACTGCTTATTGGAGACCTTTGCTACATTTCCATGTCCGATGAGGAGCTGGGACAGCTGGCGAAAGCCTGGCCTAAACTTCAAGTGCTCCAGATCAAATGCTATGCCTCCGAAAACACCACGATACCGACATTCCATGGGTTGATCAATTTACTTCGGCGCTGTCCTGCTTTGACTTCGCTCGCTCTTGTCATCAATGTCACCCAGTTGAATGGCATAGATCTCAAGAGTCCCGGCGGCGGGTGCTCCAATCAGCGTCTCACATCTTTCGCCCTCGGGCGTTCACTCATCCAGGCCCCCGTAGATGTGGCTCTCATCACAAGCGGCCTTTTCCCCAACTTGAAGAAAGTCGATTTTTGGGATACGAGCCTCCCGAAGTTGCAGCCCCGAAAGGAGTGGTTGAAACAACAGTTGGAACGGTGGGAATTAGTCAATAAAATCATTGGTGGCTTTAGCCTCGTAAAGGAGCGGTGCATTGAAACATGGTCTGACCGCTAGGCCATGCTTGAAACATCGCCCACACTTTTTGATCATACACGAATGTACAGAGTAGTACTTACAGTATGTGCGGCTGCGCGTAAATAATGCCATATTTCTCTCATTTTAAATACGAACTTTCGGTGATTCATGGCGCAGACCCCATGTGCCCAGGCGATGGGTTGCACCTCATTGCGTTGCGTAGCAGTTCGCCGATATTGGTCAGCCCCAGTGAAAATCGGTCGGATATCGATCAGCTCTGACACATCAAATCTACATTGAACGGATATTAGTAGAGTACGGGTGCAGACAAGGTAAACGAAATGCTCGTGCGCGAAATGAAGCGATTACAAGAACCAACTAAAACAACTGCAAGACGTCGGCCACCGCAAAAAAATAACACCCCTCATTTGCCCCCCTCCCAAGCAGCAAATCAACATCTCCATACTTAAGCGAGTCACATGGACTCTGTGGATTTGAACGCTTTAAATCGCACCACGAGAACAGTGACATTATCATTTGTTTGTCGTTCAAGGGCATGCTTCACGAGCGTTTCTGCGGCTGTTTGTGCATCCGAGATATGCCGCACAAGGTCGATCGCCCCCTGATCGCCTGTAATATCCCAAAGCTGCAGGGTCACACGATAATGAATACTTCGAAGCAAAGGCACCGAACGAAGCTACTTACCCCATCACACGCAAGGATCAGAAACTCGTCGTCGCATCCTAGCTCGGTTTCAGTCGTGTACGGGCTCCCAACGACATACTCCTTCATGCTGCTGTCTCCAAGACTGCGAGTTACCGCCAAAACACCGTTCACGCGCCCACTCATAACGAATCCACCAGCATCAGTAATACGTTTCGCCTCCTGCTTATCGCTTCCCTTGTGATCATAGGTGAGGCGCACTGCCCGGCCCGCGCGGCAAAGTACTCCGCGAGCATCACCAGCGTTGGCAGTATATAGTACGCGCCGCGAGTTGAGTGGTGCATTGATTGGAGTGGTGTGTGTTTGCACAGAAGGTGGAGAGGTCTGGCTGCGTGCAGCAGAGAATGCGGAGGGCGGAGAGGGTGAGTTTGGCGAAGAGCCGCTCAGGGATTTTAGCGCCCTGGCGAAACGGGAAGCCGATGCAGGGGACTTGCTCTTTGCCTTCTTGCCTGTCTCCTTGGATTCTTCCGTAGGTTCGGTTGGAGACTCGCTACCACTTCGGCTCCCGCTGTCGGTAGGGGAGGGTGGGGAAAGTGGAGGTACGGGGAGGAATGATTGCTGCCCATCTGCATCCTCAATGCGAAGAAAGGCGGTCACGACTGTGCATCCTGAGTGGATCTTGCCATCTGATTCTTCACTGAGGCGAGAAATGCGTTTGTCAACGTTGTGGAATGTCTCGTTTAGAACGTCCGGAATAGTTGCACTGGATGAAGTGCGGAGCGCATCGAGGAGGTACTGCACATGATCACGCGTTTAAAATAGCACGAAGACAGAGTGACTATACGAACCTCATGAAAATGCGCGCCACACCACTCAGCTGCGTGTTTTCCTGCGTGACCGTCAAAAATGGCGAAGAAACCCTGTCCTCGCACACCAGCATAGTCGACGACGAAGGAATGTGCATCTTCCATATATCGTCGTGTACCCACGTCCTCTGATATGCCGACTTGGTAGGCACCGTTTCCTGTAGAGTGTTGATTCAAGATCTAAGTTTACAATGAGTCTCCATATGCGGTCACTAGTGAATAAGTACGTACACCAAAGGTGTCGATGCCATCGGCGGTCGTAATTGATTTTGAGCGCGCATTTGGGGAGTCTGTGAAACGGAGGTTCATGGAGTTCGTGCTGCGCGTTAGTTGAAAGATCTTATCGAGGATAGGTAAGTCACTGGTAGGGTTGACAAAGTGTTATGCTGGAATGATTACGTACGTTATTAAGGCGACCAGGAAGCGATGTCTCAGCTCAGCTCCTTTACGGCACGAACACGTTCATGAGTGTTGACGACGACAATGAATGTCACTCACCGTCGTCGGTATCGATGGCTGATACTTGAAATTTTTATGATAATTTAACAAGTGAAGAGGAGAACTAGGACAGCTGCTGTCTTGAGGGACTCCAATAAGCGCCGCGATGATCCACCTCGAGCTCACGTGAGCTATGATGCACGATGACTTGCTACTGATGAACGGTATACTACCTTCGCAGCTCAGACGGGTAGATTATCGAACAGATCATTGACAGTGGGGGAAAAGATCTAACATGAACTGTAGGTATTTCCCGTGACTATATATAACATCGCGTGGAACCCGTGCGGCGTGAACCCGCAAAATTCAGAGACTGTCCGGCGGGTACGCCTCATATTCTACTGGTTGAAAGACCTGATCAAGTTAACCAGGGGACAAAGTCTAATGAAATAAGACGCATCTCCCCAGTAGCCAGACTAATGATCATAGGCTGCCCCGAGGTTCAAGTCGGTACCGACAATGACCCAACTACTCGAAGGGCACACCGTTTCATTTTGATATCAGTCTCATATACTATAAGAGTGTCTGTAGCCTAAGAAATAGACTAGAATATTGGCGACATGCTCATCGATGTTAATCAGTCGGGTATCTCCGACCGAACAAGCACTTGTTGGACCCTGTTAAACTGTAGCTGAGCCCAATTTTATCGTCTGATCCACGCTCTCGACATAGCTCGCAGACTGTGGATGTCTCAGCAATCAGCAGTCCCAAAGCCTTCACTCCAGGGGGTTCGCACAAAAGTACGCAAAGGCCAAGTCAAAGCACAGGCAAAGCACGAGCCAGCGGGTGAGACTAGCCAGTTCCGGTCAATCTATAATCCTACTTATGTCGATTCCCCAGTCTTTAGAGACCAGCTCTACAAACATCTTGAAACAGTTCCAGAGAACGATTTCGACGGATTCAGCGCTAAACTTGTACAGGCCGGTGGGACACTCGAGTATCTCAAATATGCCGACACCTTGTTTGAGATCCTCCTGGTCGGCGGGCTCATCCAGCCGGGTGGGTCATATCTCGATGATGGCGCACCCATGTCGCCATTCTCTATTTTTAACGCACGCAACCCGCCCGACATCGAAGAGTTGAAGAAGTATGTCGATGTATTTAACAAATTGAATCGAAGGTGCATGCGATCTTAGTCCCGGTACATGCGGTGTTGATCATGAATATAGGTTCAAATATCTTCAGAAACCCTTCGAGGAGCAAAGTCTCCCCACTCTCCTGCAGTACATCGGCCGGTGGTCATCCGAGCAACGCGACAAGCTCGCCATGACAATTGGTCTCCTTCTTTCGCAGGGCCTTGTGACCGCAGCTTGTCTGCAGAGTTTAACCAAGGATCACCTCGTCAAGAACGGTAAGCTCACGCACTACACCATGTTAGACTGCAAGAATCTCATCGGCTGTCTGTAGACCAGTCCATCAACATCCTTGCACTGGTCTTTAGCGCATACCTTACTGACCAGTCGATCGATCACCTTGCTGCGACCCTCAAACGCGGCAATATCAAAGATCTTCTCCTCTTTTTCCCTCCAAATAAGAGGGATGCCAAGGTTCTCGATGCTTTCTTCCGGGAGAAAAACCTTCCTACCGTGGCCGACTGGTACACAAAGAAGCAATATGCGATCGCGAAAGACGCAATCATGAAGGAACTAAAGGAGGTGGTAGAACGCAGCGATGATAGTGAATCAGTGCGTCATCTTCACAAATGTATCGCCCGTTTCGAGTCATACAACTCATGATTCACACAGATCATATCTGCAATCCAGAGTAAACTAGAGGAGCAGCGGCTTCCTGAGTCGGAGCTTATACAGAGCATCTGGCAGGGCCTCATGGCTTCCGTAGATTGGAGTGCACGCCCTGATCAGATCGAAGGCCTTGCACTACGCGAGGTCGGGGCAAGTCATCCGATTCTCCTATCATCGAACCTTCCATTGATATCATTTCCGTCTGTAGAAATTTGCCCCAGTTCTCGTGGCCTTCTGTAAAGGCCCAAAAACCCAGGTCGCTTTGATCAATATCGTACAGGTCTACTGTTATGACGATACACGTGTCATGAAGGCCTTCCCACAGATCTTGAAGGTGTGTTTCGAGTCTTACTACTTTCGTTCGTCTGTCACCGGTCCTTTGGGATGTGATGACATTGTGGCCGTGATGTGTCGACCTATTCGGCAGCAGGCACCAGATCCTATCGCTTGTGTCCCACCCCTTTTCCAAGTCTGTTCAGATATGAACATGGTGATGCAGCGATACATTTATAACTTACCAATCTGCACAGGTTTTGTACAATAAGGACTGCGTCTCCGACCAGGCGATCATCTACTGGCACCAAAAAGGATCTAAGCCACAAGGAAGACAGCACTTCCTGAAGGCCACCGAGGGTTTGGTCAAGGTTTGTCAACAAATTTCATCTTCCGTCTTATCACGCACCAAACTGGTTCTTTGACAGTTCCTTCAGGAGCAGGAAGAAAGCGAGGAAGACGAAGAGTGATGTATGGACTGATACGCTCCCCAATTAGATGTGTCTTTCCGTGTTGCTGTTCATCTTCTTTCCCTGTATGTACACCGTAGGATAATTCACATGTATGTTTGTTCAGCATGTGATACACATTAAATTGTAGGATATCGCTACCGATACTGGCGCAAGAAAAAGCATGAGTAGGCAAGAGCGGGACACAAACGAGCAAAGCGAGTAGATCAGAATATCAGACAAAAATAGTGCATATCACCAGCCTTCAGCGCGCGTAATTGTCGCTGTCATATGTACAATCGCGTCCTCACCATGCTCCTGGCATCGATGCAAAGTCTCCACTCCAGCCGTGCATTCCATTTACATCCATGAAGATTCCATCGCTCCCGTTCACAGGTAAACCCAGGTCCGTCAGGTTCTTCTCCTGCAACCACATAGGTATCGCGCTCGGACTGAACGTGGCACGCTCGCCCGGCCATGCGAAACCCAGTTCCTCCATTGTAAAAGGTGCAGATCCCGATGAATCAACATAAGGCCCTGGGCCGTGTGCAACAATTCCATCATTCAAGGTCGGTGGGGGCATGGTAGTCATAGGTGCGTTCAGCCCTGCGATCATTCCAACTTTGCGCCGGAGATTGGCAAGCATTATACGTAGCGTTAGGGCATAGCTAGAAGCGGGGATCAGTTGAAAAATAAGAAAGAGCAGGGGAACGCACCGTTCGGCTGCAACATCAGATAGAAGCTGTGCAAGCTGCTCGACTTGCGCTGTGATCGCGGCAAGGTCAAGCTCTGCAGGAAACAAGTTTGCCATCTTGAGCAGGAAGAGACCAGAAAATGCCGCTGTTACAAGACTGTCGTGGACTGCATATCTCAATGCCGCTCTGTCATGATTGTGGTTATTATCTAAGCGAAGCAACGGAATGCGATTCAAACGGAAATTCACCGGTATTCAGCAGAGTTGAGGAAGACAGAAAGGCAATTAAAAGCTGCATCCTTCGCCTGGAACGCAAGTTCACGTTGCTCAAAAGGCATCTTATCCCACGATACACCCCGAAGAGCTACGCAGACGAGCCAGAGTTTAGCATAATGTAATTCTCCAACGAGTATTTTTCTCAGAAGAGAATTCTCGTCCATTGTCTGACCTGCATAGGCGATCAGGAACGTAGAGAGGACAAAGGCAATTACGAACGATGAAGATTGTCGCAGTCCTGCCACCACTTGTCGAGTGCAACATTCGCACGCCGGATGAAGGCGAGCGTATTATGATTAACCTGTCCATTGAGAGGAGCGAGAGTTTCATAGATCTGGGCTACAAATAACGAATGAGGTATTAATATTTCCTCATGAATTTTTCCTTACTTTTTTGAGCGATGAGCTCCACTTGTGAGATCAACCGTACATCCGTTGGCGATACCATTGGATGCGACAAAAGAATACGACAGTGTCGAATGGAGCTCTCGTCTCGCAGTACGATAGGGCGACCGGTGCCAAGACTCATCCTGGAAAAAGACTGTTGAGACGCAATGTAAGAGGTCAAAATTCTTTGACATACTGGTGATCAAACCAGTATAGGCATAGCCAGATACGTGCTGACACAACTGGGGTGTTCATTAGTTCTGGACGATAACTGGACAGTCATTCCTATGCGTACCAAGGTCACGTTCCTCTTCCTCAGTGCGTTTTTTCCCTGAATCATCAGCGAGCTTCTCTAACGCTCGGTGAAGACCAAGATCTAATGCCATCCGCATTGCGTGGCCACTAGGAAGCCATCCATTTGTGCTCCATGCGGCTAAAAGCAGCATCCCTATGAAACTGATCAGACATGGTACACCAAAATGTACAAGACGAAACTCTCACCCATAACGGCCTCCTTCCTCACTATCGGGCCAAATAATGACGAACGGGAAATACCCTGCGCTTCTTCTAGACACTTGTAAAACGTTGAGCCAAGCGGCCCATTTCCACTCCTGATTTTGCTTGCGATGGCGAGTATCGCGTCAAATGTCCACGGAGTGCGTTCCATGAGGCTCTCGAATGTGTCATAATTCGGATCGAATAAAGGAATGAAGATATGGCAACCAGCAAAGAAGCTTGGACAAAGAATCAGAACAAAACAAAAGATCAAATTGACGAAACGTCTACATATGATAGAGTTCCCGCGCCTCACTTTCCGAGACAAGGCCCTAGACGATAGCATTACAACATGTGCACAGTCCAGTATTTCGTCAGCTCACCTTTTCGATGACGTGCGGAAATGCATTCCGTGGAATGGGCTCCACACGTGGTCGTTTCTTGACCCTGTTTTCTAAGTGATCAGCATAATCGTGCAGCCCGCAGATATGAAAGTACCTTGGTGGGGATGCGGATGGTGCAGCAGCTGCTTCGGCGGCAGCATTTGCCAAACCTTGGAGAGCTTCGATAGGCGCGTTGAGCGAGGCACGAGGCAGCGTTTCTTCAGACTCGTCATCTGACGATGGGGTAGTGCTGGGCACAATTCCATAAGTTGCGTATTTGTGAGGCTAAAAGTTTATCAGAAATGATGTTTATAGATTGATCTCGCAAGCGGACCAACCGGTGGAGCAAATCCCGGAAGTGGCGGGAATGATCTGGTTTGGGAGCGTGGCTGAGAACTTTGCCCTCCCACATGTCCGTGTGCATCGTACCCATTGCGTGACATAAATCCTGAACCATCACGACTAGCCCCGGAAGTCATGCCCCCAGCGTAACCTTGGTGCTGAGTACCGTAGGCCTGGCTCTGAACGGTGGACAAGATGCGGTCCAAAGAGGATTGCATGCCGATCATTTGACTCTGCATAACCTAAAATACGATATCGTCAGATAAATTCAAAGGATAAGCTTTGAACATGTACCAGATATTGACCCTCGAGGCGAGACAAGCGCCTATTGTGTGGTGTAAGTGATGATGGCTCCAGTTTGCCCGATCTGAAGCTTACTCGACACTGGCCCCAGTTATAGAATTTGTATTTTTTTTCTCTGGCTTCTCGAAAACACAAGCAGTTCCACTCAACTGACATCGACGACAAGGAGCCTAAAGAATGTGACGCCGGGCCGGGGCGGGAGAGTCGGGCCAGTGAGCAGAGGGGGATGATCACAAGCGGGTCTTTAATAGACGTACCTCTCCTTCACATCTGTTTTTACCTTTCCTGCAAGCAGTACAAGCTCTTGCGCCTCTCTTTGGTATGTGTGCGGCAGCTTGCGGCGGTTGTGACGAGTGGGCTGTGTCCGCAGGAGATTGGCTCATGTCCTGATGATTCAAATTATTGTTGCTATTTTGTGCGATAAGACTGTGCGTCCTGCGCCGTTTAGATGGGATATCTGAGATGTTGGATGTTGCTGCAGATGGAGACAAGGACATGATGGGTGGCCGTAAAGCGCGCGCAATATTTCGTCACTGCCAAAGGAAGTGTATACTATAGTCTCCGCTAGTCTCCGCTAGGTCTTCTTACGCGACTTTGGTCCAATCACTTGACCTCCTCTCACTTTTCATATCTCCTCACACTCTAGTGCAGTCGTCCGGATCAGTCGCACTACGCAGGGGTTAGCCAACGATTTACGTTCTTTTTTAATACTGCTGGTTAATGTTTCATTGATAGTAGGTATTAACACAGTCACTGGTCGAATTCGATCTGGATTCGAAAAAAATGTAGCCTCCAACCTTTGTGATCACAGCCAAATCGAGTGGACCGAGTCGGCATCGAATAACTTCAGGGTCATTGAAAGAAATTTTATTGGAACAATCACGGCATATCTTTAGTTGAGGAGTTTTCATTTATCAGCTGCTAGGCTTATTCAAGTTTGAGTCGTTAAAAAATGCTAATCAGCCCGTCATGATATTGCCCACTGGAACGATGTTGATTGCACAACTTATCTGATGCTCACAAGTTCATAATGCATTCCTCATACGTGCATTCCACGCATGTTGATGAAGGTGCCGACAACAACTATTACTGTTTCCCACCTGGCACCACTCCTAAGCTTCAAAGATGCTTCACTCAGTGACCTTGTATGGTAAACTGAAAACCATAACGCTAGCCACTCCTGGGACAAAAGAAAACATAGGTCGGCTTACGACGCCCCAAGTACTTGCTGTAAGAACGTTAGTGGTATTCCATCCTGTGGAAGCTTGGCAGGGCAGGGATGTTCATTGTTCCTGACTGGAAATAATAAGCCTACACTGCGCAAGGAGATGCTGTCCGAGATCCAAACGGGCAACGAGGTGTCTCGACGTTTGTTGCAGAAAATGATAGTGAGCACCACAATCGATTGAACACCCTATAACATGGGAAACCCGTGTGACTCGGCCCGTAGTGGGACGGAGCACATGAGAGCAGATTGAGTACCTTCTTAGAGTTGCCGCAGAGCGCAGTACCGGCATTTCCATCGACTTTGGCTGCTTGGAAGGCGAGCCGCGGTGACTGCGTCAATAGAAACCCCATTCCGGGTTGACGCAAGCTTCTTCTTTAATGAATAGGAGAACTCGATGCTTCCCAGAAAGAGAAATCCTGAGAACATTTTGAATTGTAATTCAGCAGCTGACAGGATATTAAGATATCCGGTGTGTAACGACCGGCACGTCTGTAGTGATGCAGCCAGATGAAAGGTTGTGGAGAACTTGTGGACTGAGCCTGGGTCATTACGCCATTATCGCGGAAACAATTTGTAAGAGAGCGGAGTTGAGAGCAAGTTGCAAAAGGTTTAGGTCGCAGACTTGACTCATCAGCAAGTGGTGACATTGCCAAGTAGATACATTTCCCCGTTGAAGGGATCAAAGGGTGTTGCTTCCTTTCCCATGAAGAAGTGAATTTGTCCTACCGCGACTGCAATGTAAAGCATAATCCTCGCAGAGCCGTGCACCGTGGCTTGGCAAGATCTGACATGAGGATACAGTAACTTCATGCGCCTGCCCACGACCTATCGAGATTCGCGAAAAGTTTTCAGTCAAGCTTTAGATGCTACGTAGCGGTTCCAATAGTATAGGGCGTATAGGTAGCAGCAGCTGTTGAGCTCATACGGATGACCTGAACACCGTCAGTCACTGGGCCTTGGTGGACTGCCATAAACACACCATTGATGGAAGAAGCTGGGTTCTTTTTACCATCGATAGTGATTCAAGCTTGGGCTACTATCAATGGTCAAAAAATGTGGCGTGGCTCACTGTTTGCGTGATGCTTATACGGTGGAGCCGGAAGGTCAACCGTTCCGTTTGGCAAACACAGCGGTCTCGGACTGCTACAGTGGCTCACCAATATGACTGCGCGCCTCAAATAGCTATTCCAACTCTGATTATGTTTCATATCGTAGGCCGTTGCGTGCGCAGTCGATTCGGGTAACAAGCAGCGCCTCTGTCGTTTGAAGAACGTCAAATTGACCCTGCGGAACAGAAGTTTCGGCGCAAATTATCAACAGCTTTGATCCGACCTCGAAGGAAATGCCCTCAGCGAGATGGGCCATCGCTTGAAGAATCTGAGTGGCATCTTACTCCTACAGCCACGGTATAAGGCTGAGACTATGAAGAACAGTCTTTAATGTCATGAATTGGGAGACTGACGTATGGGCGTTGACCGTGTGAGATTATGATGCGCGGGCGGTGCCAAGGGTCATCGAAGCGCCCATTCCGGGTTAGTCATAGTTCACGGAATATGCCGTGTGTTGTCACCGCGGAGCATCAAAGCTGACGTAAATATACAAACTTCATGTTGCAGATAACAAGTTCCACTGAGCTCGTTTTGCCGCTTCTTCGTCTCCGCCCTCCTAGTCGGGTAAGCAAGCCCTGGAGATATGCCTCATCAACTCCGGTGTCACTTGGCGACTGGATGAAATAGGTACCCGGTTACTGCATGTGGTTTGATGTTATCGTCTATAAAATGCGTGGTTTCTCAATGCTGAGAACTATTGACCACATTTTGTGAGCCTCTTTTACCAAGACTACCAGGAGGCAGATAATGTGAGTGACCTGCTTTGTGTATGTCCATGTCTGATGAATCGAATTGGTGGGTTAGGATTATAACGCCCAGAGTTGAGTGCGTCGCTATGACGCAAGACCTTGCAAGACTGCCGGGGAAGACAAAGCGACCGTTGTGTCGCATCATGGACGCGCAGGCGCTACGCCTCAACCACACACTAGTGACGTATGGCGTGTCGTATATCTCGTTTATCCCGAACGAGCTCCTCGAGATGATATTTGTAGAGACAGTCAAAGCAACTAGACCAGATGAAGACTACTCTTCTTTATGTGCCCTCACCAGTCTACGCCTCCGCCCCAGGCCTGAGCTTTTGCTTGCGAGTGTTTCACAGCATTGGAGAGCTGTAGCGCTCGCGATGCCGTCTCTTTGGACAGAGATCCAACTTTCCCTCCGCCAGAATGTAGATCTTGTCAATCTTTACTTGACCCGCTCACAGGGTCAGCTGCTTGACATGCGATTCACTGGCATTCATCGTGAATTTCACAGTCAGGGCTCGCCTGAGGTTGACCCAGATTACTCGCGCATATCCCGCATTATTCTCTCACACATTCATGTCTGTCGCCGCTTGGAAGTTCACGGGGCTTTCCCATTCCCCAAACTTCTAGATGGGTTCAAGCGCATAAAGGCTCCAATGCTAGAAGAACTTATTGTGCACTATCCGCTTGATATCCCGAATAGCAGACATATCTTGTTCACTGAAGGTCTGCCTTTACTCGTTTGTCGAACTAGGAAAGTTCTCATCCATCTCCTCAGACCTGTTCCTATCTGCAGATCGCCTTACAATGCTTACCTTAAACGGCTTGTGGGTTTCCGGTCTTTCCCCTGAGAATTTCAGCAACCTACTCTCTCATCTCACTTCACTGACTTATCTCACGCTAATCGGTGAACCCGTGGATTATGTTCGCAGCAGGGATATCCCACTCGTCGAATTACCTTTGCTTCGGACAATGGTCCTAAAGCCTGGACCGAATATTTCTAGGACATATATGCCTACCATTTTCCGGGCAATACGTGCCCCCGCACTACGCGAGCTGGTATTGGATTTCCACACTGCGACCTCATCACGTGATCTCCAGTCGCTCGTGGACAAGCTGAACCGTGGAGCACCGCCCTTCCCCTCCGTACGCCTTCTCACGTTGTGTAGCAGGTCCATGGCACACGATGGGTGGCATGCCCTTGCTCATGCATTTTCAGGCATAACGACACTCTCAGTCTCCAAATGTATCGTGAATCAGTTGATGGGCTTCCTCTCATGTGCGGGGAGAAGAGATGCATTCCCGAATTTGCGGACACTTTTGTTTGACGATATGCAGTTCGAGTGGTCGTTGCTACTCCAACTATTGCAGATCAGGGAGGCGGCGGGGATGCCTGTCCGCGAGGTCAAGATGAGGGGCTTTAAGAAACATGCGCAGTCTGAACTAGTTCGGAAGTTCGTAGCTTCTCTTGCTACATACTCTCCCGTTGTGATTGGTTGGACTTGATTGCGACATGTATACGGCCTAGGCTAGTTACGGGATTTGTCCAACGACGTGCCGTGAGCGTCCTCAGCTGATGAAATTACCTATCTTTCTGTGGAAGTTGCTCCTTTATTTGTAACCCTCGCCGCTGTCGACGACGATGTTTAGGAAGTCAGTATCCAAGGCGGTGCTCTCTAGGGCATTGCTTCGTCCCCAGCGCGATTTTTCTATTTCGCTCCCCGTCAAGAGAATCGTGGCGACTAATCCGATCAAGGCAGAGGGTGTTAAGGTAATGATATCCCTCGGCTCCCATTTTTCCAGACATCTTAACGACTATCTAGTCCTGGTCTTCAGGCAAATATCCTCTTATCGAACATGAATACGATGCTATCGTAGTGTGAGTAGTGTTCTGAAATAATGAGAAATTAATAGACTTAAATGTATTGCTTGATATAATTAGTGGTGCTGGTGGCGCGGGCCTTCGCGCCGCCTTCGGTCTTGCGAAAGCTGGTTTCAACACGGCTTGCATCACCAAACTATTTCCAACCCGGAGTCACACTGTCGCAGCACAGGTATGTTGCAGCGATGCTCAGCAGTGTTTGACACAGACACACTCATATATTACATCTTCCAGGGTGGTATCAACGCTGCTCTAGGTGTAAGCACACCTTGAGGTCTTTGCATTCTTTTCATTGATGAGTTTCCTGTAGAACGTGACGGAAGACGACTGGCGATGGCACATGTATGATACGGTTCGGGTCCTTTGATATGTTATGCTCCCGAGTGGTTTAATCGAGCTGATGTTCCACAGGTCAAAGGGTCTGACTGGCTTGGCGACCAGGATGCTATTCATTATATGTGCCGCGAAGCTCCCGGGTCAGTTTTTGAGGTAGGGTCAATCTTACATATCTGCTTGTGCGACCTACATCTGTTTCTAGCTTGAACGTTATGGTGTTCCATTCTCCCGTACTAGGGATGGAAAGATATACCAACGTGCCATTGGTGGTCATTCTTTGAATTATGGCAAAGACGGTCAAGCATACCGCTGTGCTGCGGCTGCCGACCGTACCGGTCACGCTCTCCTCCACACCCTTTACGGCCAATCGCTCCGACACGACACAAAGTTTTTCATCGAGTACTTTGCGTTGGACTTGATTATGCAGGATGGCGAGTGCGTTGGAGTGATCGCGCTCAACATGGAGGACGGCACGCTCCATCGCTTCAGGGCTCATGAGACAGTCCTTGCAACAGGTGGTTACGGTCGCGCGTATTTCAGCTGCACGAGTGCACACACTTGTTCGGGCGATGGTAATGCAATGGTTTCTCGTGCTGGCCTTCCTTTGCAGGATTTAGAGTTTGTTCAGTTCCACCCAACTGGTATCTATGGCGCTGGTTGCCTTATTTCTGAGGGTCATTTTCTTTTCTATGAGTTATTTGCCTCCTCGTGGCTGAACGTGCATTAGGTTGTCGTGGCGAGGGCGGCTACCTCTTGAACTCTGAGGGTGAACGTTTCATGGAGCGTTATGCACCTACCGCCAAGGATCTTGCTTCCCGTGATGTCGTATCTCGTTCGATGACGATCGAGATTCGTGAAGGACGTGGTGCTGGACCTCAGAAGGACCACATACACCTTCAGCTCAGCCATTTACCTCCTGAAGTTATCCACGAGAGGTTGCCCGGCATATCTGAGACTGCTGCTATTTTTTCTGGAGTCGACGTCTCAAAGCAGCCCATTCCAGTGCTACCCACTGTCCATTACAACAGTTAATGTCTCTACTGTGCTGTTCGGACTTGAGCTGACTTTCTGATAGTGGGTGGTATTCCTACCCGATATAGTGGTGAGGTACTGACTGTTGACGAGGTGAGCTTGTGCCAGTTGTGCCATTCGCGTCGACTCATGAACCGTGGTCAGAATGGCAAGGACAAGACTGTCCCTGGTCTGTATGCAGCTGGCGAGGCTGCTTGTGTCTCGGTTCACGGTGCCAACCGTCTTGGCGCCAACTCCCTCCTGGATCTTGTCGTCTTCGGTCGTGCGTGTGCCCATCATATCATGGAGGACTTGACTCCCGGAAAGCTCCATAAGGCTATCCCTAACGAAGCTGGCCTCGAGTCTATTGAGTTCTTGGACCAAATCAGAAATGCAAATGGCCCAGTGGCTACTGCCAATATAAGGCTGGAGATGCAAAAAGCCATGCAATATAATGCCGCTCTCTTCCGGTGTGGTCTGTCATCTTCATGCGACCAAATCGAAATTGACGATCCACGTAGCACACAGCAGAGTCTCGACGAAGGTGTTCAAAAGATCCGTCAGATATACAAATCATTTGACAATATTGGTATCAAGGATAGAAGTATGATTTGGAACTCGTACAGTTGGCATTTATTTGTGCCGAACCCTCCTTGCTCACGTCATTACCTTAGTGATCTTGTTGAGACTCTCGAGCTGCGGAACCTTCTACAATGCGCAGTCCAAACTATGACGGCCGCAGCAGCTCGTAAGGAGTCACGAGGTGCTCACGCTCGTGAGGACTACCCTGAAGTTGGTATTAATATCATTTCAGTGGATATGTTTAACCTGTTCTGTATTAGCGTGATGATGACAACTGGATGAAGCACACTCTTACGTGGCAAGATAAAGTGGATTCACCCGACGTTACTATCAAGTACCGCGGTGTTATCGACAAGACTCTGGATGAAAATGAATGCAAGGCAGTCCCACCATTCAAACGTACATATTGAGTTGTATTTGGTTTATCCTCCGCCGGCGGAGCCAGAGGGATTTGTTCGGTTATATTGTTTGCGCTGCCGCCGACTGCGGGGTTATGATCAGGTGACGGCTGCGCAGTTTATTTGTGTTTGTAGAATTTGTGGCTGTGTCTATAGTTTTGTCTACGTGTCCTGTCTACGTGTACTTTCTCTTCATGGCCACGTCCTGCTGCTCCTGCACCCGGTTTTCCAAGCGTTAACTCTAGCATTCTTTTTAACGATATATACGACCAAAAGACTAACCTGAGCGCTTCGCCAAGTTAACTGCATACGTGTAACCATGTCATCACATTCAACAAATTTCGTCGACCCATCGAATCTTTCTCTTCCGTCCTCTTCTTTCCTCAAGCGTCCTGCATCTCCCTCATCATCTCATGCAGATTCTCCTGATGCATCAATACAGGAGCCCCCACGTAAGCGCCCTCGCTCAGCCGTAACACCGGAAGAGCGCAAAGAGGCCCGTGCACACCGCAATCGCATAGCAGCACAAAACTCACGCGACCGCAGAAAAGCTCAATATTCCTTTCTCGAGCGCAGAGTCGCCGAACTTGAGGAAGAGAATAGACGCCTTCGCGCTGGTGTCCCAATCACCATCCCTGCTTCACCCTCGGTCAGTTCCGCATCGGAACCCGAGGTTGTCACTATTGAGCAGGAGCAAGAGCGCAAGCGAAAACGTGCCGAGGAGCAACGAGAACGTGAGAATCTCGAACTGCGCGAACGCATTCGAACACTTGAAATGGGTTACGAGGCAGTATTGCGGACCCTGGCAACCCAAGGCGCCAACCCGTCTGCTCTCCACGAAACTTCAAGCTCGCCTCAAATCCTCTCATCTACTTGCGCACCATCACCTGAGTCAGCAAAATCTCCTTCAACAACGGACTCAGCATCTCCAACCCCTTCATCACCTAAATCGACCTCCCTAGCATCCCTTTCTTACCCACTTTCTCCTGCGCCAACACATTCTACGCTCACAGACAGCCCCATGTTGTTTTTGGGTGACTCATTCGACTTCCCACCCAGTCCCGCATTTACTCTATCAGATCTCACGCCAACCGATTTACCAGCACTTGTTGACACACCACAGGAAAGTCTCGACCTCTCCTCGATTGCACATGCTCCCACTCGCCACCTAGCACGGGTGGCGACCACTACCGTTCACGCGGCAGTGTCCCTGCAGCGGGTGGGCAGCATACGTCTAATCACAGGACCGGCGAGGGCATCCAGATGTTCCCACAGTGCTGCGATCGAGGTTAGTTACCTACTACTCCAAAGCATATAGTCACTCACCGTGTTCTTTTAGCATGAAGACGAGGCAGCCACGGACGCTGCCCTTACGCGCCTGTTCGCAGAGATCCTCGCGTCACCGCCGACTGGCGCTTGCGCTCTTCCAGGCGCTTGCCCTTCGGCAGAAGACGCGAACAGCACGCAGGTGCTGAGTGAGCCCACTTCTACCAAGAAGGCTGGCCTAGGGCATGTTACGAGTGGGATCAACACAGCTGACTGGGCGGAACAAGTCAATGTAGAGATGGGAATAGAAAGACTACTTGAGATGCTGCCGAGTTCGCAGGACATCGTTATCGACTCGAGCACTACCCTCGATGTTGACATTGACTTCTCGGATGCGCTGGTGTGGGACGAGGTCAGCGTCTACTAACATGTTGAACCTTCTAGACATCCTTCATCAAGCGCTCAACCAACATCATCGGTTTCCGCGATATATCTATCATTGTTATCGTCTTTCGCATCCATCCATCTCATCACTCATCGGACTTGTCATCATCATTTTCGTTCCCATAAAAGCTGTTTATGTTCCATCTATCTCCTACTCTATCTTGCTTTATTTCGGCTTCTCGTGGTCTCAGTTTCGTTTTTTTTGTATTTGGCACCACGCTTTGTCAACCATCCACACTTGCCTACGCCTACGCACCTACATCCAAATCCTGTGTCTGTTCTACCCCATTTCCCCCGTTCCGTCCCCTCCCCCGCAAACTTCTTATGTCTGGCACTTCTTTCTCGACGCTGTCTCCCGCCACATGTTCCACTTGTTTCTCGCCCTAGGGCTTGACGAAATCGAGTGAGCTTGTGTGTGGTGAGCGCTTGAGTGTGGTTGTGGTCTGAGATTTGGGTTGCTTGTGGTTAGGATTGGGTTTCTATCCTTCTCTGTTGGGTGTCAGGTTTTTACTCTGGTCGTAGTGTATGCGGTCGTGATGAATGCAAATTGATGTTTGGTGTTTCTGCAGTGTGCAACTTTGACCTTCATGTGTAAATGTTGACACCTAATGTGCGCTGGCGACTGACCCTGTGACCTACTGATTCAGAAAGAATGATACGGTCTTCTGACCATAAGAATATACCAGCTTGTGGAAAAATGATTCATATTCCACGCTGCGCCAGTGTGTACCGTCACGTAGCATGAAGACGTTGGAACAGTCCTTATCCAACTGCACTCGACACAACAAACTCCATCGTAAGCACTTTCGTAATTGGCATCGCTATCAGCATCACAAAATTAAATAGTAAATACCGACTAGGTGAGGGACAATGTAGTACAATGACTAGTCTAAGTGCCTACGTGGTACATGCCCCATCTTATGATGTTTGAAAGTCATGCTGACATGTCTACGAGGGATTTTCGCCGTAGTGGAAATCGCATCGTAAACCTGTCTGAATGAGAGCTTCATCTGAATCCTATGGGACGCGCGGGGAGTCGGGATGAAATCGATGAAAAGTGTCCACAACCTATTATCAGTCGGAGTTCGAACTGGAACTCCGCGATCAAGGGCCGCGATACCGATGATGCCGTGGAAGAACATGCAGAGGTAAAAATGTTGAGGATCAAGGAGCTCATAGTATACATGATAGATAAATAGATTTAAATAATATGGACCAGCCAGAAAATCATCTAGATCTACAGTGCGCCCAGTGAATGCAGACCAAGCTCCCGACGAATGCCCTTCTTGCGTTTTTGCTGACTATCAGTAGCATTATCACGAAACACAAGATCCATTTCTTCCAAGGACTGTACAACATCGTCAGCCATGTTCGAACAGGGCATGCGTACATAAAAAGACTTACCTGGCCCTTTGTTTCTGGGATAAAGAATGCTAGAAAGCGAGTTAACCATGCTTTTGCACGTAATTTAGGGATTTGACGTACTGGCTAAGAGTAGCGCGGCAAGAGAAGACGCGACATATATGTAGTACCCTACCCCACCCACACTTGGATCCATCGTCGTCGGCGCATAGAGTCCAGCCGCGCTAATTAGCACAACGAATGTCAACACCAGATAAACCGAAGAAGATAATAAGACTGCACAAGTTCGATGACCACATCGTCGATGTGGTGATGGACATAGCAGTGGACCGGAGGTGCAACGGGAATATCTCGCTGGTAACAACTAACCAAGGTATTAAATCCTCGAAGGAGATAGATTACGAGTCACGCACCCCATCCCATCGGAGCCCACGAGTAAGAGAAGATGGCATCATAGAAAAACACGAAGACTGTAAGACAGTTCAACATATTCTCTAGGTAATTACAGCAAACCCACCAATGGCAATACGAGCCGATACTAAATGCGCTGGCCAATCCTTGCCGTACACATTTGCGATAGAACTTACGATTGCAAGGCAAATTAAACATCCAGCGGCACCAGATATTAGTATAAGTCGTCTGCCCACACTATCGACAAGAAAGATAGCAGGTAAAGTAGCGAGCGTCTTGGAACAAAATGAGGAGCTTATACGCGACGTTGTCTATATTTGGACTCACGTGAACAATCGAATAAGCCCCAGTGGCAATCAGGAAGGTAGTAGTATTGGGATTAAGGCCTAGTTGCCTGAAAACTGTGGATAAGAGTGAACTTTGAATCCAACAGTTAGGATCTGTCGCGAAGCTTACTCATGGGCACTAAATAGAAAAGTGTCTTGAGCGAAGTAAGCAATGTTAGTTCCAGAAGGATGAACCACGACTTACGTTCACTCCCTAACAACCCACGATACATCAATCACTACATGACAAGACAAAAAATGTAATTTGAAAGCCCACCATATTTTGTTGGAGCATCATAATGAGGCATCCAACAATTATACGCTTGGCCTTTGGCCAGCTAGACACCAATGCAAGGTATTTATTGATTACCTGCGCGACTGGCCCCGCATCAGGATATGCCATTTCCATGACCTCTTTCGCAAAACAAACTTCAGTCATGATCTCCAGGAATTCAGTGCGAACCGAAAAATTTGTAGCAGGTTTTCGTCGAAGACGTGACAGGGTCGCCAGAGCATCCACCTCGCGGCCTTGCTCAACGAGCCAACGGGGCGAGTATGGCATGAAGAACATTCCTATAGCAAGACACTACACTTCCATAGGTATGAGGAGGAGGCATAGAATATAGCCAACACACCAAGGCAGGCAATATTGGGAATGCAAGCGGAACTCTCCATGACGCTTGTGTTTGACCAGTGCAACCGCCATGCGGGACATCGGTATGAGGATTGAATGCAAGCATGTTCTGAAGCGTCCCACTGGTGTACAATATTCCCAGAGCACATCGGGTTCCCCCGATATGTGATGTACCATACGTGATCCAGTCTTTGAGTAATGAGCATATACCAACTTACGAAAGCAGACTGCTACGCACAACTGACAATAACCTACATTTTGTGGCGTTAGTTGCATGACTTCAGTACCGGTTTCTCACTCACCCCGGATGTAATAGCGAGTTGTTGCAGAGAAATTAAAGATCCGCGAATTTGGGGGCATGATATCTCAGCGAGATACATTGGGACGACATGTGTCAGAGAACCGATTGCCAAACCAGCAACAGCGCGACCAGCGAACAGGTAAACTAGTAAAATGATTTTCAGCGAAGCTGATAGGTGTGACGAAATGGAACTTACTGGGAGACGTGGCAGATGCTTGGAGTGAACTACCAAGAGCAAAGATTACAGCATTGCATATTATGCTAATTTTTCGTCCGATCTGGGTTTTAGTCAATCATAATCAGACTTATTGGGCTATCTCTCCAAATAGTGTATCTCACTTTGTCACAGACAGGGCCGCTCACATTAGCTCCGAACCAGGCCGCTGCGGACGTAGATCAGCTAGCATACGCTTGCGGTGTGCCACGTTGACTCGCCAAGCACAAATGTAGAGACAAGCCATCCCTAAAAGTAGTTTTACTCTGACAGGGCAGAAATCTATTGGAACATCACCCTTACCTTCAGCGTTCCATTCGTGTAGATCTCTGGGAACTTCGCTCCAAAAGACTCGATAGCAAGCACATTACTGAGGACTCCCTGATATGCAGTTAGACTAGTATCATGTGAGGAGATTTTCCAACTCACTAGGTCGTACCCACAGAGCTGTTGAATATACGTGACAAGGCACAACATTACTGACAGACATCCATACTGTGACAAAAAAAACTCACGAATCCTCCAAGAGTCAAAAATAGCGATATACCAAGTCTGCGTCACAAATATTTCTCATCATTCATTTAAATCCATGCTATCCTTCAAAACCACTCACAGAAATTTATTTTCAAAAAGGCCTCTGAATCCAACGCGACCTTGGGGGTCAGTGAGGGCCAAGTCAGAGACAGTATTGATATTCCAATCCTCTTGCTTGAACCCAGTCGAATCTGAACGCAGTGATTGGGGCATGTATGCAAGGAGGGGGGACTGATGCTTCAGATTTAGAACATGACACGCTTTATAGCTAGAGCATGGTACAATGAGCACTTGGATTTAGTCTATTGACCTGATTCAAAGGCACGATTACCAACGAGGAAAATCCACTCCGGCGCAAGAGAGGCTGCTCTGCAGGAGTCCACGGGATCCCCGATCGACATATCAGAATTAGATAACCCATCCCTATCGGAACGAGAACGAGTCATCTAACAGTCTCGGGCAGTGGTGCCAACGCGTGTCAGCATGAACAGAGAAACCGTGGATGATTGGAATTTGGCAATCTGCAGAAGCTGAGGAGTGATGAACGTTTGAACATTCGTCACAATGCTAAAAAGAGTGAGGAGCGTTGCGTCGCCACGTAACGATGCTTCCAAACAAGGATTACTGTGGGCACTGTTATGGAGAAAATGCTGGTCCCTCTTGCCTCTATGCTATCACTAACGTTCAATATGAACTACCAAGACGCGCAAAAATGCTTGTCAAAATGGGCCATACAACAAGGACCCAGCCAGTAACTAAGAGGTCTCTGATATGGCCGCATTGCAAAGTTAACTTGGTGATGCTAGCTCGAAGCTAAATTTAGCGAGAGGAAGCGCTTGTGCCAAAATCTGTGTCGAGACGTTGACGAGTCGCAGAAGTCATGCGACATGCACATTGGCAAGGTTTCTAATATCGTTTCTATCATGCCATGTCCGCCCATTCGCAATTTCGCTCAGTTCCACTGGCAGAGATGATCAAACAATTCTGCACGTAATACGCCACCATCAAGTTACGTTCCAATTCGAAAGCCCATCGAATTGAAGTAGCGACCGCATTAGCATCGCCGTAAACGAGATGGGCATCAAATCGATGTTGTTATGTCACCCCTTGGAAATTCTGACTCATGTCAGAGGATGGACAATTGTAAAACATAACGAGAGTAGGATCGTCGGGCCGTATTTGCGTAGGATCCCTGTTTGACAGGTAGAGGCGCTCATGCGGAATGAGCTGAAAAATAGTTTGTCGATAGCTGAAAACAATTACCAGTTTACAGTCCAGGAGCTAAGGCATCATATGGAACGCCATTCACGTAGTACAGATCCCGAACTTGCATAGACACTGGATCCACCAAGTTCCTCAACGCAGACAGTACAGCGCTGGCAGTCATCTGCAATGACCACACGCTGACTGCTTTCACTCGCCTGTTCAAGTTGACTTGGGAAACGTGATAAGCAAGCGCATCGTATATCTGAAGCAAATTTATCAGATCACATTGATCAGTGATCAGTGATCAAATTATTTCTACCTTCTGTGAAATTTCATCCATGAGGCCAGCTACAATAGGTGGTAATTAGTGGTGGTAGGTTATTACATGAGAAATACAACATACTCTCCCACATCTATAAAGCATATTAGTATGAGCGGAATTGCGAAGACTCTAGAAATATGCTTACAGTCCATGCGCCGTCAAAATCACTCAAATCTTTAACAACTCTGCAGTGAATAGGAACCAAGGTATGATGTGCGCTGCAGAAATCAATGAATTAATCAATCGCAGATAGAATGTTTCGCTCACTTCATAAATGCAACTATAGGTCTTATTAGTGCGCTGTTGACGTATGAGAGATCGGATGTGAATAGCGGAACAGCAGCTTTGAGATCCCTAAATCGCAAGTCTATGTCGACGATGACCTTAGGACTATCATCAGCTTCTCTTTCGTTATCGGTCGTAGGTGCAGTAAGAGGTGGTTTCGCGAGCTCTCGCTGCCCCGGTATCCTCTCAATGGGTAGAGAAGCGGTGGCCGCCGTGGTGATGGCATCTGCGAGCTCACCGAGAATGGCATTCAATGCAAATTCGTCTTCTGCGTCCCTAGGAAATTTTATATCTAGCACTGCATCAACTTTGCCAGATGTTATCCACGACAATGGACCGCCTTCTAATGTCGTGGAATTTTGCATATGATCAATATTGACGCCATCAATGCGGATCCTAGACTATAATAAACGTGTCAGAACTAGCCAGAAATAGGGGTCAATCCACATTACCATCCGCGACCATTTGCCATCCATGAGATCCTGTTCAGTAGTTCGGCCGATGCTTTGAGGTTTGTGCAGACTAAAAAGACAGTTATCAAACTGCCCTACAACGTTTTCTGCACGCAAAAAGTCGTAGAAGAGCCATTGCTTCCGGAAAGTTCTTATGTCTGCACGAAAAATCGAGGCGGTATAAGGCCTAAAATCGCCCGGTTGATACACCGTCACAAGGACGTCCTCGAGCTGTAGAGAATTTATCTCAAAGTCACCTTGGCGACCAACATGACGAAATAGAGCTGGGTCGAGTGGATTATCCGGGTCCCAGAAAACAGAGCGACGGTCTGTTTTTATACCTCAGTTCATTAAATCTGATGTTCGACAGACAAATAAGCTCACCTAGTACCCCACGAACGCCTTTGATCACAGCATCCTCCACAAGGCCCTTACCGTTCAGCCAGTGCTGGAGTGATAAAGTGACGTCTATGGAGTCTACGTTGAGGTCAAACATGGAATAATTGACATCATCCTCGGTGTGACTCTCAACTACTTCTTCGTCGTCATCCATAGAATAGTTGTATGCGGGGTGACTGCTGACATCATATCCAACGGCCGCTTTATGTCCAATATGTTTTTTTGGCGCTGGTGGACGGGCGGTGGACGATGATCTGGAGACGTATACATTTTTGAAGGAGATGCGAGAGTCCTTCCATTTAGGAACGATAGCAGATTCGAAGATGACTGTGACGCCAGTCTCACTGGTGAGATAATTGCTTATGGCGCGCGCTACATATTCTGCGATGCCAGTGAGAATTGCGAGTATAATTGCATAGGAGCGACACATACCTTGCAATTGCAGACTATTAGCAGTGGCAAAAACCACGGAAAAGAATGTCGTCCTGAGTAGGATAAGTCATCATATTTTCGGACCAGAAAGTTTCAACTCACGTTCCAACCAATATCCACAGAGTTTGGCTCATCAGGAACCATGTTATGAAAGCGGAGATATCATCTGCATTAAATCTTCGAAAAGAACGTATAGTAAACCACTTGAAGCGGATCCGCAGACGTTGCCAAAACCCATTGGCTACTTTCAGAAAGTCGTCTCGTGTAGGGCGGTGAAGGTGAGAAAGGGATAGAGCTAATCTGCGGTACAGACGGGGATAGTTGTCGAGATTTAAAGGTGGAGGAGGGAGATGAGCACCCGTATCTTGTTTTGAGTCGCCTTCAACAGAACTGGCGGGGTCGGGGAACTGTGCTTTGCTCTCCTGACGGGAGTGGTCGCTTTCGTGTATGCTACCTCTCTCTTCTCTGCCCGAATGGTTATGGCGCGACTGAAGCAGCCTCAGTTCCCGGAAGTCACGTCTGGTAAATTTTATAGAGGAACTTGGAGTAAATATCGTGTGGAAAGTGGGTCTCCTGCAGGTCGGCAGTGGTGTCACTGGCGTAGAACTATCTGTTGCAAGCTGCCGCTGAAAAAACAGACGGATAGTGTTGTAGCGATCGACCTCGGGGCGAAGAGATCCACGACGTGTGTGAAATATCAAGCTTGCATTTGTGTGCTTGTTAAAGTGGACTCCGAGAGTCCTAAACGCAAGGGATGGTGGTGCAGACATGTTGGGTCATGCGCACATGTTTTCGGTTGAGGAGGAATTGGAAGTCGAGACAAACGTATTATAGGAAGTTATTTCTCACGATTGCTATAGTATATATATATTGATCATGAACGCTACTACATACTCTACTCCTACACATAGTCACAGCTTACGGTACCAGCAACCAACTAACCAAATCTATCTATCGTGACAGTATTCCACTCAATTGAGTTTTCGTCGCTCAATGATTGAGGAATACTGCCACGTTAGATATGGAGTGCAACATTTCACAGGACCTGCCAATGGATGCTGCAAGTGAGTACTATTAAAACCTGAGTCTTGAATTTGGTGTTGATTGCCTGCGATTCGCGAAGACTGCAGCCAGGTGGTCTATAGCCTGAAGTCGGGACGGCCAGGCGCAGACCTTATAATTCGCACTCTGTGCCGTCGACGACTACGAGGATCAATCATGGATCGAGGATGTTTACGCGCGTGCCTCAATTGCAGACTATATGCAGATAGCCAATGAGCAACACTATGAAGTATGAAATCAGCTTTTTCCCTGTGAAATCCTTGATTACTGCTCATTACACGCTGACAGGTGTTTACGAAGCTTATTGTTCGAGTCTCCTGCCTAGGTCCATCCGCCAAATATTCTTCTTGTCTGCAACAGGCAGAAATTTTGGTGTTAGAAAGCCGCCGCGAGAAAACACAGCTGGCAGATAGGATGGATGTCCTTGACCCTCCATCGATTCCGCTCAGGTGAGCCGACCACGGTTTTCTCGGATATTGTATGTTTACCTTCGCTGCCAGAAATATCCTAAATCACACATCACCAGTCTATCCAACTCCTCGACCCAGAACTTGGACGTTGATGCTAATTTCAAAGAAAAGGTCTGAACAAACGTCGAGGTTTGTTCCTGGAGTAGAACGAATAGGTACCTGCGCCAGACTCACTATGGACAGATCACCACTGCCAACGTGGATAATTTGGAATTCGGCGAAACTCGGGGGTCACGGCCTTTTTGTCAGCGTGTACACTAATTTCATATATCTTCAGCTTTGATCATCTTTTGTCTATCGAATATCAAGCACAAATGTTTGAGCACATGAAGTGCTTCTTCAAAAGATATCTACTTGGTTGTACCCAAGCTCTACAAATCATGCACGCGAATCTTTGTATTATTCGTGCATCTGTTCTGATAGGACGAATGGACGTACGACTCAAATGTTCTTCACAGGCAAGATGTTCGCCCTCTGAAACCAAACCTTGACTTCACAGGTGGGATGACGCCTTCTTTCGACCTTCTTGTGCGTGTTCTCGATAATTCTGTCTAGCTCAATGAAATGTCAATAATCAACATCCTTTTAGGCATACTTCAGATTCTGGTCAGAAGCTGGAAGTACATTAACGGTCGGAATTACGACTCGAGAAACAGAATTGTGATACTAAAGCTGGCACCCAGGAACTCGAGGAAGACACAGTTTCAAAGTACCTTGACAAGGAGGAGAGCCGATTGTTCACTAGCATCATTTACTGGTTCAATCAGGTTTAGCGTCTTTCAATGGCCTGTTCGCCATCATGGCGGCCAAGAGTGACTGGTCATTGTAATGCGTATATCGTAGCCGATGTAGATGGGACATTACTTACTCAAGCCGAAAATTAGGCAACAGTCGTAATTAGTCTATGTAATGATTCAGCGCATACGGCTTTCAAAGCTGCAATTCTGCGATAGCACAATCTGAAACAATGAGCGAAAAGCGATGTACAACAAGAAACTTTTGGCGTAGATACTGATAGTGTTGATGAGTAGGTCATGTCCGCCTAATTAAGTCCTGAAGAAGTTTATAATCGCGATGTGATCCATTTTATTCCGATACAGACCCATTCATCCACTTCTCCTGGATAGACTCCAACTCCTCTTTCTGGTTCTTGTGCTCGGTACTGAGCCTCTTCAGCTCCTCCGGATCCAAAATTTCTCCTTCCGCTTCCGATTCTCCGTTCAAAATAGCCTCGATCTTCCGCTTCTGTGCAAGGATTTGGGCATATGTACCCAAGTAATTTCCGTACTTGGACTGATATCGCGAACGTAGCCCGTTACGATCAGAGGGTAGTGGGTATGAAGATCGGGGGCGGGGACGTCCCTCCTTGCCCTTGGAGCGATCAGTATTAGTGGAAGGATCCTGTGCAGACTTCTGTGGCGGTTCTGGTATCTCTCCTTCATCCGAAGAGGTATATATTGGTGACTTTCGTCTGACTTTTGACGCTCCGTTGAGTTTCGGCCGCTGATCTGTTTTGGAAGGCGAGTTTGTGGGTGGTGGCTGTGTCGGCAAGGCAGTGCGAGGCGGTGGAAACGGAGAAGGCTCTTTCTTGATCTTCTTCAGCGGAGGTGGTACAGGAGATGCGGCCTCAACTGGCTTCTTTGGGAGAGACAAGTCTCGACCTTTTAATGAAGATGAAGATGCAGCAGATGGTGGTCCATCTTCCGTTTTGCGCTTCTTGAACGAGTTTACCTTGAGCCCCTCCCCATCTTGCGCACCTCCCACAGCATGGGTGGCGTTCTTCCGCTTCACACCAGCGACAACTCTGTCCTTCGGTGGTCTATCTTTATCTCTATGTCTCTCGCGCTCTCTATCGGAATCCTCGGGTGGAGGCATTTTCTTTGTCATCTTCATTGGCATCGAAGTGGTAGGCGTCTTCTCCTGACTTGGGAGTGGTGGCAGGGGCGCCGGAGCAGGTTTGGAAGGTAAGCGAGGTAGCGGTCGTTGAGGACGAACATCGGCTGGTCCTGTAGCTTCCCGAGATGCAGGCTCGATCGTAGGAGAAGGCTGAGGGGATTTCTTGGCAACGTATCCAGAGCCCGGTAATCGTCTGGATGCCGCCTTCGAGCTGGTGCTGGTGCTGCTACTGGGTGATGGACTGGCTTCTTCGCGCTTAATGGCGGCTACCCTAGGGAGCCTAGCGGACTCGTCCTTCATCTGTATGTTACTCCTTGGCCGCGCACTTTCATCTTTCATCTGTATATCGCCCTTCATTCGAGAAGAATCTGCCTTTGCTTTCTGCTTCACATCTTTGGATATAGCAGGTCGCTTTGGTTCGGTCTTCGGCTTGAGAAGACCCGCAGGTGGGCCGGTAATGGTCTTACCTCCGTGAGTTGGATGAGGAGTAGCTTCGGGAGGAGGTCGAAAGCGAAAATGATCCCATACAGAGTCAGACTCAGGTATTCTGAGGGAACTGAGCACAACTCTGCCTTGTCGAGCGATGTTGATCCGCTCTGACTGTTTGTACATCTCACATTCGTATGGACGCACTTCGAGCCATGTACGACTTTTGAGACTCCATTTCCGAGGAGACTTGTCACCTTTCCGGGCGGGGGCTTGCTCAGCGACCTGTACATTCACGATTGAGTGAAAGAATCAAAGTAGAGTGATGCATACTCACCTCTTCTAAGATACTAAGCAGATTAGCCCTTGCCGTGGCATCACAGTTATTCCCGCAAACTCTGGTCACCGCCAAGTCTGTTTCGCGATTCTCGACTGCAAGGAAATGAATAAGACGCCTGCGAATATCTGCATTCGCCTTTGATGATGCAGTTTGTGGCATTGGCGAGATTTTGCGTGCAGGGGTGGATGCAGCAGGGGTATGGAGGGTGTCACGTTGTGCGCCTTTCTTTACCACCGTTCCTGAACCTGGTGTTTTCCGCTTAAGGTTCTTTGTGCCTGCTGCAGATACAAGCGGCGCATCGAGCATGATGGTTTGACGCTCCGAATGTTGCTTCTTTGCCTCGATGGTTTGCTGCCGTACTTTATCTGTGACTTTGTCGCCAAGCTGTCGGTCAACGATAAATTTGCCCATGACATTGGCATAGAGCTTCAACGGAGCATTTGGCTTTGCTGCAGAAGAGGTCCTGAGATAGATTTCGTGCGGAGAACTTTCTTTCAAAGGACGCATTGGAAAAAATGTCTCCCCGATGTAAATGCCCTGAGATTGAGTGTTAGATGTGGCTGGGCTGTAAGCACTTGAACTGACTGGATTATCGCCAAACTCGAAATTCATCGAAGGGTTACTAGACAGGTCCTCCAGAGCTTCTAATGTCTCGGCCGTCATGCGGACGATCATAGCGTGCTTAGGCTTAGTCTGGACAGTATCTCCAGGGCGAGAATGACCTTGGAGAGACAAGGGCGTGCCACTTGGAAGAGGCATTATGGTAATGTGCTAGTCGACAGTGGAGTTTATCCTTGACAGGCTTAGGGAATGATTGGGAACGTGGGTAGCACAGGGACGTCGAGGTGGCGGTGGGCTAAAAGCCTTGCAGCTTGCTGGAGGGAAACGTTGTCGATAACGGCCAGAAAAAGATGAGCGCCGATCCTTAGTGAGCGCTTTGATGAAGAGGGTGAAGGACAGGGAGGGAGAAACCCAAACAAGAGCAGAAACAGAGTGAACTGCTTCCGTCAGTGTTGTCATTTCGCGATAAACCTGTTTTCCTTTGGTTCTCAAAATGGAAATTGGTCTTATCCATAGCTTACTAGTGCCGGTGTATCAGGCATGGACCATGAAACATCCCCAAAATGAAATCTACAGAACGTTCGGGTCTACCTCGATGACATCCTAGTAAACCCATCTAAGTGAGCAAGCCGTAGTACTACTAGCTGACGTTCCTGAAGGCTCGTGAACTAATAGCCTTAACGTTACTGACAGTCGACTGACGACAATCAAGCCCTGAAGTCTATATGGAGCTAACCCAGGGAGCCTTGCTACGCATGTCTGCTTTCTAGATCGAAGAGGATTGCTTTGAGGATGAGTCGCCCACTCACCCATCCTGGATCGTCGTTTCTAGTTTTAGTAGGAATCTAGGAATCTATCAGCACTTCCATGCACGTGTGAGCCATGCATGAGGCGCAACGGTCGACTATTAAAGTCCGAGAACATTGAACCGTGCTCAGGAGTCGAAGCACCTGCGACGTGGAGGTGTATGTCGAGTCTTTGTGAGACTCTGGGCGAATCCATACTCATTGCCCACCTCTCGTCCAGCTACAAACACCATGTCAACCCCATTGTAGTCCGGCGAGAGAGATGTTACCACATCTTCAAAACGGTTAGCGGAATGATGGATGCTGGCTATACAGCTTCTCCATTCAGATCGGCGGCCAGCTTCCGGCTTGGAAGAAAATCGAGCCGACTTGCAATCAGGAAAGGTGTGGAGCATCGCAAACAAGGAGTAATTATCATTGATTGGCCATTGCCAGTAATTAATTCAATTAAATATATACAATATGTTGTGTTTTCAAGCCCAAAGCCTGAAATAAGAATGTGTTCCAAAAATTGCTGGAAGCCGAAGCTAACAGACGGGTTCGGATGTGTAATTTGCAATCAGCAAAAGACTGTGCCTCGGTAAAGACCTCACTGGCGACAGTACATGCCCGAGCACAAGAGATGCGGAACCACTTCTCAAACCAGCCACTTATATATACAAAAATAGTGGCGCACGGACCAAGGTCGTTACATCAGCGACCGAAAAGGTATGTGATTAATCTAGAAGTCCTTCGTAAACGCAACCGGGGCCCATTAATCATGACGGGAGCCGCTGCAGCTGGGCGTCGTCTTTATTTTAGCAGACGCGCCCAAGACAACAAGAAATTCTACACACATTTGTCCTCAAGGGTCGATGCAATAATCAGTAGTGCGGCTGTTCGAAATGACAGGCCTGGGTCCGTGTCGCCATTTGGCTTTATTTGACTGGGCAGTCAATTGGCGCTGAGAACTGGAACTCAGGATTCGGGTATCCAACCGACGAACTTCGAAGGGGTTCAGGAAGTTTCGAAATTCGAATAATGTATTATGAAATGTATATCCGGATCAGGCTGAACAGCTTGGGAAGCCGACATCGGACAAGCACCTCGTGCAGATACACTGGTCGTTGCAAGGGGGAGGGACATCGCAATGGCCTTTGAAAATGATTGTATTTGGATTGAAAAGTACTGAAACTTGATCAAGTGTTTCTTGACCAGATAGCGTGAGATAAAATGTTTCTTAATATCAACAATAATTGGTTATCTTGTTTTACATGAAAAACATTTATTCTACTACTTGGAACTGGCTATCTAGGACGGTGTCTACTGCTACAGCACTCACCGTCTCCAAATACCCCAGCCTTTATACCTCTCATCCTCCAACCCATCCAAACTCGTAATACGCGACGGTTACCATCATTTGGCCACTAAATAAATAGCCAACAGTCCTTCCTTCAACTACACACTCCTACGTGAGCTGGCTCAATTCACATACCCCCGCCGCTCCCACCCTCCGGTCTTTTCTCTATCTTCAATCTGAACAACATATCCCGAGTCTTTCCCGTTTACGCTGCACCATATTCGACCAAGGTGCCATGTCTCATCAGGTCGCCCTCGATTCAATCTCGTCCCTCGAGAACAGAATCTGTCCGGGCTGCAAGGAGTATGCTGTAAACGAGAATGGTGGTTTGGTCGTCGCGTTTGGGTGAGCTAACAGCTATTATTATCAATACGCGTCTTAACCGTACTTGCATGCCCTGCGTATCATCCATTGCATATCTAGCCAGTCATTTTTCCACGTCGACTGCTTTAAATGCGCCAAATGTCACCAGCAGGTGACCGCTGACACGAATTTGCTACTGCTTTCAGATGGCTCCCCAATATGCGCCAACTGTTCGTACAATTGTAATGTTTGCCATCAACCCATCCTCGACGAAGCTATCATGACCGGAGACGATTCATACCACGCACACTGCTTTAATTGCAAGGTTTGTCACAACCGAATCGACGAACTAGTATTTGCCAAGACCAGTCATGGCATCTATTGCATGACCTGTCATAACGATCGCATGGCAAAGATTCGCCGCCATGCACAGAGAAAGCGCGAACGGGAGAAGGCTGCTGAGGGAAGTGCATCATCTTCAACGCGAGAACGAGAGGCACGCGAAATATTCGCAGAGAACGCGGTAGGTAGAAACACATAAGCGGAACTCACCGCTCTGGACAGATTTTTTGACATTGTTCCATAGGTGTCTGATCGAACACAAGTCATCCCGCCGCCCTCGTCTTTGTCTACGCGTTCAAAGCCTTCCGCCAAGAATTTTAGGGATACTCCATCCATGAGGAGTCTCAATCAACCTAGAGAGGATGCCTTGTCGACGTTAGAACGAAAACGAAAATCATCGCCACTTCAAGATGAACCTCCTCAAGCATCAGCCAAGAATGTTGCGCAACCATCGATATTTCCTTCAAGCCCACACCCGATTCAGTATAAACTTCCTGCTTCTACACGATCATCACGTGATGCACAATCACAATCATTCGCAGTAACCATCGCACCTCCCGACAACAACGATGATGGTGACGCTGACCATGCCCAAGTGGTCATAGTCGACGATTCAGGCCCATCGAGCCCACAGGTGTCGTCTCAGTCTGGTCCTATAACTCCTTTAGAGAGTCTGCAGGCTCAGAACGAAATCGGAGGGACATTGCTAAATCCATCATCGACTGCGGATTCATCTAGCGCACTTTCCAGGAGAAAGAGCTATGATGACGGTGTTCGGCCACTGAACGTCCTCTTCGCAAAGAAAGGACACGCAGAGAAGGATTCTTTGGACCAGGCTAGCCTGGGCGTACCGAACGGTGTCACGTCTCGCAGTGAGAAACGGCGGTCTATTAACCCAGGACTTGCTCTTGATTATAAGAATTTGACCCGGCCTTCCACCACAGCCGGACTTTCTCCGCCAGATCAGATGATTCGGTCGCAGACATTACCTGCAAACCGTAGCGACTCACCTGTCGCTCCATCTCCGTCCAAGTCATTCTTTTTCGATTCCCTCTCATCTCGCCGGCAATCCAATATCAGTCTACTTCGTGACAACGCCTCGGGCTCGACTATATACCATTCTCCTCCTCCGTCACCTGTCCCCTGGTCATCCAGAAATTGGGCGAGCAACACCTGATGGTCGTATGCGATCATTGTCGCATGACCCCCTTCAAACCCACTCCGCACCACATTATACCCGCTCGACGACCCAATTACATCGGTTAAGTCCCAATTTGGAGAAAGCTACTTGTCCAGACTCGCAGAATCATGCAAGAAACTCGGCAAACGGCCTACATACTCAGCAAGTTGACGGGCGTCTGTCCCCCTCTGGCCATTCAAGCGAGAAAACATTGCGCATTGATAGTGCACCCAGTGGGTCGATGTCAGATCGCACTGGCGTAGTTACTCCAACATCCCCGTGTCATAGAGCGGATGTCCCTCACGGTATTGAAAGTGGTACAGACACGGACGCAGAAGGGGATAGCAGTCGCAGGTCCTCAGACGATAGTCCTTCACCCACTACTCCTGCTCCTCCTGTCCCACCCAAAGAGCACAGGGCAAAGGCACGTGCAAATGAGCTCAAGTTAGACATTGATCCCGATGCATCTGCCATGTCGCATATGGATTCTAACTCGGATGAATCTTCGCCGGTTGAACGCACATCAGTAGCAACGTTTATAGCGCCCGCCCTTCTTCCTCCTATTCGCTTTTCCATGACAGGCTCGGACTTCTCAGACTTTCTGAGGTCGGTGGGCGGAATGCCATCTCTCAAATCGCTCGATCAGATTGCTGAGGGAGATGATTCTCGCAAGGATGAATTGTTGCCTAGTCCAGCAGCAGTTAGCGGCGCCAATGGAAAGTCACGAAACTCGAGGAGTGTGGCTAATGATAAGGATCCTCTGGCACAAGCCATTCCCACCACATCCCGACAGCCGCATGATCATCAACGAGATCCCTCGAATTGTTCTCAACCACTTGATGCTGAGGCGAAAGATCTACTTTCAAGCTCATTTCGTGACTTCTCGTCAAGAGGCCGCTCTTCTTCCGAGTCGCACTATCCTTCTCTTCACGGTAATGCAGCAAGGCACGAGAGGCTGGACTCGAATGCATCTTTGGATCCCAATGCGCGCATCGTCGTCACTTCGCCTGATTCAACCATATCAACGCCTATTTCTAGCGATTCATATGACCTTATGATTCGTCGCCTTCATGAGGTTCTTGATGATGCAAGCGAACATGGCTATCAGCAATTAAGATTGGACAAGAAGTTCGTTGGGACCATTATTACGTCGATGAAGCAGCGACGGATAGAATACGAAGAGCTCAAACACAAGTATGACGGCACAAAGGTAGACACAATTCACTTTGGAATCGTTCGTTCTAATATTTTCTTAGAGGGCGAGCCAGCAATATATGGAGGGTCTTACTGTTGCCCAGAAGGAGCATGACCGCGAACTTGTTGCTCGACGGAATGCCGAAGCAGAGGTCACCCGCCTGCGTGTTTTGCTGTCTGGTCAAGCTGCGAAGTTGACTGCTCTCAACGGCGAGGCGAACAAGTCAGAAACACGACGACAGCTTTCTCAGGAGCTTGCCAAAAAGCTGGATCTGTTGGAGCACGATCTGTCTCATCTGAAAGCGGAACGAGATATGACTTTAGCAGAGCTTGAAGAACTTTGCGCGTCAAAGAAGTAATGATACAATACTTCCTTCAAAGTCACCGAGCACTCATTTTAGAATTTTAGTTGCCCTAGCGTTACAAACTCGGGCGAAATACCTGCCGCACAGATGAGCCGGTCTTTGACCATGCGTTTGGACAACATCAAGATGCAGTATCAGCATGAGCTCATTCCTCTCACGCAGCAGCGCGAGGCTCTCATTAGGGATGTGGCAGAGTTGAAAGCCGCCCGCGAACAATTCCTCGAGGAGACCACTGTCCTTAACGCTCGAAACGAAGAACTGGCCCAGCTCAGTGCTCAGTACGTGCGTCGAATAGAGGCCTCTCGCTCTGCAACACCTACTATGGACGTCATTGGGACGAAGGACGAATCAGTACCAAACTACGTTAGCGAGAAGAGCCCATCGTTTGACCGCGAACACTCTCAGTCTGAGTTCCCATCAAGGTCTTCATCACTCAATGGCGTGGCAGCGCCCAGCACGACAACGTTGGTTGAGGAATCGGAGGCCAAGTTCAATAAGGCTAGCCGCCCCGAGATAGCAGATTCATTGCCTTCGACGCTGAAGTCTGCAAAGTTTAAGTGGCCTATGGCTAGAGGTCGGGATCCCTCGCTTTCGTCTATTGATCAGATGGGCAAAGGTCGAGTGGCTCATTCTTTCAACCAGACGAGCGTACTCCGCTTTACGCGGTGCGATCATTGTGGAGACAAGCTATGGGGCTCCCAGTTTCGATGCTCAGGTATGTCATTCCCTGTCTCTCGTATCCACTTTACTAAAAGTTCCTTAGTCTGCCATATATCCGTACATCCTCGCTGCGTGAATCAAGTGTGTGTAGCATGTTCTCAACAGCCCCCTCGCCGCGATGATGCGATTGCACAACCTCGTGAGTGATTTAAACGTCTCACCGACATTTGAGTCTAAAGTCAGACATTAGCTCCCTCCATGTTTGGCCGCGATCTTATAGAACAAGTGAAATCGGATTCGAGGCGGGGTGAACGGAAAGCCCCTGTTATTGTGGAGAAATGCATTGACGCGGTGGAGGCACTCGGTAAGAAAATATCAGTTATACAACCTGCACCTGTTGACGCAGATGTCAGCACTGGACTACGAGGGTATCTATCGCAAAACAGGCGGTTCTGGACAAACGAAAATGATCACGCAGTTATTCGAGCGAGGGGACTATGGAGCATTCGATCTGCGTGACGACGATCGGTTCAATGATATCTGCAGCGTCACTTCCGTTTTAAAGACATATTTCCGTCAACTACCTGTCCCTCTTTTGACTTATGACCTTCATGGAGAATTTATCTCAGCCGCCTCACTCAAGGATCCCGGGCTGAAAACCCAGTACTTGCAGGAATTGGTCAACCGCCTTCCCAGCGAGCACTATCACACTCTACGCCTGCTTGTATTACATTTACACCGGTGAGAATCTTTTTGCAACTCACGAACGTTTAACAAACGTTGTTACAGTGTATTAGAACACAGTGACAAAAATCTCATGAATGCGAGGAACTTGGGGGTGGTCTTTGGACGTATGTCCTTTCTTGCTCATATTTGCTTGAATTCAAAGGCTGATGTCTGAATTTAGCCACGCTGATGCGTTCTTCCGATCCTGGCTCTGAGTTCAGCGACATGGCTGGCAAGGCCATGCTGATTGAATGGCTCGTAGATAACGCACCCACCATTTTCCAGTCGCAAGTATCCCGTTGATTTCTCACATATTATGCCGGATGGACTTTCCATATGTTATTGTATACTTCGTATTTTCTCGCGTACTGTGGCATATGTCTTTATGGTTGTCATTTGCTTATTGTCGGGTAGTGTATCTGCCCAATACCTCTTAGCTGGAGATCGGACAAGGCGCGCTTCGACGCTTCGACCCTAACCTATAACTTATACATGGTATGTACTTTATTCGAAACGGCCATTCAAGATACTGTTTCGTCTAACCTTTGAATTGGCAACAGCAGTGTAGATATCGGGTTGCTGTCGTCGGATACTTGAAAATATTCAAACCTCACTACACGGTTCTGTCTCATCATTGAACGCAGTCCCCCATCCAACCCTCAGCTCTACATTTCTGGTATTTATTGCAAATAGATCTAGAGCTACAATTCTAGGGTGAACAAAAACATACAATGCATGACTTGTAAGGCGTCAAAGTCGTATCTCGACTCTGCCTTATCAAACAAAATGATTTGTCCGCGGGCGGGCTTTGTCAGTTTGCGAACATATTGCTTGAGGTTGGGTGATAATATTTTAGCTGTTGGGATTTACCAAGGAGTGAGAAGTTCGGTGTGCTTCCCCTCAACGCGTCCCTATTACCATCCCTCGATTAAGCGGACGGGGCTTACATTAAACTCTGTTCCAGAAGACTCCAACGACGACTATGTCACTACTCGCCTGCAACGAGTTCAAGTTCAGCCACTCCTATTCTCTTGCTTGGACTCAATCGAACTTGTAAGCAGTGACGGAGCATATTCTCCCACCTAGAGCATGCATTATAAGGGAGGGGGGAACTGTTGTTCGGGTTTAGAACACGACACCAGAGCACAAGATAATCAGCTCTCATTTCCAGCCTTTCGATCTGATCACAAGAAAACTCCTCCATATCTGGGGGAACGAGAAGTTGCTTTACGCGAGCCCACGGGAACTCAAAATCAGATATCGTATCCGTTTCTGACAGGAATGACCGATATAACAGACATTCATGGTCTCGGGCAGTCGTTCCAAAACCCCGTCGGCATAAACCAGAAGAAATCGTGGATATGTGACAGTCTCAGGCTGCAGAAGCCGAGGAGTGATGAACATTGGTATCGATCGTGTCACGCGCGGCGCTACAAGGATTAACATGAATATGGGGTGCGATGAGTTACTGGCTCATCGCGCATAAGTGATCTCGTGGCCTATGCCATTACTCACGTAAAACGCTACCAATGCGATCTCTCAACAAGCGCGCAAGAGACGCTTGTGAACATGGCCAAATCTTTGCTATAGCATCAAAAGGACGACCTCTCTAAGATAGCTACATGCTATAGCAAGTCAACTTGCTGATAGGCTGGCTCGATTCTCCTTCGTTCGGAGTTGCGAGAGCTTTGAGAGCAGTAACTTGAATGTGTATTCCGAATTTCCAAGTCACATACAGCCATCAAATGGAAGCGCAATTAATTCCGGTCTCCATTATGTGGAGCACGGCAAAAGACATAAAATTTCTATGGAATACATAAGTCATATATGAAGAATGATGATAAGGCTATAACACTTATTTCAGCAGTGATGAGATAGAAGATTACAGATGGGTCCCAGCAGTGGGAAACAATTCATATGCGAAGCGCTGGAAACTGAACGAGGAGTCGTGTCTACAGCAATTCTCGAGATCGTTTAATACGAGGGACAGCTTTTTCGGGCTTCAAGGTGCAGAAGAGAAAGTGACGGCGAGGACCGGTAGTAGCTGCGGCTGCTACTGCGGCAACACGTGCACCAAGAGGCGCGACATTAGCATCGCTGCGGATGCCTAGAGAAAACATCCTGTCAAAAACTGAGAAGCAGTCAACCAACGTAATTCATAAGAAAGAGCGTAACTCACGAGTTGCAGTGAAAGCTTTGGCTGTTGTCTGACACGTAAGGTGCGTGAGGGCGAGCGGTGGACTAACACCCTCCAGGTTTCTTAAATAGCGATATACCATAGAGGGTTGACAAGGACCTAAGGATGGGTTGAGCACATGGTGTATATGCGCGCGATGCCAACCCACCAAAACGGAAGACGGCATTGTATGCTTGTCTCCATTTTTCTTCGAGAAGACGAGCACAAATTGCAGAATCAGGACAGGTGGCGCACTACGAAGCGTCAACAACATGATCGCATGTCCGACGGAGACTTACGCATTGATATTCCTTGGCGAGTGGTGTTAATCCCAGTTTAAGCACTCGCTCAAGAAACCAGTTTCTCCTGTAAACAGCACCGTAAGATCAGATACGCATGATCATATGATCCAGAAGACCCACCGTTTCTCTAGTTTCAATAGAGTCTCTTGGCTAAGGGTACTAAGCTCTTCTTCGGACCACCCGCCTGGATTGTCAAGTACGAAGCGACTTGACTCACGGTAGAGCTCTTCTTCCTCAAAAAGTTCTGCAATTCGCATGGCTTTTATAGGTTTTCCGGCGGCGTGAGTTAGAAGGAAAGTGAGGCATTCCTGCTGGAGTGTTGGAACACAAAGCTTGTGGGAGATATTCATGAGACCTTCTACATTCTTCCAGGTTATGGTGCACTGGAGACTGAGAAAGGATTGGTGTGAAGGGTAACCAATGAAGACACTACTCACTGAGGGTAGACAAACTTCAGAAAATCGTGAAAGGTGTTAGCCTACGCGAGATCAGCAACATGCACGTGTAATTCAATTTTGAACTCACTTTCTCCTCTTTGAGAACTATGACAGCGTCATGACAATTAGTACGCCGCCGCCGCTTGACGGTTGCATGTGCAGTCTGAGACCCGCGTCTAATCGACGGTCTATCATCCATTCGCTGCTTCGCTTTCGTGTCACGGCTCGATAAGGTCTCTCCATTATTGGCTGTACCCTGCAGCTTTGCAAGACTGTTGTCGCGAGCACTGGCCTTGATGTCATCTTCGCCATCCTCGCTGCCACTCATGCCACTGTCTGTATCACTTCTCGGGGGGTTTTCAATCTCTACGGGAGATTCAGTATCAGATGAATCCTCGCGTGTAAATGTCATTTCCGTGGGCGTCTCCACAATGCCTTTCTCTCCTGGAATGGAAGGAGGCTGTGAGATAGTGATAACTGAGGACATTGACTGTGGTCTGCCCGTCTCGGCCCAGCTGCCACTCAGCGCAGCCTCAAAGAAAGGTGATGCAAAGATAAGGACTTCCTTATGCGCCCTACATTCGTGGGTGAATATTTGCAAGTAGGCCGCAGCAGTTTGTGCCACTCACCAGAAAGTGGTACCTTCAACCACAATCTTGACAGTTCCAGGGAATCTTCCCTTGCGAGTAAACGTGTCATCGATCTCTATACCTTCCTCGGAATCATACAGACTCAGTTCAGTGACCAGATCGTCGGTCTCACATTCTTCGAGCAACCACGGTGGTGAGCCCGAGGAACGGAATATACCTGAAGCTGCTGCATGGGTTTCTGTAGGTGAACTGAGGGAAGCTGATGGGTTGATATTGTTTGGCCCTCGTGAATTTCGCGCAATTAAGATGTGTGAAGGGTTCGTGGTCATCGCAGACAGTGCAGAACCACACAGCATGTTGAGGAGGTCTAGTACATGTGTAAGTCTAGTGTGCACACTTTTCCTTTTTCGTTCACTCATCATTCCACACTGCAATTCTTGATTTCATCTTTCCCTATATGAAACCTAGGCCTGAATTCGAGTTTGGAATCATCTACGGATTTTCAATGCCCTTGGAACGTGTTAATCTGTTCACAAATTATTTCTGGTTGATTTCTGTGTAATGGACTAGCGGTAGGTCATCTAACTAACCAGAGTTTCTAGTTGCACCACACTTCACCACGTCACAAATCGACACATACGTTCCACCATGTGATCTTCTCCCTTGGTCCCAGCAATATTCAACGGTTAGATCACACGACACTCTGACCCGTCCAGAATAACAAACAAAATGAATATCACCCTGGGTGATTCGGAACCCGCTGACAGGGAGCGGTCAGGTCGTTGCCCTGACATTGCCATTGTACTCGATTTTGTTACGTTCTTATCCACACAAATATCGATGCGTCGAGATTACCTTCCGGTACTGCCCATCTGTGAGCTCGATTCGGTTGTTTTAATCCAATTGCTGTCTTTTGCAGGGACGTATTGAATGTAGGAATTTTTTCATCAAGGTGTGGGGCGTATCATCAAACAGAAAAGGGTATGTTCGGCCCGACTACGTCGTATCCAGGGGGGACGTTGGTGTCGCAGCTGGCATCAGCGGCTGTCAGCCTCTGCCAGCTCAAGGCCCCCTGTTGCGCTCTGGAAGTTGTGGCCAACATCAGCTGGAAACTTCCTGCATCAAATTGGTAGCGGTCACGGAGTTGTTGATTCTACAAATCAAATCACGGATTTCCCAAATTACGAAGGTGTGTACCGGCGGTCTTTACATTTATGCTGCACGGTGAAGGGAATGGTTACTCTGGTTGTTGGTTTCCAAGTCTCAATCATCATCTTGTTTGTATTCATCCTCGGCATCCTCAGTCATGTTGGCTGTCACAGTTGCCTATGATTGCGGTCAATCTGTATTTCCTCATGTGCCAGTGACTATCAGAATAAATAACTTGGATGGTTTTTCAGGCCAGCCTTACACAGGGGATACCGAAGCCTCTTGTGTCTGTATGCTTCACCAGAGGAACGAATAACCTCTTGATGTCCCAGATGCAACACTGAATATCATTTGTAAGGCACCTACCTTGCTTTGCCGCGAAATCAAGCAAGCATAGAGGAATCGCCGGACGATTCTGACACTTCCGTTACCGATAGAATGTCACTACTTGCGGGACACGCACCCGAGCAGCGATTAATGTATCTCCCTGGTCCTCGCTAATTTAATTTCCGTCTGCCTGATGAGGCGTCATGAAATCGCTCAGTTCCGTCCCAACTTGTGTGGATGGTTTCAACGGTTATCAGTGAACTCATTCAATGAGACTGCGCCTTCAATTCATTTCAAGTTAACCATCGTCATTCTTTACGGTTCTTTACGGTGTCACGTTTTTTTTCCTGTGCATGAGTAACGATTCACGTTGGCAAATATCTCCAATAGTAAATCAAGTCTTTGCCTTAAAAATCGAGACAAGGATGGTACTATTTCAGTTCATGATGGAGGTTCACAGGGAAGTTGCACGCAGGCATAGTATTCTCCTGTGCCATGCGCAAGACTTACTAGTACACCAACTTGCCGAGATCATTATGTATTATTTGGATGCAGCCATGCGCTTTGTGACTCTTAATGGTGCTTGAATTAAATACTGCGCACGACGCGTATCATCTTTCTGATTGATTGTAGAGTGACACCACGAGGTCGACGAGCCGACCAACAACATGCGGCGATTCGATCATTATGTCAAGCAAGGTGTTAGTTGGCATTGCCCGACTCTAAGTTTGACCAAATGTTAGATCTCCTGTTTATTTTTGACCCACGGGGAGAAAGGGGATACTGGCTGCGGAATCAGTGATTCAGAGAACACCATACTACTATTAGGTGTATACTAATAATGTACGAGAGCGACAGGGACGCCATTTACTGCGGATCAAATACGCTGAACGTGTCCCTGGATGTTTCTAACAAGGTAATGTTACGCCCATTAAGCCTTCAACAGAGATCTAGCCATTGTCAATTGGACTTGCGGACCCCAGCAAGATCACTCATCGCCTTTTGTATTTCCAATTTCTCCATCACAGCTCGGTGCAAACTAGATTTACTTTTGTTCTTCACCTTTGTGTGTGGCGTGTCCTCGGTAGGGCTAGAAGATGATAGCTCCTGTTGTGAAGCATCAGTCTTAGACTCCCTTGTTGTTGTAATGTGCGAAGGAACTATAATTGGTGTGTGGCGCGGAGGTGGAGGCCACTGGGTTCGGCGTGAGCAAATGTCTGACACCTCTAATAAAATAATAACATACACCGCGATTTGGCTGGTTGAAATGTAAAGCAGCCCACGGCGGGTAATCCTTCTCGAGCTGCAGGAGATGGTCCTCAAGCAGTCGGAGGCGGGACATGAGCGTTCGTGGTGGAGCAGGGACTACGTCTCTTTTTAAAATATGTCGTTCATACAATATATCACATACCCACCATACCGAACGGCAAGATGTTCTTCAATATTCTTCACCCGTTGGTCCGTTGCAGGTTGCTGTTCGCCTTCTGCGTCATCATTGAGCGCAAGAAGCTCTTTCTGACTGCCCTTATCGCCGGCGACACCTTTCATGGTTCGTCGGAGAGGTCCATCTTCATTCTTTGCAATATCGTATTTCATCTGCACGTCGCGGTCAAGGTGCTTTGCATCTGTTCGTGCGCAGGACGGTATGGGCTCGGTACTGTCTGGATCAAGATTTAATCGCCGTCGTTTTTGGGCGAGAGATTCAAGAAACTCTGTACGATTAGAGGCGTCATTCCTCGCGCGATTTTGCGCGAGAAATTGGGATATTGACCTTGTTATCTGGAGTGAATTAGAAGCTGCGACGAAGGTCGAATAAACAAAACCCACTGATGTCTGAGACTGGGGCTTTGCGCTGCCAGAGAGATGAACATAATCGAGCTTTCGCTCCTCCAGTGGTCGTTCTGAGAGTGTTTCGCTACCTTTCGGTTTGCCCAAGTTCTGAGAAGGAAAATAGTTTGGTAAGTAGCGCAAAAATGGGGCGAAGTGCACACCATAAGATCCTTCATTAAATCTCCAATAGCACCAGGAACCTTCTGCCTTTCCCACTCCGCATTCATAACTACCATGTCATCCTCAAACCCCTTCAAAGCCTGATTCATCCCAACCTTCTTCAAGAACGACCGTATCACCTCATCCCAGTGACGATGTAATTCAGGCTCTGGGGTCGGTGAACGTGGTTTTTGCACAACCTTGGTCCTCTGACGCGGCTGGTAGGTCACAGCAGGAGGTTGATATTGAGGATAGGGAACCTGAGTGTAGTGTGTCTGCTGGCCTGATACACTACCGGACGCGATGTACGGGTAAGAGGGGACCTGCCACGCGTTTTGCCATCCACCGGGTGTGTAGCTCATCGCGTAGTAGCCTTGAGGATTCTGTCCTTGAGTTGCAGGCCCATATTGTACAGGCTGAAGCTGCGAGGAAGGACCTGCTGTTATAGTCTGTTGCGAAGTCGTGCTAGACGCTGGAACGGGGACTATATGAGCCGGCTGTTGTGCTGACGTTTCAGATGGTTGGGAGGGACCTGCTTGGGAGGGCGGAGGACCGTTTGTCATGCTAGTGACGCTGGTAGGTTCTTCTGTCGAGGAGTCACAGTTGAAGTAGCTGTTCGGACTTGGTGCAGAGTGGTCAGTAGCCCGTTTTTTTGGAACACCGTACTAGGAATAAAGTAGTTATCAATTTAGACTTTGGACAGCGAGGACCCTCCGGAGTCCAGGCAGTACTATACCAGCGCTCCATATATAGTAACATTGATGTACATAATGAACCTTGAATGAACCTCTCCTCTGCTCCGAACATACAAAATGCGTATGTAAGAATCTGCGTGCTCGAAGTGCAAAAGGCTTGGTGCAGGCAAAGCCCTTTGTAAAACGTTTGAACCAACATACCATTAAGTCTTCGTTCCCTTCGTGCTCGCTCTCACGTTGAACATCGGGTCATTTTCGTTCAATTCTTGTCCGAAAAGTTCTATGAAAAATTAACTTGTGTTCGCATCGACAGCCCGAAGCTGTCCCAGAATGCGCTTGTAGGCGCGTTTGTGTTAAAATTGTTGTCAGTGACATCCCAATCGATAACATTCGTCGTTCATAATTCCCCACATGGGTCACTACTTCGCTCGAAGCTGGTCACCACTAGCTGTGTGAGCGGGCGGCCGCCCATCTCAATCCCTCTTCACTCCCTGGTTTCTTTGCCACTTTCGACCCAATGATGAGGTGACCGAACCACAAGAGCCTTCGAGTCACCCTCACATATTCTTCTCGCTCGTCTTCCTTTACTCTTCCGCCGCTTTCGATCTAACAATGATGGGGTGACCGAACCTCAACAACTCCAAGTGCCTTTGGGGTCACGCTCGGTCAGACGCAGTCCCCGACTGCCTATCCTCGTTCATCCGCTCTTCGCCCAACATCAATGAAGCGATATAGCTCTCAGAACGTCCAAGACATAAAACAAAGTACCTCCCATAGTCGAAGTCCTCATATTGTCGAAGTTTCTCAGAGATCCTACATAATGGATTCGTTTGTGTTGTTTGTCTCCTGCGCACATACTCAACGGACCGATGATTTTTCCTAGAGACGCAGTGCGTCAACAGGTTTTCCATCTTACAATTAATTCTTTGGTTCCTTTCATTATCATCCCGTTCTAGACACGTTCAACTAATAGAATATCACGACCTGGCCCAGTACTCGGTATGCACTGGAGCCGTTTGACAGAACCTTTGATGAAATGAACAACGTTATGAGAAGGAGTTTCGGTGAGCATTGCAGATAAAAATGGTGTTCCTGACCGAGTATGCCCTCGCTCACGGGTCTGATCAACTGGCAATCTCCAGCATGGTGGAATCGATCTGCTGATAACACGAGAACTCTTCTTCACTCAAAATTTAGATTGCACTGTACATGATATTCCTGGTGTTTCTGTCTCAGGGGTCAAAATTACCTTTTATGGAAATTGTAGTAGATCCGTCCTTAGTCACATTGAACGGCATCTGTGCTTCTGCAGCCACCAATTAATGTATCCAAGTCATCGCCTCATGATAAGTCATACTTTGGAAAGTATATCTACCAATATATCTTTAACTGTTTCTCGCTCCCACACAGCATCTGGATCATTCACGTCAATGGGGCCCTCTTCCCAGTCTGAATCCATCCCTTTTGGTATCACCCCCGGTCGACTTACAGCCCCACAAACTGCGCTGCTCAGAACTTCATCCACAGGCGAGTCCCTCACCCTGACACGATGCGACACCACCCTTGGAAAAATCCTCGCCACATCCGCTTCTGACACATCCAATTCTAGCGGTTCCTCATCTTCGAGGGGTACACTCCGCGTGCTGCGGCGAGTATGCACGCTAGTCACGTCAGGTACATCATATGGCAGTGTAGAGCCATCGATAGGCGCTTCGAAGCTCTGGGTGTTCGTGCTCGACCGGGGATACCCACGTTCTGTGCTGTTCTCATCAACGCGCTCTAGATCATTGATCGATGCTTCCTTAATCAGCTCTGCCCCTGTTTGATCGATCCCGAGCACCCGAGCAGCCCGAGCGAGGACCTCTGCGTCTTGACGTGCACGTGCAGTGAGCATCATGGCGTCAAGCGCACCAAAATGTCGCGTGGCGGTCAATAAATCTGCGAGGTATATTTCTAGCGGCGGGCGCATGCGAACTTCAGTGGCACATAAGATTTTTAGTTTTGCCAGGAACGTGGCTGGTATTATGGGTGTGGAGTTGCTTGGTGGAGGGGTCGGCGGGCCTGACATAATTACATTGGGCAATGAGTACCCTGGAATCGAGGGCGAGGATAGTGCTGTGGATGGTGTTGACGGGCGGTGAGGTAGATAATTATGCATCGCGGCTCGTGTGGATAGCTGCACATTGATAGACGCACTCATAGCAAACCAGTCGAGCTGGAACTCATAAGATGACACATGACACGTGTAGAAGGTACATACCAGGCTGCTGTATATAGGCGGTCTCTCATACGGATCTAAGCAACATACATAGACCATAATAAAATCGTCTGGCAGATCAAGCTGCAACTCTGACTCGATTTCTGAGTGGTTATCCGATACGACGAGCTTCTTCTCTGCAAGAGTCCGTAGGACAGCACGCTGCGCAGGTAAACTAGCATGTTCTAATCCAGAGACGACAATTGCGTGTGGTATCTTAAGCATATCTGAATTGACATGCGATGTATGACGGTGATGGGTTGCCATATTGCCACTAGAACCAAGATTGGGTACGGAGGGTTCAGTCTGGAGGCTCAGGCGAGTTGACCTTTGTTGAGTTTCTGTGGACGGTCCGCCGTCAGCACTGACGGTCAGATCATCAGAGGGCAGTTGCGAGGTCGGCTGAACGGATCGCGCAACATCACTTGAAAAGGACATTGACATAGGAAAAGAAGACTTCCTGCTGTGCACTGTCACGGATGAACGATGGTGCCTGTGCTGGGGTGACAGCGAGCCATCGGTGGCGGCGATAACTGGGGGTGGGATAAAAAGGGACCGCAGAAATTTAGCGGGTGTCTGAGACTTCGTATCGGCATGACATCGAAATTTGTGGGTGACGTAACCGAAGATAGATGTGAGCGACTGAAGGCGCATGTTATTATAGAAATGCAGCCGGCTCGTAAAGTTTCAGCATACTTACGATAGTCGTAAGTCTGGATACAAGACCAACATCCTCTTCACGGGTCCGCAGAATAAGATTTCTATCCCCTGAAACGATACAAAGAAGCAAAACCTGGATGATGATTGGTTCGAGTGGCAGACCTGGAGCAGCAGCGCGTATATGAGCAAGCAAAGACGGCAGGAATAATGTAGAACCAGGATGTGGCAAATTGTCAGGAATGATTGTCACCATCAGAGGCACGAGCCTGAGCGCGACGTATACGGATATAACGTGTTTAAAAGACACAGGATGGTGATGGAAGGTAAGGTCAAGTGACTTTTGTTGATATGGTGATTTACTAGTAGTTAGACTCTTACTTGCTGGCCATAATGATCTCTTCACACACTGTGACATGATTGGCCACTCATTGGCCACTCAAGTCATTATTTTAGATAGGAAGGCCAATTCGGTCAGTTGACCATTCAACGTTAACTCGTTCGGTGTTTTATCAACCTCGAGGCAACCCGATTGAATGGTCACCGAGCCTGTCATCAATTACCTGTTGGTTCCTAACCGCCATTTTCTTATAACAGACCCTTCGCACACCTCGCTTCCCTTTCCGTCTCCCCCTCATCGTAGCTCTGTCATCCATCGATCATATGAATGGCAGGTAGCACATCCCAGTTCTACGTTGAGGATGATTCACCGGAGATCATCTACTATCCATTCGTAGACACAAGCCTCAGCCCTAATATTTCTGCAGGCTGGGAGCAGGTTTACTCGGGTTCAGGTGTTGCCTCTTCTCCAGGTCAGGATGGTATAGGAGACAGTACACACTCTACTAGCCTCAATGAGGCAAGCTTTATGATCAAATGGAATGGTAAGCACAGCTCTCGCCAATCAATGTCAAAACCATCAACTAGGTCGCTCATTGTTCACCCAGGCACTGGTATTGATCTCCTGGGAAGTGCTCAAAATGCATCCTATGAAATAACCTTGGACGGAATTAACATCTCTCCCAATACATCTGACCCGGAATCCATCCTTGCATCCTTTCACGATTTATCCAACACGAATCATACAGTGCTGTTGACGACTCTCACGAACCAAACTATTCCAGATTCATATATAGCTTTCGACAAGGCTCTCATCACCTACACAGCCCCCTCTGGCATTCTCAAGTGAGCTCCTACCGCCATAGCCAGGGTGCCGATCTACATTCCTACAGTGCTGATGATATCATTTTCAGCTCAACGAGCAACTCGACGATCATTGATGACGATAACGACATTACATTTGTGGGTAGATGGAGTTATGTGACTGACAGCACGGGAAATTCTATGCATATGTCCAACACTGCCGGTGACCATGCTCAGACCACATTCATAGGTACGTATCAATTCCATTATTTGGCAGTTATGTTGAATTTATGATGTTCCTTATTTGATTTCCGAAGGATCGGCCTTAACTGTCTATGGCCTCGTGTCTTCGTATTCTGGAAATTATTCTGTCACACTCGATAACATCACCACTAGCTTCTCAGCCCAATCCTCATATAATAATTCAAATGCGTTGCTATTTTTCGCTACCGATTTGTCTCAAGATACCTCTCATACAGTCATCTTCACCAATACTCAGAACACAACCTTTGCTGTGAGGGCTGGTGGGATGAACGTCACCACCTTCGGCAATGCCACCATGTGCGTCGTGTTCTTCTGCAGACTGTTGTTCCAGATAGGCTGACCGACCCATCAGAAATACTGCCATCTTGTCCTCATCAAGCAACCCGACTTATCCCGGGACAATTGCCGCTGTTGTACTCGGTGCTGTTCTGGTGGTCCTCATAGTGTGTATCCTCATGTACTGGCTATTTGTCGTCCGCCCGCGTGCTCGCTACAGGCAGAAATCGAGCCACCGCTCCAGGAAAATAATGAATCCAGAACATGTCATTGACATCAGTCCTCCTGGCGAAGAAGAGACCGAAGTGGCAAGCTTGAGCACCAGCAAAGGGTATGGATTCGGACTCGGCCTGCAACGCACCTTCCCCTTTGTCCGCAAAACGAAAAACGGGAGCAGCAGCAGCGGTCAGGTTGACAACACACGCTCGCGTTCCGTGTCCCACGTTGCAATGCCACCTGAGGAGCGAGATGTTGACAAGCGCTTCTCGACCAACACCCTCACCGTGGAATTCACTGCCTTGGGTTTTCCGCCGGAATCTGAGAAACTAGCGCCAGGCTGGAGTAATCCAATTGCACGCACGTCGCTTGGTTCTATGGGAAAAGGACACGCACGAATAGGAAGCCACAGATTGGCACTTCCGGAACTGTATGTGGAAGGGGTGGCCGCAGAAGACGTGTATGATGACGACGCGGATGCCAAGACCCTTACGTCAAGGCAAGACGAAACGCTTGCTGCAACCCTTTCCCTTAGCCCGCGAACGTCGGAAGCGCCAGGCCTCTTCGTTTCCGCTGTGCGCTCGATTGCGGGGATTGAGTGTGCCGTAACGGAGACCGATGACAGGGAGTCCTCCGTGCCGTCTCGGCCTGGCTCGCGATTTCTGGAAGTGAGAGAGACCAGCCCGTTCAGGATAGATGTTGGAGCTATCCTCGGCCAGTTTAGGGGACGTCAAGATTCACGTCGGACGAGTGGGAGTGGGAGTAGTAGTTGGTCTCGGGTTTGTGCCAGACTCTACCGAAAAGCTCACAGAGACGACGGGAAGCAGAGTATTCACGAGCACAAGCTTGAGAACCCCAGTCCTGAGTTGGTCCCCGTCGTTATGCTCGAATCGGGATCGGGATCAGAGCCGCCTCCAAGCGAGAATGCGCCTGCTTCAGGCACTTACTCCTTCCTTGACTTCACCTCGTCCCATTCATCATCACGTCGGCAATCAAAGACTACCACGCTAAGCTCAGCCGCAGTCGAGTTGGGGCACGACAGAGCCCGTACACCATGGAGCGATAGCACGTCCATACGGATGGTGCGCATTGAACGCGATAAACCTAGTGACGTAATGCATTCTGGACCCGATGCGCCTTCCACTGTGTCTCAGGGATCTCCCAATGATAGTCCTTCAGATAAATCCAATGCTCATTCTTCGCCGTCTGCACCTGCTACACACACTACTCATGGATCCTCGTTTCCCTTCCCTATCACTATTCCGCCCTCAACGCATATGCCGCACCCCTTTAATATCAACTACCAGCGCGAAAGCGACCACGAGGAACTCTCACCTCCTCCTCCACCATCACCTCCCGTGCCCCGGCAAGCGCAGGTTCCAGAAATCCGACATTCAGGTCTCCCATCAGATGCAAATGCTCCCACCTCTCCCACCGAAAGCGTGCCCTTCTCTGTATCCGACATCTATTTCCGACATAGTTATTCCGATTACAATGACATTGACTCGCGAAGAGAAAGTGCAGCCTCCACCCTACCTCCACATCCGCCTCTCCCTAGCCCGCAGCCGAATACTCCACCGCCGTACATTGTACAGCGTGTACTTGGAATGACGCCCGTTACCCCACACTCTCTTGCGGCAGGTCCCGCAGGCCATTTGTCATCAATAATTGCGGAGCGGGTATTGCGACCTGGAACATCTCCTCTGGGATCTTCTTCTAGAGCTCCTTATCGGATGGGCACATTGATTGGTCCTAGACCTCGGCCTTCCACATCTGGATCACCAAACTTGCGACTACCTCTACAAGGCTCGTGGAGCCGTGAAAAGAGAAACAATCATCCATAATACATAGGCGGCTATTTTGTCAACGATAACCAATTGAATGATGACAATTTCTTGGACGATATATCTTATGCTTCTCTCATTTACTCGCTGGATAGATCATGCTCTGGTCTCACAGAACGATCTCGTTGTCACTCCCTTTGGGTTATCATTCACGCATTTGTACCCTACTACTGCAAAGTTTTTTTTCCACAATTACATTTTTGTTTTCCGTAGCGATGAGAATATTTCCGCCGGATCGAGTACAAAGTACTAGAAGTTAGGAAGTCAGGAAGTCAGGAAGTTGGTAAGGTATCCGATCGCCGCAAACCGAAAGTGACAAATCGTCTTATGTCAAAGACTTCTCGCTTCTGTCCCGATTCCAGGCCCCTGGAAGTACTTCCATCGGTGCTGGACCCCGTGGGTGGTCCACTCAAGGGTGGAGATCCAAGTGATCCAAATATGCTATCCGATCCTATGCCCGGTGTAGTTGACAACGGAAGGGTGACTCGGCTGGAGCCCGGACTACCGAATGTCGCACCGAGTGTCAAGGGGGGATCCATATCGAGGGCAGAAAGAAATGATGTATTGTCGAGATCCGGCTTGGTGCTCGTAATGGTGAGGAATGAATCAAGAAGGCTGTTCTGCTCGGCCTTCGGCGTACCCTTTAAATCGAGGATCTAATCATTGCACAGCAAATAGAAACTTAATGAACAAAATGCAGGTAAAATAATGAAGGTGACCTAACCTTTTGGAAATTTGAAAATGAAGCATCACCAATGAGGAGGGTATAGTTTAGAATGAAACCTTCCGGAGGGTCCTGTCATTGTGTGAATGGCGTGATATGGACGGGAGAAAAGGTAGTTACCACTGGTGTCACAATGACCTTGAGCAGAGCCTCGAGCCTCGTTGTGCTTTTCGTAAGACTACGGGTATATCTATGCAACAAATGTATGAGCTAACCTTTCTCAAAATACAGGGGTCATTCTTACCCTTGAGTTACCAGTGCTTCTCCTGGTAGTCGCATTAGGAAAGATTTGACAACACCCAGGTCGATCAGTAACTGGGCCATTTTGGGTTAGGTCAAAGAAGAGCAGATTAATCAACTTGCAACGTACTTGTTCTCCACCAATTTCTTTCAAAGGTCGGCTCTTCACCGCTGCGTTGGTGAATTTCGTCAAGACAAAACTGTTATACAGTTATTAACATTTTCCCTACACGGTGCGACAAGACCAACCTGCATGCCTTGTCGAAGAAATTCCTCAGGTACTTCTTCTGTTCAATTAATGGCTTTATGATGTCGCAAAAGCTCTCGACAGCCCGAGCAAGATCATCCACATATGAAGACTGTCCAGTGACCTGGTTCAGCTTCTCCCACGACATGCGGGACATCGTGGTGAAAGCACCCTCGCAAGCAGCTTCCAATTCTCGTAGGAGTGTCATGATAGAGACAGAAATAGCACTGGCTTCGTATATCAGTGATGAGATGGGCAACGAGAATGACAGTAATACGTCATGAACAAGTCACGTTCTGCTTGCAATGTTACTTTCTCTTTAAAGCCGTCCTGGATCTTCTCTTTGATATTCTCCTCGAGCTACATCGAGGCAACACTCAACAAAAGCTTCACATAACTGCGGTGGACTGACCTCCAAAGCCGTAGTTTGACAGTAGTCCGCTGTATTGATAAACAGGGCAGCCTGTTGCAAATCCGCAACATCAAAACGCGAGTCCATAGACCTCCGTGTTTGAGGTGTTGGCCTGCAGATGTATCAGATGCTTGATGCAGTAGTCTTTAGCTACACGTCACAAACCGCTTTGACTGTGGTGCAAGGACGTCCTCTACATCGTACATCAGAGGTAAGACTAATAAATACCCTGATTATCTCACCGGCATATCTGCGCAGCCATTTCTTGTGTACCATACACAAATCAAATAGTGCTTGTCCGGTTGATAGCTTGGCGCATTGCTCAAGACTCTGGCCGTAAAAGTAAAACAGTTCTGTTGACGAAGAGAGTACTGTTTGTGGAGTAGCCGCGTCCGCATCTGTAGAGACAGAATCATGCGAGGTCGTATCAAGGGATGTTCGTGGTTTTGCCTTCGAACCCAATGCTCGGTGAGTAGCAAGCATGTCAGCGAGAGCTCTAGTGGATCAGCAGATATAGTAAATGTAGACATTAGGAGAAGTAAATACATACTTGTCTTGAGCATCAACAAATACACCAAGATGGGGTTCAAAGGCAGATGACATTGATTGAATGGTTGCTGAAGATGGAGGTGAACTTGCTTCTAATATGTCATTAAGCTGTTCAAGGGTCTATCGTTAAGAAGGAACGATGGGTTAGCTTGAGATTGACATACTGGCGTTAACCATTTCTTTGCCATGGATGACTCGAATTCAATCGTCTGCCGTAGGGCTTCGAGCAGTGCTTTGATTGTCAAAGAGGAGCCTGCTTTAGAAAGCAATGCTGCAAGATCATCTCTGATGAAATAAAGATATCAATTAGGAATTAGGAGTGCATCATATCTATGGCGTGACAGACCTTGTGATAGCTACAAATGTCGTGAAAAGCGCCCATTCAACCTTCCACTCTGAAGGGAATGTGCGGCCCAACTCCAACTCATGCGTTCCAAGCACACGTCTAAACCATGCATACCTCCGGCTGATATTGTCTAAATGACCTGCCTCGTCTGTGGCACGGAAGATGCGCCGATACTCCTTGAGCTCGAGTGCGACATAACGGTCAATCAGATGTCTCCGAACGTCGTCGCCTAAAACATCAGCGACAGCACAGGCATCTATGATCTGAGCCGGTTTTGAGGGTTTAGCAGGATCCTGGAGGTAGCTAAAAAGATCCACAAGTCAAGGACTCTGCATACTGAGAAAGTGACTTACAACGCGTCGAACTCCGCTTCGAGTTGAGTGCGAATCTCACCCTGAATTTGTTGTACTCGTCTCCAGACCTGGTTAATGTGATGGACAGACGTGTAAGGTTTAAAAGAGGCGGATATCTGCTTCACAGCCTGCAGACGAGTCAATAGGTTGTTGTGAAATAAGGGATGGAAACGAACTGCAAGAGTCTGTGAAACGTCTCCGTATTTCTTCTCTTTCGTTTGGTCTTCCAATTGTGTCAGAGCATTTACTTCGAAGAATCAGCGGGAATATTTGCGACGGCAATGCTGCGGAACATACCCAGCATCTGCAGGCGTTTGAGTGTTGTCATACTGAGGATGAGGTTCTTCTTCGCGAGGTCAAGAGCCTGGATATCTTTCGTGATGTCGCGCACAACAGCCTCAGATTCCGTCGCTTTCTCCCGAATGCGTGACATTTGCCCAAGGAGGTCCTGTCATAACCCTTCAATAAGGACTCCAACAGTTGGACCGGCAGGCATACCGAAATCATTTCCTGGATCATCTGCATACGGTTGGGATCTTGATCACGTCTTAGCTCTTCCTTGAGTTTATCAATTTCGCCTTGCAAGTCACGTTCAGTTTGAGACAGTCTCGCTTGAACGGTTTCTAGCTGGCTCAGTGAAGCCTCTATACCTTGTTTAGTGGCACAATTTACACCTCGATACGTGACGTACCATCTGGGAAAAGCTGGTTCAGCATATCTAGCGGGTTAAACTCATTAGACAGAACATCGAGGGGATCGTTCTGGTTCTCTGGATCGAGCTCGAGGATACGTTGGATTGCAACGACGACCTCTTGTGGAAGTTTAGCATGTTCATGTCTTCCATACGTCGAACGTGTGGACATGCGAGGTAATAACCTGCAGAAGAGCTGCTGAGAGCAACTGTTCCACGTAGCGTTACTAGTACTAGTAGTAGCAAGCCAAATTGATTGCTCCCGGTGAAGCAGAGTTTGCCAAATACAGCGACTCGAACTCCTGCGATATACTACTTCCTCCAAGATGGCGCTTGACACCAATGACTTCCACCACAAGTCCGACTAGTGATACCCGCAGCCAGGTTATCTCTACCTACCATGACCATCCCAGATTCATTTGTGTGAGCTGTTCAGCGGTGCTAGTGCGTGATAATGTCGAAAAGGCTACTAAGCCCCACATTCATGATACATCTTCAGGCATTGCAGGACGAACTTATTAGCAAGTCTTTCTCAGGCAGAGAAGGAAGAGGCTTGTAAGTGACGCATGATTCAATTCATCACCGCAATGAGTGATGTGCTTTTTGCAATCCAGCCTCATGTACTCAGCAACCAATGTGAAATTGGGAAAGAAAGAGGACCGCCCACTTCTGTGAGTACGCAACCTTTGCTGTCTGTCCCTTTTAACCACTCCTTGTGTTTTAGCACAGGTGTCCACACCGTAGCTGACGTCTTCTGCATGGGGTGCAATGACCGTGTTGGATGGTATTATCACAAGGCAGCCGATTTATCTCAGAAATATAAAGAAGGTTTGTCCTTGTACAGATCATGGCTTAATACCGTCTTACGTGCTATAGGAAAGTACCTTCTTGAACGCGAGAAAATAGTGAAGGAGAATAACTGGAAATTGGATGAATGATCTGCGACCCTGCAAGTATTTCTACAACAGGTGGAGTTCGTGTAAATTACCATGCTAATATGATTGTCATGAAAACGCACTCTACATTAAGCAGGCATAGCAGGTGGCTCGGTATCAATCGCAGTGTCCGTGCATGATGACATCGATATCTGAACGTGCAGACTTCTGTTTGCACATTTCACTGGGCAGCGTTGCGGTGACAATAAATTTATGGTCGCACGTCCATTCGCGCATTGTTGGTTCTCGCATACGAAGCCACATTCCTGATCAGTGCAACCAAGAGGTACCCTTCAATATATCACGTGTGTTCCTGTTATCGTTTGGCCAGCTTCGAGCTATCAACACTTCCGTCAGTGAGCAAACATTTTGTCGTGTACACCTTGAAAGTCACTGAACTCAAAGAGGATTACGCGTCAATCAACGCGATTGGATAGACTTCAGGAATCCACCTCGACATTATCACAAGCAGGGCATGCCTCCCGAGACCATGGGACACGGTCTCCACACATCGCATCCTTTCTACGTTATATTTTCGGTTCAGGGTCTGGCCGTCCCGCCGCTTCTTTCCAGTTACTTACCACCTTCGCTCTGCGGCGACCATTCCCTTCGAATACCTCCCAGTAAGTGTTGCAATAAAATATCTTGCAGCTTTGCACGTCGACATTCACCACTGTGCGATAGTTGGCCTCTAGGGAGCTGCGCATGATGGGGCTCTATGAGGTATCGAAAGATTCGATACCAGATGCCAGCCTCGAAAATATCCACTGCCAAGCTTACTTTCTTTACTTTGCGGGGTTCCGAAAGGCCATCCGAAAAGCCCTCATTTGTTCTCGACGATGCTTCTCCAGACATCGAGTAGCTATATAAATGAATATGCCACCAGGATCTCAACATCTCGCCATCTGATGAGGGCTCGTGACTTCTGAGTCCGTTGCCCAGGGCTAGTGTACTGGAAACCTAGTAAACGAACATATCTTGTTTCATATCTGGCACCGGAAGCTAGAATTCATTTACTAAGAGGTACCCTCACTGTTGTTAGCAGAACTCGGGAGCTTTCAAGTTGCCAACCAATCTGGCAAAAACCGGTTGTGCCTGCCCAAGGGGGTGGCAAAGTGAACAGGCACTAGAACAAAACTCCGAAGCAACCAAAACAATCAATGAATTCAAAAAGCACAAAAACTGAAGCAGGCTCAACTATAGACCCCAAAAGCATTTCATCTTTTCGCTCAGTACGCATAAAGTGGGTTCAGAGCTTGAAGCGTGCATCATCAAGTCAAGCCGCCGGCCTCCAAACAAATAGTCATCGATATCCGGGCCCGGTCATCCGATCAACTAGCTGATTTTTCGATGAATCACGAGTGAGAGGAGTCCACGCCAGGCGCTCGTTCCTACCCGTCAACAGCTGCTGACCCCGAAATCTGGGACCAAGATTGAACGTGGGATGCCAGTGGAATTGACCGTTGACGGCGGTAAGATAACTGTGACAGCACCGCGGGTCCAGAACTCCAGGAAAATCACGAGAAATGGTCAAATGAGGATTATTGAAGGTCGTTCATTCACAGTACGTCGCAATTTGTGGTTTGCTCACCAGCGACATACCTGTAGCCTACCCGATGAGCTCGGTTACCCGAATTTCTCGGCGATGCAAGATAAGCCATCATCAACCTACCAAAATCATCAGCTCGCACGTTGCTTATGAAAATACAGGCATGTAATCACTCGGACCTTGCTCACTCCCTGCAATCTCTAACTCGTAGCAAACAAGGTAAGGTCAAGGACCCTTAGCTACGAGTGTGTTGACATTTCAAAGTAGATCGCCCAACATGGTCTCATGAAACGCCAGTCTCTGAATACATCATTTACAGAGTCCATGAAAGTCAAGGATCCTCGCCTGCTGCTCCTCGAATTTTCTCACTGCTACCCTACCATCATATTTTTATTTTATTTCTTCTGCTTTTTTGCACTAAGATTTCAGTGAACAGTATGTCTGCTGCACTCTCCTTCTTGCGCGTGATATCGCTGACAACAGGCACAAGAAGTTAGCGAACTTACTGGTGCACATGCTACCACCTGCTGTGCTCTCACTTGCATTAACCCTTCTTATAACTAATCAATCTATTGAGCGCCTCCTCTCGCGTGCTCTCTGTCTTGACTGTCTTGTGCCCCGACACCTCCCGCCCACTCATAAGCTCCCCGGTGTTCCAACTTCCCGTGTTTATATCTAATGCATGAGAGCAGTTCAAATTCGATGTACTTGAAGATTCTGTGATTAAGCAGACAAGACCTCCGCGGTCTGAATCTCCGATTTAAATTATGATATTAGCGGCAGCCACTTCGCCGGATACGCACTTCCTGCCGGTCCTATGGTCTTCAGAGCATTTGATTCTGAGCGCAAAACTATATCTCTGATTGCCTAGCCTCGTACTGAGCCGATTAATAGCTGCGTAATGCCAATTCGGGGACAGCCAATCGCTTGTCCTCCGCGCACTTTCACTTCCTACGGACGGATGGACCTCGACATTTACGGTCGAGCGCATTCCGAGTCCTCGGAGCAGCCCTTCTACTTTTGGCCCTTCATCATCATATCCCCATCGTGCTATGTCTCCCACAGAACTTGGGTGTGTAGCGTAGCATGATGCTTATGACTACTAATTTAAGATAATATTATGTAATGAAGACAAACTTTTCAAGTTCACCGCCAGTGGAAGATGGACTCGGAGCTCGATGGAGAGCCGACGGAATACTAACGTAGGTCAATCACCCTGGTCACTGGTGCTGCCAATGTCACCTGCGAGTTTAATCTTGCTTGAGGGTATCAGCGCACCTGGCGTAGCTCCCACGAGGCTAGCATTACCCGTGGGTTGAGTGACAGGGGTTGGCATGTTGACACGTTGGCAGGACCATCAATCTCGTCAATTATTCCTGGTTCCTGATTGGCTGCATGTTCGGATAACGATTAATCAGTGATCAATCCTGCCAGGGATCGATTGGAGACCAAAATTTTTGGCACGCTAGTTCAGCCTAGATATAAAAACTCTTTCTCCTGGTTCAACTGGATCCTCATACATGGTATCTCGCATCCAACTCCCGCTAAACAGTCAGTGTTCTCTTTCACGTATTTCGTTCAGAGGATTGATCAGAATGTTTCCAGGTGTCTTCGCCGTCAGCAGTTCCAGTTCCAGTAAGAAGGTTTGTGCCATGTAAATTTTATGACTCGTACTGGGTGCTTATCATCCTGTCTACGATGAAGCCTCCGTGATGCCCTCACTTGCAAAGCTCTTCTCCCTTCGCTCCCCCCTTGGAATTTTCGAAAAGCACGGGCCTGACATAGCCGCCCCAGCTGCCGAGAGCAACAAGTCGCCCATCCCGTCACAACAGGTTGCAAGTGAGAAGCAGGAGCAGGAGAAGCTCATATGCGCCAAACTCAGTCGTTTCGCCCAGGTCCCAGTCTCGGCTATCTTCGTGTATGTCTAGCATCTCCATTGTGAATCCTTTTGTTTATTTCTTCGATTCCCCCCTTCTTTAGATTGGAACCCGGATGGAACCCTAGCGGTCTTTCTGATGAGCAGGCTTCCCTGATCCTCAAAACTCACGGACCTAACATACCGATGGCGGAACATCGTCTTGCTGCGATACGCATGCTCTGGGGGGCCATTGCCAATCCGTTCAACCTCCTTTTGACTATCCTCGCCATTATCAATGCTGCCACTCAGCAGATTCCTACGTTCGTAGTCATGATGGCAATGGTTGTCGCTTCGACCGGCTTAAGGTTCGCGGGCCCTGTCTTTGTTAGGGTTGATCTAACATTGCCCCAGATATTGGCAAGAATTGAAGTCCACGATTCAAGCAGTCAATTTGATCAAGTCAGTCACGACGAATACTCGCGTCCTTCGTCATCGAAGCTCCGGTTCGGAAGAGCTCGAAATCGATCAGCGGAATGTAGTTCCAGGTGATATCATAAGTGTCACCAGTAAGTAGTACTACATCTTTCCTTCTCATCATTTTAACTTTGCGTTCCATAATAGGCGGCGATGTCTTCCCTGGTGATTGTGTTCTCATTACGGCCGAGGCTATCACGATCACACAGGCCTCGCTTACGGGAGAAATGATGCCCATCGAGAAAACCGTGCGCCTTACTGCCTCGCGTCCCGGAGAAACGTTTGATTTACTACACAATAATAATGTTTGTCTCGCGGGCACATCTGTTGTCACAGGCAATGGATACGCGCTCGTCGTCTCGACTGGCAAGGATACCTACATGGCTTCTATCGCCACGGAGCTCTCCAAACGACGACCGGAAAATGCTACTCAAATTGGCATCAGGAAAGTCAGTTATGTCTTGTTGGCCTTCATGGGCGTAAGTCAACATTTTTATCGAATTTTGTATATTTTCTGAATCTAACTTCTCTGAACAGGTTATGGCCCCGATTGTGTTCATCATCCAGGGTGCTATTAGTAAGAACTGGAAGAACGCGGTCATGTTCGCGATTGCCATTGCAGTCGGCATTACGCCAGAAATGTTGCCAATGATTGTGGTATGTACATTGCTTTCTGCTACTGTAGCTCTCAACGACATTTGTGATGCAGACATCTAACCTTGCGCTGTCTGCTGTTCGTGTGGCACGCAAAAAAGTCATTGTGAAGCGTTTTGATGCCATCCAGAACCTTGGCGCCATCCAGATTCTCTGCTCAGACAAAACAGGGACGCTTACTGCTGACCTCGTGCGCATCTCAATGTCCGCGACGGGCACGGGAGAACTCTCACAACTTCCCATTAAGTTGGCCTATATCAATTCCTCTCTGCAGACTGGTTCTCGTAGTCCGATCGACCACGCAATTGTCGACTTCGTCAATCAAAGTGAGCAGGACATCTTCACAGACATTCCCGGAGACGGCTGGGTCAAGCAGGGCGAAATTCCTTTTGATTCGTCACGCCGCCTTCTGTCGGTCTTAGTTTCGCGACCCGGTGGCGATGGCACTGAAGGACTCCTAATCACAAAGGGTGCAGTAGAAGAAGTCTTGGACCGGTGCGTGTCAGCCTACAACCACCAGCTGCCTCCTTCCTCAAATGCCTCGGGACCGTTTGGTTTATCCCCTTCGATGATGCCAATCCTCACAGCAGACGGGCGACAAAAGATTCTTGATACTGCCCAGCGTTTGAATGAGGAGGGGTTGCGTCTTGTCGCTGTGGCCTACCGAGAGCAGTTCATCAAGCCGTTCATGACCATATCATGCTCTGACGAGAGCGAACTTACTTTCATCGGATTCATCGGGCTTCTTGATCCATTGAAACCCGATGCCACCCAGGCAATCAAAGATTTGGCCGCATTGAACGTGCAGGTATGCATTTCCTCTGCGCTTTCCTAAGATACAATTAATCTCGCGATTCGCAACAGGTTCGAATCCTCACTGGTGATGCTCCTGCAGTGGCTGCGAAGGTGGCTCGCGACCTCGGGATTATACCATCTCGCCAACATTCGTCGAACACGGTGGATGAGAAGGATGTGGAGGCGTCTCTCTCTTCCAACAGCGAGGAAGGGCTCGTTCTCACTGGCACCCAGCTTGAAGCCCTTGCAGATGATCAGGATGCTTACAAGGACGCCATTGATCGCTGCATCATCTTTGCTAAACTCTCGCCTTACCAGAAGCTCGAGGTCGTGAAAGCCCTGCGCGCAGGGTGGTGGTGGCAGAGCAGTCGCCTTCTTGGGAGACGGCGTCAATGATGCTCTTGCTATACGTGGCGCAGACGTCGGGATCTCGGTGGATTCCGGAACTGACATTGCGAAAGAGGCAGCAGATGTGATCTTACTTGAGAAGAACCTGGCTGTAGTCGCTGACGGTGTGATGGAGGGGAGGATTACGTGAGTTCATCTGGGGCGAGGTTTTGCGCTGAACGCTAAATGAGAGTCGTAGGCTCATGAACACACTGAAGTACATCAAGATGGCGACCTCTTCCAACTTTGGTAATATATTTTCGGTCTTGGGTATGTGTCCGTTGTTGGTCTTTCATACGGTGTTTAATTGATGCGGTATGTTTTTGAAGTTGCTTCTGCGTGGCTTCCATACGATCCTATGCTCCCGCTGCAGCTCCTTGTTCAGAATCTATTGTATGATTTCTCTCAGGCATCAATTCCTTGGTATGCATCACCACATCTAGTCGTATATTTGACGTTGAACAGTATATGTTAGGGATAATGTTGACCCCGAGTACTTGGTGGCCCCGAGGACATGGGGAGCGAAATCAATCATTCGTTTCATGGTTTGCATGGGTCCCTTCTCGAGCCCTTTTGATATCATCACATTCTCTATCAACTGGTGAGTAGATCCCTGCGTGATCAAAAATAGTCCATTACCGGGCGGCTTCAGGTTCCACTACGGCATTCGTACACTCGACAACCCACTCGTTCCCCTTGCACAAACGAATTGGTTTCTCGAGGGGTCTCTGACGCAGGTAAGATCTTGGTTAACTTGTACAAACTCAAAATACGTGCTAACGCTCACGGGATAAGCTGTTGATTATTCACTTCCTACGAACAGGCAAGCTCCCCTTCATCCAGTCCCGCGCGTCTCTCTCAGTCGTTATTACCACCTTCGGTATCGCTGGTATTGCTATTGCAATCCCATACATTCCGAAGGTCAACACTGCCCTGAAGATGACCCCACCTGAGCCCATGTTCTACGCGTACCTGGTAGGGACGGTCTTTGGCTATGCTTTGGTCGTGCATATTGCCAAAACACTTTATCAACTTGCGTTCAAGGAATGGCTTTAGAATAAGCATTATGTCGATAAGCTCGTAGGTTCTGAGCTAACAGGATTCGTCGTGGACTTTACGGCGTCGTTGTCATTGTGCCTTTTTTTCTTGGTTGATTCTGGTTTTTTTATTGATTTTGATATACTGATGACAGCCTCTAACAGGATTGTGTCATAGATTTTACAGCGTTTGATATCATTTATGCCAGTTTTTTTTCCCGTTGATTTTAGATTTCATCGAATTTAAAGGATATGTTTCAATGCAATTTTATGTTTCGTTCATCGTAGTGTCTTGTTCCAACTAAACAAAGAGCAAACGAGCGAATACCGCGAGCTGCAATCATGTACTGTGTCTTTGAAACACAATCATCAGTACTAAAACTGAGGCTTTGAAGTATTGTACTAATCTACTGCCAACGATAAATGAGGTATTTTCCCCAAAAGGAGTGTAAATTTAAATTTTGCGTCACATCTAGTATTATATGCACACTTCAATCTGCGCCGCGTCGAGAACCTAACGATGACGCGGATTACGGATTTTGGTCGAAAGCGCACGCATGTGCAAGCGGGCTTTCCTGACGATTCCGAGCCTGTTGAACCACCAACAGAGCCACAAGCTTCGACGTCCATTCTACCATCCGAAAGCCAGCCACACGATCATCCAGTTCCTCCAAAAAAGAAAAGAAAGCGTACAAAAAAACCAAAAGAAAATGGTGGTGATGGCGAGGACAAGGCACAGGACGCTGGTGATACTGGAACAGCGGAACTTCAAGTTAAGCCCAAGAAGAAACCGAAGGATAAACGGAAACCAAAGAGTAGATCTTTCGCTGCGAGTAATTACGCATATATGTTACTGAACGCTTGCAGCTCGGCCAGATCCTGCTCAACGTTCTGAATCCAGACGGCAGAAACGAATTGCGCAGAAATACGCAGACACTACTTGTTTTGCATGTCGCGAAAAAGGGCACACTGCAAGAGACTGTCCAACCATACGCAGCGGTGGTGGTGGTGGTGTAACGAGACAAAGGACTGTTGGAATATGTTATCGGTGCGTCATCTTTTTTTACTTTGTCCCTTCGATAGGCAGATTAGAATCTGTTTCGTTAGTTGTGGTTCAAATCAGCACACTCTCTCGCGATGCAAGGCCCCAGAAGACCCTCATCATCCTCTTCCATTTGCATCATGTTTTGTGTGTTCTGGTAAGGGTCACTTGGCATCATCTTGTCCACAAAACAAGGACAAGGGTGTCTATCCAAATGGAGGCTGCTGCAAACTTTGTGGCGAAACGTCTCACTTGGCCAAAGACTGCGGACTGAGAAAACAAGGTATGTATTTTGGAACCAATCTACAGTGATCAGTTGAATGACGCGCCGCATGCGATGCAGCTCAATCTGGAACCGCAACTTTGTTTGGGACGGGCCAAGACGCCGGTGCGGACGAAGACGACTTTCACACATTCAAGCGGCGGAATGCAGATATAGACAGGGATATAAAGAAAGATGAGAGGGTAAAGAAAATGGCTGATGTAAAGTTTGCACCGTACACGGGGACGGTGAAAGCCTTTGGGACCCATGTCGGAAACTCTGCGAAGGTGAAGGTCGTTTACTTTTGAGTACCGGGTTCCCTTATAGACCAACTATCGAGTTCCCACTGACTTTTGGATTTGTATCTTGTTTATGATACTGCAAGTTCGACAACGACTTGGGTCCGCAGCGCTAGAATCTCCTAACTAGGACAAATCGTATGACGTCGTCACGAGATAGATGCGAAACAGATGTCGGTAACTTACTCTTGATGCACCAAATGCAAACGCCGCCCTATGCGCCCGTACTTATACCGAGTCCTGCTGGCAGTTCTGCAATTGCAAGATCGAATCCTGTCATGAATCTAGCTCCGAAATTGATTTATGGAACTGCATGGTGAGCTTTCAGCCAGCGAGCATGCGACATGCTGAATTGGCAAGTAGGAAGGGAGAGAGAACAACTCACCTTGTGATAAGCGCATTCCTTCAAGGCTTCCGAGCTGTAGACACAGGTGGGTGTCCAAGTCGTCTGAGTTTTGCTCATGGTGAACAAATTGTGTAGCATGTCAGCCAAAACACTACAGGTATGCATTGCAGAGTGTTTCGTTAGTTCATTTGATACCAGGCATGTTACAGAGAGGATCTTGTGGGAGAAGCCTTGGAAATTCTCCAAGATAAGCATAGTATAAAGCGAGAAGATGTCTACATTCAAACAAAGTACGTCGGCTCAGTACAGGGTTTCTTCAGCAGCTTGAAGTGAAGCCTCCTTAGATTCACCCCCTTTCCTGGTCAAGACCCAACCAAGCCCCTCCCATATAACCCCCGAGACAGTATCCCTGCTCAGATCAGAAGTTCCCTTTCCAAATCACTGGCTAGCTTGCATACGTCATATCTCGATGCTTACCTTCTCCACTCTCCTCTTCGAACTTTGCCCCTAACGCTGGAAGCCTGGCGTACGCTCATGGCTGCACAAGATGAGGGGACTGTGCGCGCCATTGGAATTAGCAACGTCTATGATGTTGGAGTGCTGAAAGCGCTAGAAAAAGAAAGAAAGGTGCAGATTGTACAAAACAGGTGGTTTGAAGGTAATGCCTGGGACAAAGAGGTCTGGGCGTACTGTAAGGAGAACGGAATCGTCTATCAGTGCGTTAGTTCCGGATTGCAGAGTTTTTAGACGGTTGACAGTCACTCGACAGGTCGTTCTGGACACTGACGGGTTCCCCAGCGTTGCTGACACACTCGCATACTACTTCTCTTGCTGATAAACTAGACGTCACGGCCGCGCAGGTACTCTTCAAACTTGCCCAACTAAACAACGTCGTCCCTTTAAGTGGAACTACAAGTGAACTGCACATGCAGCAAGATCTCGCTGCAGAGCGCATAGTATTCAAGGAAGAGGTGCTCGATGATTATAAAAGAATTACAGATCTGATATGGAAATGAAGAAGACAGTGCATGCTGTGAACAACTCAGTGTATTGTAATGTAGTACAACGATATTTATGACCATTCCGTGACATTCTTCTGGGTGCCTTTATTTCTACTCGTCCTGTAGATGTGCACCATACCCTCATAAACAGAGGGGATTTCACCATTTTAAACATTCTAACCGGATATGATTCTCTTGCTAGTCATACATGAAACTAACCAGGGAATGAGACCACAGCGAGGAAACTGACATTTCATTTGAAAGGTATTCTAGAGTGCTCTGGAACGCTCTAGGCTAGGTCTGGAATGCTCCAGGTCAAGATCTGCTTTTCTAGCACGAGGTAAAATGTTGAATAATGTAAGGAGAGTGTCCATGCCTGAAGAATGGCCCTTTGTGTAATTTGACGGGTGCATTGTGATGACATTTCCGTACCACGCAGTTCTGCGAACGTTTATTTGACTTATTATAATCAACAGCGAAGTTAGCAGCGTTCAATGAGGCCTCGTATTTCTCAATGATGTGCTGTGGACATCCTCCGTCTTCGTGACCGCCTACTCTTGGCTATATCTTCGTATCACTGACTTCATAGACTGGTGCTGCAGCTCGGCAAGGCCTGCTGGTACGAACTGCACCGTGCGCCCTTGTTCCTTGAATGTTTCATGCAACTCATCGATCTTGATAGCGAATCGAACATCGCGCCGCGTGAGCCCAGGAACTTTTTTAGACTCGGGTTTTCCTTCTCCTACGCGGTGAAAGGCGTACGCTGAATGTGTGTGCGTAGAAATGTCCACGGTGCTATACTCGATCACGATTCGAGCATGATGCTAGTTTGAATATGACAACTCAATCATCTTGGAAATCATGGGGGGCTTTGATACGCACATTTTCTGTACGTGAGATGTCTGCGACTCCCTGAACAAAGTCCATGACATCGTCGAAGCCCTTGAACTTGTAACGTTTTTCCAGAGAGAGTATTTCATTTTCACCGACTCCTGTAGAGACGTGGCCGATCGTCCACTGATGCGAAACCAGTGGTTGGATATACGTTGTGACATCTCCCAAGGATATGTGGAGGGTTGGTATAGTGGGGAATGGTGGTATCTCTGGAAGATCGTGTACTTTGAGAGGGTCCATAGGCTGTTGCTTCGGGGCGGAGGTTTCTAAAACATATGAAATGTCTTGAATACACATCTTCAAACTTATCGCATAGAATTAGTTAATACCTGCTGAAGACAAAATGCTCTCTGCGGCTGGTCACAAGTCAACAACAACTAACCAAAGTCAACCCACTCACCGGAGTTCGCTTCTCGGAAACCTTCCGATGTGATCTCGATACATGAGTTTGCATAACCTCGGATACCAGGCTGCATGCGCGTCTGACGCCATGATGTTTCTACTTCGACTGTTGGTCGGCTCTTGCGGTATAAACGCCTGGCATGTACACACGAATGCAAGGACCCCTGCGCAGCTAAGAGCGAGCATCGACTAGGTACTAAGTTGAGGCCCTGTAATATAAAACCCATTTTCGAAAGATGCGAATAGCAACGTGTCGGCAGGATGTACGTATTTGCTACGTCGCCAAGCTCAAGCGCCTGAATTCGAACTCCATGGGGCGGAGTCTGCGGGCCTTGACGACCACATGCAGGAACGTTATTCGTCTACAGATCAGTGTTTGTGGCATGGAGTGTCCATAACGATCTGTACTAAGCGCATAACGTTGATTTGGCCCTCAACGCTAATGTGCAGATTATTTTAGTAGTCCAGCAAGTGCTCCATCGCAGATAGCTGCACGAAATCAGCTCACATTGACGCTCAAACTCATCCCGCGACGCAAAAGCATACGACGTAGCATAGCATTGAAACACATGTGCCACAAGGAAATAATGTGTCAAGTGAAATGTAAAATAGCTTCAACGATGAGCGTGTGAGTGATACAGTTGACGTCGTAGCCTCGAACGCGAGGGCACAAGCCACGTTGGAAAGAAAATATGGAACAAGGACAACACTTGAATGCATCGAGGGGGCCTACAGATATTTCATGCTTCTGTCATCGTAACATCACCCAACGATGTGTCTGCAGCAGCAGTGGAAGGGCCGTTCTCCACTGTAGACGTCTGCGGAATATCGACTTTCTTCTCTGCAGCAGCGTTCGCATCTGCCGGTGCACCGTTGACAACGCCTTCAACCGTATTCTCATTTCCCTTGCTAGCGCCAAGAATAGCGTGCCATTTGTCGACCATTGACTTTGCTCGTGTCCGGAACTTGAATTCGTCGTCGCGGGGAACCTTATCCGTGGATAAAGCAGCAATGTGACGCATGACCTTACCGATTTTGGAAAACTGCATGAAAATTTAGGCAACAGAAGCCATGAGTACAAGTTGCAAACATGAACGATGGGATGCAGGACGCACTGAGAGGTATAATATGAGATTGGGATGTTCATAATTCTCGATAGTTGAAAAAAGTTGATCAAGAGCAGGCATCTCCTGGAGAAATGTTGATTGAGGACTGATTGGCCGATAACAGATGGAACATACTTCAACTGGAGGTAGCCCTTTGCTCCCCAGAAGGGCCTTCTGCAATCTGTGTCTCCATTCTCGGACTTTCTTAGCTTCGGCATCCCCTTCCAAGGCAGCTGAATGGAAAAATGAGCACAAAGGGTGTGGCGTGATGGAAAACGGCGAACATACGATCAATATCCTCCTCCTTTTCTCGCTTAGGCTTCTTAGATGGGGGAGGAGCTGCTTTAGCACTCGATCCTGCCTCCTCGTCTTCTTCAGCTTCGGCTTCTGGTTCACCGTCGTCCTCTGACTCAACCATTTCCTTCGATTTGGCGCCATTCTTCTTCCCTCTCGACGAGGGAGCCTTTTTCTCACCTTTGGCCTTGGGTTTGGCCTTGGGCTTGGGAGGAGGCACCTCAGATTCCCGCTTTCGCTTCTTGGTTTTCGACGCTTTTTTGCCACCATCACCGTCATTGTCACTGTCGAGCTGATCTACTGGCGCATTGTCCTCCTGCTCCACCGCTGCCAAGTCTGCATTTTCACGTTCCTTTTCCCATTTCGACGGGTCCAGTGCAATCCGATAGCCTGTCAGAAGGTCGCCAGATTTCTTGTGAGGTTCGTTGATGTATGCTTCGATCTCATGTTGCTTCAACTTGGATATGTCTTTTGACACAAGCCAAGCACTGGACGCCAAAGTTCAATAAAGTAAAAAAGAATGAATAGTACTGACATACTAGTCGCCTGCGGGGAAGAACCTGACACAGTGGAACGTAGTTTTTTTGCCTGCTGGGCGCTCCTTGGACACAATAGAGGGGACTGTGTCAGGGTTCACGACCTGCACATGCCATTGGCACGAATGTCTTTCAGAAAAGTTCAAAAGACGCGACATACCATGCCTGGCCACGGTGGAAAGCCGCGTACTTTAGCTAGCACGATATCACGTTCTGCGTAGCTGGTTTCTGGTTGTTGCGTTTTATTGCCCTTTTTGCTCATCGTCGAGGATGGCGCAGAAGTGAAAGAGACGAATGTAAAGTGCGTTTGACGTTTGCGCGACCGATAAACGATGGTTGAGGAGAACACGAAGGTTCTGCTCGGCTATTTCCACATGCAGCAAAACCCCCGTTTCTTGCCACGAGGGCCCGTGCGTCCTCGTGACCGATCAATGACAAATTAGTCAATTCAAATCAGCAAAATAGTTCCGCAAAAAGGTGCAGGTGGAATCGAAACACACGAAGCGTGCACTCGGTCAACGCAAACGCTTCGAGGAAGCATATACTTTCCGTGCAATACACCTGAAGCCATGAATTCCGTTCAAGTTATCCGATCGGATAAACCTTGGAATAATTTAACGCCTTGCCTTATTTGGATGGGGATAAGGGAATGCGCCAGAGTCCAACGACCAGGGGGAACCTGGTGTCTGTGAAGCGTTGTCGACGAAGTGCAGTGATGAGCACCCAGGTCATGAGACGATAGTTTGGTCACTCACCTGAACCCCAAAAAATGACCTCGCGTGAAAACGAAAGTGGAGGTAGAGCAGCCTAGCCGCAGCCATGGTTATTCGTACTAAGGCATGTAGTAACCTCATAGAAGCCACCGTAGGATGAATCGCTGGTAATGGTGTGGGTGATTGAATGTCGTAGATACGGGATTGGGCTCAGCGCCCCTTGCCGCGATTGCACGACTTTGATGGGGTGACCAATGCCGCGAAGTTGGGTTGACGTTCGAAATGAACGTTCGATGCACCAGTTCTGACTCTTCCAGCGTAAATATAATACGCAGCTGCATATTGGGACGAAAAGAAGCCGGTGGATATGATGGCAGAAGTAACAAGAGAATAAAGTAGCAAAATATTTTTGAAAAACTCGAAACAACTTCCACACTTGATACTACGTAGGACTTTGGGAATATTACATGGGAATCTTTGCAACAATCGAGTAAAGCAAGCTTCGAGGCTCTCAGATTAACGTTTAGCATGGTGGCAACCACGCAGCCCAACACGATCGGACGCATGGCATAAAGTCATACTGCAGGTGCAGACGCGTAGGCCTTTCAGTCGCGTAAAACCATAATCACGCGTCTACTAGCGTCTTGTGCATGCACGAGCTCGCCAGATTACCTAAATCGAATTAGAGACCTATCATTCGACTTCAGGATGACTCGTAAGAGGCTTTATCAGAACAGTCGAAAGGTCTATCCGATGCTCGGAAGTATGTACGTTAGACCCAGGCGCAGGTCTGAGCGTAAACTTGAGGTATATGAAAAAAAAAATTATTGACCAGTACTTGCACGGTACCGGCGTCAAGATAGCACGTTTCATGTAGAGCCTAGGACACGAGGCTCGACAATGAGATGGAAGCCAAGATAAGTAGCTCATCAAGTTCTCACGGTGCCTCGGTCAGGGTAACCCCGAGTACACAAGGTTCTTTTCACATTCTCTCCAATGTTTGAACCAATTCGGGGAGGCACTCGAGGAGGCCAGGCAGAGTTCAAATGGACGGATGTCTCCGCAGACAAAGACAGAGAGGTTCGTCGACTCTTACCATCTTTATCCTAGTCATGTTGATCGTCAAGTAGAACTATCTGGGTCACAGTATCAATGCCCCGACCGGAAGATGGCAGAAGAACAAAGATGTTCACTGGTATAATAGAGATATCAAGTCTGATTCTGAGAGGCAAGAAGAGATAAGAAAGATCAAGGAGGCAGAAGCAGAGGCCCTTGCTGCAGCACTGTGAGTGTTATCCTTAACATCTCAGTCCCATATTGAACGACTTTCTCAGTGGGTTTGCCGCTGCACCATCTGGTAGCATTCCTGTTGTAAAAGCTTCCTCGAGCGTTCAATCAGGACCGGCACAAGCCCTTGCTGCAGATGGTGAACAGCCTCCTTCAGAGAAAGAGGAAAAGCGCCGTAAGAAAGCAGAAAGGAGGGAACAAAAAAAAGCTCGCAAAGAGGCACATCGAGAGTCTCGCCATGCCGATTACGAACAACGTTCCCGCAGAGATCGGACCCGTTCACGTTCACCTAAACCCAGCAAAGACGCTGATCACGGCAGGCGTCGATACCCGCGGCGCAGTCGTTCGCCCCTACCACCTAATCGTTCACCTCATGCTCCTCGACATGTGAAAGATTACGACGAAGGTGCACGCGAAAGGGAACGTGAAGGAGACCGGCGGCGATGGGACTTTAATCAAAGGGACAGACTAAGTACCCGTCATGAACGAGATTAACTCGGTTGAGTCTTCTTCAAGAAATATGTCATGCTACCTAAGCAGGCTGTCCTACTAGTATGTTCATATATCACGCACTTAGAACCTTGCAATGCATCTGCCCCGCACTAGCTCATCAAATTTCGTCTTCTCGGGGAAGAATCATGGCACCGGCCGCTAATGACCGAATATTTGGAACTTATGTGCCGTAACGAAGATGCCCTTCTAGGTATTGTCAACTGCAGTACGTCCTGAGATTGGCCAAGTTTAGGCTGCACGCTAATATGTGCGCATTGGGGCCACACCATTGCAGCATGGGACTGTCAATCGGGGATCAAATGCGTGAAGATCCATGGATCTCTTGATGACGAATTGGCGTGCATGTCGGTCATGCCTGAGATTTCTTGGCCACAGATCTGTATTCAATTTCGAGATTTCGAGATATTCCCCATGCGATAATCACGCCCTATCACTCGTTCCGATTCATGCCTCACCTGACTCTGCCTCGTTGCATGCCCCAGCGCTTGGCAAACGTGCTGGTGCTAGAGCCAAAATGCATTAGATCTGTGCTATTTCGTATGAAACATAAATTAGGTAAAACCACGCTGGTCGCATGATTTCAGGTTCATCGACCGTGAACAAGGTGAAACCTAATGAAATTTAGGCTTTGTCTCTATTTACCCTTGAGGTCAGTCCTCCTTGGTACGTCATGACAGGCACGGATGTTATTAATTTCAATCTGGTCTTCGTGGATAGTGTGCATGACGAACACCTTGCCTGATCCTTGATCTACGCTTCCTCTTTCGCATGTCTTCCAATCCTTCTGGCTCTATCGGTCAGTCCGAGGTCGCGCGTTCGAACTCAACGTGCCCATCTCATAAATTTACCGCTTAACGGTCTTTTTTTTATATCTCGGCTATACGACAATGCGAATCTGTCCTATCTACCGCCCGGATACCATGACGGTCTTCTGATATGTCAGGCTGCCGAAATAGGCTGACGGCTTGCCATGTCTAACTTGCAGAAATACCTGAGGCGCGGCTGAATTTCTCCTTCATCATCCCCTCGCCAAAACCTTTCAACCTGTCTGTCTTTCGCTCACCATCATGACCAGCTATGGAATGCCATACCTCTTGGAGGACAAGACGGGCAGGCTGACAGGATCACACTTCGTGGACATCAATGATCGTTTACGCTTGACGCTTCGATGCACTGCTCGGGAATCTACACACACGACTTACAAAATTTACAACGCAGCAACAGGGACAGATCCAGTCGTGATCCTAAATTTTGGCTCTAACAACTCCCTCGGAACAATAACTTTTGGGTCAGGGCCACAGGTATCCATGAACAGCTTCCTAGAACATTCTGCCAATGAGAGGTGAGTCTAGACCACGCGTGCTTTTTTTCCCGAGCTTATCTATCATCTAGCGCAAGGTCAAGGAAGTTCATTGGCTCAGATGGCCAACAGTACAGATGGGGTTGGCGAACCACGCAGAGCGAGGAGTGGACGGTACGTACTAATTCACACGTGCTTTTTCACGTCTTACGCATAATTCTTAGTGCACAAACACAAGCAACCAGCAAGTCGCGTCTTATTCGTTGAAAGTACCCGGAGAACCAGAATACGACCACTCCTCTGGGTGCGTGCTTACCATTGAGGAGGCGTATCCGCACCTCGCAGCCGGTATGCCCCATTTTTCAATTATCTAGCTGAACGACGCTGATTTGGGGTGTACAGAGATGCTAGCGTCCCTTACAATAATGAGGCATATAGTTGCCCATAACCTTTGATATTTTTTTGACGACCAACGCCTGGAATTTTGAAGCTGTACTACTACATTCGTACTTTATTCTTGTATATTGTAGCATATCATTTTGAGTTGTGCATACCGTAGTCGTCGTACCATGTTCTTGAGGGGGGAATGCAATGTGTGAGACAAGTCGACTTGGGGCTGTCTGCATATGTGATGCCTGACGCATTTGAAACTCCGCCCATGCCGGTACCGTGTACCCCTATAGCACGCTTTAGAAGCGTTGTATCGCAAGCAGCCTTTCGTTGGCAGAATTCTATGAGTAGTAGTACGGCAGGCTGCGAAGGATCGATTTAGTCATCAATTCTACAGTTTAGAAGTCATACTCATGAGTGTGCCCAGACCTCTTGCGTCCTCCTTCATAAGTGATAATATTAACGCACCGATAAGATCTACAACAACTCGGGGCAGACCAATTTTACTTGAATAACATCACTCAGCAACGATCTCTCCGGCGGAGCAGGGCGAGACATGGGCAGGTCCTGGCGCAGAGTCCTGGCTCGTAGTCGGTAGTCCTCGCGCGAGTCGTAGTCTGTCCTCGATAGATAGAGCCGTAGCCTCCCGCTATAGAGGTTTGGCCTTGATTCCCTTGCAGTCCTTCCCGCTACACCGGACCGGAATCTATATGTGGATCGACACAGCATTCATGATACTGGAGCTTGACTGGAGCGATAGAGCAACTGCTGGCCGACGGTATCGCAATTTGAGGTTGGTGAAATATATTGTTTTTGGAATTTGAGTGTAATAACTAAGGACTTGGTCGCTTAATCTGTTGATGATAAAATCGCAGTAGTGGGCTCGCTCTTCACCATGATGGGATGTGGATGTTATCGTGTTGTCAAATATCATTCGTGGCACAGTTCCGTAGTTCCGCCAGCAGAATTGACCTCGAGCAATCCTGCCCCTACATCTGCCGCACAAAAAAAGGAAAAGTCCGCTACCGCGACGACGCCTTTGAGTAATCGGGGCAGCAGAAATATTAGGCTTGCATGTGCGAGAAGGGATATTGCAGATGAACTGACAAAGCTTCAGTCCAGTGAAAGAGAATGCGGACGATAATTCAAGCACGAACCAAAGCTTGCGGAAAGATGATGAAGACCGGGAAGTGTCTGGACTGGTCGTGAGAGAATGCCTACAGGTCAGAGAGTGAAATACATGAGTGAATATTCATAGCCAGGTTAGTTTGTCGACCTGTGGATAAGTAGGACAAGAGGCGATAATGAGGCGATACGATCGATAAGGGTGGGCTAGAATATATTAATCAAGGGAAGACAAATGCATGCAAACGGCAAGATATGCCCCAAGGTTGTTGGAAAAATCCGAGTAGAAAATCAATTTGCAAGTCAGTGCCAGATTGTTCAAACGTTGGACGTGCCTCCGAATCGGAGAGAACCTTGTAGGTCCTTTTATCTATCACTCCATAAAGATATTTGTCCGTGCTTTCTGCTGGAGCAAGTTCTGGCGGTATTCTTTGGTGACTTAGGATGATGAATATATCCGCCAATCTTATCGACTCACTGATGCTGTTTCGCTTTGAGCATTTCTTTGAGATTTTGACCCCATCAATCAAATGAGTGTGCATCCAATGTATATTCAGGAGCGTTGCTCCCGAGTGAATGGAAAATGCGTTCTTTGTCATTATGTTAGATCCTCTCGTACTCCAAGTCGTCATGCCACAAGTCCATAAGATGACAACCAAGAAGCGTGCATGTAATGCGGAGGGGACGCCGATAGCGACCATATCATAGGTGTTTCTCAATGGTGCAACAGCCTTCCGTAAACAGAAGCGCGCCCAGTTGTTGTCTGAGATAATGACAAAAAACCCAACTCGTTTGGCAACTGTGCAGTAATTGCAAAGCTATATGAAATTCGGATCCCTCGTGGAGTTAGCTCTGGAAGTTCTTTGATGTGCGATGGACCAGGCCAGTATAGTTTTTGACGTCGCCGAAAGCCATGATAGGGAATCACCGTCCTTTTGTAGTGTCCGGTTCGGCCAGTGAGGGTAGAGTGCCGATCGGTCGCAAGTGTATATGGTATGCACTGCGGTATGTCCCGTCCACGTTTAAGGTTACTGTTTTTCATTTCTTGTCACAGCGCTCATGAACTAGAACCCCATAGACTTACCATGCCCGGTGACCTTGCCAAAGGAGGACGCAACACGCATATAGAGTGCCACACTAGGATATTAGAAGCATAGTTAAGCTTCAATGGATGTCCATGAGTTGAGTCTTGAGATGGGTGCTTCTTTCTTTTCCACCTTCCGACAAAATGGTTAGGACCTAATGGACATAACTCTAAAAACCGGTTCGGCATCCTGCGGAGTCCATGGCTGAAGCGCTGACGCGTGACGCGCGCGCTGCCACGCTCATCTAAAATCGTCAGCACACAAGCGTCATACGGATAGCAAGGCTCTGCGGCAAAAGCCGTGGCAACGAACTTTGTTGGGCGTTAACCTGAAAATCGTGGGGATGTCAGGGCGCGAAGTCCTGAATCTCCAACATACACAAACTCAAAAGTACTCACGTTTATGGTTCAGTGTTTATGCGTTCATGTTCGAGAATGAACTTAAGTTAGAGCGAGTGATGCGCAATGATCCGCCAGGTCTGCGCATGCGAGATTTTTCCTGTGAAACTTCGGGCCTTCAGGGCTGGCTGCCGTTCCCTTAACAGCTCATAGTACCTGCGGATCGTGTCATTTTTGAGCTCATCGTCGGAGGGACATGTATAGTATCTAGCACGGAACGCACCTGAGTCGGCTCTTAATTTCATACGTATGGGCGCCGATGAGAATGGAAAACCGACCACCGCGCTGCAGCTGCCTTATTGCGGAAATAAATACTCAAATTGCTAGGCTATTGCAACCCTGCCCAGATTTTCTTGTGCATCACCCATGTCTAGTCATCGTCGTGCCCACCGTCAACCACAATTTTTTGTATTGCTGGTGATGTCGTAATGTTGTCACCAATGCCTCTACATCCAAGCACAAATTTATTGGCGTATAGCTAATGTTTGATAGAAGCAGAATTATATATTTCTGTCGTTATCATGGATGATTTCACTGATGGTTTAGAACGCAGTGCGGGGGATACAGGAAATCCAGGATTGAGACATCACGCCGCCAAAGATAATAGAAAACTCATGGTCCCAGATCTGTACCGTTATTTCAGTGTATCTCAATCAAAGATAGTTGTGACGAAAACATTGACTAACGAATCGGCCCGTAACATTTGTATGGGCAAATACCAACCAGGCGTAGCATGAAATTAGATCCGGCAGACATCGACTATGCGGAACAATCCTTGCAGCACCCCGCAGAAACACATGCAAGGGTTATATGCTACCTTACACGGACGACCAAGTTCCGCCATGAACATGCAGATTTTAGAAAAAAATGATGTGGAGCATTCAGTCTCCCCAGGAACACGATATAGCACCAGCGTCACGAATCGTGAAATCCTCGGTATGTATGACATTGACATCACAAGACGGCTTGGAGAGAAACCGAGTTAGGGTCACAGGATGTAAACCATAGATTAAGAACTTACGCTATCAGACGAATTACTTGCATTCCCATCAGGAGCATGGGTCTGTGGACGAGGTGTCAGTGCATCGTTATCTTCAGCCACATTGTTATGTTCTTCGTCATCCTCGCCAGGATGAGAAATGTGGTCAGCACTGACAACCATCACTCGTCCATGTTCGATCCCACGTCCTGGTCGCCCTCGAGAGATGCCATTAATTGCCCTATTTGCAACATTGCTCACAGCAGTCGATACAAGCCTAACATTTAATATGGGCTTGTACGGATCGCCTCTCCCTTCCACTGCATCATTACTCTGAGAAGCGGAACGTTCCGCATCCCGGTGTAGCGAAGTGCTCGAATACCTCGTGTGTAACGAATCACGTGCGGGAGATCGCGAGGCCCGCCGACTGCTATCCAAGGTTCCGCCTGAGACACTACGGGACGGAGGTTCACCGAGTGCCTGATTGTGGAGGTTAAATGGGAAGGCGGCATTCACATTGACCATTTTTCTGTGTGACATGGTCAGAAAGCATGCTGTAGGAGAAGGAAATAACCATTAGGAAGACAGAGGGGACACACCCTTCTTTTGATCGCACGACTGTACCCAACCGCTCTTTTAGCTTCTGATGGTCGACTACCCGTGGCTGAGGTCTGTGCCGACTTTGAGAAATAGACAATGAAGAGTAAGGTGTGACACTTGCGTTGGAGTCTCACTTGCGGTGGTGGCGGGGATTAGAAAGGTGCGTTCATCGGGAACCGTCTACTGGATTGTTGAGTATATTGATTCCATGAGCTGTTTCATTGTACATACTAAGTTGCGCCGACGTTGACGAACACAACATGAGAACAAGAAATTGAACATGGATGAGGCAAGACACGAGGACAGTTGTATTCCCGAATACAGAGGATACCATATATAGCAATTTCGGTACCAATTGTGATGGTTTACGATTAGAGAGTTTCGAGCTCGCGGCTTGCAGGCAAAGCTGTATAGAACGTGGCATATGTAGTAACAGTTCGACTGGTGGACTTATTCTGTGGAGGAGAAGCATGTCCATAAAGTTGTTCTGCACGGCAGTTTAATGCCAGGTTTCACAGCCACCTTTCAATTTAACCTATGATTTAGCATAAGTATGCTAATTTGGCTTATCAGGAAAGCATGCGCCTGTGAAACCAAAGGCGCCCAGTGAGTGTCGGTAGGTACCTTGCTTGCATGGTACCTGCTCGCACTCCTGTTACGTTCCGACTTGGGATGGGACATTGTAGTCGCACAAATAGCATCTGATGTTATGTTTTCATGGAAGTGGCATTCGGTGAAGTTATGCCGTCCTCTTATATGGGCCTGCACGAGGTTAACGAGAGGACGGTGATCGCACCTGGTAGGATTTGACGTAAGTAACAACATTTGGAATCACATATGTAAGGGACTCCACACACCAAGATCTCAGAGAATCCCCCGCGCTGACGTGTCTAGCCGTGATCAAAATCAGCCTAAATGAGCTGTTTGGTGCGATGTGACCGCAGTTCTGCATCTATGTGGGGTATCCAAGCGTAAGGGGTATCTAATCCCCTCAATCGCAGATTTACGACGAGGAACTTAACAGCGCTTAAGTATCTTTTGTACTCATGTACGGTACCTTCCAAATTTAGCACGGCTATCCGGCTAATTTTAAAGTTTTCAGACGTGGCACAATCACGCTGAGGCCATTCGACGGTCGTTAATCGTCGCGGGAAGGTGCGGTCGGAAGTCCGATTGACAAGTAGAATGATCAACTGACCCTGAGGGGGAGGGGGGGTGTCTGACACAAAGAAGGTCGGGCGCCGTAAGAGAGATTGATGATGAATTTGGGAGTGGCAATCAAATTTGGTAATTCGTGCAAAGAACAAAAGTAGAGAAAAAATTAGAGTTTTGTTCGGAACACCTGACAACCAGGCACGAGTACACGGTGCTCAAGAAATCATGCGGCCCCGAAGTTGCGTCGTGGGTATGAATATGATGGAAAAAAGCAAGTTGCACCCAGCACAAGATTTTCCCCCTTTTTCGAGATATAAAATATAAAAATATGATAAATATATGTCGTATGTATCAAGATTTGATAATCATTGAGCTTGCCGTGGGCATGTGTTCCCCTTAGCAAGCACTTTCTCCTTCAAGTTTTACAACTAAGTCTCGCGTGGCAAAGCATCGAAAACCAGTGCCGTATTACCAGTTTCCATTTTCCTTCTAAACTCTCATCCCCCTTCTTTCAGTACTTATGGTCATCAGCACGGACAGCGATATCTACACTCCATTTCCGCAAAGCGTAATGATGGAGGACGGTCCTCAGTCCAGTGAGGATGGCTCCGGCCTACACTCACCCATCTTCGGGGCTCAATTTCCTCAGCCGCACGGAGACAGTAAGTTTTATCAGAACTCGTACTCTTTTCAAAACAACGTTAATCGTCATTTCACATGTTGTCCACAATAAAGTCCGCTATCATCAAGATCAACTAGATATACAACATGCAGCGGGTATCCTAGCCTCTCAGTTCGATTACCCCAATATCAACATCCACCCACACCCTCATCTTCTCGAAACTCCTTTGAATATTCACTCAAATCAGAATCCTCACCACCACAATTCATATCAGTCCGAGTCTTTCCTTACACAAAGAAATCATCTTGGTCTTGACATACCGCCCCATGCCTACCCTCACACCCGCCTTCCGCCCCCTCCAGCTCATGGCCCCGCCGTCAATTTGTCTTACCAAGGTCCCCCAAATCGCAGATATTCTCCCGAGGACTTGCGCCCACATTCTTATTCCTCAGGTGGTGGCTCAACACAACCCCCTGTAATACAAACTCCAGAGAGCACTCGATCCTCGGTCCCAATCTCAGAGTCAACCCCTCAACCTCAACCAGCAGCATCCACTTCCCAAGATCCGCCCCGCAGGGAAATTTCGAATCAAGTAATAGCTTGTCGGCAATGGTGCGTTCATTCTTATCCTTATTTCAGGCTGCTCATTCACGTGGTTGCTAAGTCGTGCGAGGAAAATTCGCTGCGACTCCACGAGACCAATTTGTCATAATTGTGTGCGCCGCTCGAATGAATGCCAATACGATGCAGCACCTAAACGGCGAGGGCCTGATAAAAGGCCAGGCACTCGCCAGCGCTCGTGTAAGAAACGTCCGACCGATGGTTCGTCCCCTCCTTCCCTTCCGTCCAAGCGGAAACGCACTTCGGTCAGGAATGACGACTTCGAGCTCCCGCGGGAGTCTCGCGGACTTGCCAATGTTCCTGTTTTACAACCTAATGGTGATAGAATTCGACTTCAACCCTCACTTTCACCTGCTGGGCCTGATTTTTCTTCGTCTATGCAAACGCGTGCAGCCTCAGACGACAGTTATCCGGTATGTTCATCTTATCGCACCTTTCCATCTGCCAAATAATTTTTGACTCGATCGCTTCTTGTCCAGCATCAAGTGGAGAAGTACCGCGTACCATCAACGCCCTCCCTACAATATAGTCGCAAGGAGTGGTGGGATAATTTGGCCATGAGCTACTCCGCTTCTCGGGATCAGTCGTACGTCATCTGCATTCTCGATTGCATGAATAGAACTAATTAATCATGTCTTATTTATCAGTTTAAAGGACATAGCATCAGATCTTTCAACATTGTAGGTCATCGACTGGTGACTCAGTTGGTTTGATTTAATCTTTGCCAAGGTTCACCGCTAGCGGGTATTGGTTATCATTCGTGAATGTTCCAGATTTCGTTCACAGCCTGTACAACCCTGAAGAACGTTCGCTTATGCAACCCTCACTTGTTTTTGCGGGGTTAGCTTTAGCAACCCTAATGAAATCGAGTGAGATGGAACTAGGGTCTGCAGGTCGCGAGCGCGCTGTCTGGCTTCGTGATAAGGCGCAGGCTTGGCTCGAAGCGTCATTGAATTCGCAATGGATAGACATCACCCTTGCGAAGGCTGCTCTTGTAAGTGTGCTTCCTGCTTCCCCTCTCAATCGCTGCTTACGTTCTATCCAGATTATCGCTGTGTATGAATCCTCGGCTCACCCACTCTATACCGTTGAACGTGCGAGACGCTCTCTAGCATATCTCGATGGAATTGTCCGCCAATTAGGCCTGACGTTCCTGGACGGCAATGAGCCAGATGTATCGACCTTCACCCCTAACGCTGTACCCATTGCTCACGGACGCCGTCCTTTTGACCAAATATCCAAGGACGGGGTCCGTACCCCTCATGCAATGTCTCGCAAGTGCGACTGTATCCCCCTTCCAAATTCATCTATCGCTACGGAGCAGTTTTCGTCATCATGGTCTTTCACGCCATCTTGGGATCCCTCATGGACCCCTGAGGAGATGCACAAGGAATCTTGCAGGAGGCTGTGTTGGAGCGCCCTTCACCTCGTGGCCAGGTACACGTCACATTGCATCGCGTTCCAGAAAGAGCCGAGCGACCTTTTTCTAACCGATCCTTCCAACGTTTGTTCCTTGTCCATGCATTTAGCTTAGGCTGACGGTCGTGCAGTTCCGGTTACTGTTCCCTGGTGAGATTTCACAACGAGGGTCCAACGAGCACAAGGCGCAGTCTTCGAAAGAATCAATATGGGCACTCTATTGCCGCAGCATGCTCCTTTGGATTTTCTGTACCACTCGTCTCCGGAAAAACGCTTTTAGCAGCACAGAGACAACCGACCTTGCAGTTGAAGCTTGGTCAGAAACCCTTGAGATTCAGGATGCCTTGGATACCCACACTTGCAACCTCGATATGACATTGTTATACATGTGTCGGGAGTACGTCTACAAGTACGTATATTTTACCTGCTTACTGTTTTCCATTGACGATAACAATTTTCTGCAGCACACAGATCATAATTACTCAGATTCTACGAGCGCAAGTACCTTTTTTTGGTATGACGTCAGACATACTGATGGTGGCGTATCTAGTGGCCACGCGGAGGCTGGAAATTCCCCTCAGTTCAACCGCAAACAGGCTGAGCAGTGGCGTAAGTGGCTCTATTTCCGCGATGTGTCGATTGATTGTGACGTCGGCGATGGCAGTGTACTACCAGAGCCTTTTCATCCGCAGAGTTAAAATGTCAATTCACCATCTCGGGGATCAAGATGGCCATCTTTTCACTAGGCAGCCGTTCCAGGTTACTTGGTTTGCAAGCCAAGTAGCAACGTAAGTCCAAGATGCATTCAGAGACACAAACCTGCTCAATACGGAATCCATACCACAGATGTCTTTCTTTGTGGGAAGAGGACAAGTCACATCTTGATGCTTTGGAAGTTGCTAAAGACATCATAGTACCAGTCGACGTGCTGAATACGTTGTGGCCTTGCCCAAGTTAGTTTTATAAGTTTCTCATCATTGTCACTGATCTGATGGGGATTCTTAGTGTTATTGAGTAAATGCGACGACTTGCGTAAGCGGGTGACAGAAGCTTGCCACTCCGTCAACATCACTGCGCCGCTGCCACCCAACTGTTCGCTCCCTCCACTTCTACGGGGTGGCGCATGAACCATCTCGGATTCAACATCTCATACCCAATGCCTCTTCTCCTACGATCCATCACAAATATTGCTCCCCTGTTAGTTTACGCCAGATGCTATGTCAATATTGTTTCGCTTTTGCAGCGTTGGTTATTACTGTATTCAATCTCCCTTACTCTTTTTTTCTTCATAATTCGGTCAAGCTTCGCAATAATTTACATCATCTGATGGTTTCGAAACCTGTTTGTATTGTACCACTTCCGATACCCCATCGATTGTCAATTTAGTTTGTTGCCTGTTTTTCAATAATATTATTGACGACGTATTACCCCCGCGCGGAGGATGAAGCAAACTTTTTACCTTTTGTGAGTTGAATGCCGAGATGTTTTTTGGGCTTCTTGATTCCGACGTAGTGATTGGATTTACCACTACCAGGTCGATCAGGGGATTAAGAAGCCCATGGAGGCAGTTGGATTTTCCACTTGAGGCTTACGGACACGGCATAATACTCCACACCACTGAAGATTATGATTTCAATGCTGAGTACGTATGTAACGAAATGTTCCATTGTTCATAGTATAATACCAACAGTCCTTTATGAATGCCAGCTTGACATCCGACCCCTGCGCCAATCCCCTCCCGAATCAGGTCCACGGGCAGAAGATCTCCCGGATCGTGCGCGGCTTGCATCTTCACGGGATCGCGAGTATGGTAAGGAAGGCACCCGGTAGGTATAGGCATTGATCACGTGCATAGCCCAGACGGATCTGCCCTGCGCGATCGCAGCAAGCTGTGCGCTTGTACGGTCGATGATAGGTCTCAACAGCGCGTCCCTGTACAACTGCCAATCCTCAGGGGTATAATCCCCGCGTCCTTGTCGATCTAGCCAGACAAGCGCATCAAACTTGATCATGAATTCGTTGAAGATGAGCTCTCGCTCTGGCAACAATGTACCACGGACAAATTGGACGCGCGCGGTTTGTTTTTCATAGTGCCACTGGGGACTAACATGAGCCGGGATGCCTATTTGAAGATCACAGGCCATGAAATAGGCTTTATCCCGCTGACGAACGAGGGCCATGTCATTCCCTATGAGACTCCGGAAGAGAGCCATTGATATGAGTGAGCGTTCATCCGAGATAAATTTTTGTTTGAACACGTGAGGAGGTACCAATTCTGCAATGTCTAGCAGGTAACGTTGTGTGCACATCGGCAGCTGCATAAAGCTGAGACCTGAAAGGGCGTAGGGAAGTGGTTCGTAGACCGGGACGGAAAATGCGGGCATCATAGCGGGAAATCGTTAGAGATAGGAGAGATATGATGATGGATACAAGATAATACAGCAGTCGCACTGAGACAATGGTTTGTGCCACCATGATGCGACCTAGCTTTATAGTCGAGAGGTGTGGCTACTGACTGCCATAGTCACAGCACATTGACAAGCGCTATCCAAGCTGCAGAAAAAAGATGATAAAGGGATCCTAGTGGATTCTAGTGGTCTGTGGGGCTTGTGGACTAAGCAACAAGCTTTGAGGAAACCAAGCAGACAGCATTGATCAAGATGGACATTAAATTTGAAGCTCCGCAAGTCCACCAGGAATGAGTGGTTACAGCGGCAAATGCCGAATGCTAGTGGTTAGCTAGCCATGTTTTTGGTAGTGATCTATGGACTCGTATTGGCCTTGCCCCTTCTATATCTTGTACAACAACGCACCTTATCGTCATCGCACCAGTCTCCACCAGTAGACTCAAAACCAGAAGAGAAGAAGTCTCTTAAGACCATCATGCAACCACCTAGGGACGACCTCGACCCCCCGAAGGATGACCCCTTCACCCTCGATCAACTCAAGGAGTTCGACTGGCTCCGACAATTCGAAGCCGATCTATGTATCCATTAAGGGTCTGTCCTCGGGTGTATGGGCTGATGATCCTTTTGCTCACTTCTAGTAGGCACTGTCTTTGATGTTACACGTAAAAGCGACGTGTACGGTCCCGGAAAATCATACAACATCTTCGCCGGGAGGGACGGCTCAAAGGGGCTTGGAATGTCCAGTTTGAATCCAGAGGACGCTGTACCAGACTACAGCGACTTACCAGAGAACGAGAAGAACGTTCTCAATGACTGGTTTTTATTTTTCCAGTACGTCCCGAAACAGGTTCGCTCAAACAAACATGTCATGGCGCTTATCTTCGCCTAACAGGAAACGATACAACATTGTCGGACGCGTTACAGATATGCCTACTTCAGTTTCTAATCTCGCTAATCTATAGCCATCACCCAAATCGATAAATCTTTGAGCTCTATTGCCGCATTTTGCTATAATAGTCGTTCAAACGAACGTGTACTATTGCATTATATCCCTATCATGCATTTTCACGAATACCTTTTGACAGAAATTTGATTTAGTCGTTCGCCAGCAAGTCGTCGGAACATTGTCCTAGTTACAGTGTCATCACCTGCCATCTGTGGGTATGATTCTGCTCGCCAGCGGCTGTGTGGCGTTCCACACGCCCTATATAGTGACATCTACATTTTGGAATCATCAGCAGACCCACGATGCGTGGTCTGGGACAGAAATGGATGCTCGACTATGCTTGAAAGGTGAATAAGATTCTGCCAGTACCTGTGCAACGAGCTCAACCTGCCCGCTGACACGGGCGCCTAACTAAATCCTATGCCTCCTCGGGAATGGTGCTTTACGGCGTCCGTAGATATCAGAATGCGCCATCAGTCGCCATCTTGATTCTTCTACTCCAAATGCTGCGCCGTTACAATCGAGAACATCAAGATCTCATGCACATGACAGTTACTTATCAAATTCGTGCTATACTTGGATTCGGTGGTGTAAACCTGCCACTAATGGCATGGCAGGACACCGCTCTTGTGATAACCCAATCATCCCACAGAGCCCAACGTGCTCGCGGATCCAACGCCGCTGCCCACTCTTAAGCGTGTGGTGTATAGATGGACGACTGATGGGGTTCTGTAAGCGAGCCATGTGCTGTTGTCTTACAATGATATTATCCTTAGCTCCGCATCAGGCTAAAATAAATCACCCATGGCCAAACACCCGGTTGCGTTGCCTGAATTTCTGATGAATTCAATCCCAAAGAATTAACGAGCGGTCAAGATAAGGTCTCCAATTACATAGGAATCGTATAAGAAGGGTATACTAGGTTTTGATCAATCCACGCTTCGGTAGAAAGAAGTGAGAGGAAGAGGGAAATGACACAACGATATAAAACACTCCTACGAACCAATCATAATACGTGTATGTTCAGAAGAGCGCACAGAACGATGATAGACGTGGGGATCTCAAAATAAGAGGACTGGATAGCCAAGATGTAGAGGTGTGAATGTCTGATGCGATGAAAGCTGGGAGAGCGAACTGCATGCGCGAGAGGCAGATGATGCATTGGGATAAAACAAAGACCAAAGGGAGAAGAGTGGTGCTGTGTGTGTCATCACAGCAGACCACATTCACGAAGATGAATCTGTAGCAGAATATCTTGAATAGCACTCAATACAACTACAAAGCATGGCAGAGTCAGTTTGTGTAAGACACGTAAGGGGAGGGGTTCTTACATCTGATTTGTTGAGTATCCGTTGCGCAAGTATAATGGGCGTATATTTGCTTGGTTGCCGCATTCTGATTGAGCGCAACGAAGCGGTGAAGCAAATAATCGCAAGCGGCATCATAGTTGTCGCCGCCACTGTAGTCTGGGAAGTAGTCACCAAGCGGTGAGTGTGGGAGTTTCTCAGCGAACAAGTCGATTTTGTTCAAGAACAAGATCTGTGGCAGGGAATAAGTATGTAATACGCCACGAGGTAGAAGTACGTACAATTGATGTCTTGACAAACCACCGTGAATTGCATATCGAGTCGAAGAGAGTCAGGGCCTCCTGCATGCGATTCTGTGGACGTAATCAATCTGAAAGGAGATACACTAATAAGGAGCTTTGGACTTACAACACTCTCATCTTCATACAACATTTGATCGTACTCGCTCAGGGATACCAGAAATACCAACGCTGTGACGTTCTCGAAGCAGTGAATCCACTTCTTACGTTCACTCCGTTGACCTCCGACATCAAAGAGTTTGTACGTAAGTTCGCCGACCTTGAATGTGGTTTCGGTGATACCAGTGGTCTTCACTCTACTCCGCAAGATATCTTGATCCGTCGGCAAGTACCCTGGTCCGCACATGCGGTCGATTGCGTTGAAGTAGTAGACAGCAGAATCATTCAACTGGAACTCCCGTGACCGACGAACAGCCTCTTTGACACCCGAGTCTCGCCAAAGTCCTCGAATGGCGTCGGCGACATCCCTTGGGAGCACATCACCCTCAATCTGGCCAGGAAGAGCGAGAATTATGGCACGACGAGCATCATTCTGTGGTGATAAAGATATATCGAGCTGAGGCATAGCCTCAAGAATGGCGCTAGAAGATCTTTCAGGTTACAATCGAGTTTCAACCGGGTGATGATACGCACCGCATGGACTGAACGGTGTTTGAGTAAATGATTTCTTTGTAGGAATCCCGTTCAGAGTCGTTATAGCCGCCATGATGGATGAGTTTCATCTGCTTGAGGACGGTAGACTACGAAAACACAGTTCTTCAGCGATGTGTTCGGAGTGGTCAATGAGTAATTGACCTTTCCTGACTCTCCTGCTCCTAACAGCAACATTTTAATTTCATTCTTGGCCATCATTCGATCTCGTCTGAGTTGGTTTTCAATCTCATCGTTGCCTACAGAAAACGAATTCAAGTCAGGTATCGTTAGGATGAAGGGCGTTGTAACACGCACGAGCCTTGGCCTCGCTGTCAACGGCAGTAGATTGAACACAACCCATGTTTGGGAAAGGAGGAGGTGCGTGAATAGAAAAAGAGGAACAATGTGGACAAGAAGACAGTAGAAGTAAAGATCAAAAGTTTCGAAGGAGCGGGGTGATCCAACAATAATTAGTGGGAAGTCAGCAAGCAAAAGAAGAAACCAATAGCATGGTCAACAGTCCCCGAATTTATTATATTTGCTTAATTATTTTTCACGGCATCGTACTTCGGCATCTAGAACTCTGACAGCATATCCCATACATAATCAACATGCAAACTACTGCATAGTAAAAGTGTGTAAGTATTCGGTTCGCAACTTCAAGTCTAGACTCAGAGCAGAATGTTCGAGAGCTTGTACAGTTATAACTTATCCACGCGTACATATGCAAATAGACAATGGCATTGACAAGCTACAGCCATCGCCTGGACCATTAGTGGGAACATTGTACCTGGTAATAATTCGGTGCTTGTAGTAGATGTAGTTTTAGTTTTTTGATAGACATTCTCAGTCAAGAGCAATGGTCCAATAGCATTAAAGTACTTGTAATGGTATACCAAGAGACCTTTGCACATCAACATATGTGGCACTAACCCCGTAAAAGGTTCATGCGGAAAAAAAAAAGTTAAGTTGAGGGGAGCCCTGGTAACTGTCGGCCGCTGCTCACAGTGACGGGACTCCGCCCATGACAGGAAGTGACAAGCCTTGCCGCCAAAATTATGTAATATTTTATGTATTGCTAATAGAACTTCCTATCACCATTAGATCACGTGCCGGACTACGACCCTTCTTCAACCAAAAGGATGGCCCAAGAGATGTCTGCTGAGGAACCTTGTAACCGTCCTGGAATTCGGGACGCGGTTCTTCCAATTTTCAACCCCGAAGCTGCAGTATACGATCCCCCACCGCCATACCCATCCCAAGGACGGCGCCCACGCGCGACTCGACATAGTCGGAGACATCACTTACCAGCGCCATTATCGCCGCAGCCTCTAGATTCAGATCGTGCTTCAGGACATATTTCCCCTCAATTATCGGTCTCAAATCATTCATTCCCTCGCACTGAAGATGCCACAGAGCAAACACCGCTACTAAGTGATTTTCTGCCAGGCTTTGCCCAACGTTCGCCGGGACGCCAGAGAACATATTCGCAGTCGAGCACAATTGTTTCGTCCAATTCATTTGTGCCCTCTTTAGCGCAAACAGTGCTATCACTACTCCATTCTGATCCAGATATAGAATCGGACGTTGACATATATGAGGCAATCGGGGACGACCGTGACTATCCGTATGCACACGATGGTCATCAGAGGCGTCAGCAACGTCCCGGTGCAACAATAGAATCACAATCTGGAAGCTCGCACCGGTTGTCACTGTTTTCGCGGCGTTTCTGGTCTCGTTACTTCAGACCCATGACTCGCAGAGCATACCATGCTGCTGTATTCCATCTTCTAGTGATCAATTTTCCCTATGCCCTTCTTGCATGGGTTTACCTTTTTGTGTTTACTTTGGTGAGCATTTTGTTCTACCCTCTATTTTTCCTTCTCCTGGCGTTCAGTTTGGAATCAAAAATTCTGACCGGCCTTTGTAGGTTGGTACAACGTTATTAATTGCCTTGCCTTTGGGTGCTCTCCTATGTTTCCTTAATTTGCTCGGTGCCAGGGCGTTTGCGAGGGGAGAAGTGCGTCTCGCTTCCGTCTTAAATTTCAAATTGAATATGAAACTGGATCACTCGTAGCTTGGTCTCCAAACAACATTCCATGGCCCTCTTGCTTACCCAACTCCTTATCCGCCCCTACCTATCTTTCAGCGTGTGCGATCATCTGGCGTAGAATCAGGGTCACCATATCACGAATCTTCATTCTACAAAAACACGATAGCCATGGTATGTCCAATTCGTCTTTCTTCCTCTAGCCAAAAGCCCTCTTACCTCCATTCTTCGACTTCCCATTGTCATAGTTCACGGACTGGACATCCTATCAGGCGTTATTCTATTTCTTGGTTATCAAACCGAGTATCACTTTGTTGCTAACCATCCCCCTGGTGGTAGTGGTCCCTGTGTCTTATGTGCTGGTGTTTCCTGCCCCAATGGTCCTCAGAATTGTTCGAAAGCTGGGAATATGGCAGGCCAATGTTGCTGTAGAAGGTTTATACTTGGCGGTGTCGTGATCTTCGATTCATCTGCTTAGAGTACACATGTATCTATAGTACGTAGATATTCACTTTTATCAACATGCTGTGAAACATGCTGTGAAGGTGGCGTGACCAAGTTGGGCGCCTAATTTTTGAAGAAGATACCCACGTTCTTAGGCTGACGCGGCTTGACTTGCTTCCTCCTCGTTGCATGAGAATCAGAACAGGACCGTAGTGACAGTCCTCAACTATTTTGTTGCCTCACTCCTCACTATTTGTTTGTCTGTTCCCTAGACGCTAATAGTTTTAAGCTAACTTGTTTGCTCCTTATAGCCTATTTGCACCACACAGTATATCACCTTACAGCGTTTATTAGATACCATCTTCCTCTTATCCTCACACACCCACCTTATTGCCTACATTTCCACTATTTGCACTCAAAGTGTCCTTCCTCGCAGCGTTGGCTTGTCCACTCACCTTGAGACATTACCATTACCATGGACGCTCTCAAGTCGCTCGTGCAACCCCTCGTCGGAGGCGCAGGAGGCTCCTCAGTTATTGACGGCATGAAGCTCGTCGTCCTGGGAGGAACAGTCGAGACAGCCAGAAGGGCCTCTAGCTCAGCTTGGTATGTCCTGAATCATTCTCATCCACCTCCTTGCTGACGACGGCACACATCAAAAGGTCTCATTTCCTCAACTGTAAGGAGTTGTCTGTCATTCAAAGCCTTTTTCTGACACCGTCACACAGCATTCTTCCTCACTGCGCATTTCTCGGAAGAGGATTATCCTTATGATTGGCTCATGCTGTGGCTCTCACGCCGCCCTGAGTGGCAGCGCTCTAGGGAGTTCGAGACCACTACTCGCACCACAACCCCTGGCTTCTCAGGATCTCGCCAAGCAGACAATTCATTTGGCGATGACGAAGAGGAAGAGGGCGACGAAGATTCACCCCCCGGCAAAGTCAAGACACGTGTCGTATTCCAACCGACCTTCGACACCACACATACTATTTATTACAAGGGTCACTGGCTCAGGGTCCGTCGCAGTAAAAAGCAAGACGGTAGCGGATGCGAAGTCTTGTCAATAAGGTAATATTCAAATTCCTTTTCTGACTCATTCTTGGCCTCGTGGCTGATGTATGCTGGCATAACAGCGTTGTCGCGCGGAATAATACCATCCTCAAGCAACTTGTCTTACAAGCCAAGAAGGAGTATGAAGCTGAGGCAATACACAGAATCCAAATCTACTTTGCGGACTCGCACGGTAGCTGGCGGTGGACCGACTCTCGTCATAAACGCCCTATGTCGTCCATTGTTCTCAACCCTGGGGTAAAGGAGATGCTTCTCAACGACACACGTGACTTTTTGAAGTCCGAGAAGGTAATTTCGGTATTTTATCAAAGCCACGTTTCATTCTAATACATTTACAGTGGTACGCGGATCGCGGCATTCCATTCCGCCGCGGCTACCTGTTGCATGGCGTACCTGGCTCCGGAAAGAGCTCCCTTATACATGCCATTGCGGGCGAACTTATGCTTGACATTTACGTTGTGTCACTGTCTTCTTCGTGGATCAGCGATAGTACATTGACCACCCTCATGGGCCGTGTCCCAGCTCGCTGCATCGTGCTTCTCGAGGATCTCGATGCGGCGTTTACGCGCAGTGTCACACGTGATAAGAGCTCCAATGGCACTCCGGACTCATCGAGCAATAGCTCGGAGGAGGGCACTCCGGAACAGCCCGTGACGAGCAGCAGCTCGAGGCACAGACGCCATAAGGACCACATCTCCGATGTAAACACGCTGAGTTTGAGCGGCTTGCTGAACGCCTTGGACGGTGTAGCTGCTGCCGAAGGTCGCATCCTCTTCGCGTAAGTTTGGGATTCTTCTTCGGTTTAGAACACTCTGACGTGCGCTTATAGTACCACTAACCACCTGGAGCGTCTTGACCCTGCGCTCTCACGTCCTGGCCGTATGGATGTTTGGGTTGAGTTCAAGAATTCTTCGAAGTGGCAAGCGGAGGCTCTGTTCCGCAACTTCTTCCCGTCCACGGATCAAGATACTGAAGTCATAGAGGGGGATATCGAAGGAATTGATCTACCCACAACGCCCCAGTCGTCTTCTCCATCACCGTCTTCGCAGTCTTCAACGTTGTGGTCTCTTTCTCCGTCGTTCTCGTCGTCGACGTCATCTCTGGCGTCTTCCAAGGATTCTTCTCCCGCAAAGCCTCCCCGAGATGGCTTTGGTTCCAAAAACCAAGCCTACTTGCCGCCTCCAGTCGAGGAGCATCTCACTGCATGCCAGCACTCCGCCAAGCCTTTGGATGGTGCCAGACTCGCTACGCTCGCGAAAATGTTTGCAGATTCAATCCCAGATGACGAGTTCAGCGTTGCGGCGCTGCAAGGCTGTGAGTTTCTTCTGATTATATGGCGCCCCTTGTGCTTTGATGTTCCTTTCCATCGTGCTTTACTTGGTCTAATGTGGGCGGGGTGGTGAGTGAGGTACAATCATATGCTGACACATCTTTGCACGACTTTAGATCTGCTCAAGAACAAGTCACAACCTGAGGCCGCCGCCAATGGAGCTGCTGCCTGGGTAATCAGCGAGAGGGAGCTCAGGGAACGCTTGAGAAAGGAAAAGGAGGCTCGTGAGCTCAAGGAAAAACTTGATGTGAGTATTCGGGTTGTCCCCTGTTCCCCTGTTTATCCGACTTAACTGACGTACTCTACCTAGCGTGAGAAACGGCGCAAGGAACTCTTGGAAAAGGAGAAGGAGAAGGCTGAGCTTGAGAAGAAAGAACTTGAGCTTGCTAAGCTCAGACAACAGCTCCAGGAACAGGAAGCCAAAGACAAGCCCGAAGCTGACAAGAAGGACGAGATTGTGCCCATTCTAGATCTTTCCGTCGACGATAACAAGGGTGAGCCTTCTACCGATGACGACAGCGATGAGGAGAACGTGCCACCTCCCTCCACTCCACCTGAAGCGGTTTGGATCCAAGTTGCCGACTCGAGTTGACTCTCTGCAGACGGTCCCGTTGCGGTGGATGCATTTGATCCCGATGTTTCCATTTTAGAGCCGATTGTGGCACTCCTGCATGAGGATCCACCTGCACGGGACGTCACACAACCGACGACGCAAACCATCATTACCAGACCAGCTCAAATGGCCAACGTTCTGACGCTGCGTCACGCTGGAGGCTTCATGTTGGTGTATTATATGCTCCATTTCTATTTCATTCATCTCTACGCAATGCTATTACATGTCAATCCCGTTGGGCGGAGGAGGCAGGCTTAGGGGTTCTAGAATGACTTGCGATGCCTTGCTTCTTTCGTTTTGACACTCATACAATCAACTATTCCAAATTCCACTGCATGTTCACAACTGATATCGTCGTTTCTTCCCGGCCCATTGTATATCTTGCTCACCTCCTTCGCACCGGTTCCATTCCTCCACTCGCATCTAATGTTCCTGCAGTGCTGTTATCTTGTTTGGTAGCCTGGTCAATGTATATTCGCACGTTGGACTCTTATCTCTCGCTTGTCAGAAAATTCTCAATGTCCTGAGAAAGAAATCGTTGGCTGTCTACATTTCGATTGCTGACATCCACGTGTTGCAAATTGAACTTTCCATAACTTGGTACAGCGAGGAGCAATATCTAGAATACAGATCTGCTCGCCTCAAGCTCAATATGCGCTAACTTGCTGTGGGAGACCGTTGGGGAAGTATTGTGCGAAAAGGTCCGGGTAGTGACGTTGCGCAACGTCGGGGTGACTCCTGACGGATGATTATTATTAATAGTCACATTCAAACGGTGCATAGCCAATTGGAGAACTTACTTCACTCGCCCGATGAGATTCACTTTTCCAGATGGCTCACGGTCAAACTCTGTGAAGTTGACGGCTGTAGAGCATGCATCAATAATGTCGTGACAAACAAGCAAATGACGAACAGTCAGTCTGAACAGGATCTCCTCGAAGCTGTTTAAGCTGAAGGATCTCAGGTGGGACTGTAAAATGGTGATCAAGGTATGTGAAACAAGTATTTAATCGAAGGCACTCACAGTCTAAGACTTCATCAGCAAGGCAAGCATTCAAACTGATATTCTGGAAAAACGGCACAGAGTAGCGGGGAGTCGAACCCACAGGAGGAGATAAGACGCGGTGCGATGTGGCTCTCGCCAATCCACGGGTAACAAACTCGAGTGCTAGACCGTTTCAACAAAGAAGTCAGAGTTGAAATTAAAAGTGTTGTGCACTGGTAGTTTGCAGCCCACCTACCCTTTCCGATATTCACAACGAACGTTCCTGGGATAGGAGGAACGTCAATCCATTGCCCAGAAAGGTTTTGTACCTGCAGTCCGCGATGAGGGGAAGCGACAAGAAGGAAGGTCAGGAAGCCAGCGTCATAGTGGGGGCCAACGCCTTGATCAGTTAGAGAACCATCATTAGCGGGGTATTTGACGATCTGAAAATAGGTGAATCCTGATCTCCATAGAATACAGTGACCCTCGTTCGATATTTACCTTTCCGCGGTGCTGCATCAATTCATCAGTATCATAAAACTTGTTTAATGCATCGGAAGGAAGACCGAAAGCCTCCGCGAGTAAGCTGATGAATCGGTAGCTCAGGGCCTGAACTTGTTGGAGATATGTCTCCATTGTGTTTTTAAACCCTGGGATAAGATCCTCATCTGGCCACTAAGTGGATTCAGTTCAATTCGGGTAGCTTGAAATGATTAAATACAGAACCCTCACCTGGGAAGGTCCCCACAGGCGCAGATGCTCAGGGGCGCCGGGTTTCCACTGCGTCTCATGAGGTGTTGCGAAGTCAAATTGCTCTCTGTAATCTGTCTTGCCTTTGGTAAATTCCGCACCTAGCTTGGAGTACCCAAGGAAATGCGGTGAATTCGCCATAAAAATCTGGTTCTTGGCCTCCTGGGGAAGGTCAAAGAGTCGGGGAATATAGTCAATTAAATCATTGGTAACTTTCTGTGAGACGGTGTGGTTGTTGAGATACAAGAATCCGACATTTATCAACGCATGTCGAAGCTGCAGGATGAACTCTTGTTTCGTGGCATGATCGGACACGAGAGCAAAGTCGAGGACTGGGACACTAGTGAAGTTAGCTGCCATTGCAAGTTGTGGACAACCGGTCAAACGGAAGAGCGAAGGAGGACTCCGAGTCAGCATGAATTGATGCCATGATCAGCAGGTATAACGCCATCGTGCATGACCACGATTCGAATTCACATTATGACGTTACATTCCGGCCCGCCAATCACAGTGAGAATGCGAAACACAATGTACATTGTACGACTGTTACACCTTTGACTCAGTAAGAAATCTATGACTACCAATCTAAATTGATTAACAAGTAGTGAAAAGTTATTATAATAAAGAAACCATTGGAATGACCAAGGTTAAACAAATAGAAAAATGCAGAAGTATCAACGTCTCTTTGTGTGCAAGTCCCGTCATTGGGATCTGGCAATTCAGAGGCTGGCAGTCTCCTTGACTCCACTAGGAAATAATCACACGACACAGGGGGATACGGTGACTGTTATGCGACGGAGGAGAAAGCGATGTCGTTGGGTATTATTTTGTTTCCAGCTTGACTTTGATCTTGGCTTGACGCTTGCGTCTTTCAAGTAGAAGATAGCTCACTAGCGAAGATACTCTGGTTAGCGATGCCTGATATGCCAATGCCTAGAGAAATGAATCACCGATAATCTTGTCCAAAGCGGTAATCGCTTCAGGCTTGACTTCAAGGAAAGCCCGCTGCGACATGCGCCATACGCCAAAGTGTCGTTTATGCGGGTGATATTCAGCAACCGGGACCTCTTCCTCGTCATCTGACTTAACGAGCTGCAGCTTGGCCAGTTAGATAGAGAAAACACGAGTTGGCAAAACAGCTAACTTGTAAATAGCGTTTGGGTGTTTTCCAGCGGTAATGAGTGCCATCTTCATGGGCGAAGGTACCTCCGCTACCATCGATCATTAAAAATTGTTGACTATTGGCTCATGGTGATCAAAAACTTACATTGTTGTACCGTCATTCTTGATAAAGTCACAAGCTCTCACCCACTCTCCCTCTGCATCAGCAGTGTTGAAGCGGACTTTCACTTCTTTATTGGGTTGATCCTCAATCTCTGCGATACAGTGGACCTCACGAGCTTCGTAGTCGTATTTATTGATTTTGGTGAGGTGAGGGTGCCAAAATCGAGTGACAATCTCATAGTAGAGCTTGTTGTTGTCCTCGGCGAAGGTGGTGTTGCGCACGCTGTTGGTGGCAAATTTAAGTTTGTGTGGTGGTGGGGGCTTAGGTGCGCCACGAGACATTAGAAGGAGAGTCGAGAGCGGTTAGAATGAGAAGCACAAGAAGTATGTCAAGAAGAGACGATGGAGACACAGGCTAGGCGAAGCAGCAAGCTATTAAGCTTATGAGCTGGCAGAGGGCCGCCGATACGCGATCGAGTATTGTGCGAATAAGATTGCTGGTTTCATACGATTATCGCATGATATCGCGTGTCAGGAAATAAGATAGCAAGGCGAGGCTGACCGGTCGTCACGAAAGCGTGGAGCGAATACGATTAGTGCGGATGAATAACAAATCGGCGGGGACGTGATTCTAAACATATTCCCATACACAGCTGCGATCTGCCCCTGATGGCATAGATTTTCGTGGGTGTGAGAAGGACTAATCGCCGGGACGTGAACTTGGACCAGGATGTTTCTAGGATCTGGGACTTGATCCCAGAGCATCCCAGAGCTCTACATGAAAGCCTGTGTGAACGCGAGCTTCTCAACGTGTGCTCAACGACCATGAAATAGTAAGGAACTGAAAACAGGTTGTAGCGCGCGATTGCTATGTATACTTATCGCCGGCATAGCAAGAGTCAACACGGCCGTGCTTGGCAGTATGTTGAACGTTGCATGAAAATTCCAGAGACCAAGAGGTGGGATATGAAGCGGTTGCAAGGAGCGTTTGCCGGTAACTGGAGAAAGGCCAATGCCCGGGTGAGCTCTATTTAGACTCGGATATTTAATGAATCAACAACCTGTACCGCCAGTTCCTTGTGAGAGTGTATTACTGAGCACTGCTAACGGCGCTGTTAAGATTCTCCATTTTAGACTGGGGGACCCACCCCCTCCTCACACTGACAGCACTAGTTACCAGAGTGATTCACGACAGACAGTGACGCAACCAGGGTCAGGCCAGGGCCGTCGCCGCTCACCGTGACTGCAGTCCTGTCTTGCAGATGACACCGCATTTTCTTGCTGTGTATTCGACCACGGAACAGTCAATACCGCGGCAAAATCAACCCTGCCAAGTCTCCTAGACCGGCAGATGTGGTGAAAAAGAAACGCCGCAAGTAAATTGCCACTGGTCCCAGTCTTGACCCAGCTTACCTAATTAAATAAGAACGGTGCAGTCCACTGAACCAAGCCTCAAGTTGTCTTTGTGTTGTCTGAACTTCAATTGTAATAATTTCGAGTCACCATCGCTGTTCTCCTTCATGTTATCAAATATGACATTTGGATCGTCAAGCATTCAATCGCGTCATTCATCAGTCCAAGAGCCTCATCCCTCGCCCACATCTGCTATATTTGCAGGCATAGACGATGAGCTCCGTGATGCCTGGCGTGTTCACTCCCATGGCCAGGAAGAAGATCTCAGATATGCCCTTGATCGTGTAATCAAGAGAGTGGAAGAGCTAGTGCGTGGACAGGTCTGTTTCACTGGCAGTAATGAACCGATCATGGTTCGCTAGTCGTCATTGCTCAAAATCGCGTACAAGACTCAAGCGGAACTAGAGACATCCCTGAGCGTCGCAAAATCCAATTTACAACTGATGATGTCTAATAATGAAATGCTCGAGGAAGCTCTCAAACGTGAAACCCCCTGCAACGCGAAAGATGTTGGGTGGCGGCGTTGGAGTGCGCGAGAAGCGCAGAACATGCAACGTGTATCAGAAGAACATCAAAGGAGTAACGATTATGGTCCTTTGAATGAGTCGGGCGCACCATCCCACCCCGCGAACCCCCCATCAATTGCTGTCAATGGTATAGAGCCATCTCCAACTACCCCTTCCCTAGCGACTTCATCTACAACTTCCCAGAATAACCAGGAGGGTCGTTTCTTCAGATTTAGGTTCAATAGTGGTATGGTTATTTGTCCTCATATTACTCACTTATCACCCACATGTTGATACAGGATCAAAGTCGCGCATTGTTCATTCTCTTCAGCAACACTCTTCTCATTTAACGTCACCTTCTTTGCCAACTCTTATATCAAGTACAAGAGAGAAAGAACTTCTGGAGCTTCAAGAGCAGCTTGAACGGGAACGCCTTGCACATGCAAACGCGAATGCACAGAAGGCCGCTATCGAAGCTGAGCTAGAATCCTTATCACAAGCACTCTTTGAGGAGGTAAAATTTCTACTTGCCGCAAGTTTTCCATCAGACTTATATATCCTCTAGGCAAACAAGATGGTCGCAACTGAGCGCATTAAACGTGCTCAGACAGAGGAAGAACTACAAGAAGTGCGGTTAGAAAAGGACGCACTCAAGGAAGCATTGAGGCTGATTGAAGGCGAAAATGGTCGACTTCGGGGTGTGCAGCTCTCTGCAGCAGGGGTATCCAATGAAACTCCACAGCCGCCATCTTCACATTCTCGAAGTTCTTCGCGAGACGCAATAAAGTCTCCGCCGACATCCCCTTCGCCCTCATCCCCGGCTGTTGACGATATTAGTGTACCCTTGACACTTCTGCCAAGTACCGCTTCATTTACGTCAGACAATCCGGGGCATCTTACAGATTTCATCCTTGAGCAAGCACCGAAATCTCCATTCGCACCGTCTCATCAGAAAACGCAATCCGTGGAGCAAGTGACCTCCGACTATCCAGACAATTCTCCTCCCCTGGGTTTAGGCTTCGCTAGCCCGACGTCAGCACCCTTTATACCCGATGAACCATCCCCTTGGGACTGATCTTAGTACACATTCGGAAGGCTTGTTGATAATATTCACTATTGATTATTACAGCCATAGGAATCTCCATTAAGTATTCTTCCCATCACATGAACAGAAGGATATCGAATTGTTGACGTGGCATACTGGATGAACTTATCTGAAGAAATTGCACATACCAAGATTTTGCGTGTCGCATTCTCTGAGAGCGCTAGTGCGTAGTTTTGCCGCATCATGACATTGGGCAAAACCGTAAGCCGCTAAATTATTTCTATCTTGTGATTTGCATATCAAGTATTTCGCGGTCACGTCCTTCATCGGTTTAAGTTCCAATTATGCAGGATTCTCTCGGCTCCGCGATCTGCCTGGGTAATAGGATCACGACCTTCTGTTAGCACAACGATACGCCACCTCCTGGCTTGCCAGATACCGAACAAGCCCTAGGCTAGCAGGCTGGCTTAAAAAAGGTTAATCTTGTCCGCGATGAAACCAATGGACTTGATATGCACTGTCTCCAGGCGGGACGAAGAAAGCCGAGTCTACAGTTGGGAAATGTAATTTCAGGACCTGTAACAACCTGGTAGGGAGACTGTAGGGGGGAAGTTCAGCAATTCAATACACGAAGTTGCCAAGAGAAACCCTTCGTTCGTTGTGGTATAAATTTGCCTATTGAAGGAGCTCGAGTAGCCGACAAGGCATGGAGAATCCTTTAAGCAGCCGCTGAGAAACAGATTTCATCTTGCCAGAGTACAGCGCAGCTATCCGATGCAAGCCTTGAAAAACCCTGTTTTGACTGATTTTTATAGTCAACTAACAAGTGTCATGCGCTCAGCAAATAACCCACCAAAGTATTACTAAAACAATCAGTTCACGCTGTTGAAGGTGAAGAGCAATAAAAGAATGAAATCATAAATGTCCTGTGACCTGAATCGAGCTGAGGAGATGCAAGGGATAAGACTCACTGGTCTATCAGCCAATCACTCAGCAGATGATACAATTTAGTCCTTCCATCTAATGATCTGCATCCTCCGAGTCAATAAGAAAGCAAAGAATAGTCGCATGAGAATCATCGAACAATCAGTGTGACTTCGAATGAGTCAGGGCATACCCCTTGGGCAAATGAAAGACTTTCGACCACTGAAAACATTCGCCGCTCTTCAGGTGAGATTTCATATCCAGGTTTCCATTTGCAGACTTCGATCACAAGTGCAATTTCCGTATATGCTGCTGCATAATGCGTCACCTGTAAGTAGACTCCCGCATCAAGCACATACGTCCTGTAGCTATGTAGTAGCTCAGCATGAGAAGCATTGGAATACATACCCCTCGAAACAAATTCTATGCCTAATCTCAAAGTCTCGTCCTTGACTGATGGAGCATAATTAATACACTCAGGTGAGCATTACCATAGACTTACGAACCCAGATCCAGCTCCACGACCTAATTGATTGTAACTTGTACGCGCAACGCAAATCGGAAGTGCAGCAGCACAGGCGTTGACACTGGAAATCGAGTGCTTAAGAAGTGGCATCAGGACCGGATACATTGTCACAGAGGATAGAGCAGTACGTTCTCGCTTGGTTTGTAGCTAAAAGGACAATCAGATGGCTGTCTGCATCGAATGGAATCCCCTGATACTATAAAGTCGTACCGTGACGAAGAATGTGTGCGAGCAACACATTTGCTATCACCGAATATTTTGGATTTGACAACCATGATAGAAGGGAAAGAAATTGAAAGTAGAGGCATAGAACAACGTAGTAGAGGCCTGCCCAGCGCACAACACGGTAAGCAAGCAACACCTACAAACTCACGCATCGCTGCGGCTTCGCCATCACCCATCAAATATTTCGACACCTCGCCTGCCTATGATGTTGTCCTTGGGATCGCATTCCATGCAGGACTGGGTGATTGGTACTGCCACGCTTGGCAGCTGGAGAGCTCGTGATGAAGATAATAAAATGTGACACAGTAAAATCTCCCTCATAATTGAACGAGTCTCACCCTCGGTTGGTTCAAGCTTCAGTCCTGCAAGATTCTCCGAAACCTGTCTAAATGTCGAATCTCGACTCTTTGACATGACGGTTTGGATGTCGTGACGCTGGCTTGCAAAGCTCCCGACATGGTGGTCAGCACGCTTTACAAAATCTGGCGGGAGTCGATTTCGTCCACCGCGACAAAGAGGCTAAGGACTCGATGCTACTAGTAGCATAGTTTGTACTGTTGAAGATAGGATTTCGCCGGTACAGCTAGGACCTTCTAGAGGTGACACGGTAGCCATTTTTATGGTAAAATTAATAATATCTATCATGATCTTACTGGATGCAATAGCATTACTCACAAACCTTGGGGATCTGGAATAGTCTCGTTGAACACTTGACTGTCCTAGAAAAGTTTGCGGTGCTCATTGCGGTAGGAAACAAAGAGGACTTGATAGAAACCTCGAATAGGAAGTGTCATCACTCTGCTTATATCTGAACTTTACAGCAGCGGAGCTCGATGTCATGTTCTGGTGAGAACTAGCGTGATGTCAAAGACGCCTACACCCCACCGCCGCGCAGGAATCCCTGCTACATCGACACCACGGCCTAAACCGCAGTTCACCATCGAAGAATGGGAAGCCAAAGCACCTCTCAGTGACCTGGCACTCAAGAGCGTCGCGGTGGTCAAAACTGCAAGCGAGAAAACCCCTCTCCCGCTCAAAGTAGAGTCAGAATAGTTTATTGCACTGCTTATTGCTGAATGTACATAAGATTAGCATCAACGAAGATGAGCCCTCGCGTCCTTCTACACCTAATCTACGAGGGAAGGTCGGATTGGTGTCACGTCCATCAACACCAGTACCAACATCTACTCGCCAGTTCGTCAGTCATGCGCTGCACCCGAAGCAACCCGTGCAAACACCCCAACAATTCTATGACTGGTTTGCACAGATAGACAAGTCTGTAGCACATAGCCAGGAAGCGCACTTCCGCGCTCATGTCGCGGTGGTATCCGAACACCTGAACACAGCAGATACACTTATTGAGCGTATAGACGAGATTGAACGGGAGGTCGGTGGGCTGCTCGAAGGCTGGCGAAGCGTGGAGGATGGCGGAAAAAATCTGAAGGATGCGTGCGAGCGGTTACTGGAGGAAAGAGTAAGCGACTAGGTTTTAGAATATCCCAATCGCTGATTCTTTCACACTAGGACAGGCTACTTGAACTGACTGACGAAATTGGAGCTAGACTCGAGTACTTCCAAGAACTAGAACACGCGACGCGCATGCTCAATCATCCTGGAGAGTCCCTTGTCCTTCAAACCGACTTCTTGTACATGGTGGAGCGTGTGGATATTTGCATAGATTATCTTAAGGCTCATGTGAGTTTGTATGCTAGTTGCTATGATGCTATACTAACTGGATACTTTTAGCGATATTACAAAGAAGCGGAAATATACTTACTCCGATTTCAGCAGTGTATGACGAGAGCCATGACACTCATCAGGATGTTTTTTGTTGGTTCGTTAAGGGCATTGACTGCGGACGTTTCCAGAAGACTATCAGAGAAGGTAAACTTATCCATTACTTGTACTCAGTCTCTTGACACCACAATTTTCAGGATGTATCATCGACAGCACAGATGCATCTGCTTTACACTAGATTCCGCAGTGTCTCTCAGCTTTCTCCTTTGCTCCGCGAGTTAGAGCGTCGTGCCGAAGCTCATCCAGAGGACTTGTCAGCACTGCTTTCAGAATGTCATTCTGCCTATTTTGCAGCACGTAAAGGTCTACTGGTGGGACGCTTGATGGAAGAAATACGTGGGCTCGATCCAGCACACACTGAACTAGTCGAATTAGTGAGTTGCTCGTGGTTTTGCTCAGCGACTTACTCATTCAAGAATAGACAAATGCCGGTTGCAGTTATCTGAAACACCTCTGCACAGACGAATTCAATCTCTACCGAGAGTTTTTCAATTCTGGTGAGGACCAGCTCTAGTGAGTACCATTTTCGTTGTCTCTGCTTACACTCATCCACGACATCAAGCACTTATCTTGAGAACTTATGCGACTACCTTTACGATGACTTACGTCCCCGGATATTGCATGAAACTCGCCTCACAACTCTCTGCGAAGTGTGCACGGTACTCCAAGCTCTGATGGTTCTTGATGTGGCAGAGCTCCCAGAGGAGCCACCCGATGACGGCAACCTAATTGTTGATTTTGACCAGCCAAAGTCCAAAGGTCTGGAGCAACTTCATATCAGTCACCTTCTGCAAATGGTCCTTCAGGATGCACAAACCCGGTTGTTCTTCAAAGCACAGTCGGTTATCCAGGCCGAAATTCGATATTACACACCGAAACCAGAAGACCTGGCGTATCCTGATAAGCTCGTTAGTACGTGTATGATTCTGTCTGCTCTAAGCACTGTCTGAATAGGCACCGTCAGCCGCGCGGAAGCCTGTTTCTCAATACGAAATCAAGGAGAAGGATAGCGTCAGCCAACTTTTCCAGCTACCCTCATTAGACAAGAAAGAAACGTGGTTTCCGACCTTGCAAAAGACGGTATGGGTATTATCCCAACTGCATGACTTCGTCAAGGTAGTCACTTCTCTTGTGCGTCTTGACTGGATGCTGAGTTCACGTAGCCCGTTATTTTTGAAGATATTGCGCACGAGGCCGTGAGCTTTTGTCGTCAATCGCTAGTCACATCGTCCACTTTGGTCGAACAGAGAAGTTCTACCGGCGTGCTAGATGGCCAATTATTTCTCGTTCGCCATCTCCTGATTTTGAAGGAGGTTGCAAATAATTTGGATTATACTCCGAAAGATACAGAGCCGAGGTCAGATATAGGCGGTGTGACGGGTGGGTGTTTGTTCCTGACACTGGAACATCCTGTTAACTTTCTTGATTCCAGATACCTTGGCATCAGTTCTGAATCGCACGACTGCATTACTACCAGATGCTCTTTTTGCTTCATTAGGAATGCCTCGAGGACATGATACCTTTTCAGACTCTCGACATGTAAACGATGTGTTACTTTCACAAACTCTTTATCCTTGCTGACATCGACTCCTGATATAGGACATAGATCAAGATCTGAAACGTGCCTGTCAGGAAATCATCTCGTTCTGTGCGAGGTTGCCCTGTGATCCTCTACGAGAGTGGGTGGACCGTGTACAAGCATTCAATGACGCCCGCATACCCTTCTCATCAGGGCAACAGGCTCCACTCCTCACGGAGCAAGAATGGGCAAAGCGTGCTATCGCAGAGAACCTTCATCAAGTCTTCATCGAGACTTGCGAACGGGATCTGCGGTCATTTGTGACGAAGCTGCGGCTATACCTCGAGGATGATCGGACAGTGTCTGTGCTGGTCACACATATAGAGGAGGCGATCATTGATGCTTACCTGAAGTTCCGAAATGTGGTGTGGAACATGTATGCAGGGGCAATGAAGACCGTCGTATTTTCGCAAGACGGTCTGCGGGATTATTTGAAGGGTATATGTAAGTAACGCACGCCATACTATGCTTCAATCTACATAGAGCGAGTCTTGTCCTCGAACTATTCAGACGTATTGGCATTCGTATACTCAGAGTGCATACAGCCTCTTTGTCCCCACAGCTTCGACAAGCTTTTGCGATCTTATGAATCGCGCACATCATCATGCTCTCTCCACAGCGTTTACAGAACTCCTGTACTTGTGCCCTTGTCGAAGAACACAGCACTTGACTCCGTCAAACGATATTGCAGCGCTGACGTACGAGATACAACATGTTCATTTGTATCTTTCATGCTAGGCCCTAAATGCACAGATATCTTGATGGTTTTATGGCTTCTGATACATCAAGAGCAACGCAACAGAACGCACCTCTCCACTCACTGCACCGCTTCGCCCGCTGGCTAAAGGCCTGACCTCGATGTGATAGGTGCATAGTTGAAGCAAGTGCTGCAAGAGTGCATCTGGCTCTGGTGGAGTGACAATGTGATGTCTGACGACCAATGCTGCATCCATCTATGTTTGGGTTGTAAAAGCTGTAATGGCTTGAAGTTGATATTGTCCTACCTTGATACAGAGGGTTCTTAGAGCACGAGTAAACCGCGACAGGTCAAGCAGCGAAACCCCGAGCCATTCGAGCGATGTGATGTCATCCAGAATTACGAGTGGGATTTGGCCATAGGTTCGGGAGTCCGATAACTTGACTGATAGTAGATCGTAGATGTACTTTAGAGAGATAACATTCAAATGCCCCTCTCCTCGATTTTGTGATGGTGGATGCTGGTCGAATACATCTATGAATTGAAAAGATTCGCTATGGGCTACATTGACGTTCTATGAGGAAGTACTAAGTTACTGTTAGATCGATGAGATGGTGAAGACTGCACGTACGGCCTTTGAAGCTACTGATTTCCAGCGCTCGAGGCTTTCGGATACAGCGAGAACAATACATTTTGCAGTTTTGCTTTGCTTCAGGTGCAAGTGAAGGAACCGATGCAGTAAAAAATCAGCTGGAGCTGGAAGTTGGTCTGTGACTAAAAGCAGACGACGAGAAGAGAACAGGTCGGGCGCAGGGAACTGCATGACCGTTTGACTATCGAATCATCTATGTATTGTTACATGCACATGTTGCCCTTAGTACTGGCAGAGGAACCACTGAGAGTCGATTTTGATTACAGACACAAACAAAGCCCTCATCCTTTCGTACTAATCGCTTCGCCGGTTTTCATAAAGCGTTCTGGTATGGTTTCACTTTTAATCTTAATCAAATATTAATCGCTCATATCAGAAAAGGTTTACCTAGACCGTTGGACGTGACGTTGTCATGTCTGTGCCCAGCTTCGAGGATCTCTTCGGGTCATGTACACTGGAGGTGATAGCTCCAGATACCTCCATAAATCTTCCCGAGCCAGGAGCTGCCGATGACTGGTTAGTTGCGCTCAAATCACCTGGTATTGAAAGAAGACAAGCGTTCTTCGGTAAGGTACAACATTTCATCGAACATGCTAGTCCAGATGCTCACCAAATGGTCTATTCAGACGAGCAACTACACCTTTTCTTGATTGTGCAGATACCCTGTCCATCTGCGGACGTTGATCCCAAGGATCCACCTACATTCCTTCTCGATTTTCTTGCCCATGTGCAGGTATCGCTTGAAGCCACTTATATCTCGCAAACACCTACAACTCTCCCTGAAACCCCCCAGACTGCCCGAGTCCTTGCTCCACCACGCACTTCATCTGTAGCTAAACCTCGGCCTACTTCTCTTCATCCTTCCTTGTTCCCTCCACATACACCAAATCCTACACCGTCTTCTACGGAGAAGGACCGCAAGTACGCACAATCCGAAGGAACTCTTCTTGTTGCTAGTATATGGGGTCACAGGCCCGCGGGTTTGTCCAAAGAGAAGTTTTCTCTTTTGTATTCAGAGGCAAAGAAAGCTTGGTTGGCTGTATATGAACTCTCCTTGACCGTGTGTGAGTGCGCGCGAGCAAGGTGTCTGCCACTTCTCCTAAACACTCTTCTAGCGTTTCTTCGCCTCTCGTTCTTGGATCCTCTTCTGTCCTTGACCGTGTCAACTACATTACGAGAAAAGGCGGTTTCACTGTCACAAGCAAACCATCCATTTGTCATATTTATGTCGGAAAGCGGCATTCTTGCTAAGCTTTCTGCTTCTGGCATAAGCTCATTCGCGAAGCAGCAAAACCAGGAGACAAATAATGTCGGGGAGGATGATGAGACCGGACTTGAGGAAGTCAATCTACTAGAAGGTCTTTCAGCTGGTAGTCTTTCCTGCCATACCAATGTTGCTGGTTCACTTACGCTTGTTCTAGGATTCAATGTTACGCCTGGCTCGGAACCACTTTGGCTTCCCTCCACTCGCTTGGGAAATGTCATGCGTCGAGAGCTATTCTCTCTCCTACCTGTGCAACCGTCATCTTCCCAACCACTTATGTCAAGCCCTAAGCGTCCACCTAATGCCACTTTACGGAAATCATTTCGCAAAATTCTCCAGACAGTCTCTGGCTTTCGGGTGAGGATGCGAACCGTTTTTGTTCCCCACATCCTCTTTCCGGAAATGAATTCAAGGACTGGCTTAAATGACGATGATAGCGATGCGCAGGAACGAGAGGCAGGGAACAACGAACGTACCGTTGTTCTCTGTGTTGAAGTCGAGAATTCTGGAGAATCAGGCTCAGGTGTTGGTTTCTCAGTGGAAAGGGTAGATGTGAAAATCGGTGGCGAGGGTGCATCCGCCAAACTGATTGGTTGGGGAGAAGGTGCTTTTGAGGCTGAAGTGGAGACTGCACACTTTCCCACTTCTGATTGGGTCTATGGAACAGTACAATCTGTTATACGCTGTTTCATTCCTCAAGCCTTCTGCAGACTCAGATTTCTCGCTGGTCGGCCGGCGGTCTGGTGCCGTCCCTGCAAACTCAGATCTGCAGCGGGCAGTAGCAATCAATATCTATGGCAAACCTTATTTGTCGAAGACAGGTGGTGAGCATGACTCCGAGGACAGTGATGGTCCTACCTTGACCTACCCAACACATACATTTTCCTCTCGGTGGAACTGTATCCTGGATCTTTCTTCGAAGCCACAAGAAGAACCTCTTGACTGTAGTGCTCGTAGTGTATTACCAGAGCCTGCGTCTCCCTTCCCAGGGCAAGCGGCTCTGGCATCTGCGATCCCGAAAATGCAATCTACTGGGAACAAACAACATACCCTTCCAAACAATATCACAGCTATACGGGCGATCAACCCGAATGCTAACTTTCGCCCGATGCCATATCGCGACCAGTCTTCCGCCTCACCCATCCTTTCTAACAAACAATACACACCTCCCTCTATTACTGTACAAAGTTTCTCAAAGTCTCCCCCCACTACATACGGCATTCCACCTCCGACCACGCCCCTATTAGGCGTCACTATACCCAACGGCGGCCCACATGGTTCATCAGATTCTCAAACATTCGTGACGCCGCCAACACCTGCGTACCCTGCATTCCCTGCAGCTACTGCTCCAGCAACTTCTCACTTCCAAACGCCACTGATTAATCATCAAGGGGCGCCTGGGCCAAGTGTCGAAATCCGCAGGGAGCGTGGTCTCGGAATGACGGGAGCTGCGCCCCAAACTCCTGGACCAACTATCGTCGGTGGTACAATCGATCCCACTCGAGATACCCCAGTTACTGGTGGAGAGCCTATCATCGTCTCCATCGGCTTGCTCCCACCTCCTTCGAGTTCCGCTGCATCTAGGAAATTATACACGTGCGATCAGTTCACGCTTGACATCTTCGTGTTCAACCAGAGCTCGTGGACCAGAAGGTTCGAAATCAGCTGCCCGGATCCAGATCGTAGACGTAGACGGAAGACCGAGCAGGAGAAAGCTGCGCGGGGCGGCAAGACGACTATCGAGGAGTTACAGAGTGTGATGATGCCTCCTGGAATACTCCCGTTGCAAAACCGCGTGCGAGTTGGGTATGGAACAATTCTGGATGATTTTGTGCTATTGTTTGATGATGTTTCCTGAAATTACAGGCCGCTGCGTCCATCTACCTGCCAGTCAGTCAGGATGGACTTCCTTGCAATGACTCCTGGCGTGCATTCGGTCGAGATTCTTAGTCTCACAGATATTGAAACGGGTTTCTCCATGGATCTACGGTAAGTGAACGTTGAATCGTCTTGTGAAGATCTGGTTCGCGCACTCAACACTTGCGTTTAGATCTGTATTAGATGTGGTCGTTCATGAGCATCATCAACTGTAGACCTTACATTAGTTGATCGGCAGATAAAAATTGAATCTCCAGGGAGGTAGGGCATAAAACAAACAACGTAGAATATACAAGAGAGTGTGGCAGAAGGGGTACAGAATGTGTGCCAAGGTTGTCTTCCGAGGTGATCCGAGTCATTACAAGTATGACGTAGGTGGGTTATACCCACTGAGACTTCTCCCAGGCCGGATCCTGCATGAATGCGCAGAGAACCTTACTACCGGTCTGAAAAGGCCGTCAGATTATTTGTATGGTCCTTATTCTAGTCGCTTACCTGCAGGAGTGGGTGACCAGCAACGATGCTTAAGAATCGTTCCAGTCCCTCCCTTCTACCCTCGATGACTTCATCAGAGAATCTATTAGTAAAGACTTTGCCAGGGAGTGGAGGAATGTTGACGCGAGTAGATTCGCGCTCCAGAATATCGCGGAACGCTTCGAAATCGGAATAACGGCGCCGAACGAGAGAATGGCGCAGCTTAAATGCAGGAATGTTTGTCTACAACACACAAGGATAAGCACTCGGGAATCAGAGCCGCGGTAGTAGTATATATCACCTTGCACACGATCTCGTAGTCGGTATACATCTTTCTGCCAAAACCTATCATTCAACGATAAGGTAAAATCCCATCGAACAAGTTTGGTATTGCTCACCGTGTGTTTGAGGATTGCGAACTTCAATTTCTAAGAAGCTCTCAGGGACGCTATACATTTCTTCAATCTGGGAAGCGCTTGCTTGTGTTTATGCAGCAGAAATGGGATGATAGAAGTAAGGCGGACTTACGGTCTGTTCGCGCCCGCCGAGGCGGGGCTCATCGAATGTGCTGCTGCGAGCAAATGGCGACACACTGGTTGTCATGTCGTCGACGTTAATGTTGGTGCACTCTAAGTGTGAACACTTCAACACAGCACATCGTCACTTCACGCAGCTGTCACATTTGGTCACAATGTGAGTCAGACGTCACGTCTCTCTTGTGCTGTCTCGACCATCATCTAAAGACAAAACTGCCTTGTTCCTGGCAAACGTTCGCTGTGCTTGTACAGTCCCATTGACGTAAATGATAGTATAATTCAAGATATCTGTATACGACTGAACCAGCCTACAGCCATAGGATCTCTTCTCTCGGTAATTCAGTTCAACTTCACTTTAGTAGTACTTCCGTGCTCTCTGCATGAGAATGTATATAAACATCTGACAATAACCACACCATGAATATGCTCACCCTTTAATTCACCCAGGCACGAGCACTCTGGAAAAGCCTGAACCACGGACTTGAGCCGTTCCAAGAGTCGAAAGACGCGGTTGGATACCAGCTACAACTCTCCAGTGCTACGACGCGTTCCGGATGTGGCATGAGACCCATTATTCTGCCGTCAATTGTCTGCACGCCGGTAATCCCATCAGGACTACCATTCGGGTTCAATGGGTAAACCTCTGTGGGTTCACCCGCAGAATCGACATATTGTAGTGCGACCAGGCCTGCTTTCCGCAGGGCTTCTCTCTGGGTATCGTCAGAAAACGACACCCTTCCCTCTCCATGAGCAACAGCGACAGGAAGCTTTGACCCAACCATATCTCGCAAGAAGACGGAGGCCTTCGTCACCTCATTAGAAGTGACTTCGACCATGGATACCCGGCCCTCGAAGCGTCCAGAGGCGTTCGGCTTGAAATCGGGCCAATGATCTGCGCCAGGAATGATCTCTCTCAAATGACTGAGCCATTGGCAACCATTGCAAACGCCAAGAGTAAACGTATTTTTATCTGCGAAGAAGTGGGTAAACTCCTTCCTCGCTATGTCGTTCAAAAGCACTGAGTGAGCCCAGCCTTTCCCAGCGCCAAGCACATCTCCATAGGAAAAGCCACCGCAAGCTGCTAGACCGCGGAAGCGCGAAAGTGACAGTGCTCCAGAGAGAATGTCAGACATGTGAACATCCACGGCATCAAAACCTGCCGCTGTAAATGCCCAAGCCATTTCCACATGTCCGTTGACACCTTGCTCACGCAAGATGGCAACCTTCGGCCGCGATGAGAGGCTTCGTGAGGGGGATGGTGTGTGCTCAAATGTGAGGTCGTAAAATAAACCCTTGTGAGTGTGATCCTTGATGAGGTCGAATTCCTGCCGTGCTCCGATAGGGTTGTCGCGTAGGGATTGCATACGATACGAAGTGTCGGCCCAGGCTTGTTGGATCTCCTGACGTGTGCTCGAAAATAGCACCTTGGATTCGTGATTCACGGCGAATAGTTGATCAGAAGGGTCAATGTTGACGCGCCCAATAACGTGGATGGATGTAGAAGGGAAGCCGACGTCGACAAACTCGCTCATGAGCTTATTCAGGTGGCACTCGCGTACTTGAACGACAGCTCCCAACTCCTCGTTGAACAATGTCGCCACAGGGTCGGAAGCGCTATGGAGGGTGTCAAGGGAGACTACAGCCCCTACCCGACCAGCAAAACACATCTCCACCAAAGTTGTGAAGAGCCCTCCGTCTGAACGATCGTGATATGCAAGTATCAAGTCAGGTTGACTCTCCTTAATCTTCTGGCACCCATTGAAGAACGTTTGAACTGTAAGAGGATTCTCGACATCTGGCGCCTCTGATCCAATCTCCTTGAAAACCTGCGCAAGCGCCGATCCACCCATACGCGTCTTGCCATGGGCAAGATCGAAGAAGACGAGCACAGTCGTTTCGTTCAGATCTGTACGCAGCTGAGGCGTCCATGTTCGTTCGACGTTGTCCACCGGCGCGAATGCCGTGACAATGAGAGACAACGGTGCACTAACTTCACGCTGCTCCTCTCCTTGCTTCCACTTCATCGACATCGACATCGAATCTTTGCCAACGGGGATGCCGACGCCCAGCGCAGGACATAGTTCCATACCGACAGCAGCCACGGCAGCATACAATCCTGCACCTTCACCTTCCTTAGAAGCGGCGCACATCCAGTTTGCACTGAGCTTGACACGAGAAAGGCTGGAGACGGAAGCTGCAGCCAGGTTGGTGAGTGCCTCTCCGATAGCCATCCGAGCGGACGCAGATGGATTTAGGAGAGCAATAGGCGTTCGTTCACCCATTGCCATGGCTTCACCACTCAGGACATCAAAGCCATATGATGACCGAGTAACAGCAACATCAGCAACTGGGACCTGCCACGGTCCAACCATTTGGTCACGAGTCACCAAGCCTGTGATGGTTCTGTCTCCAATTGTGATAAGGAAAGACTTTGACCCTACTGATGGAAGATGAAGAACGCGGTCCACTGCGAGAGACATGCGGTCGGACAAGGTGGAGGAGTTGGGAAGATATTTTGAAAGGGAAGTATCAAAATTCATGAAACCAATCTTTCGCGTGGTATCCTTGCGCGACATGCGAGGGGGCTTCCCGAAAAGTGTCGACATTTTGAGGTGAATGACATCTTGCGAAAGGAGGCGGTCGGTGACGATGAGTTCTTCTTCCTCTGTTGCGACGCCGACAATGGAAAATGGACACCGTTCCCTTCGGGCTATTCTTTCAAACTCGCCGGCCTTCTCTGCCGACACAGCGAGGACATAGCGTTCCTGACTCTCATTGCACCATATCTCCATGGGAGACATAGAACTAGTCCGCGACAAGTACGTCCCTGATCTCAAACTTTGCACCGAGTTTTGAGTCATGGACCAGCTCTGGAAGTGCATTGGACAGTCCACCGGCGCCCACGTCATGGATGCTCTGGATAGGACTACTCTCCCCCAAGCTAACGCAAGCGTCGATAACTTGCTGACATCTCCTCTGCATCTCTGCATTCTCTCTCTGGACAGATGCAAAATCTAATTCTGCAGAGCTGGCGCCAGACACCTGACTAGATGCTGCGCCACCACCCAAACCGATGAGCATACCTGGGCCACCCAGGACGATAATCTTCGCTCCTGGAGAGATACGCATTTTCATCGCGAACTGTGGGCGGACATTCCCGTATCCACCAGCGATCATGATTGGCTTGTGATAGCCTCTGATCTCCTGTTTTGATCCGTCCTCTGAAGCAGGGACAGATTCAGAGAATGTACGGAAGTAGCCTGCAAGTGCCGGACGACCGAACTCATTGTTGAAGGCACTCGCGCCTAAAGGGCCTTCAACCATGATATCGAGGGCTGACGCGATGTGTGAGGGACGGCCAAAATCTGTCTCCCAAGGTTGCTCATAGCCGGGTATGAGAAGGTTGGAGACAGTGAAGCCAGCTAATCCGGCCTTAGGTTTCGATCCTCGACCTACTGCTCCTTCATCTCGAATCTCCCCTCCTGAGCCTGTGGCTGCTCCTGGATAAGGAGAGACTGCAGTAGGATGATTGTGTGTCTCGACTTTGATGAGAATTGGCATGTTCTCGACAGAAGGCTGGTAAATATGTTCGGTAGAAGAACTATGTACGCCGAATCGAGGGGCTTGTGCGCCTTCAAGGACAGCTGCGTTATCAGAATAGGCGGAGATTGTTCCCAGCGGACTGATTTTTTCCGTATTCCTGATCATCTGGAAAAGTGACCGGTCTAGAAGCGTCTCGTCTATTGTCCACGATGCGTTAAATATTTTGTGCCTGCAATGCTCCGAGTTGACTTGAGCAAACATGAACAGCTCCGCGTCGGTAGGATTACGGTTGATTGGTGACGATCCAGATACAAATGCTTCCACCAAGTAATCAATTTCATCTGCAGCAAGCGCGAGTCCTAGTACTTTGTTCGCGGTCGAGAGCTTCTCGCGTGCAGTACCAGCATCGACTTCCTCTCCTTCGCCTCTCAGCTCCACGATCCGCAGGGGGCTCGGGGCGTGATGTTGAAAGACTACGTCCTCGAGAGGTAGAGACATATAAACGCTCTGCGTCATACGATCGTGAAGTAAATGGGACAGCCTAATCAAATCTTCCTTTCCAAGATCTTGATTTTCTGTCAGCTGGAAGACGAACGCGACCCCGCGTTCGAGACGATCTATGTGCTGTGATAAGTTGCATATGCCAGCGATGTCAGTCGCTTTGCTGGACCACGGTGATATAGAACCGGCTCTTGGTAGAACGTAGAAGACGTTGTGTCCGGAGTGGAGCGCTTCAGATGTCGATGGAAGTCTGATGTCATCGCCGTAGTCCAGCAATAGATCAATAGCTTTTCTTTGTGGCGATGCTTTGCTAGCTAGATCATCCTGTAGCGTTTGGCTCGGAGACTTGATGAGGTGGATGTAGACTGCATCAACAGAGATTACATCCGGTTTGATGGTTTTGATTTGCTGGATAAGTGCCTGGCGCTTCGACGAAGAGAGTGCAGATGAGCCTGGGAGAACGAGCATGCCTGCATGATATCAGCGCTGCGTAAAATTCACTGCACTGGCTATCCATCTCACCGCAGTCAGTTGGATTTCTCAACCGAGCTTGGACAAGCGTACAATGTCGAAGTAGATCTGCTTACTCCAAAATTTCCGGTTTGATCCATGGCAGATCCATCTAATCTTGCAAAGTTTGTTGATGTTTGGTTTTGTGCAAGGGCCAACTTGTAAAAGTTCATAACGTTCAATCGCGATGTGCAGTGCTGCGCGGTGATCATCAATATTTTTGAGATATTCGACCAGGTCTAGCTGATGTATTTCTACCGCCCGCGGCCACTGGAGCTCATTCTTATATTTTACTGAACAAAAGTCTTACTGCGTAGATGATGTGTTTCTACGGCACTGGCAAGAGCATCAAATTGAGGTTGAATACCTTCCTGGCAGGCTTTTGCTACTAGTACCGCACACATAAAACGCGGGGTTCGTTAGGAATATCATGTTCCTGCTTCAAGCTTTAAGCTTCAATACCTGCGCTCTCATCATGGGCGAATCCATCGTTTCAGAATTCCTTTGGCCAAACGCTTCCAGGTAGCCTCCGGGGATGTTAGTGACGAGTCAATCCTCGTAGTCGGGGCGAATATGGGCCAGCTTAGAGGCGTCTGTGCGCTTGGCCCAACTCCGGAAAAAGATTTACTCGTCACAAGTGCCAGTAAACAATAACAGGTGCGCGTGAACCTCTTCAATTGTGAACTCGTCGAGCTACGTGCCTCGTTTGCTATTGAACCCACAGGTCTGATTCTTTGTTCGATTCAAGTGCTAGAGGCTGTTTTTGTGCGCGAACTCAGCTTCCGATTACCTGTGTCAACACTTGTAGCAGTCTCAGCTGTTAATCCTAGGTTTTTTCATTCCCGTTTAACACGTTCTACCGAAACAACCAATCCCTTCATAAGATTGGGTGTCGCAGCCATAAAGACTTTGTTCGCTTTTTCATGGAAATGTGGAGTCGAACACTTGTCCACCTTGCCGTTGAACCGGCTGAGATCTTGCGACATACGGTGGTTACCTGTCTTGCTGTGAGCCGAAGGAGGGGAGTTATTATGTGATCAGTACGGAAGGAAAGGGAGGTTTCTAGACGCCTGTGGGTAGTTATTACTCTATTCGATTTAATCCAATGTGGCTTCACTTATCATCATAATCAGTAATTTAGTTGGAGACGACCTTAAGTAAAGTCGATTCAAGGGTCCAGCGTATCGTTGACGAGCACCTGCGAGCACTTGACAACCTTAATCAAGGGCGCTATGCACTGATACTGAGTATCAGATATTAGGCTGTGAAGCCTTGTACTGCTCAATGCTGTGCGTTCTTCTAAAGCACTGCTGCACTGGCAGAACATATCCGCATTTCCCGAATAAGCGTTCAGGCAATCTTCTATGAATCTCTAACGATCAGCACAGCTCTTGAATGTCGGCTGTCCCCTATCTCGTGGTCTGCCGCGAGGAAAGCTCGAGGCTCTCAGGATAATTGGACCTTCAGTCCGCGGTTTGCATCCTGCTCTGCATCCTGCACACCTCAGTCCTGAATTTCGGGCTCTGCTAGCCCTAGCCCATACACAAAATGCCACATTTCCAGAGACAACAGTTCACTTGGGCCAATTGCGAAGATCCTGACATTCTAGCTCTGACTGCTGCGACGCAACTCGTGAGCACCATAGCCACACTTGATACCCGTCGATGACTTATGTGCAATAGCCGCCTGACAGGCCTGTCAGACATTACAGTGGCATCACAGAACCGTCATGGCTACCACGCCTGAATTCCTTCAATTCTGGCCATTCTGATTGTTCGAGTCACGACGCCTCAGAGTATGGGTCATCCATGCTCACGGATGATCACTGTTGTTGTGGGCACCACAGCCCTGCAGACATGCCTGATGCGTTAGTCAGATATGTGAGCTTGCGAATTTACATAATTGTTTTCTCAGTTATTCATTGATATCTTTCTGCAGCCCGACCTCGGACAGTCTCATGAACAGCCCATGACATTTGGACGCTGGTTGCGTCTACTAGGACGACGTGCTTGTCGAGCAAGTGGGTACCTTTGACTTGCCTTTGACCAAGTCTCTTGAATTAGAAATGTCCTCATTGAGTGACAAGGGTTGTAGTATAGAATTGCACTGTTTCCTCTCATCTTTGCGTTTCCTCCAGCCGCTGTACATGTATGTAGACGCCCTGCAGCTTATCAGTTACCACGCAGTTTTCTTTCACGACCATGTTACGAATTTTCCTTTCTGTTGATACCTTAATGATACCCCATCACTAGTACTCTTTACACAACTACTAAGCCTCGACCGCGTTTTTTCAGATACTCATTCACGTTCAAATATCACAACTTTGCACTTCCTTTTCCCCAACCTTCTTCCTCCATTTTACATTGTTCCGAGTGATCCGGCTCGGCACTTCCATTTACCGGTATGCGCCATTAATAGATTCCGTTTGTGGCCTCACTTATGTACTATACACCCGGTCAGGCTCAATCTGACCGGTGACAATGTGGTTGTATTAATACGACTGCTATATACCAGCTCATATGTAGCAAGCTTCTTCGAACATGATATCAAGCTTGTGATATACCTACCACAACAGAGGGCCACAATCAGTTCACTTTCACTGCAGGCTCTCGAGATCATAGAATGACATTTGATTTAGTGTAGTCAACAATGCAGAGTCAGTAGAATAGAGCTACATATATGTGGAATGAAGTGTGCTCCTCGACATCCAGAAGGACATGCTACATGAAAAGAGGAAGAGCACGGAATTAATGCACAGTGATAGGGTATTAACAGCATCTGTGGTGCATAGTGTACAAAATACAGAGCAAAGCGTCATCTCCGACCGAGTCCACACGATAAGCTGTGTCAGAGTTACAATGCAAAGCCAGCAAAGGGATTCGTTATCCGTTTCACCTCCGTCGGAGATACTGCGCAGGTGTCGTCGTCAAACGGAGTCGCAAACGGGTTTATGGTGTTACTGGACTTCCGTGCGTGAGTATTCGTGAGAAGCCGTTTTACGGGGGTGACGGATTTTGGTAGAGATGGCGGCGCAAGCCCCAGCTGGGGAGGGGCTATCACTGGCTTGTTCTTAGTAGCGAGGAGCGCAGCTTGCACTTGTGACGGGTAGAGCGTTAATGGGACAGTTGCATGCTGTGGGGGCGCCCGCTCGAAAGCGTGATGAAGCGGCATGGCGAGCGGGCTTGGTTCCTTAGCCTGCGAAGAAGTGAAGCCATATTCGTCGGATAACTCAACGTCAGTAGGCACGCTGGCTTTCCTGCGCTGCTCTGGATGGAGTGGTGGTGAGGAGAAGGAAGGAAGCGCTGGGTTCTTGACAGGAACTACGTTCTTCATCCATGGCAGAGAGGGTGCAGTCGGCGAGACAGACCAAGCAGAGGGAGGCTCTTCTCGAGTTGGAGACCGCTCAATGTGTGGAAGATCATCTGGTTTGAGCGAGGAAGCATGTGCGATCGAAATTGTCAGTTGAGGTCTAGAAGGTCGGGCCATTGGCCTATCCGCGACAAATTCCTCAGAGGGAGCAGCCTTCTTAGCAAAGAGGTTCGTCAAGGGCTTGAACCAGTGCGACCTGGGTTGTTCATCTTTCGCCTCTGAAAAGTCCTCTCTGTCCTCACTGTCACCATCCTGCTTCTTCTTTCCGAGAGTCATCAAACGCATCAGCCTGCCGCGAGGGGGTGTTGAGGGTTGCTGCTCAACTTTCGGCTCAGCTCTCTCGTGGAAAAAGCTATCCCAGCTTTTCTCAAACCGAGGTTCAAGGGATTTCAGTGGATGATTGGCAGACCGGCTGAACGGATTAAGGCTGAATGCTGAACGCGGTTCAGGAAGAGGCGTAAACGAACGAAGACCCATATCAGGCGTCTTTTCGCCCTTCTCCGAATCCTTGCTGAGGTGAATGATGGGCGGTACATTGGGAAAGGCTGCTATAATATCATCGTCGCGTTGCGCTTTGCGCCATTTACGCCTCTTGTACGCCTCAACCCAATTTCTCGCATAGGAATGCCAGAAAACGACAGCGAGACCCATTAGTACGACGACGCCCCAGAGAATCAAAAACAGGGCAAACATGATTCGTTCCTGCTTGAGGGAGTCGACATACGTCGCCACAAGCCTTCCGACGAGACCGCCTGAGTCACTTTGCCCGCCACCAAGCGCAGCGGTTGCAATTGGCTGAGTGATCTCATTGACATTGGACGACGAAAGCACCAAGACGGTCTCGTTGACAGTCGGAAGATCGATATTCAAGTTCTCGTTCAGAAACGTGAGTGCCTCTTCGAGTGCATCGACCTTCGAGCCGATGATGCACCGGACGAAGTCCTGCGCAGTGTTCTCCAGAACGGTGCCATTGAACACACTCCCGACGATATTCTGAACATCGGTGTAGAAGTTGTTCAACGTCGTATTGAGTGTCGTGGTTGTGCCATTGACCCAGCCGAACAGACCGTTGTTGACGGTGGATTGAACAGTCTCAACACGTGCGTTGATGGTGCCAGCGTACGATGAGGACTGGTTATACATTGAACTGTTCACCTGCGCAAATATCGTGCTAGACAGATCCTGCACACTCGCAGCCGCTTGTGCAGTGTACTTTGCTTCCAAAGGGCCAACGGCAAGAAGCTGCACCTGAACGGAGAGTAGACCAAAGAAACCGATCAAGAAGCAGGCAAGTGCAGGCGCATGGAAAATGTAGTGCAGAAACCATCGCAAATGAGTGTGCTGTGAAGGGGACATGCGCAGTTTGACTGAAAGGGTGTTGGCTATGCGAGTAAGCAGTGGATGTTCTGCATCCGTCCGGAGCATGAGAAGATTGTGGTTGGTGAGCGTGACAGAAGGTGCGCTAGCGGAGCCGGTATACACCGTGGTGGGATCAGAAACCCATGCCTCACGAGTGCGACGGAGGTGAAACTGCAAGCAACGCCACTTGTACCACTCGAGGGCACAGTGCCCTGCTAGCAGGGCGAAGAGAAGAAGAATCAATATAATGGTGCCAATCTTCGTAATCATGAGGAGGTCATTTCCGAGATCGTCAACTGAAGAAGTGTCCAAATTGTTGCAAAATGAAACTGTGTTCTGAGCAGGGACGGGAAGCGTCGATACATCAAAGACAATGCCTTGGAACGTGCTGTTGATATCGGCCTTCACGGCCTCGAAAGGTGTATCGACGCTAATGCGGGTTAGTAGACGTAGATGCTCATTTTGGTGTAAGACATACAGAGATTCAATAGAGTTCTTGATCGACGATACAGTTGGCAGTGAATTGTTGAGCTGAATCAACGCATTCTCAAAATCCGTTGGGATCGTAATACTGGATAGAGAGTCCAGGCTCGAGACGTTGAATTGTGGCGCATTGATTTTCCCGAAAGGATTGACCTTGTTGAGCTCATTGACGACGCTTGTAATGGCAGAGTTTAGCGAGGTGGCATCATTCTTCAAACCTGACACAGTGGCGTTTAGGGTGCTTTGCAAGAAAGAAGTGATCTAAGCTGTTGTCAACGAAAATTCATTGGAAGGCAAATTTTTCATACCTCTTGAACAGCAGCAATGAGGAGTGCAAGCCCACCTCCAACAATCAGTTCGAGGAAACACAAAAACGTGGAGCGGTAGATATCAATAAGGAAGTTTATGATCGCTTCCATAACAGTCAATGATAGAATCAGAGCTGCGCGCGCGTCATTCATGGTGCCGTTGATAGTATCTGTGATTAACTGATTTGAGGCAATTGCCATATACCGCGGTGCACTGGCCGCCGCTGTAGCAGCTTGCTCTGCTGCTTGACATGCGGTCAAGAGGTCACCCTTTGCATTAGCTACCGCAGATTGGGCAGATTGGGATGAGAGCTGGAGCCTGAATATCACAAAGATGAGGGAAAGAATTGGATATGCTAGCCAGGCTAGGGAAAGGATGTGTGGGAGTTGAAGGTAAGGTCTGAGAGTCGTGCTCGAAGTCTGTATTGTAGAACGAGCGTCATAAACTGGCGGAGGGGATATTCCTCTCTGGTTGCGAAAAGAGAAGGACATCTGGAATGATGATGGTCGACCTGCGACGTCGAATAAAACACTAGTTGCCAACTAGCGGCCGTCAGTGAAGAGAGAAAGACAGGATAATTAACAAGAAAGAGCCCTGGGAGAAGCGCTGGAGCAACCCATTCTTTATTCTTTTGAGAACCACATCATCATTGTCGCAGCATAGTGTGTCCTCCATCTTCATTGTTCCTCAAGAGGATTCCGAAGGAGGACGAAGCACAATAAGCAGCTCACAATTAGGTAATCTTGTTGATGGTCGGAGTTTGATATTTCCGGCGGCAAATCCGAATATTATTATAAGGCGTATAGCCGCAAGTACTTAACCACAGCTTGTATTGCATCGGATCATCAGTTGTTGTCTCGCCAAAGACCAGGGCTGGCATGGTGAGTATCCACTAGCAGTGCACAATACCCGAAGGCCTCACGTCGTTTTCAATATCACCCCTGAAATTCGACTAAAAGTAGCTTGGATTGTCGAATTCTTCAGACGTTTCGACTTCATGCCCTCCTTGTCCCATGTGAGCGCGTGTGAGCGCACACCCCTTCACAAACTTATAAACTCCTTGTAATCTAGCGTTGGGAATCCCTTCCTTTCCCACGAGAAATGAATATTGGTCCGTGTCCAAAGGGTTTTCCCCGTCTTTGCGGAGTCTTGTTGGCATCCGCACTTCCCCTCTCGAAACGCTCGACATATACGCACTCAACTCGTAGTCATGTCGTTCATACCTACCTGGCGCTCGCGATCATCGGGAACATTGTTGCACCATTCCTTTATCTCCGACTGTCCTTAGTACTGACGCGAATGGCACATTTTCGTCAACGCAATTCGACGTGGCAAAAGCTGACTCGCACCTCCTTCGAGGTCATCTTAAGTCCCATATTTGGTGTGCTGCCATCCTTATGCGTGACCACTACGGTAAATTTGTGCAGATTTGCACATACGGCGCGCCGCCGAAGGAGAAACGTACTCTTGAGAACAGACGGAAGAAGAATACGCCAGCTAGAATGATATCTGCTGACAAGCGCAGAACACGTCAGCTTCACTGACCATCTTCCGATTATGATGAGACGATGCACAACATTCAGTCTATGTATCATCATGATCCACTTTCACACGAGTCGGATTGATTGATGGCATGATCATGATGCCCGCTCCACTACTACATGAGTCATGATACATGACCCTGAGCGCCCTGGTACTACAGCTGATGTCTCGTTTCAGATTAAAATCCGCAGCCCATTCTTATAACTTGTCTTCATACCACCATGAACGAGAGCCTTGTCTCCAAGTACAAAGACATCATCACCTCCAGAGGATTGACTTACCACTATCTGTCTGTGCCAGCTGTGGATGACAAACCCACTCTACTCTTCGTCCATGGCTTTCCCTCTATTTCATACGATTGGTATCATCAGATCAAGTACTTCTCCGAGAGGGGATTTGGCGTAGTAGCGCCCGACATGCTCGGATACGGCGGCACGTCTAAACCCACCGATATGTCCTTGTTTCTGCACACCGCAATCGCGCAAGACTTGCTCGACATTCTTGATGCCGAGAAAGTCCAAAAAGCCATAGCCGTTGGGCATGACTGGTAAGATATAACTGAACGTGCACCAGCTAAATTCAGACCTGTCATCAGGGGCACACGCATAGTCTCCGTCCTGTCAATGAAGCACTCTGACCGATTCTTGGGTTTCGCAGTGGGTTGTGTTCGCACACCAAATATACACCCCCTTACCTCCCATCGATGTTGTTTTGGAGATGAATGTTAAGACATTCGGCCGGCCACTACTGGGGTACTGGAAGTTTTTCGAACAAGAGAGCGCTTCTCAAATCATGGAGAAGAACGTGAGCGCCCGACCAACGTCCTGATCTCTTGTTATTGATGAAACGCAAAGCTGGAATCATTGATTTCCGTGCTTTATCCGGATGACCCAGATATTTGGCTGACTCTGATGAATCAACCCGGGGAGATACAAGCCTTTATCGAAAGTGGAAAGATGAAAAAGAGAGCCAGTTATCTCACAGACGAGGTGATTCTTATTCTTGTCTGGCTTGTCAGAATTGACTGTGTTCGTAAACTATAGCACCACTCACGCTTGTTGGAGTCACTTAGGAAAGGTGGGTTAGCGAGTGCCATGAACTGGTACAAGTCTACGCTCGGTAGCGTCAATTCCCGCATTATGGAAGGTGCGACACGATGTCCATCTCATTGCTCGATATTGCATTATCTGATTTCGTTTGGGTGCTTTGACAGACATACCAGAAGAAAATCAGTTCATCAAGAAACCCGCGTTCTTTGCGGTCGCAAGGAAAGACCACGTATGTGTGTATGATTACGGCGTGCCCCAAATGAAGCAATATGCGACGGGAGGTCTCCACATGGTAGAGTTCCAAGGAGGACACTGGGTTCAGTTGGAGGAACCAGAAACGTTCAACAGAGAGCTTCATGGTTGGATTCGCGATACGTTGCAACAAAATTGTTGAAGAGCACAGGTGCCACATCAGGAAAACGACAGGTTCCTTTTTTCACCTTATGTTACTTATTTTCGTTCAGAAGATTTTTCAGCCAACTTAATCATTGCTTTTTCTACTTGTGAAAAAGCAGTTTGAGCTTCCAAACAAGTTCACGATACTAGACTGAAAAAGTCTAAAATGCGATTTCAAAGGAGTGATGATCTGCATATTTGTTGACATAAAAACGGTTAAAAATATCATAGGTTTGATGATGGTGATGTTGAGCAGGAATAACTCGAGTACCATATACAGGAATAAGGTGTGCGGCGCGGTAGATTGAATCAATATGAATGACGGAAATATGGGGCGTGTTGTTGTTATTATGAGCAGGCTGTACAACCCACATTCCAGTGTCTTCATTCGGCAAGTCTCCAATGTTATCGAACCACCGCACAACTGCGCACGAGTATAATTCTCGCTTGTAAGTAAAAGAAAAAAATGTCAGTACTGGTGCAACATTCATGCCCCTCATACCATCGAGACCTGCATTTGTGTTGACGAAGACACAATCAAACCGAGGATGCTCGTTTCTCCATATTGGACATGCGCGAATATACTCGCGGCGCATGCCCCCAATACCACTGAGATCACTTGGCGCAAAAAATCTCGAGCATGCAGAATTGAAAACACTGATTTTGTCGTCGAATTGGGGACAGTAAGCGAGGGGAACCTTTGACGGATCACGGGGATCATTGGGGTTGAGTTGACCAAAGAGAAAGCGACGCAGAAGATTCGAGAGATGCGGGATTGATAATTCAATTGCTAACGCAGCAATAGTGCGAGCACGTTTACGTTCTAAATCATATTTTAGTGTAGTTTGACAGTGACAGGTGCTCAATGACTCACGAAGTGTTTTGGCCAACTCCACGTGCGCTTCAACATTTGTTGGTCCATCGTCGACTTCGTTATCGTTGTCGTCATCGTCGTCCACTGTGGTATTGACAGCCTGAGTGTTGGCAGCTTCATCTGGTGCCGTGAGATTGAGGGCGCGCAGTCGTTCTATTTGAGTATCAGCGAGAGTACAATAACAATAAAGTATTTTACTTACCCACTTCGAGGACAGCTGCAGAAAGGCAAGTACCATCAAGCATCTTGCGTTGAGTAAAATCAGCACGCGATGCTGCGAGCTCGTCGAGGCGTTGATTTGTGACCAACATTTGGCCCAGTGCCTCATACCGACTGGAGCGCCTCCACGGCTCCTTCACAGCTTTGATATGCTTAGCTTCAGTGATCGAAGAGCATAAACCATTCGGGGCCCCAAAAAGTCGAATGAGGTGTATGTAGTGTTGAAGGGAATGCTGGCGAGGGAGCAAGAATGTCGAAATAACATCGAGTGTTTCAAAAATTTGCCGGTACCGATAAAACCGGTCAAGTGCCTCCTGGATTTGCTCGAGCGTCTTCTCCGTGATTATGCTGCGTCGGACAAAATAACAGAATTCGAGAAAGGCTCGAAATGTCTTGACCATATCCACAGGAACGTATCCATCGATAGCAGATAAGTATACCTATAACAATATGTCAGTAAGATATCAGTAGTCCGATATACAAAAAACATACCTTCATGAGTGCTTTTGAGTCGTCACCTGTCCACTGCTTGAAGCCTCGTCCTTGTGGGAAGCGCCGAAGACCAGCAAAGGCCGGAACAGCAGCGATTCTACACACAACTAGTTCAATAGATAGTACCCATGATAAAATGAATCATTTACCTTCGATCAATATCATCCATGATGCGCTCAGCATCTTTCTTCGAGTGCGTCTGGTAGAGGTACTTCTCAATCCAATCAACCAGGTGGTTTTTGAATGTCCCTTTGATAAGCTGGTGAAGGATATCGGGGGCAATGAGTTCATGGATGTCGGCGCGAGCAAAATCATTTGTAAAGGGCTGATATAAAGTGTTAACGCGTCATGAAACATAGTGCGAAAGGTAGGGCTTACAACAAGATCACCAACGATGCCGTATTCGTCCCATAAGGCATCGAGAGTACCCTCCTCGACAAGTACATCTGTATGATGCCGACAGGGCCAACCTGCTGGCTCGTCTAGATTGATACGTGAAGACAAACATCTGTACAGTAATTAATTAAAGTAGTTGACTAAAGAGATGAACAATTACATACCTTGGGCACCAACCACGCACGATGCACGTCAATAAGACTTGCTCCTCGTAGTTGTAAGGCTGTTAGTGAGTCCGACGGGGATTGTCGTACTAAAACGAGAGTAGAAGAGATCGTGCTTTTAAATGATAGAGTTTCGACGAGACGGAATGTGCTTTGAACGAGAGGACTTTCTGATGGACTGAGTGCGTGAATCTAGCGGGAGAGCAAAAGACTGATTCTTGTCAATGTACATGGCGTATTTTAAGCTGTAAGGTAAAAGGGTCCTTGACGTTACGGAAAACGAGAGTTATGTGAGACGGAGAATGGTGGCGCTGAGCCTGCCAGGGTAGAGTAGCGGGAATGAGTGAGAGTACCACAGCTTGCATCAGGGAATCTGTCCCTCCTGAATTTCTAATAGATCACGATAATTTTCGATAAATCTGGAGTATTATTTCAATTTATGAGCTTCAGGACGACTAGGAAAAATATGTTTCCTAGGAAGACTTTTTTACCTCCTCCTCCATGATTTAAAATTATCAAAATTAGTTGATATTTTGCGTAAAATCATCGTGAATTGCAGATAATTGCAGGAAGTATATACAGTGATCCCACGGTCCTTTGTACACAACCACTCTACTGTACAATTAAATTTCCTCGATGAGTTCTTCATCAAGTCCTTGCAAAAACTATATCATAATATTCAGAATATGTTCTGCTATCTAATGGTACCAAAAAATATAGTCTTCAAATTTAGAAAATCATCGGAATCTGCAAAACATCACTCCAGAGCAACATGTTAGAATTTCACGAGCATCGAAAACTCATCATTGCACCCAGTTTCACCCCTTCCACTTCATCTGCAAACATTACAAGTGTATTGGAAGTAGTAGAGATGATTTTAGTCAAAGTTTCATTGGTGCTACTACACGTTGTGATCCACGAGTGATGGAACGAGTTTGTTACCCAGACTAAGCTTGGACACGAGGTGCCTTTTTGACTCGGTCTTGCTCAACATCCTTCGTTCACTGCCAGTATTCAACATATACCTTCAAACTACCCATATAGTCTTTCAACATGGTTGGGAGGCCAAAATCGTTGACGAAGAAGGCACAGGTCTCACGTGAGGAGAAAGAGAAAGTCATGGCTCGTGCTGTGGCGAAGTACCAAGCTGAACTTGCAAAACCAAGCTCGGAGAAGAAACAAGGCCTTCGTAAAGTGTGTATGGATGTTCAGAAGGCATACCTCAAAGAAACGGGACAATTAATCAGTTTAAATCATAATACTCTGGCAAATCTCGCCAAGGGAGGGATTCGACTTAGTGAATTCAATAGCTCCACGAAAAGCTGGCTCACACCCACAGAAACAGACAAAGTTCTTGAATACATCGTCAAAATGGCTAGACGTGGCTTTCCGCTTAGCCACAAGTGTCTCAAGGAACATGTTGATGAAATCTGTCGAGCTCAACTTGGAGATGCCTTCCCAGAGTCTGGAGTGGGAAAAAACTGGACTCAGCATTTCGTTGAGAAGCACTCCGACCATCTACGAGCTTACCGAGCACATTCACTTGATGGTGCTCGTGGCCGTGCCATGAACCCAACAACTAACAATGCATGGTTCGAAATGTTGAAGGATGTCCTGGAGAGTGGTGACAACGGCGAGCCCATGGCACCAGAGTGTATTTGGGGTGTTGATGAGACTGGAATTCAACCAGGAGGTGGAAGCTCGCAAGAACGAGCTCTCAGTGGAGCTGGAAAACAAGTCCAGTATCAGCAGTGAAATGGCAATCGTGAAAATATTACCGTTTTGGTCACAATCTGCGCAGATGGGAGTACAATCACACCTGCAGTGATCTTCAAGGGGAAGGCATATCAATCAAAGTGGAATGAAAAAAATCCACTCAAAGCATTGTGAGTCATGTGTCATCTTATGTCATGATCACACCTATAACATGGTTCCTCGTAGTATTGGTTATTCAAAGAAGGGTTGGACTGACGGCGAGATTGGTGCACTCTGGATCAAGCAATTCGATGAGCAAACACTGTGAAAAAGCAAATGGTCGTGCTCGCCTACTTCTCGTCGATGGGCATAATTCTCACTACACTTGTGCATTCCTGGAGTATGCTCGACAGCACCGAATTCATGTCCTTTGCTATCCTGCACACAGTATGCACATCTATCAGGGCCTAGATGTTGCAGTGTTTGGTGTCCTTAAACAGTGTTGGTCAGAAGAACGAGACAAATGGGAGCGCGAGAAAGGAGAGAAAGTTACGAAGAGCAACTTCCTTGCTATCTATGGTGCTGCCCATGTTCGTGCACTCACGCCAGAGACCATTAAATCCGTGTTTCGAAAAACCGGTGTATGGCCTTTCAATCCTAAAGTTGTCACAGATGAGATGTTGGCTCCCGCTCGTGAATCATCTAACCAGGGACACCTCCCGATCACTCCCAAATCACCCATTTGAGCTGTTTTGGAGCTGTTTAGAGACCTGCAACCCAGGGCAGAAACTCGTCATTGTGGTATGCAACTTGCTACAATTGCCGAAGAAGATGGTAGTAGTAATGACGAGACAACTCCAGGTAATTCTCACTGTTTGCGTTCCGAAGATTGGATCAATAATTTATCAATCAGCAGATGAGAACACTTACAAGAAAAGTAATCCTTTTCAGATTAGTGGTAGAACCATTCACGATGTCTTCGCACGACTTGAAGAAACATCTGCTCGATTCCTTATATCATCATCTCCTATCAAATCAAGTTCAAGGTTGCCTACCATGCCACTAGCAATAATCTCGCCCGTTAAACGCACGCCAAAATCAAGGTTGCACTGCAACATGTCCTCAAAGTCAACGAGGGAGAAAAAGCTCGAGGAGACAGTCAAAAATCTCACCAAGCAGGTCACAATGCTCAAAGAGCATGTAAGCGCCCTTCAAGCGACTGTAATTCTCCAGGGACGCTACTGCGATTGAGTTCACCGTCATCTCGAGACACAAGAGAAGAAAGGCTGTCAGGACAGTGACAACATCAAGTTGAATGGAGATGGTATGCCGAGGCTACTTACCAGTGACGAGGTCTTCGAGAAAGTCGTGCAATACCAGGAGCATCAACAGGCAAAAGCAGCCAAGAAGGAAACAAGGAAAGCAGCACGGGAGGCACGAACACAAGAGATGACAGTGTGGATTCAAGAGGATGAGGCAAGAAAAAATCGAAACAAAGCCAAGACCGAGCAGTGGAAGGTAGCTGTTAAAGAGTGGGAGGCCGAGCAAGTGTTGGCGAAGCAAGAAAAGCGAAAACCACGATGGAAGAAGCCTGTCCGTGGACCACTCGAGAAGCCTTGTCCTAAGCCAAAGAATCCAAGGAGAAATGGTGGAATTGTTGACAAGGAGGATGGGCAAGATCAAGGAGAGTTCATTGACATTCACGAAGGGTTGATTGGTGATGACAGCGAGTACGAGGATGACGACGAGTAGGATGAACAGCGAAATGTGACATGTGTGACACGTTGTAACAGGGTTGTCACACCGACTGTACAAACAAATTGGGAAGGCGAGAAAATGACTTGCTCGACTGCGTGAAGTGCTGCAAACTACACAGGACTCAGGATATTTCAAAAAATTGGTAGAAAGTAGATAAAACCCTGCTCTGTCAGACGTACCAGACCATTTTTTCTATATTGAAGATGACATACTATCACACTTGTTTCTTTATTTCACCGTCCAAAGGAGCGGTTGATCACTGTATCAAACTTAGGTTTGAAAATCACGTATATCAGACAGCATTACAAGAAAAAGACTAATATTTGATTAAAAGACACGTATAAAAGTCAACACAACCAGGACATGCAAACAGGAGAGATCAACGAATCAGTAATATTGGGTATATATCAGCGCCCTTTGACCTAATCCTCAGCCATTCCATTGAGGTCAAGTAGCACCAGTGCATCTAATGATGTTCCGGCCCGGCTTGGCTCGAAAGCCATGGCTTCGGCCTGGCTTCAGACGGCTTAGGCTTGCGAAAATTCGAGGCTGGGCCAAAGCTGCCAGTGACGGCTGGCTTTGGCTCGGCTTTGGCCTGAGCTGCGGCCCAAGTACTGAAAATGGAGAAACATGTTCAGCAGATAATTTACATCATGGAGTCAGCATCTGATTCTACAAAATCCTCATCTCCCTCCAGAAGAGCATCCCAGCCCTCCTCATCCCCATCTTCGACATCACTCAGCTTCTCGTTAGCATCCATTTCAATATCAGAGTCCTCGAGAGCTTCCTCAGTTGATGACGAGGGTCCAGGCTCGTGGAAGAGTAGATCATGGCGGAGGGCACATTTGACGCACTGTAGTGCCTCAACGATGTCGCCTTTGAGGCGGTTGCGGTGCTTGCTAATGGTAATACCACCCTGTGAGAACGCGCGCTCACTCGAAACTGATGACGCCATAATTGAGAGGTAGTCACGAGCTAGTGAGGTCCATACTGGGCCATATCTGTGTCCATTAATCTACAACAAAGCGAAAAAAATACCATCACAGATGCACGCCTTTTGTCCGAAAACAAATGTGCTAGCTGCCAAGCTTGCAAGTCGCAAGAGACTCGTAAAAGAGGGCAAATTACTGAAATTGATCTATCCACCAGCAACAAAGTGAGTTATGTCGTGCTTGGAAAGAACAAAGATCAGCAACTCACTGTCATGAGCTCATACAATGGTAAGTGAAAGTCTAAAATGGGATAGAAGTGGGATTCTGGGGTCGTCAAGTGAGTGGTGTTTGCGACACTGCAGGCACAGTTCTGTGTGACATAAGCCACGGCTTGAGCCGCCGGCTTCGGCTTCTCAAAATCTCAGGCCAGGCCAAAGCCGTCACCAAGCCGTGACTTTGGCCTGGCTCGCCTTGGCCTATTCAGGCCTGGCTTGGCCTGGTCCATGACCTGAAGCCGGGCCATGCACATCACTAAGTGCATCTTGATGCTCACTGACCATATGATTGTTCCCCTTTCATTTCAAGACCCTTGTAGCAGTGTCAGTATTGTGGCACCATGCACACCAGCGAAACTTACTGTACAGCTTCATAAATGTCGGCCATCATGCAGTGAAACTTCCCAGGTGCATCCTTCTTTAAGTTCTCGAGGAACTTGACATGAAAAATATATGTTCTACTGAATTGGTTCCCAGTAAAGTTGAACTTTCCTGGTGAACCGAGTGTCTTCCAGAAAAGAGCTGCATACACCTTGAGAACGAGTCAGTATAAGATGAATACCTAGAAATAAGGATATTACCGCTGTCGCCACAAGTGCTAGTATTGAAATTGGTATTTCTGGGCGATTGGCCTTGTTACGACTGATTTTGATGAAGCGCTCAGTGAACTTGACACCAATAGACTTTGCTCCAATGAAGACTCCGTCACATAAGAGAAAGATCAGTAGGTCACCCTGGTAGGGCTTTTCCCTATGGGTGATGCATCGTCATTGGCCTGTTGAAGAGGGATGTAAGTTAGATGACTGTGATAACTGAGCAGCGGTAATATGTAGAAGGGAATATGATAGAGGATGGAGCAGCGGACTGAAGTGGTGATATGTAGAAGGGAATATGATAGAGAGCAGAGGACTGAAGCAGTGATATGTAGAAGGGAATAGTGATGTTCCGGCTCGGCTTCAAGCCCTGGGCCATGTTACGACTTGGATGGTATCTGTTGGCGACGCTCAAACAGAGCTTGTGTCGTCAACGTTCTGTGGACGTCCTTGGGCTAGCCCAAGGTTAGGGGTCGTACTTGGCGTGTCTTCGGCAAGTACGATTTGACGCCTATGTCCAAATCGGGTAGCTTATGTCACGCGGGTGCGAGACGATAAGCAATATCGGCCTAGGCTTACGACACCCGAAGGTTAATCGTAAGGATCGTCGTTAATTAGAAGGACAGAAGTCTGACTAGTTAACAGGGGCTTTGCTCGTCGACGAAGTCGATGAGTAAAGATCGAGACTATAGGCTTATCCGCGATGAGCAGATAAGAAGATAGAATATAGACTGCTGGCGAGGCAGAAAGGATCACTCTGGTGAGAGTAGGAGGTCAAGAACCAAGTAGATTCAAGTTAGGGAATATAGTACATGGTAGCGAGTTTATATAGAGGACAGGAGACGTATTAGTGGATGATAACTCGTACTACCGGGAGAGGCAATCGGTGAAGGGTAAGACCATAACAGGAAGGCACGTTCGGTCTAGGTAGAACGTGCTAGATAAGAAAGTGAGTCAAAGATAGAAAATAAGAAGTGAAACGCGCAGGGGCACGATCGTGCAACTGCGGGTCTAAGTATAAGTTGCATGTGCGACTGCGCACCGAGTCAGAGATCATAAAAGGGAACAGGGCAAAGGGGATGCGTCGTGCATCATGTCATAGGCTACCGTCCAGACGGTAAGGGCAAGGGGACTGTCCACAGGATCAGTCAGGTGGTGAAACGGAGCACGGGTATGCTTCATCAGCGAAAGGATCTGGCCAAATGTACTGGCTTTGCTGAAGCGACAGGTAGAGGGCGAAAGGGAATGCGAGGATGACAAGGATGACAAGGGTAAGGTCGGGGTAAGGGTATGATGCGAGGGCTGATACGAGGAGGATTAGGAGGAAAATAGTAGGGGCCCAAGCGTCTAGATGTTCTTGTAACAGGCCAGGCCCAGCCCAGGCCTAGGACACGGCCTGACCAGGGCTTTGGCCCAGGCTTCAATTTTGCGAAGCCTAAGCCGCCGGCCCAAGCCGTGGCTTAGCAATCTATTTCGGTATGTAAGTTTCTGTTTATGTTTATGTTGTTCTGACAATTGGTATCAGCTTCTCAATCAATCATACCATGAGGTATGTCAGAATGAGATTACAGTGAGTCGCCGTTGTCATGTTATTAAAGCTCGCTGATATTTACCCCGGTCTTGAAAAGCAAACATTCAGCAATCCATGTGCCTCTACAGTCTTGCCTGGCACTTCAACTTCGCTACCTTCGCAAACTTAATCTGTTTTCAAATCACATTTGATTTTTTATATGTGGTACATGTATATGTGTTGTATCTACCTAGCAGCCTGCAATGACCAGCACAGTCCACACAGATAATGAAGATGAACCTATCGTGCATTCTCGTCCCATGCGCAGGATCAAACTCACTGCTGCTCTCCTCCAACACTCGGAGAAGGCCGCCCTTCCATCCCAAACCAAAGCCATCAATGAATTCCATGCCACGGAGGCAGCCAAGCGTGCTTTGGAGGTTTCTGGCCAACCCAAGCCTGTGCCTCCCCCACCCTCACCTATTCCCTCGTCCAACAAACACTTGCATCCTGATGATGCCTTCATTGACATCGAAGACGAATCTGACGACGAAGACCACAACTCGGTCCGTGAGAATGCTCGTACCAACCCTAAGCCTCATAGAAAGAAACAGAAGGCTCCAGAGAAGTCCCCTGAGTTGGTTGAATGGAGATGGGGTTCTCATTGACGTCGATGTCTCTATTGCAGACCCAGGATTGTCTCGGGAAGGCAAATTTGGAGCAACATTTGAGCAAACCGGGGCCAATGGCAAAGTGAAGAAACACCAAAAGTGCAGTGTTTGCCCATAAGTCTACCTTTGTACTCTCATACTACTCACTCACTCGTTTGTAGGAAAAAATGTGTCCTCGTCAATGAAATCACCACCCTTCGTCGCCATGCTGAGGCCCATTTTTCCAGCAAGTATTGCAAATGGGCAAACCAACATTCATTCAAATCAATGTTACTTGGCGACGTGAAGGCTCGCAAGGAGAATGCTGCGCAGCAGAGGATCAATGCCCATCTCACTGAACACAAGTCGTACCATATTCTGACAAGTTGTTCAGACAAGCTGCCATTGAATGGCTAGTGGCAACTGATCAGGTACGTCTGCCTTCCTCAATTCAAAACCATGACTGACAGCTTATTCTTCTAGCCTCTACAAGCGCTTGAGCACCCCAAATTTCAAGAGCTGATTCATGTTGCTTCTCGTGCAACCAACGGAGTCAGGATTCCGGGTAGGAAGGGCACTTGTGCCGAAATTATGAGAATGTTTAAAAACCACCTTATGAGGCTAAGGACCATGCTGAACGTGAGTGATTTGATGTCTGTTTGTTGTATTTTGTCTCATTGGGCTTCATAGAGTGCTGCTGTCAAGGGAAACATTAATACCACCTGCGACACATGGCAAGCGGAGAACGTTGACGGTTATTTTGCTGTCATGCAGCATTGGATTGAAGAGAAGGTACCCATGCAATGGGAAATTGAAAGCTCACTCCTTGGGTTCATGAGAGTCAACAATGCACACAGTGGCAAGCAGCTGGGCGGGGCCTTATTCAAAATTCTTGATCGTGTTGGGATTGCACAGAAGGTAAATCAGTTTATTTGACTATGACGTCCTACAGCGCTCATATAACTTAGCTTGGGCATGTCACCTGCGACAACACTGCAAACAACGGGATGACACTACAAGAATTTGCATGCATATACGAGGCTAAATATACAAAGTGTTTCCCTGGCGCCAGCGCAAAATCAAGTAAGTCCTGTCAAAGTCCTGTCATTGTCCGAACTCGCTATGACACTCATTATTTGTGCAGCTGCTTGGCTCATGTCATTAATCTTGCAACACAGAGTCTGATCAGCACATACAACAAAGCACTGTATTACAACCCGCACGAACTGAAAAGTCATGAACTGACCACTAGGGATGAGATAGCCCTTGTTTGAAGTATTTGCGTCAAGGTACATTCATTTTCATTAGAATCATATGACACTACTAAGATATATTGATGTCCTGCAGGAACGGTCATCCACGAAGCAAAAGGAAATGTACTGGAGTGTGCAGACCAAAGCAGGAGTGTCTCAACCAACCCAAATGTTGATTGACATAAAAGTTTGTTGGTCCTTGACATACATTATGCTTAATCGTGCCGAGACAAACAAGGAGGTACATATTTCATGTTGTCATACTTCTACTCATTGATGCTTATGATCGGCTCTAGCACATTGATACTTTCGTATATGAGATAGGTTGTCAAGAGCGTGACTTGGCAAAACATGCCAAAATCGACTTTCTTCAACTCTCCGCTGGTGAATGGACACGCGTTGGCCAATTCGCTGATCTTCTTTCAGTACGAGAGTTTCTAATTTATGTGTACTAACTTCTTATGTTAATTTGTTTAGTATTCCAATGTCACACAGCAAGCATTTTCATCTGAACGTGGCTCGACTCTGCATCTCGCAATCCCAGCGCTTGAAACCCTCTAGAGGGCTTGGTCTTCGCGTGCTGAAAGGTCAAAGTATGCATCGTTCGCTATGTCCCTTCAAGCAGCTGCTGCCAAGGTAGATGAATACTACGAGAAGACAATGCTGTCCCCTGCATATATAATGGCAATCTGTAAGTTGTTATTCATTAATCAATAATCACTCTAATGCTTGCAAATGTAGTGCTTGATCCAGTAGGGAAAATGACTTATTTCAAGTGCCACTGGCCAGAAAATTTGCATGATAACGTGGTAAGCACTGCGGAGGAAGTGGTGAGTCAAGCTTTTTTTTGGCTTTGCACGATAGTCTGATTTTTCCGCCAGTTCAAAGCTCGTTATTGTGAGCTGAATGAAGACGCTACATTTTTGTCATCATCCCAGCCCATGTCCAAGAAAAGCAAGGCAGGTGGTCTCAAGTCACTCATCCGTGAAGTCATCAGCGATTCAGAGGACGACTTACTTATGAACCCCACCCCTACTTCCATTGGCGATCCATCATGGCCATGGAGGGCCGAATTCATGAGCTATTTGGAGACTGTTGAGGCAGCTCTACCAGCAGGTGTATCTGCCATTCGTTGGTGGGGGGTACGTTCTATGGCTTGTGCTACTTAGGAAATTCGCACTGATGTTAATTTTGCTCAAGATGAATGCACCAAGATATCCAGTATAGGGCCTCGCTCGCACAAGATTACCTATCCATCATGTCATCATCAGTCTCAAGCGAGTGTGCATTTTCACAAGGTGGCATAACCATCAGTAAACAATGGAACCTAGCTTAAAGGAGACATCGTTGAAGCTCTCCAATGTCTCAAATGTGCGATATGACATGACCTTCTCTTTCATGAGCCTGGACCATCCTCTCTCTCATGGAGGAATTTGACGACTCTGAATTGGAAGTTGACAGTGAGGAGAGGACCAGGGATGTTGTTGCAGATGAGGGGGATGCTTGGGATGCTTTGATTTTAGATGATGACGAGGACTCTGAGTAGTGTTACTACATGTATTTTCTTGTGCTACTATACTACGAATCTACAACTTTGCATACCACCAAGCCGCGGCCTAGTATGGCTCAAGCCATGGCTTTGGGCTGGGTTGGGCTCACAGCCTAGGCTTGAAATATGGCAAGCCTAAGCCCCCCCAGGCCGAGCCTAAGCCGGGGCTTTGAGCCCAAGCCAGGCCAGAACGTCACTAGAAGGGAATATGATAAAGAAATGGATGTTAGGGAGCAGCAGCAATATGTTGGAAGGGAATATGATAAGAACTCACAGTGGTGATATGTAGAAGGGAATATAATAAGAATGAATAAGGATGGAACTTACATCAAACCTCAAGGCATATACATAAGTGTGCTTCTCCATAAGTTTTTTTGCCTTGACTATGTTCTGGCCAAGACAAAAGTAGCTATTGATGTTGGCACATGCGGCCATTTTCAAGCCACGGTGCAATAAGGGAATGCGCGGCTCGACCTCAATAGTTCAAGACAGTTAGACAATATATTTGAGATGTGCAAAGGACTTACCAAGCTAGCAAGGTGAGAAGCGTACTGCACATCTTTTTGAAGACATTGTTTGATGGCATGTATGCCAAGATCCTGAGCCACCTTCAACAAAGATTGCAATGAGATCTGGTTTTTATCAACAAGTTCAGGATAAGCATTGATGAAGACAATGTGACACTTGGCATCAATAATCACATTCCGAATGACTCGACAAGTTTTGTGGTTTTGATCAAGTAATTTGATATTACCCTTCTCCATTCGAATGAGAGAAGCGACATTCTGAGCTGAACGAGCTGTGGAGGTAGGTTTGGGGGCACCTTCCAAATCACTGGAGTAGGGTTCTGAGGAATTGCCACATGTTGTACTAGTTTTGTCTACAGACTCTGAAACAGCATTGTCGACATCGTGCCATGTTGGAATCTAAATTGGAGTGTTTGTGGGTGAGGGATTATGTCAGTCAAGTCTAAATGACCAGGGCTCACCTCTGCAGTGTGTTTTTGGTCCCAGGCAGACTGGGATTTTCCACATGATTAAACATCGGACTTGACCTTGTCGGTGACAATGGATGGGACCTTCAACCGGATCAGTGCCTTGCTTACTAAGTAAACAAGTATCACTAACCTCGTCAGAGAGTATCATGGCCGTGGTCTCTGGTTCCTCGTTGTCACTCTCCTCATGCCCAGCATCTGAATCATCACCATTGGCGATTTCCACCTGCTCACCATCGGAGTCGAGCTCATCATCATCAAATAATGCAGTAACATCCTGCATGGCATATGTGCGATGGAGTTTGTTAGGTCGATACAAGCCTGTGCACATATACCATGAGTAAGACATCCTTTTGTGTTATATAGCCTACTATTACTAACCTTGAGGCTTTGCAGGTTCAAGTTCTAAGTCTGACTCAATGGCATCAGAATCACCTCCATCCTCCTCTCTATCATCCTCTGAGTCGTTTTAAACTGAACACTGACACTTACCACTTAGTTTGGAAGGCAATGGGGCCACTTTTGTAGTGTGTGGCACATCCTCTGAGTTGTTCAAAACTGAACACTGACACTTACCACTTAGTTTGGAAGGCAAAAGGACCATTTTTGTAGTGCGCATTGTAGTGCGTGGCACATCCTCTGATCAAAGGTGAGTATTTGATTCATGCATGAATAAAAAAATGTTACTGTTGGTACTGATGACCTTTTTTGCTTGGTGCTCAAGTGCTGGCCCAGCTTGATGAACTTTCCTTGACGTCTTAGGTATCCAAACTGAACTCACAGGTAAGCATTATATTTCAATCTCATTCAAAGTGGAAGCGCTTCCTTACTAGCGTTTTCTAAAGCTTTCTTCTTCGCATTTCGTGGCTCGCGAGTTGAAATAGGTGCGGACATGGTATACTATTTTGAAAGGACAGGAAGCTAACACAGATCGTTGGAAGAAATGTTAACATGAAAGAGTAGGCAGGAGATTGAAAATTTGGAGGGCGCTATTCAACTTCATTCAATTTATTAGCACATGGTGGTGCATTGCATTCCAGGGCAGTCGTTTTCGGAAGTTTTTGTTGTGAGCATGGGTTCAATTTAAATTTTACCTCAGACTCACCCTAGGAAAATAGGTATAACATTGATCGTAACACCAGAACTCGGGAGGACATTTGCACAGTGAGCACTGGCAATCTCTGCTTCCCTACCTGCATTCACCCACCACACAATGTCGACACAATGTCCTGCTTGTTCCTGCAATGATTTCACAGTCACTGGTCTCAGTCAGCATCTCGCAAAGAGCCGCAATCCACTTTGTCAAGCACTTTACCATCAGTCACACTCCCAAATATACACACAAATGGAGCCAAACAATCCTTATCATAACAAGTTGGAAGAGTTTGAAATGGATGGAGGTTATGGCGAGGATGAGTTTGTGTGGGCTGCAGAGCAAACCAGTGGTAGTTATGTGGATGATGATGACTCGGATGATCAATGCAATACTCATTGACCATGAACTTCCAACTAGCCACCCAAAGTTCAAAAGGGAACAGATTGTTGACGCTGGCGAAGCATTTGATGTCTATTACTGCGATGTGATTGAATGTGTCAGGTCACTGTACAGTGATCCTGACTTTGCCAGATATCTGGTTTTTGTCCCTGAGCGGCATTATGCTGATGAGGATAAGACAGTTCAGCTCTTTCATGATATGCATACAGGCAAATGGTGGTGGGATACACAGGTATGTAGGACTGAATTATGTCTACAAGATATTATACTTATGTGACAATACTTTAGAAAAAACTTGATCAGCACAGTCTGAGCGGCACCATCATTCCCATCATTATCTCGTCTGACAAAACACAATTAACCTTGTTCTGCAACAAGGCTGCTTATCCCATCTATCTCACTATTGGCAACATCCCAAAAGAAATTTGATGCAAGCCTTCATGCAGTGGTCATATCCTTCTGGCATATTTGTCATGCACACGACTTGAACATATTACCAACAAAGCTTTGCACCGCCAAACTATGGCAAACTTATATCATGCTTGCTTGCACTGTGTACTCGCTCAACTGAAATCTGTTGGACTTGATGGACTTTGTATGGCTAGCGGGGATGGCACTCTCTGCCATTGCCATCTATTATTTGCTAGCTTTGTTGGTGACTACCCAGAGCAGCTCCTTGCTACTGGGATCAAGTTCGGAGAATGTCCAAAATGCGATGTTGAGGCTGATGAAACAGGTAGCAACACAGCACCATTGCATCTACAGAAAATGAGCAAGGTGCTTGATGCCCTCGCTGCTCTTGATGACGGGAATCTATCCTTTGTTCGCGCTTGCTCAGCTGCAGGTATTAAGCCCATTGTCCATCCTTTCTGGGAAGATCTCCCGTTCACCAATATTTTCTGTGTGATCACACCGGATGTGTTGCACCACCTATATCAAGGCCTCGTAAAGCATCTCTTAGGATGGTTGTCTGCTGCTTGTGGACCAGCCGAGATAGATGCTCGTTGTCAGTGTCTTCCCCCCAACCACCATATCTGTCTGTTTAGGAAGGGCATCACTGGCTTGTCACATATAAGTGGGACCAAACATGCACAAATATGCTGCTTTCTCCTTGGTGTTGTCATTGGTATCTGTTTGCCCAATAATCTGAATGGAAGCCGACTTCTACGAGCAGTGTGGGGTCTACTTGATTTTCTCTATTTCGCACAATATCCATGTCATAGCTCAGAGACCTTGCAGCTGCTGGACGACGCACTCAATCTTTTTCACAACAATAAGGACATTTTTATTGATCTTGGTATACAAAACAATTTCAATCTACCAAAACTGCATGCAACTCGCCACTACTCTCTCATGATTATGATGTTCGGTACAACCAATAATTATAATACAGAGTACACCAAATGACTTCACATTGACTATGCAAAGGACGCTTACCATGCAACTAATCACAAAGATGAATTTGTCCAGATGACACACTGGCTCAAACGAAAGGAGAAGATTCTCCGCTATGAGAAGTACATTAACTGGCAACTTGCTGGTGATGTCGAGTCCGAGCCTTACCATTTGTGTCCTCCTGACATGACTTTTCATCGGCTTCAAAAATGACAAAGCACCCTAGTGCAAAGGCTGTCAATATCGACAAGCTTGTCGAAGACTATGGCACTACTTATTTCTGCAAAGCGCTCGCACGCTATATCACACAACTCAACCACGCCAATGCCCATACTCGAACACTGGATGTGCTGGCACGTGATGTCCATCTCCCATTCTGAACTCTCCCTGTTTTTCAAAATCAAGTGGCTCTCAGTAGATAGTCATGGTCTTGGTGATGCAGCAGTCACGTTGGACTCTGTGCATGCCAGACCACAACGGACCTCTGGTTCTTGTCTGTCTGCTCGTCGTTTGGATACAGCTCTTGTGTGCCTTGGTCCCAATACAGATGTTAGTATGGGTATGGAAGGTGTGTTTAGCCTTCACTATTTACAGAGGATTCATGTCACTCACAGTTTGACTGAGTCTAGGATTGCATGTTGGCCAAGTACGAGTCATTTTTTCATTACCATCAAAATCACTATCACTCCTCATTGTGCCAACAGTCCAGGTTCCCAGCCACCTAGCTTATATCCAATGGTTCATGCCATTCTGTTCGACTCCTGATCAATGCCATGGACTTTACAAGCTCTCGCGATCCTTTTGTGGTGGTGAAAAGTTGATGAGTATTGTACCATTGGCAAACATAGTGTGTAGTGTCCATCTGATACCAAATTTTGTGTGCTGTCGTCCCACGGGAATGGACGAGTGACACAGTTCTAGATGATTGTAATACTTTTTGGTTGAACTCATATTTAGATAGATACACTTTTTGTATCTTTAAATAATTCTCGATGATTGCACTGTATTTTATTGTGTCTTAGTAGGTGTACTTCTAATACTTGTAATTAGATAGAATTATCTGAATACCAACTTTGTGAAAATTATAAGATTTTTTACCTCAGGAAGGTTTTCCTGATGTTTTGAATGGAGGTGGTATTAGGTAGCTCGGTGTGCACAGGAATGACGAGAACCATTGGGTATTTGACTGCTTTTGAGGTAAAGGAATGAAACTAGAAGAGAGTGATGAGAAATAGTTTGGTGATAAGTCCAGGGTATAGTATGAATGAGGGTGAAAGAGTGAGCTGGTCATTGAGAGTAATGAGATATCAGGGTAAGGAAAAGGAATGTGTCCACACAACTTGGATGCAAAGCGTGATGCTTCTTCGCATCAGTGAGTCACACAGATAGTGGGCGCTAAGTCTGTTATTTGATTTGAAGTCTTGGTCAGGGCATAAAGGACATAGTATCCTTACATCCCCTCCCTACTTTGAATATCAACTGTCCTCAGCAGATCTTCCTAACTAAAAATAAAATATGTTTCGTATCATAGTGAATGTTCGATCTAAGTAGAAGGAAAACAAAGTAAGAGAAAGGAAAATATAAAAGGGACACATCTAATTTTCATCATTGTCCATAGTGCTGGCGAGGTTCCCAATGTCGAGGTACTGGGTGACGTCAAGAGAGGTTGGGGAGCAAGGGGTGATAGGGAATGAGACAAAAGGCTGCAAATTTGAGTTTTAAGACTGGACCATCGATTTCAGCAAGATGATAGGATCCTCCTAAGGAGCGCGAGACGATGACCATTGGCCCAAAATAATGTGGTTTACACTTTGCATTCGACGTGGCCTTGATCTTTTTGTTGAGAACTAAAACGAGGGAGCCGGGAGGGAAATCATAATCATGGATGGTGTTGGCGAAACATCGTTCAAAGTCTTTGATGAATGCCATGCAGCTCTTCAAAAGTCGTTCATGTGTGAGCGCTAGGTCTTGGTCACGTTTGAGGAGTTGTCGAGCGCATAAACCAACAAGCTCTGAAGTCATTGTTAGTGCTGGAAGATTGGGGAGCATGAAGGTTGCTTTGACAAGGTCGAATGGAAGAAGAGGTTCAGTTCCGTGTGCAAGGTAGTATGGAGAAAAACCGGTGGATTGTTGTGTGGTAATTTGATCGGCCCAGAAGACATGATGTGCAATGGTAGGCCATTGTGTTATGTCGCCATTGCACGTTTTGACAAGTAAATCGCAGATGGAACAATGTGACCGCTCGACAACGCTGTTGGCTTTGGAGTTGTAGGCTGAAATGCGGATGTGTCGAATATGATATTTCTGGGACAACCAGTCAAGTGCTGTGATGTATGGTGAGCTGTTATCCATCACTATCTCCTCTATTGTTCCCAATTTACAAAGTATATCCTCAAATAAAAACGCCCTGAGCATTCTGCCTGTTTCCTTTCGTAACATTCTAAACTCTGGCCAGCTAGATAACGAACAGCATGCCTGGACAATATAAGAGTATCCATGGGATGTGGGCATGTGCATCGTGTCCGTGAAGGTTTTTCAAAAGAGAATCGAAGGGATAGAGATAGTGGGTGGAATGACAACCTTCTCGACCGAACAGATCTGACACTGATGGCAGGTTTTGAGGTACCATTGGAGGTCTTTATCGAGCAAGGGCCACCAGAATCTGTCCACAATAGTACAGCGGGGGGTAGAACCCTTTGTGACTGAGCTGGTCATGGGTTTCGTGCAGGATGCGAGCTCGGTCCTGATGCAGTATTACAAGCTGATGCTGACCGGCTGAGTCTTTTCGCCATAGTCAATTCCCTGGATGAAAAACTGAAGGGCTCATTTGCGAAGGCAAGTGTGAGATGACGGCGTTACTGAGGATGGGAATGATAGGGTGCTGAGGTAAGTGTGAATGGTTTGCAGTTCATCGTCCCGAGCCTTTGTTGAATCATTGTATGGTAGGGAAAGGGTTTTGTCCAGTACCAATTGTATCGATAATGTGCTGTATGTGTCCATTGAAAAATCTCCCTGCTTCCTTTCCTTGCTACCCAAATACTACATCCCAAAATTTCATCAACCCACTCTTTGACATCTTCTGTTGTCTCATCCTTATCTTCATTGTCTTCAGGTGCTGCAGGTCGTCGAGATAGGCTGTCCACTGTGACATGCTTGTTTCTGGGAACATGTCAAAGGGTGAAGTTGAAGAGGGATATTCCCATGATCCAGCAGTTGACAGCAGCATGAGGTTGGATGTCAGGGTTATTGAGCATTCCGCGTATGTATTTGGCATCTACTTTGACAGAAAAAGTGTGAAGCCCTATGAGCCATACCTTTGCTGCACACAAGGCCTGGAAAAGGCTGTATAACTCAATCTTGGCTTGAGAGTAACGGGATTCCCATTCGTTCCAGGTGATAGATCCGAACCTTGAGGGGTGATGTGACCTTCTGAGTCAAGTTGGAACAGGATCCATCCACACGCAATATGAGATGAGTCCACAGCGAGAATAACTTCGAGTGACAAGGAGTAGTTGATTGGGCGGATTGCGGGGGAATGGATGATTGCGTCTTTGAGGGAGTCCATAGCATTTTGGGTTGACGAGTCCCATATGAATGGAGTGTTGAGACGCGTAAGGTTCATGAGAGGTCTTGCAATTCTGGCAGAGTCTTTGATCCAGTTGCGTACTGTACCTGCGGTGCTGAGAGAACCGTGAACTTCTGAGTGAGTTGTGCAAGGTGGCCAATTGCGAATTTTTGAAACCTTGGTCCTATCTGGAAACACGTCCGTCGTGGTTGCACAATTGTCCAACAACAAGAACTTCAGAGACACATAGAAACAATTTCTTTGCGGAAACAGTTGCTCCCGCGTGTTTGAGTCGGTGCAACACTCTATTAACATCTACACAGTGTTTCCCACACGAATCTGCAAATTCCAGCGTTTTCAGGATTAGTTCAAATGAACTGTCCTGATGTTTCATATCGTGTGGAAGGGCCTAGCACGTTTACGTCGTCCTGGAAGTTCAGAGCTACATTGAGTTCTGCTTGAAGAATAAATGCTACGTCATTTTGAAACACTGCGGGGAGTCAGTCCATCCCTGGGGAAGGATGGTTAGTCTGTAAGTGCTGAGAGGAGTCTGGGAGGTAGTGATATCGTGAAATTCCTCAGCAAGTGCCCAATGATCAAAGCCTACAAATAAATCCATCATTGAGTATATTGTGCGTCCCTGCGCATTGTTCGGAAAAAAAACTCAATGTAAGGCATTGTTGCTGCATCTTTAACAATGATGGAGTTGAGCTGCTGGAGGCCGTGAACGATGTGAACGGTTCCATTCTTCTTTGCAATGCAGAACCAGCAGGATTGGTAGGACAAATTGGATGGTTCATAAATGCTGGATGCTATCTTCGACTTGATGAGTTTAATGACTTCTTCCTTGATGCCGGGTGGAATGGGTGGTTGTCGGTGAGTCCAGGGGATATGTTCAATGGTTGGGATAATGATTGGAGGAAAGTAGTTGTTGTGAAAACGACCTTTTTTGGTTTCGTCCCATGCAAGGGCAAACTCGTTGTTGATCAAAACTTGGGCGGCCAGTTTACGTTCTTCAAGCCACAAGAACTTGTTCTTGAATATTCTGAGTTCATCGATTCATTCCTGTGTGAGACATTTGCCAGGTGTGAACATTGGGGGGTGGGGGTAGGAGAGAGGACAGGGAGTGAAAGGAGTGTGTCTTCAGGAAATTTGTGAATGATACGTGCGTGTGCAGGCATTGTCGTGGTGATGAGTTTGACCTTATTGGCAACTTTCTTGTAGGCGAAGGTCCGGCGTGCTGGATCAACATTGAAGGAATTTTGCAGAAGGCATTCAGTGAAAGGAGAGGCAGTTAAAGAGAGGGAAGGGTGGATTTGCTGACTTAGAGGGATAGAAGTGTACCGTCTGTGGTCTGGTGCTTTGAGGGATTCAATAGCGCAGTTCTTCTTGAATTCACATTTAGACTTTGCATTGTCGATCCTGACCACAGGGTTTTGCTGATGATTTTGGAGGAGCTGTTGACCAGAGGTGGTGAGAAAGGTGGCCGTAAGGGCATGAGACGGGTGGGGCCAGGGACGAGGTATGGTTGAAACCCTTTGAGTGTTAGTGGGGTTGGTGGGGTCATGTACTGATATGTATACTCCATCAGTGTCTTCGTCCTTGGACAAGCGGACAAGTTGCTGCCAGGGCCGTCCCAGTAATAGTTGGTAGGGGGCATCAGGTACTACGTATGCATGTGCCCAAGTCTTAATTTCTTCTACCTCTATTTCTAACATCTCCACGCACCCATCCATTTCCTGATCCCCCGTTTGCCATTTGCATCCGCATGTGGGTGTTTTGATTCATCGGCGCCTTGGTCTTTTTCCAGACATCTTGCCAGATGACAACAATTTCAGAGCCTTCGTTGAGTAGTGTGAGTTTGGAATGGACTCCGTTGAGTGTGATGTGGATTTCGCGCAAGGGAGTGGTGTGTTCCACTTGTGCTGGCAGAGTCATGCTTAAGGTGTGGCTATTGGCTGGTTGTGGCATGACAGTTATGGGGACTCAATGTGTTCGGCAATGTTCGACAGCTTCCTTTCGCAGTTCTGGACTTATTGAGAGCAGGTCAGACACAGTGAGGTGGGGTACTATTGTGTCGAGTATGGACTTGAAGACTCGCTGGACGGCGTCTGGAGCCATGGCTTTGGATTCATACTTGAAGGCAGGAGTTTGGGGGGTTTCGACGGTGCTAGATTCAACAGGTGTTGGCAGTGGAATAGGAGCTGGAAGGAGGATAGGGTTTTTTGGTGCATTTTTGAGAGCTTGGGGTGCCTTAGTCTTGGATCTGGTAACCGCCAGTACTCCTCCTTGCTGGGGATCTTCTTCCTCCTCTATACTAACTACTATTGCGTGATTTTCAGCAATTGGTATGCACTGCAAGAAATAGGACTCGGATATGAAGGCTGATGATGGAATCTCCAATGTAGGGGGATTTTCTCATTTCGAGTTCTTGATGGGGATAGTGTTGGATCCAGTCGCAGGTGTTGGTGGTATTACTGCTGCGTACCTTGCGTCTA